ACAGAAGTATGAATATACCAAGCCAAACCTGATACTTATGGCTTGCACAATAGACGAGAAAGAGGTTACCAGAATAGACGGGTGCCCCATAATGAATAGCGAGTTTGACAACGGAAGGATGTCGGAATTTGAGAAATCATGAAGCCATGGACTACTCAAGTGCTATGTAGATATTGCATAACTGCCATTCCGTCTGGCCTCCGTATTGGTAGGATCTTGGTGGTTGCACCTGCGTCAATTTATTTTCAGTCTTTGCACTTCTACCTGCCTATACAGTACAAAGTAGTTAGACTTTTAAGAAAAAGAAAATCATGCGGAAGCGTCTTGTTTTCGAATAAGGTGGAGAAAGGAAAGCTGGAAAAGGCTGCATGCAACTGTACTCCACACTGCCCAGGTGAGGCATGCACTGGTTTCTTTTGGATCATATATCGTCAAAACAAGATCTTAATATATCAACAGTCGCGTGGTCTAATGGTTATGATTTCTCGTTCACATTTGCCTGTGAACAGCTTGGTCTTCCGAGAAGGTTCCCGGTTCGATCCCGGGCGCGACTACTTTTTTGCCAACCTCATGTCTTCACCACACCATAAGTGAAGAGCAATTCCTTTATTTTTTTATTTTTTTTATAGCTAGTCTAATACTTACCGCGACTTTTGGATGATTCGATCATCGGATTGTCAGCAAAAAAAGAGAGCAATTCACATGAGCAGTCTCGCGATTCTTTTCACAGAGATTAATACCCCTCAAAATTAGCCCTATATCATATTGACCTATACCACAGTTGATACAGAAAGGTACCTGACACTGCCATGTCAAACAAAAGAGCGAGGAATTATAAATCCGACAAACATAAGCTTTAAGGGCCAACCCGGTTGTCCCCGGACCTGCTTCAGCTCATTCTTAGTCAAATCAACGACTTCCAGAAAACCAGATAGGGCTCTTCTATCAACACAAAGCCATGTGTGATGTCCATTGGTGGTTTCTGGCTTCAAATGATATAAGAAGCTCATACCAAAAATTGCAAGCAAGCGTTCAATCGTACATACTATCTCTCTAAGGCTTTGCATGTTCTCAGTCCATCCCGAGGTCAGAGACACGAACAAAGTACTAAATCCAAGTACGACAGGCAGATGCCAAGATGTGATACTCCTCCTAGGTATGTGATAGTCCAATCAACAATTGTTATTGGGATCAGAATCTGCGCTGGGGAGTGATACACTACTCTCGACTAGCTCAGCCCGCGGGGCCATGGCCCCCTGTCGATACCCAAGCTGGTCTCGTGTTTTCACGGAACTACCACGATTAAGAGTTTGGCAACGTATACCAGTGGGGCCGTTTGCATGTACAATTCGTGATCGGTCCACCCCCGAGCTGAGTCCCAATTTTGGGAGCTGGAGTTTAACATAACTACAGCACACTCTGCCATCAGTCGATAGATTTGTAGTATTTCCCCAAACTGAGGGCTCTAGGGTGATGGGTGGCAAACCATTTACATCCAGGGGATGTCACATATGCAGGCGCTGAAAGGTCAAGGTTAGTACTCCGTACTCCGTACACGGATTTTACTACATGTTACTCCGTAGTATGCTCAACATTAAGTCTAGTGCGACGAGCAAAAGCCACAATGTGCAACCTGTCTGAGAAGAGGTGTCGAATGTCCGGGGTATGAAAGAGAAAATGGCGTCTTCATCCATCACAAGAATGATCGTGATCCCAGCTCAAAACCCGTGAAAAAGCCGACGCTCAAGCTCGTTCAATCCCACCATCCGCCCTCTAATCTCCAGATCTCGACAAAACCTCTTGGGCAACATGCAGTGCGAGATCAGATTTTCGCATCCTTTTATGCCATGTACTTCCCAAAGAACGGATATGTATCCAGAGTGAACCCCTGGCAATTTTTGGTCGCCAACTTCAAATCAATCGCCCAAAAGAGCCCGATGCTGGAGAAGGCCGTCTTCGCTGTTGCTTCCCTGTACGTTGGCAAGGTAAAAGATGACCTGCGAGTCTCCAATAATGGACAACGGGTGTACAATGAGGCGATCTGGCTCCTGCGAAACAAGATACAGGCAGGCTCTTATGATAGTGATATCATATACACCACTTATGTCTTCCAGGAAATCGAGGTATCCGTGATCAGTGCCTTACACCCAAAAACTCTGCTAATGATGGAATGTTCCAGCAATTCCACATATCCCTTCGCCATGAAGCATATTTCGCGCATCTTGATGGCATGAAAAGAATCTTGAATTACTATAGCACTCGAGTTGTGAACGATCCTTTCGCCAATCGTATACACACCAACCAACCTAGATTTACAATGGTCTGACACCACTCGACATTAGCTGAATTGCACTAACATACTTATGTTAGTACCTAGCCGCAACAGGTGTTAAGCAGCCTGTCGGCAAATATGAGGCCGTCCCGCCAGCAACGGGATTCGACCTCTATGACCAATTTCTCGAGCTTCTCGACGCAGTCATTTCCTTTGCCGGCGTCCTGGCATCGGCTATGGACTCCGAAACATGTAACCAAGAAACCCGCAATTCCATCCTCGACGGATGTGTTGAATTAGAAGCAAAATGGACAGGGTGGTTCACGCAGAGTGGGCTTGACGAGTCCTACACTTACGCCTTACCCAACGAGATATTCACATCAGAATTATCTGCTACAGACTCTTTATTCGGCAGAGCATATCAGTTTGATACCCATGATTCTGCAATTCTTTATGCATGGTCCTTTGAATGCATGATCCGAGTGATGAAGTTGACTCACAAGGCCCAAGCCTACAGTCTGTCTGAAGAGGGCACCGCGCCATCTGGTGAACTCGACAGTGAAGGTCTTCGGAAACTGGAGTTCTATGCTGATAAGATATGCCTTGCTATTCCATTTTGTGCACATGATGATATGGGCCCCTCTGGACTACACTCTCCGATGCTTCCAATATGTACGGCTGCCCTAGCGTACGTGGATCTGGGCCAACGTGAGAAGTTCTCCTGGTGTCAGCAAGCTCTTCAGGTTGGAGCTGATCGCCACATCAGCACTGCGACGTTTTTCAAAGAGATTTGCGGGGAGAGATTCAAAGAGAGTGGACTGGACTGCAACTCGCAAGATGTATCAGTATCGACCAAAGAGAACAATGAGCACTGCCAGAAAGAGAGGGTGGTGGATGTCTCTGAAGAAGCATAGCTCGGCTTGAGACACAGAAGAATAATGATTTGGAAACATGTTTAACCCTAAACTACGAGCCATGGATGCGATATACGAAAATAGTCATAGACCTTTTGGGTGTCGGGGAGTGCTTGGTAACTTGGACGTCAGACATTCTACACCACAACGTTGCTGATTTCATTTCCAACATGAAGCTGATGGCTAAGATGTGGGATCTAACGAAAATACCAAAGTGTCTGAGAAAGCGGGCTCCAATATGCCGTCTTCCAGATATTCTTATACTCAAGATCCACGCACACCTCCCCATAATCGACCAAGTCTGTCTAGCGCTCACCTGCAAAACATTCTACAGTTTACTGGGCTTGAAATTACCGAAGTACCTCAAATTTCCCCACCTGCTCAGGATCAAGGACCCTCGTCTGTGTGTGAACAAAGCTAGCATCGCCCGAAACCAACTCCTCCTTCGCCTCGAAACGTCCGAATGGCTTTACTGCGGAGCATGTCTCAAACTCCACCCACGAATATTATTCGGAGATCCCTCCCTCCCATCTATCCAGCGTCGATGCGGCAAAAACGCCGGAATCGTCGATCTATGTCCCTGTATCTCGTTGACAGCGGCGGACCGAAGAGAGATCATTGATCTCTTGTCATCAACCGGCACGTTCGATAAGCTTAAAGCTAGTCTGCGACATCACCTTAATCCATGGGCAGACACTAGTACCCACAGACTCCTTACAGCTGGTCGCTTCGAATTGCGGAAAGATGATGATGGTATCACCTATCTCACACACTGCTGTCGTGAGAGAGCAACATACTGGACGACAAGTCTCCGAGTTTCACTATTCATCAACAACGGAAAACTTGAAGCAAAAAGTCACTATATACTGGACTCGCGACGGCCCCGGCGCAAGAACTGGTTGGCGGAGCCAGTCTTTGCATGCCCGCACATGGATATCACGCTGATGGCTGGGTATTTGAAGGGTGAGAGGACGTGTTCGGAATGCGATACGAAGGTTAAAGGAGGCTCCAAGCGCAATGAGAACCCGGCTTCGATTTTCACGGAGCGTGTGCTTGGGGGCATCGGGGTGTCCGAATCTTCTGCATGGCTTCGGCAGTCTAGGTTTACTAACGAGTCGTATGATCAGTATTTTATTTACTGGTGAGTTCGTATTCAGTTTCTTGGTGACTTCCCCGGCTAACATGCATTACAGGAGAGATGCAGCTGCTATAATGCTGGAGAGGACGAAGAAACGTGTGGAGATGAAGAAATATTTGGAGTCGACCAAACCAATACATCTGGGTCAATCAATACTTTTGGAGCCAGTGAAGCCAGTGAAGCCGGTTCTGAAGAGGGCTAGGTCTCTTCCTGTAAGGTTCACCCCAGGGAAAGTCGTCAGACTCGCCGATCTGAAGTGAAGCAGATCATACCTACATAGGTACCTAGGTAGGAAAGTGCCCTACTGTGTACTCTATACTTGTTGATTCATTCGGAGCTTACACTCATGAATGACCTTGCTATGTACGAAATGGATTAAATCGTTGGCAGTCCAAGTGCGCTTCATGGGCCTAGTAATCAGAGGTGTATGCAGGAAGATAGAGCTATCTACATTATACAGACAAGTAAAAAGAGCCACATCAGAAATTCAACTATTCTTCGCTTTTGTGCAAGGGCACATAATACAGTGCAAGATTGCAAAATCGTGAACGTCATGGGGAGAAACAGGTATGTTTGCGCAAGCATGCGAGAGGAAACACGGAATCAAAACGCCAACCCGCCAGAATTGTATAATCGCAGAACATGGCCTTAACGCATCTAGACTAAATAAAGCAGATCACTGACCGGAGGCTTTCTTCCAGCGAAGCAGCTCAGCAAGCGACGCAAGACTGCAGCCCATTTGCAAGAACTCATGGGCGAGGAGTTCGTCCGCAGTAGCACGGGAGTGAACATCGACACAGAGGCAAACACTCAGGAAGGCCTTGAGTTCCTTGGTGAGCTTTTCGGGCTTCTTGAGGCGAGGAGTTCCGTTGGTAGCGATGAGGTATAAGGCCTTGAGGGGCTCCTCGTTCAAGTATGGGGGCTCGGATTCGATCATTTCGATAGCCATGATACCCAATGACCAGCAGTCGACCTTGGGACCGTATTCTTTCTGCTTGACAACTTCGGGAGCCATCCAGTAAGGAGTGCCGACCATTGTTGCACGCTTGTTCTTTGACTCGGTAAGCTTGGCACAGAAGCCGAAATCGGTGATTTTGACATGTCCGACACGGTCAAGAAGGACATTGTCGGATTTGATGTCACGGTGAATAATGTTCTGACTGTGGAGATGGGCCAGACCCTTGCATGTCTTTGGAGTTGTTAGCATGTGGACAGAGTATAGATTTGATTAGGAGGGGGCATACCTCAGCACAGATTGTTGCGATTTGGTGCTCGGAGATTACGGGGTTGTTGTCAATCACATCAGTCAAAGCACCACCTTCCATGAACTCCATGACAACCCAGAGCTCATTGCTGGACTCCTGCAGGAAGGAGTCGAGGAAGTTAACAATATTCGCATGTTGACTGTCCTTCATAACAATAATCTCGTTGACAATCAGCTCCTTGCGAGGCTGGCTTCGCAGATCCATCTGCTTGATAGCAACCTGGCAGCGTGGGCCGTAAGTCCGGTAGAGCTCGTGAGCAACGCCGGAGGTGGCACCTTCCTTGACACGCGCCACATACACGGAACCAGAAGCACCCTGGCCGATCTTGCGCTGCTTGCTGTAGGACTCATTGGGATTGTCCTTGGAGACAACGGACCGCAGACGGTCCATGACTTCGTTCTCTGACATAGCGGACATACGCACCTCCTTCTGGCGGGGTTCCGCCTTCTTGCTGAGGGCGGCCTCTGCCTGACGGACACTGTCCGGCTTGGCGGAGGCTTGCTTGTTGGCGATGTTCAGCGGCTTCACAGCCTGAACAGGGGCTGGCAGACGTGTTGGAGGGGGTCCGGCCTGCTGGCCCTTTCCGCCATTCTGTTGAGGGCGGCTGGCCGGGCTCTGGCTCCGAGGGTCATTAGGGGGGTAGCGAGAGCTTGGGGAGCCCTGGCGGTCATCGGTCCGAGAGGCACCAGGCGCTCGGGGTGTGCCCTGGCTGTAGGGAGTTTGCGACGGTGGTGCTGGCGCGGGACGCTGTGCGGTGAGTTGGCGGGGGTCTTGCGAGCGAGAAGCGGCACCTGGAGCTTGGGGAGCCGGGCGACTTGGTTGGTAGCGGCTGTTCTGAGAGGCATCGTCTCCTCCGTATCCACCGAGCTCTTGTTTGGCCATCGGGGTGCGGGTCTGCGGGATAGATGCATTGTAAGCATCCTGATCCTCCTTATTACGACGGGCTTCGTCTTCCACGCGGCGACGCTCCTGGTCTGCCATCTCCTTCATGCGTTCCAATTGCTGCTGCTGCTCTGTTGCACGGTCTGCTTGTCCTGCGGGGCCAGAAGCGGAGCGCATCGAACCATCGGATGGCTTTGACAAACCACTGTCGAGGCGCTGCATGGGCCCGGGTGGAGGGGGCCTTGGTGGTGCGATGGAGTTTCCTACACTGCTGCCATAGGGCTTGGGCTGCTGGCTGCCGCCGGCAGGAGAGTTGATACCAGCATAATATTGCGGGTTCTGTTCGCGCATCTTGATATCAGAGTAGAACTCAAGAACCTCAATCACCGCCTGAGGATTCTTCTTGTAGTCTTCCTTCGTGATCGCAGAGGCCGTCAAAAGCTTCTCCCACTCAGGTGGCAGTCCAACAAATGCACCGGACTGCGGGTCAAAGCCAACATGCACCCGATGACTGAAATTGGTTGGGTTGCTGACACCACCCATACCGGGGCAGCGCTCATAGATCTTATCAATCCATTCATAGATCTCATCATCGGACTTAACCTCACATGTAATCGTTTTAGTGGGCAAATCGCGGGTCAATAGCGCACTCTTCGAGGTAGCATCCTTCGGGTTCGCCAAGCGAGTGATCTCGAATGCCATCTTGCAATCCTCGGAACGTGACACGGCGGTGACTGTGGACAAAGGGAACGAGATAACCACCTTGCTAGAATCATTCTTCAAGAATTCAAGTTTGTACTCTCGCAAAATCAAAAATCGTTGGTTCCATGTTGCCAGGAACTTGTCTTCTTTGCAACGAACAGGGCCTTCTTTGACGATCGCGATTCCGCCCTGGCTGGTGTTACTCCGATTCATCCCCAATGCTGGACTACTGGTATTGGGGAAAAGCGAGAGGTTCGCTGACTGCGGGCCCGGGGTACTCGGGGAGTCCAGACTCATCTGGGCGAAAGAGGCGTTCGTGTTGTTGGTCGGCAGGGTCAACTTGGGACGATCGGTCGGGGGGCGGGGAGCGGGCCCCGGATTCATGAACTGATCAGGTCCGTACATGTTGCTGAAATGGGTGTGAGCATTCTATTGAGGGCCTAGGAGCAAGAGATACGGACTTTCCATATGAGGAAGTCATTATTGCGGCACAGCAGGTAGCGCAAGGGTAAGGACTCTAACGAATGCGCCGAGACCTCCTGAGGTCCCCGAGTAGGACTAGTGAAACTATGAGAAGGGTCAGCGATTGCTCTGAGCCATTCAACGGGTTCGATTTTGCATGATTTCCCGCCTCCAGCTGGGGTTTTCGAGACCAAACCTGACCCGGGCGACCTGGGGAGATTGACATTAGGGGGCCAAAGGAGAGGGGTACCGTACCTTTCAGTTCAATGAGCGGTCCTCGCACTGCGAGGATGCTCAAGGATATTTCAACTATCGGAAACAAAGCACAGAAAGCACAAAGGGAAAAACACGAAAGTTGGAGGTGGGGAGGAAAGGAAAGGGGGGGATAATCCATATGGGTCCCCTGAAGCGGTCCAGGTACTTCGGTGGAGAGGAACGTTCATCTACAGAAAACAAGCCTCTGCCAATCAAATGGCTTGTCGCATTTCTTAGTTATAATTTTATATCTTCCAGGAGTATATTTCCTGGGACACTCTTAGACAGTGATGTAATGACTTGGTTTGGACATACCCTGGGGTATATATTAAGAGATATTAAGAGATATAGAGGTATACTATAGTCTGGAGTTAGGCGCTTGGAGTGGGATGCCCAGTATTATACAATGACTCCTGTGCATGAGAACCCTGCTCATTGCTCCCCAAAAGGATGATTGAATTTCAAAAGCCCATTCAGCCCCCCTACCCAGCCTTCATGTGCCTCACAGCCCACACTGCGCCGCATGACGCTGGGAACACCGCCTTGCCACTCATTCTTACCATGCCTCATCTCCTCATTCCACACTCGGACCTCCATGCCAACTCCCATCCCTTGGCCTAAATTAACTCCGTCCAGACTAACCTCGAGCTCTCGCCCGCGGTTCTTCTCGTTCAGCCGCAATGTGATGGGGGTGCTGGAGGGGAGGACCAGGGGGCGGAAGCTCAGGCTACGAGCACAAATCGGGGTTAGCAGAATGGAGGGCACCAGTGGGTGTACAATGCTACCCCCGCTGCTGAGACTGTATGCTGTACTCCCCGTCGGTGTCGAAATTATGATACCGTCGGCCACGGCCTCAGTCAGGAACCGTCCGCCCACGAACACATCTACCACGGCTAGGTGCGGCTCCTTGCCGCGGTGGATGAGGAGCTCGTTCATTACGTACACCCCCTGACCCTTGTCGCTTTTGGTTCGGATTGGTGTCGTTTCAATTCCGTCTGCCGTGAACAGACCGACTTTCAATCGATTGCGCATGAGAATGCGAGCCCCACGCGTAGAGCCCATCGACTTGCCCCGGACCGACGACCACCCGGTTGGGCCCTCGGGTTCTGGACCTTCCGCCGCTGGAGGCTTCTCCAGCACAGGTGTGCGGTCTCCTGCGCCAGCACCAGACATGTAGACCTCTCGGAAGGCTCGCTTGTACTCCGAGAACTTCCATTCGCTCAAGAAGCCCAGCGTACCCATGCTAAATGACAAGACCGGCGGAACGTTTGAGCAGGTCGCAAAAAGCGACGCTGCGTGTAGGATGGTGCCATCCCCACCTAACGTGACCGTGAGATCGACCTTATCGTGGAGGACAGTTGACTTATCGTCGGGCGGGACTGCATAGACAGGGAACGGGAGGGATGAGTGTACTTCGGCGGCGGTTTTGGACTCCAGGATTACGGAGATCGAGGGGTATGTAGAGGATATATGGCTAGGGGGGCGGTCAACGTCTTGTCAAATTGGCGGTTTATCGCTCATTCATACCTGACGAATTCGACCAGAGAGTCGGTGACTGCTGGCGCGCAATCTTTGCGCACTAGGAAAATGTTCCGCGGTGGTGCGTGCCACTGAAGAGACAGGAGTTCCCCATCGCAAGATTCTGAGATGCCTGATCAGCCCATGGATCATCAGATGAACAGTTAGCGGCGACACACACCATGATATTTTGGCAGCAGACGCCCCGGTAGAGATCCGATGTCTTTGATCTCGTGACGAGTTGCAGATGTAGAAAAGCACCGCAAGGGGATGCGGGTGGTGCGGAGTAAGGTGCACAGCATGTTGTGTGGAGGATTGCCGGCCTACTGGTATGACATGTCAGGCCTACATCGTTCCAAACGCGCTCAGGTTGGGTTGATTCGTTGGGAGCTCACATCAACGCGCCATCTTTCAGCCTAACTTTCGTGGGACTGTAGATTCGAACTGGGGGGAAAACCAAAGACTGGAGCCAAAGACCAAGGAAGGTCAAAAGAGGCGATGAGAGAGACCCAGATACCAATCACAAAACAATACACGAACAGAGAACTCCGTATGGGGTACTGAGTCAAGAGCCTAACAGACTGACCGCCCCCGGTGACGTTATGCTCCTCGACTCACGAGATCCGTTAACTCCGGAACCTCGGATGGTCCCCGGGTCCTTTTTAATCTAGCAGTTAACCTCGAGCCTCCTTCTCTGTTGACAAAGTACCGTGTCTATCACTTGATCTCTTTCTTAAAGCTCGTGGGTGCTAGCTGTACCTCTTGACACATCCCCAACTTACCCCTCCATTTTCTGTCTAGATATATCCTGTTTGGAACCCCCCATTCAACCTTGGAAGAGATCTCAACATCTCCCCGCTGGCTCGATCATGGAATCGACGTTCCGTGAGCGCCGGTCGATCAAAGATACGGCTGAGCTCCAGAGGCTCTCAACCAAACCACCCATAAATCCTCATCTCAAACATGGCGTCCCTATGCAGATCCTGCGCTCACTTTTACTGGCAACATGGTTCAACTGCTGTGTTGTGGTGATCTGTGCAACGCAGGTAATTGGCTGCCCGTTATATTTCATCAACAGACGTTATTATTATGCCTATATGGCCTATACAAAACAGTGTTTCGCACTAGCCCTGACCGCCGTCACTGAATGGAGCTCTCCAACCCTCATTCGAGTGAGTGGAGATGCCAGTGTGCGTGGTCAAATTCATCTATCCAAAGATGGACTGTTACAGACCCGCTTCCCAGAGCGACTCGTCATGATTTCGAATCACCAAGTGTACACCGACTGGGTATACCTCTGGTGGGTGGCGTACACAAATTCAATGCACGGACGGATCTTCATTATACTGAAGGAGTCGTTGAAGTACATCCCCGTAGTCGGCACCGGGATGATGTTCTATGGCTTCATCTTCATGGCTCGCAAGTGGCTGGCAGACAAGCCGAGGCTCCAACATCGTCTGGAGAAATTGAAGACCAACTTCACAGGCTCGAATTCGGCTCGCCCAACGTATGATCCCATGTGGCTTCTGATCTTTCCTGAGGGAACCAACCTGTCCATCAATACCAAGGGGCGCAGTGATGCGTGGGGCAAAAAGCAGGGTCTGCCTTCATTCAAACATGAGATCCTTCCTCGGTCTACTGGGCTGTTCTTCTGTCTTCAGCAATTGCGTGGAACCGTCGACTGGGTATATGATTGCACAATCGCATATGAGGGGCCACCGTAGGTTTAAGCGTGTGACTATACCGAGAACATACTGACAGGTCTTGTTTCACAGGAAGGGAAGCTATCCGGATAAATACTTCACACTCCGTTCCACTTACCTCCAAGGTCGTCCACCAACCTCTGTCAACATGCATTGGCGACGATTCCAGGTCTCCAAAATTCCCCTGGAAGACCAAAAAGACTTTGAGGCATGGTTAATCGAGCGTTGGTCCGAGAAGGACCAGCTCATGGACGAGTACTTTGAGACAGGCCGCTTCCCCTCGGAGCTGGCAGGTTCAGTCAAGGCTGATGGCGCAGAAAAGGGCCAACAGATCGCAGCCGAGGCTGGGTTTGTCGAGTCATACGCTCGTGTACACCACTGGCGCGAGCTTGGCTTGATTTTTGTGGTGCTTCTCAGTGTTGCTTGTGTCTGTAAAGTGGTGACTGGCTGGTTACAGTAGGTTATATTAGCGTGGACATACTTTAGATATCCCATCACTCCGGTACAAAATCAAATCAACTAATCATTGATTATTTTGTATATTGAACAAATACATTATAGATGGACAGCATTAAAACATTGTTCTATTGAGGCATGCCAGATTGGGAGTGTATTGTGTGGCGCTTGTGGCGGTGCAATCAGCCGCTCTCAATTCTCAACCTCTCCGTCGCCGCGCGCCGTTGGTCTCCGAGATTCACCTTCGCGCTCACTTCGAACTTGGGGTCGTCAGCCTGATTGACCCGAATTGAGAACTCTTTGATGGACTGCTGCTCTCGATCATGAGCTGAGGCTTCTACAATCCTAAATCTATCAAAGTGGCCTCATCCCTACACCATGGCGCCTCTTGAGAACGGCCACGCCAATGGCCTGAATGGCGACGCCGTACCATCCACCACACCCCCGGGCAACCTCCGCTTCTCTGATATCCCTGACGCTATCGACATTCCCGCTTCTAGCTTCGACAGCGAAGTTGAAGTCAGCTTGCTTGAGCTCCCCGAAGACCCGACCGAGCTGTGCACGCTTCTCGAGAACGAAAAAGCCGCAAAGAACTTCTGGGTGATCATCGCGCTCGCTTACGCGAAGCGCAACCAGATTGATCATGCCATCGATATCTTGAACAAGGGTCTGGCCTCCGTGGCCCATGGAGCGACAAAGGAGAAGCTTGGCCTGTTGGGCTGGATCTGCTGGCTGCTTCTATTGAAAAGCCGACACGCTCCTCGAGTTGCCCCCGATGGCGAGCTTTACTCCGAAGCCAAGACCAAGGATCATTATCTGCAACTCGCGACGTCGACCTTGAACGAGGCCTCTCGTCTTAACCCGGCTTACCCTCCTCTTTTCTTGGCGCGTGGTGTTCTATGCCTCCTCCGTGCATCGCTATACGCCCCTCGCGCGGTTCGCCCCGGCGCCGTCGATACCTCAGAGCGGAATGAGTCGCTGCGCCAGGCTTTGAAATGCTTCGACGAGTCGTCCAAGGCCTTCGGCGGCCGAAACATCATGGCAATCCTAGGCCGTGCTCGCGCACACTATATGATGGGAAGATATGCCGAGGCTCTCGAGGGATACCAGAAGGCATTGATCAAAATGCCTAATCTCACAGATCCCGATCCTCGTATTGGTATTGGTTGTTGTCTCTGGCAGCTGGGCTTCAAGGACCAGGCAAAGGTCGCTTGGGAGAGATCTTTATCTCTGGTATGTTGGGACTCAATCATTCATTCGCGATGATAACTGACTGTGCTGGAATCCAGAACCCCGAATCCAAGGTCGCCAATATTCTCCTCGCAGTATACTATCTCTACGACAGCTCCCGCCGAGCCACGACCGATCCTATGTTCGGATCATTGTACAAAATGGCCATGACTCAATACACACAAAAAGCGTTCAAGCTCGATAAGGAATACCCGATGACCTGTTCCTTGTTCGCAGGCTACTTCCTTCTCCGCAAAACATATGGCACCGTTGAGACGTTGGCACGAAAAGCCATTGAACATACAGACGTCATGTCGATTGCTAGTGACGGCTGGTATCTGCTTGGCCGAAAGGCACACTACGAAGGGGATGCTGTTCACGCTGCGGAATTCTATAATCGCTCGGATCAGGCCCGCGGTGGCAGCGAGAAGGGGTATTTGCCTGCCAAATTCGGTGCAGTTCAAATGCAGATCAACAACAAGGACTTCGATGGCGCCAAGTTCCGTTTGGAGAAAATTGTCCAACAATCGAAAAACCCGGAGGCAATGACTCTCCTCGCTGCTATTCACGCTGAAGAGGTCTTCGCTGTCCAGAAGTCGGGTGGCAAAGAGGACAAGTCAAACGAGACCAAGCGAGCCATCACACTGCTGGAGGGGGTGCGCTCCATGTGGAAAGATGAGAAACAGAAGCTCTCTCCCGACGAGTCGGTTCTGGTATATCTTGCTCGACTCTATGAAAGCACGGCTCCAGAGAAGAGCATGCAGTGTCTTACACAACTGGAACAAATCCAACTTGCTGGAATTCCCGAGGAAGCTCGTCCAGACATTGATGACCAGGATGAACTGAACACTGCTCTCAGGGAAAGTCTTCCACCTCAACTTCTCAATAATATGGGCTGCTTCCTTTACCAAAACGAGAAAATTGCATTGGCTCGTGGCGTGTTCCAGTCGGCGCTCAACGCCTGCGTGCAAGCCAAAGAAAAGACAGAAGATGTCGACCCCGACGCCCTTGTAACCACAATCAGCTACAATCTGGGGCGAACATACGAGGCAGCTGACATGTGGGACGAGGCTAAGAAGGTTTATGAGGGTCTTCTTGAGCGTCACGGTGACTACACAGAAGCTAAAGCCCGCTTAACCTACATTGCTCTGCGCCAGAGCCCCACCGACGAAGGCCCCAAGAAGATTGCCAAGCTTTATGAATCGGAAAACACCAATCTGGAAGTCCGGTCACTCTATGGCTGGTACATCAGCAAGTCCAAGAAACGTGTTGCCAACCTCGCCGAGGACAATGAGCAGCGCCATTTCAAGCACACCCTTCAATACCACGACAAGCATGACCGATATGCCCTGACTGGAATGGGTAATGTGCATCTTCTCTTTGCTCGCGACATGCGCCGCGAATCAGACCAAGACAAAGAAAAGCGACGGAAAATGTACCAGCGGGCGGTTGAATTCTTTGACAAGGCCCTCCAACTGGACCCAAAGAACGCATACGCCGCTCAGGGTATTGCGATCGCTTTGATCGATGACAAGAAAGAACATAGCTCCGCTGTGCAAATTCTTTCCAAGATTCGCGATACGATCAAGGACCCCAGTGTCTATCTAAACTTAGGCCATGTCTTCGCCGAGCTTCGGCAGTTCTCACGGTCCATTGAACATTATGAAACAGCATTGTCCAAGGACCGCGCCCGTGATGTGCAAATCCTAGCTTGTCTGGGTCGTGTCTGGTGGCTGAAAGGAAAGCAAGAAGCCAACCTGGCAGCCATGAAGACCGCTCTTGAATATGCCGAACGTGCCCGCGCCGTCTCCCCCGACCAACTCCATCTCCAATTCAACGTTGCCTTTGTACAAAACCAGATCGCATCACTCGCCTACGGCCTACAGCCTACCCAAAAGACCCTACAGGATGTCCAGGACGCAGCCGAAGGCCTCAAAGAAGCCATCGAAACGTTCGAACGGATCTCGAAGGAGAAGAACCCGCCCTACCCCAGCGCCGCCCTTGAGCAGCGTGCTAACATGGGTCGCACGATTAGCAAGCAGCTTGACCGTGCTATCCAAAGCCAAAAAGAATACGAAGAGAAGAACGCCGCCAAGCTCCAGCAAGCACGCGAAGCTCGGGAAGAAGCGACTCGCGCTCGCGAAGAAGAGCTCCGCAAGGCCCAGGAGGTGGAGACTGAGCGCAAGAACCGCATTGCGGAGGAGCGTGCTCAGATGGTGGAAGAAGTACAACGCCACGCTGCGAAGCGCGCTGAAGAGGATCGCGCGCGTGAGGAAGCGGAGTTGACTAATGATTCGGAGACTGGCGACCGCGTTAAGCGCAAGAAGAAGCCTGCCAGCAAGCGCAAGAAGAAGGGCGACGACTTCATTGCCGAAGAAGAAGAAGGTGGTGAGCAAAGCGGGGAGAGCGACGATGGGGCGGCGCCAAAGAAGAAGCGCCGCCTTGAGCGGAGATCGGGCAAGCCCAAGGCCGAGAAGGAGAAATCCGACAAGCCGGGTAAATACAAGAGCAGTGAGATGGTAGTTGACTCGGACGAGGAGCCAGCCTCAGAGAGGGATGAGGCTGCGCCGCGCCGACGGGGTAATGCTTCTCGTCGTATCGCCGATGACGACGAGGAAGAGGAAGAGGAAGAAGGAGAAGGGGAGGAGGAGAAGAAGAAGGAAGAGGAGCCCCGGGAAGAGGACCTACCAGAGCAGGAGACTAATGTTCCTGTTGATGGTGTTGGCGATGGACCTGGCGACGAGGACGAGCTATTCGGCGAGCCATCCAAGACTCAGGACACCGAGATGGAGGATTGATCTACGGCTTGATTTTTTTTTCATGTCTTTTTTTGCAATTGATATCTTCCCGTCTGTAATTATTAGCCTTCAGTAAAGCAAAAACCATTATTATTTTCGCATCTACGGAGTACAGAATACAACGCCACTGTCTCGTACAATTACACCAATATCCCTCACCCTCAGCCCCCAGCTAAGACCGAATAAATTAACGGCCCAAGCGCAGTGGACATGTGCTACTGGATCTCTTTCGGCGGGAGTCCGATGAATCTCCGATTCCATGCTGACCGTGTTGGTTTTTCCTCGCATCGTGAGTGGATGCTTCGAGTCCCTCTGCCCCTCCAGGGTATATTAGCTCCAGTGTACTGCATATCGTCGCAGTCAAAGCATGCAGGTCCCAGAGTGTGTCAGTTTACGTTACGAGATTGTGCGACATTTTTAGACAATCCATTGTGTGTCTCTGCCGAAGGCGTACTAGTATACGAGTGAGTTTTCCATCTACATATGGGCGCCCAGGTGTTCTATCCACCTCAGGACTGAGCACGGATGTCTCCAATTTACCTAGGTACTTCCAAGGTTCCATTGCCTGGAGCCTCAAGATAGAGGGGCTGGAACCATGGTCAACCAAGCTAAATCTCGTAGTCTAAAAAGCCTTAATTTCTAGCCCGGATCTGGTCGATGGTCTGGTCGATCATTCGCTATGAGACCTCGGGATGAACACCAAATTTCAGAAGCCTGAAGCTTCTGGGCCTTGATCTATATCCACGGGAGGACTGTATATATACTTCTACATGCCTGGAAGTCCCCAGATACTCCAAACACCCCCCAAATCCTAGATTATAGAATATTCCAAGGTCTCAGAAGCTCCAATCATCGTGAAAGATCAAAACTCCGTCATAACTTTAGCCATGACGTCCTTCGCATAGGGTAGGATTGTGAGCCGAGGTGATATCGAAGTTGTCTGGTTCACCGCCCAATCAGTCAACGATCGACCATAGCTCCCACTCAACGGATCATCCGCCTTTACACTGTCGCTTTCGAATATTGAAAATGTACGGTCAGATTCTTCCAACGGCCGCAACAGGAGCTGCATGTCAAGTCGAGCTTATCAATGCGGACTCAAACCGTCCTACCCGTGGAAAGTACCAGAGCACGTCAGGTAACATGCCGCAAACATCTTGGACATGAGATACCTAGTAGTACAAATCCGGGCTTGATTCCCAATAGACTCGCTCAACCACCTTACTTCTTTTGCGCAGACCCAATATGCGTTACGCAATTGTCGTCCCAGCCATCCTGGCAGTGTCTGCCACTGCGGCCCCCCTCCCTAGTCCAGTCGATGTGGTCGACGACACCCTTGATGCCCTTACCGGTGCCGTTGACAGTAAACCCGTCACTACTTCTAAGGAGCAGATCACAGCTGCCCTTGATGGTGCCCTCGAAGCCAAGCGTGACACCAAGGGCTTCAATGATGGCGTTGACCTGAGCCTGTCGGTTAATGATATTCTCCAGCGCGATAGCGAGAATGCCATGGATGGCATCGACGCAGCCGTCGATGCTAGTGTTGATCTTCGCAAGCGCTCGGAGGACCTGACCGTTGGAGGCCTCAGTGTCCACAATCTGGATGTTCCTCCCAATCTCAACATCCAGAACATTCCGCGCTCTGAGGATGTTGAAATAGACTCCGTGGGCTTGCCTGCTGGTGTGCCAACTCTCACCATCCTGCGTCGCGGTGACGGCGACGGAAACGGAGAGGTGGTCAGTGATAACAATGGGCTTCTGGGTCTCGGTGTTCTAGGGCTCAAGCGTGACAACGAAATTCTCAGCCATAACCTTGACAATGGTGTGCTGGGGGGTATCGGCATCAGTGTCAAGCGCAATGATGCCCCCTTGGCCGACGACGACGAGGCCGAGAAGAAAGGACTACTGGGTCTTGGCATCTTGGATCTTGTTAAGCGCAATGATGCCGTGCTGACCGACGCCGACGAGACGACTAATAACGGCAAAGGAGTACTGGGTCTTGGTCTCGCGGGACTGAAACGCGACAATGATGACAATATCCTCAATGGTGATACAAGCAGCCTCGCGGGTATCACCCTGCCCATCAAGCGCGACACCACCACCAACGAACAGAATGACGATAGCAAGCCGGTGGACATTGCTCTCAAGCGCGATCCCTCCGATATCCTCGGCCTGGACCTGGACCAGATCGGCGACAACAGCGTGCCGGGCTACCTCAATATTAAGAGGGAGGAGGACAGCTCTGTTGGCGGGGTTGGTGGCTTTGACGTTGGTACCCCGATTCTCGACATTGTCAACCTCTAAACTGCACTCCCTGGATGTAGTATACAGATCAAATGATCGACAGTGCGTATCTCGTGCCTACCCGATCACACACAGCTGACCGACCTAGAATTCTGGGTGGCTTTTGACAAATAATCGGGACAAAGGACGCGAAGGGGACGAATTGAGGAGCCCACCGTTTATGGGATAATAATTAATGAGAGATCAAAAATACCGAGTCCAATATCTTTCCCGACTGTTGCCCAACGTGATGTGGATCAAAGCATCCCTAGTGATCTGCCACTAGTCGCAATTGTTTGTTCAAGTCAATCCGGATCTAGTAGCAGATAGTAGATGGGTCTCAAAACTGGCGCTGGACCGTGAAAGGATTCCCCTGTTTCTCGGGCGCACACGCTTTGCGGTGTATGGGTGTACAATGTACGATGGCCAATTTATTCGAGCCACCAGGTTGCATCTAGACGGAATCTGGATCGCACACGGTCACATCGGGATTCAGCCTCACATTCGAACTTATGATTGTGTGTACTCCGTGCGATTGATCGATTCTCCATAGTTCTAGCGGGATACCTTACCCAGACGGGCGACCGTTGGCGTGTGCTAGTCTTAGCGCGGTACTAGGGTGTTGCGGAAATACCTACGAAGTACTGTACTCTGTACTTACAGAGAGCCTTGGAAGTCAAAGTAATTGGTAACTATGTATGTAGAGGATTCCATGGATGAATCTTGACTCTCGAACAGACCTTGCCTATCGGAATTCCATCTCCCCAGCCAAGCAAATTAGATCGACGATCCGTCGGAGAACACGTTCGTTTGACGCGAACCGAAAGAAGTTAATTCTCGAACGTGCGTCAAACCTAGAGCTCGGAGAGCATGGTGAGATGGGGATTCGAGACAGAGGATTTGATTCAGAGACCAAACCGATCAGACGGGCCTCCAATTTCGGGGCTTATTCCTGACGCAGATCTGGTCTCCAAGTGGAAGAACTCCGGGTCAAGACGCTTGGGCGTCGAGATATGACGATTGATCATCGCATTGCTTTGTTGCTAAAAAGGGGAAACGGTGGCTATACTCCGTACGGAGTACATACCGGGGTTTACTACAACTCGGGGACCTACAGCTCCAGGGCTCTCACGGTGCTTACGGAATATTCTCATGCCCTAGGGTTTGTAGTTAAAGTGCCGCACCCTAAACTCCCAAGGTTCTAGACGAGATCGTCCGGATACACACTCAAAACACCATGACTAGCGGTCTTTCTCGGGTGGATATCGATTTTTCACTTTTCTATTTGTTTCGAATGTGAGACCCACTTTCCAGATAGGAAGCTGGTTGATGCAAGATCGCAGTGTACATGTACATCACGGGCAGTTCGAGTTATGGACAATGTATGTAGGTACCCACGTACAACGCATACGAGGATCCCACGTACACTTGAGACAAAAGAGGAAATAGTTGAACAGATCTGAATTTATGCCATCTGCAGTCTATCTGCACATACCAAGCTACACCCCCGCCGCAACAACGCAACTCTCCGGCAGGAACTGCAAGGGACTCACCGGTGACTTCCGGACACTCACATTCTTCAGCTGCATCTCTTACATCCCCGAGGTTTGAGATTTTCGAGAAGCTTGAGTTTTGCTTTTTTTACCGTTCCTTTTTCTTGCTGATCTTCACGCACGAGATAGGGGAACGGCACCCTCCGACCTTACAGCTGAATCCTTACTGTTCGCATTGCTTGGGGCCACACCGGGGCATTGGAACCTCGGGGTAAAGTCTCGGGATAAGCGAAGTATTACGTCTCCACAGCCATCGACAGTCGTGCCCTAGAGCAGTCACTAAAGGTAGGGCCGGATCCTTCAGGTGAAAACCGTTGAACCGAGGCTCCGCTCTGGGCTATGCGGGGAAGAGGCGTGGCTGTCTCCGTCACGCAAGGTGTTTTGATTGAAATTGGAGTTCATTGAAATAGGAGGCTGGATGGAAAATGGGAGATTTGGAAACATTAGCTGTCCGAGTCTGGGACTTCAAACATGGTCGGTGTGAACCGTGGGAAGGCCATGGACGGACTGGTGTAGGGGAAAACGTTTCCTGCGAGCGAGAGCGAGTGTGCGTGATGGCTCTCCACTTCAGTCTGGACTTTTGAATGTTTCTACCTGATGTAAGGACTGTGCGAAGACCTCGATATTAGATCGTAATATACCCGGTAGCTCGCTTACCACATCGTACGGAGAGTACTGGAGCAATTGAGCTTGGAATAGAGACGACTTTGAACATTCCAACCTTGGAAGGTTATCTGATAAACATCTCTGCCGCGTTAAACCTTGCGACGTTCTAGATGTCAGATACTAGTGTATACTCTCGCTGATCTCGAGCAATACCGATACAGCGGATGCAAAGGAGAATCGCAATAAAACGGAACGGGGCGTATCGGACCGCCGATACTTACTGTATTGGGTCTAGTGTCCATCTTCTGCCCTGGTTAGTCCCCCCCCACAATCGGGGCTCCAGCACGTTCAGGACCAACCCCCTGGAAACAGATGCCGCTAAATGGAGTTTCGGCTCCGTTATTTTGGGTCGTACCGTGGATTATGTCCCGTGTATTGCTGTATTGCTACAGGTCCATGTTTGCTTATGTATGTTTGATGTAGAGAGAGAAAGCTACAATGTATTATTCGGATAGATGCAGAGTGTGACAGATAGAAGCGGATCATACGTTGTGTCCGTCGAGATCTCCAGTCCAGGGAAAAAAAAGAAATCACAGCAAATCAGAAACAAATCAAAACAAAACAAAGAAGTCCCAGATGTCTCTCCGTCCTTGGAGAAAGACCCCCCCCCCGTGCCAATAATACCAGATCCCAAAATTATACCATTTTACAAAAATACAAAAATAACCCCTGAGAGCTCCACAAGCCCCCCGTCTCTGGTATTGCCTCGTCATCGAGTAATCTATTAATTTATTATCAGCCTTCTGCTCCAACCGTTCTCACGGGCGATCTCCAGATTTCATTTATGATGGTGTAACTGCCCTGTCCTGAAGCCATGTCATCCACTTCAATCCCAATGGCGAAACAATGGGACGACGACGGCAGTGACCGTCCATCAACAACCTCATCGAATGAGCAACCAGAGCACGTCGCTCATGTTCGCTCGAGGTCGACAGCCCACACCAACAGCCCGAAGCGGCTATCGGTCTTCAGTGGGCGTTCGCGAAGTAACACAACGACCTCGACTTCCTCCCGTCGGTCACCGGGCTCTTCCATGACCTCGGATGGCTCAATTCCGGATGAACGCACCGTATCCTCGCTGGGTCAACGCTCCGATAAGGACAGGTCATCTCGGTCTTTTTTGGCGCGGGGGAGCCGCATTCTACGTCGCCAGGGCAGCAAGATCAACATCGTTGCTACTCTGGACGAGGAGGATGAGGCTGATCGTGAAAAGCCCCATAGAGAGCTGTTCGGGCGTCGTGCCCGACACGCTGATAACAGTAAGTTGCTCGTTGCCATGGAACCCAATGACACTCAATTGACCTTTTGAACCTCACAGGTGAACGCTTGAAAAGCATTATATCTGATCCGTTCGACTTCCACCACCTGACTCACACCAATCCGTCTCAGTTCCAAGCTCTGGATCAGACACGTGAGAACGATTTGGTCACCGAATTCTCCGCCATTCGCGCTTCGCAGCGGCCCCAAACCGGTCTGAAAGGGATTCGCGCTGAGGACATTCATTTCCGCAATTTCTCTGCCGATGACCTCAGTGTATTTGGAACTGCTACCACCGCCGACGGGCCAAGTATGAGCCCGCCGGCCTCCCCAACCGCACCCCCGGGCCATGCACGCAAGGGATCCCGCGCGAACGAGAACTTCTCTCGTCCTGTCTCGAGGTATCCTCGCTCTTGTCCCACCACTCCCCCTCCACCTGCGGTGCCAGAGACTCCCCCACCGGAGAGCTTGGAGCCTGAGCCCCGTGCCATTGACGAGATCTTGGGGCTGTCGTCATCCGTAACATACCCGGAGTGTCTCCAGTCCACGCCCCCATCTCAATTCTTTAACCCCGAGCCAACGGATCACAGTGTCAGGACCTCGTCTATGAGCAGCCAATTTGATCTGGCAGATGTGCCAGAGGAAGAAGAGACCACGCGCTACTGGGATAGCCCGCAATCCAGCATAGGGTGTCCTGACTCGCGCTCCGTGTCTCAAGCCAGTCCGCCTTCCAAGGCCGAACTACCCAGTGTCGATGAGCACAGCGCTCCCATGTCAATGTTCGTCGCCGAGGAGCTGTCGAGGAAGTTTTCCGAGGCTCTTGGCTCCCCCACTCTCCCCCAACACCTTCAAAACACCAACCCTCAAAAGGAGGCCCCACCACCCGAGCCTATCGCCACTTTGCATCAATTCTCATACGAGGACGAGATGTATGACTCTTGGGACGCAGATATTGACTACTGCTATGAGCACGCAGCAGAGTCTTCCTCCAACTTTGATTGGACCCGTACTTCCCTTGATGAAGCTCATCCTCAAATTGGGATAGCTTGCAGCGAAGGACCTTGGCTTTCATCCAAAACCCGTCACCTCCAACCCAGCCCACTCAGCACTTCCGAGCTTCCTACCCCGGATCTGAACCCAAGTCCAGCATCCATGCCCACCCACCCAGCCGCCACCCCCCTGGGTGACTGTAACCCCGTCTTTCGCAACCCCGAATACTTCCCCGTCAGCACTCTGGGAAAAATCACCGAACCTCTGTACGAAGAGTACATGACCACCGATGGTGAATCAGACCGTCACTTTCCTTTCTCCGGAGTGCCCATCTCTCCCCGCAGCAGCTTCTCCCCAATCAGCAAATGCAACAGCCAAGAGAGCCTGATGCTCTCTCGCGCGGCCTCTGTGGCCCGTAAGCACCGCTCGTCCGTGTCAACCATGAGCGTTCCGGAGCTCGTTCATTCGCTTTCAAACAGCCGCGAGCTGATGCCCACTGACCGCCTCACAGCCGGTGAGGCTCTCACTCGTCCTGCTTCAGCGTCACACCGCCAAACCAAGAGCCTGGTCGAATCAAACCGGCTCTCGCACAATGGCAGTAGCACCAGTTTGGAAGAACTGCCGGTCCACGACCGAACCAAATCTGTTTCCGAGGTTGAGGTCAAGGTTGAGGCTCCTTTGCCTCCTCTGCCTCCCAAAAACCCAAACCGGAAGCCGAAGAGCCGCTCGCCTTCGTACTCTCTCTTTCCTACCGCTCACTGAGCATCTCTCATTACTCTCAAGACAGGTGTCTTCTCTCTGACCCCCTTGCCCAGGTGCATATTCCGGCTTACTCATCATTTCGCCTCCCACCCTCTCTCTCTTGCTCTCTCTCTCTCCACGAGTCATGATCTGTATTTCTTTGTGTCTGTTTAACTCCTGTCCGCCTAGCAGCCGTTTCTTTTTGTTTTTGTCGTTTTTGATATCGATTTTGTACGCATGTTTCAACAGTCAGTCCTTGCATTTGTCAGCGATCAGCGATTTCTTTGGTGTTGGATGGAATTTGGGAAAAAAGAAAAAAGGAAAAGGAAAGGAAAGGGTGGTTGTTTTTTTCAGGGTGTTTCGCTAGCCCTTGTTATAGATTATAGATGGGCTACGTCCCAATACAACCCGTGTGGCATGACTGATTTGCATTGTAACAGCGTAAATTGAGATGGCCAAAAGCTAGCCAAAAGGTACTCCGTACTCAGTAGAGATAGAAGAACGAAAGAATAGGTCCAATCTTCCATAGATGGATGTCCAGGTGAAGTACATACTGCCTAAAGCGGCTAGACTGTGGCCTGATATCTTATCGCCACTCACTACTCTTTCATCCATCTCTTCAACAACCATGCCATCACCTCCGTCGCAAGAGCTGGCCAAGCGACCTGCTGGCCAGCTCATGCCCCCGCCTCCTCCACCAAAACGAATCAAACGACCCGCAACCGTCTTAGAGGAAGATGTCTACGCCAGCACCCTGTCGCACGTCATCGCCCGCGACTTTTTCCCTGGATTACTCGAAACGCATTCCAAGCAGGAGTACCTGGACGCCATCGAGTCTAAAGACAAGGCCTGGATTGCTAGTTCAAAGAAGAAGCTCGCAGATGTGATGCGCACGCCTACGCCAGGATCAAACGCCCGGCGAAAGCTAGATGCAACTCCGACACCTCATTTCGGACGACCTGAAGACACCCCTCATGCTACCCCTCACGGCTGGGGAGGCGATACGCCGATGTCAGTAGTATCGAATAGCACAACAACGGAAACATCTACCGGGCCTGATGTATCGAATATGGGTCTTCTCGGTTTTCAATCAAAGTATACAAGCGACGACAACGAATCCTTCTACAAAGTCGTCGACAAGCAAAACGAGAAAAAAAGAGAGAAATATCCATGGCTCTGGAATGATAACAAAATCCCCTCTGCTCGCCAAATTGCCCATAGCAAGCAAGAATCCCAACGCATGATTGCCGCCGGCGGCAACCCGGAGACCAGCTTGATCCCGATAAAAACAGATCTTGATGCCCGCCCAGCAAGACCCGACGCTTGGAAATCCAAACCAGATAATACCCTAATGTTTCTCCCATCTTCGGTGGAAGACACCCACGAAACGCACAGCCAGAGAGCGGAACGCACCTCTCGCGCCGCCCCAAAGCGAATCCTCTACCAAAACACAAGACTACCAGACCCCGAAGCCGTAGCGGCAGCAAACTCTATCCCGCCATCACCCTCCATCTCAGCAATTCAAGACGCAATCGCTGGTCGGCCGCGCCTCGACGAATCGGAGGTATACACGGGGAGCGAAACACCCCGCGTTAACGGCTACGCATTCGTCGACGAAGATGAACCCGAAACACCCGAGCATGCCAAAGACGATGAAATCGACTGGCGTCTTCTTGGATCGGTGTCTTCGGAGCGCAATCCCTTCCAGCTGGCCGAGGCGGGAAAGCGTGAAGCACTACATCACCGGATGGTTGATCGCGTTGCGAGGAAGAAGCGCGATGAAAAAGCCGCACAGGCCAAAACGCCTATTTCTTCGCCGTTTGCGAAGGGCAATGCCACTCCTGGAAAGATGCTTACCCCTGCGGCACAGAAGTTGTTGAACAGGGTTGGCACACCGAGGGCGAAGTCGAGTGTGATCCGGACGCCTAGGAAATGAAGTTGATACCACGAATGTTTTGAACCCAATTAGATCACTACGCTTTCAAGCCGCTGTCGTTCTAGTACAGTAGAAGAAAATTAAACTCCTCTTGGGGTGTGTATAGATGTGCATCGGAACGACCTCGGGAGCAGGAATCAGTTCCCGAGGATGCCCGACTGAGCCCGTTTTCCACGATGGACATCTACCTCTGCCACTTCACAACCTTGGAATAACCATCCATCTAAATTGAAAGTCCAATGTAACACTCGAGTCGCCGTAGTGCGTATCCCCCATTCCTTTCAAATCGCCACTAACAGAACCAAACAGAGACATCAATATCAAAATGAGCATCGGAACATCAGAGCGCGAGAGCAAGAGGAACCCACTCTCAACTCCCTCAAAAGCAAAGACTCAAATCTCAATTAGTCCAGAAAAAGGCCCAGAGGAATATTACAAGCCAGACGAAACACCACTGTTCAAGAAATTACAAAAGAACCGTCTTACGAAGACGCGCACAAAACAGCTTCTTCGCGCTGCGGAGCGAGAATATAATGACCCGCCTCCTCCGCCTGGATTGGGAGATTGTTGTGGTAGTTCGTGTGATCCTTGCGTGAGGGATCTTTGGAAGGAGGAAATTGGGGTTTGGAGGGAGAGGTGGGGGGATTGGGCGGAGGAGATGACTGAGGGGAAGAAAGCTGAGAATGAGATACAGGAGACGAGCAAGGAAGATGGTGTGAGTACGATGAAGTTGACGAGTAGGGGAGTGAAGAAGAGCCTTCAGAAGGAGTTAGAGTGGTGATTGTATGACATAGATGCAGATGGCAATACGGAGTACATAGCCAAATTCCGGGCTAAAGACAAGCCTTGGAAGCTTGTATAGTTTCGCAAAGATACCCTTGAGATATAACATTGTTCGTGTCTTCGTTACAGTATAGGTAGCCTGTCGACAATTCAAAGGCTGGAGAGGATGCGCATCTACAACGATTGCGTTCATAATTGGTCCAGCGGTCTCCATATGAAAGTATGATCAAGTTGCCAAATTCGAAATCTTTTCACGTTGATATGGTATTTAGTACATTACTGAAATGCAATTAAACAAACAACAATGCAGCCAACACCACCCACCAAGCCCCAATGCCGACTCTAACCCCAAGATTCAAATCATATGCAGCACCCATAAATGAACAGGTGATATCCCCGCCTGAGTTGCGGTATCCATACGAGGCATTAAGCCACCGACCCTCGGGACAGGAGAAGCCCAACGTCGTAGGACAATTCTTAACGAGGGTGTGGCAAACATCCTGACAAGGTAGAATTTCCTTGTACGGGCCTGGTTTGATGAGCTCATCGATGATGGAATTGCGCGAGTTGTTGGTCGCGGTGGACATCCTGTACGGACTATCACTTGGTAATGATGTGCCGTTGATGAAATCCTGACCTGCGTTACGCACAGCAAGGAAAGAATCCGTGGCTGAGTAGTCTGCGCACCGGGGGATGGTCACGCCGCATAGCCATTGTTTGTATGCCTTTTCGCAGTCGTCACAAGTGACTGCCAAAGAGAACATTGATTCGTCGTCTGTCTTGCATTGTACTTGCTGCAGCGAGTAGTTGAAGTTCTTGTAGTATTTCGAGGCGTGGTCGTCGTAGATTGTGCGTAGTTTGTCCACGCTGAGGTTTGGATTTGACGGCACGGCGTAGGCGACCTCGGAGCAGAACGTTAAATTGAAGAGGACGGCACAGTTGTCATCTGGACTAGTTAGATTGGCCTCAACCATCAGGATCGATCTCGGCGAGCTTACCTGCTTTTGTTTCGAACGTCATTGGCTTCCAGACTGATCCGCCGCCGCCGACGATGCTATTGCCCGATGTAGTCGAGTTTCCTACCATTGCGAGGATACCCTCGTAGGAGGAGCTTCGGTTCAGGCCCGTGATATAGAATTGCTCTTTCGGCTTGTTGCCCAGGCCTCGTTTGGTCATACCAACTTCAGTGATATTGCTGATTCGACCGACCTGAGACAGACTGTCGAGGGCACAGAAGGATCGTTCCAGGCCTGTCAGTGCGGTGTTGTTCACGTTGTGCGCAAACATCGTAAACGGCGGTACCATGTTCAGCCATTGCTGGTAATTCGTACTATTACTCTCAGACTCCGTCAGATTATTCGTGACGAGCAGCGCAGCCGAATTGTCCGCGTCAATGAAATATAGGTTCGTCTCGTTGACCCATTTGTGAAAGTACTCGTCGATTGAGGCTGCGATTTGGAACGTGTAGGCACCAGTGTATTCCGTGGTGTTGGGCGCCGCAACCCCAATGAACACGTCGCTGTCTGTATCCTTCGTGATCCCGAGGTACCCTCCCTCTGCGGTATGTCTGACCTGGAGAGCATCGTCCTTGCCCGGTCCTGGTTCTTCCAGATCCTTCGAGTTTGAGATATAAACCTCCAACTGGGGGAATGCGCCATGCGCGCTGGTCTTGTTGGCGTGTGGCTTGCTGCAGGTTGTCAACGATATGTAGACCGTTGTAGTCGCTCGCTTGGCGGATTCTCGTTTCCGTAGCTCATGGCTTGAACTTGTATCGTCATTGTTGTCGGACACGTAGGCAGGAAGTCCCACCCCCGCGGCACCGTGGGGACCGTTCACCACGTCCTTGGGCAGGTAGAACCACAATACCTCGCCGATTTTCAGGGTGGGCTTCTCGAATCGATTGTTTCCGAGAGATTTGGCGTTATTGGGGTATCGGCGAACAAGATCAAGCCCGTTGGAGAGGCCGTTCTCGTCGGTGTCGTCGCGAAGTTCCAGGCCGTTGAAGGAGTCGAGCGCGACTGGGAGACCGGCTCCGTCGCTGGGGGTATCGAGGTTTAAGTCATGGTCGGCATGAGCGAAGCCAAATAACAATATGCTAACTACCGTCAGATAGCACTGCAGGATGTGTCGACGCATGGAAGGGGATGTGTGAGCGCATGAGGGAATGTGGAAGAAAATCGAGCATAGTTCGGCCGGGGTTATTTATAGCCTCCGTCGACTGCCTACTGCCCAGTGGGGACTATGAACTACTAGTATAACTCCAAATGAATTTCAAATGTACGGTGCAATTCAAAAATATCAACATAGAGTAATAATGGACAGCGAAAAAAAAAAAAGCAATTAAACAAGCTTCTGCCAGCGAGCAAGACCCATACTAACAGCCACAATCAACCCCATCACCCCTAAAATCCCAAAGAACCAGCCAAGTCCCGGAGTATCTTTTCCGGGAACTTCAACGTTCATACCGAACAGACCACAGATCAAATTCATTGGAACCAGGATGGTCGCAATCAACGTGACCTTGCTCAGCACTTTGTTGACATGGTTACCAAGCACCAGATTGGTGACATTCAACTGGGCCAGGTAATTGGTATGCGAACGGCTCAACATCTTCTCAAAATGAGCCAGGTTCGACATCATGGTCACTACGTGATCCTGGATATCACCCAGGTAGAGACCAATATCACCACGCGGTGTCACAGAGTACTGCTCGTTGCACCGTTTCGAGAATCCTCGAATAACGTCCGCCTTCCCACCGAGCAATCGCATAAGACTCATGACTTTCTTACGCAAACCGCCGATCCGTGGGAGGAAAGATTCAAAGTCGTCCACTCGAGCAATGAAGACGTGATCTTCAATGGCTTCAGACTCGAGCTCCACGTCGCGGATCACAGGCCCAAAGCTATCGACGATGTCGTCAATCATGGCATAACAGATCCAGTCGCTGGAGAGAGAGACGTAGTCGCGAAGTTTACCAATTCGCTTCCGGACGTTCGAGGCGTGCGGGTTATCCACGAAAGAGAACGTGAGGACGCCGTCCCGGAACACGACCATGTAAAAGTTGACGGGCTCGAGGAACTCCTCGCTAGTCTTGTCTTGTTGGAAGAAAGTACGGAAACAGACAAAGTAGTACTGCTTGAAGAGTTCCACTTTCTCGCGAGCTTCTTGTGTTTGGATATCCTCCGTTGTCAGCGGGTGGATGTTGAAGGCGCGCGAGATCGCGCCGAGTTCGTCGTCCGTGGGGTTCACGACATCGAGCCACCAAACACCTCCTTCGGGACCGAGCTCGAAGAGGTCACGGAAAGTCTCGCCCGGCAAGACGAGGTCGCCTAGATCGGCGGCGTGCACGGTGGTTTGAGACTCGGAAGAAAAGAAGCCAAACCGAGTGGGCTCGTTTGTATTCTGAAGAATTTGAACGAGCTCTTTCTCGTTCGTGATCTTGGGAACCTTCTCGTCTTCCGAGTCGGACGAGTCAGTCTTCTTGATTACACCAACCTCGGGGCTTTCTGCCCCCGGGCGCAAATCGCAGAAAATGCGCGGTTTCTTGCTCTGCGAGCTCATGCTGTGTTTGCGGTGACCAGCCGTCTTGGTGCCCTGAGTGAGAGCCACAAACTCCTCCAATTCCTCATAGTCAATCACCGGAAGCCGACCGATCATCGGTGGACGGCCTGGCTCGTCAAAGCATGCCTCCTCTGTGTCAAATGGCACATCGCCCAGCTGGGGTCGAATAGCACTAGCGTTGCTAAATGTTGGGCGGCGGTTGTTCGTGCCACCGGACACAGTGCGCTGCAGAATCGCTTCGAGATCGGGGGGCGCAATGCTGTCCAGGGTATTGGCACGTTCGCGGCGACGGGGGTCGGCGAAAGCCTCGACGGAATTGGGGGGAGAGGAGGAGCGAGCGGAGACAGACGAGGTGCAGGAAGCGTTGGCCAGATCATGATTCACAATGCTGATGCGACGAGGGGTTTGATAATTGGCAGCGGGGTCGACCGAGAAGCGTTGGGGAATCCCATTTGGATCATGGGATCGATCATCGTCAATGACGGCGTTTTCAAAGTCTCGGAAGACGGGACCATCTCTCAAAGCATCTTGCGCGTTGAGCAGGTCGGGACGCTCGGGGTATTCGATCGGAGCCTGAACATTATGAGGGCTGTAGGACCGCTCAATCGGGGTCGCAATGCGCGGCGGCGTCTGCATTTGGTGACGGTGGTCGTCCAATTCGGGGACCGGGGTGCTGTACCGGGTCAGGTACGTGTACCGCTCGGATCTGGGAGACTCGGACATCTCGATAGGAAAGTTTGGTTAAGCCAGATTGGATGTAGTTAGTGAGAAGATATTTCTCTTTGATAGCACGACGGCCGAGGCAGACGTCAGCCGGCGAGAGGTTCGTTCAAGGGTGACGGCCCTCCATCCATGAGCCAGACCCTATCCGTTCCTGAGGGCCTGGCGATACCGACAAACGTCTGACGGCCACAATAAGAAGTTTTTGTAAACCCAGTTAGGGGGGACGAGTGTCACCTCCGCAGAAGACCCGGAACTTGGGGCCCGCGAGAGGGTGGAGGAGAGAGGCCTTGGTGTAGCGAAGTCCCGCCAACTTGAAGTGGTGTGAGAAGGAGCTTGAGTGCTCCAGGATTGCAGATGTAAGAGAATTTGAGTATAATTCTCCTAAATCTCACAGGCAGTCTCCGGGATCAAGCTGTCCTAATTTGCGAAGTGGAGTGGCGATAATCGACGGCCGAGGCCAGGGGGACGTATTCGAGGTCTGCAGTGTTCACAAGAGACACAGAGATCTGAGCAGGATTGCGAAAGAAAAAGAAATCGTGTGAAAGGCACCTCAAGGGCGATTACAATGGGGAAGAGAGAGAAGAGAAAATAGTGGGGAGACCAAAGCTAGAAAATTTTCGCGAGCGGGTCGGGTCCCAGGCCTATACTTAGCCCAGTTTAGACCTAGACACTACTCAGCACTCTATAACTGACTCTCGTTAGTCTCAATGGCTAGGCACCAATGCTGTTAAATTCTCTTGCGGCATTTTCCAGAGCTACGCTGTACTCGTATTTCTGCGCACTGGTCCTTTGTCTTCAGGGACCATCCACGCACAAAAGGATCTTCACATGATTCTCATTGGATCTAGATCGAGCACTAGCATGGCACATATGTATGTGATTTGTCAAGGACGGTTCAACTTCAAAAGCTTGGAAGTAGGTACTTCAGTATTCCGTGGAGAACTTGGAAGTGCCAACTGGTTACACGTGAACAGAATCACTCGCCAGGGTAAGAAGTCCCCCCCTGCGCCCGGATCTCATCCATCAGGTCCATGATGTACAGCGTCTCCTCCCAGGGCATCACCCGACTTTCCTTTCGCCCCTCCAGAATATCAAGCGCGGTATTCTCAGCTTCCCAAACAAACCCACGCCCAATCTGAGGGAAGTTATACTTCTTCCCCTCACATGCTTCACGCGGGAAATAAGCCCGATCCGCGGCCCCCTCCTGTTTCTTCCAAACCGTGAAGGACTCGGGGATCGAAGCCGCTCTCCCTTCAACCTCAACGTACCCGTTGGTGCCATGCACCACGAGGAATACCTCGCCTGGGGCTCCGAGGGCCTTACTGGTACATGTACAGATTCCCTGTCGCCCGGATGAATACTGTAGAATAGCACTGGTGGTAATCTCCACCCCTACTTCGTGGGTTTGTTTTGCCACGATCTGAGGAAGCTCCTTCTGGTATCCAAGGGCCATGCGGCCCCAGGTGAGTGCATAGACACCGACATCGAGGAGGGAGCCCGCTCCAAGGCTCAAATCGCGGTGTCGGGAGGTGGCAGGAAGCGATGCGGGGTCGGCACCGTTAGCGAAATCGGAGAACACGCGGAACACATCCCCAATGATCTTCTGTTCATGGAGGAGCCGGCTGAGCTCCTGGTAGAGAGGTCGGTGTCGAACCCACATGGCCTCGGCGACGTAGACATTCTTCTTTCGTGCGGCATCAAATATCTCCCGTGCTTGTTTGGCGTTGATCGTGAAGGACTTCTCACAGAGGACATTTTTGCCGGCGTTGATGGCTTCCAAGCAGTCTCGATGGTGAAATGCATGCGGTGTGCCGATGTATGCAATATCGACTTCGGGATCATCATAGAGCTCTTGGTACGAGCCGTATACACTAGGCGTCTGATTTGGGCAATTATTCTTTACGAAGTCTTGCGCCTTTTGGGTGCTTGAGCTGCCAATAGCCTGGATAATATGATTGACTCGTTTCCCCTCCCATTCGAGGAGAATGTCTTCCACGAACCATGTTGAGATCATGCCGGTGGCTATCCTTGTTAGCACTGATCCTCGAAGGTCAGATATGGAACCTACCAACAATGCCCCAGCGAATCGTGGGTAGATCAGACATGCTGGATATTCTATAGAAGAGACGGGGCTTGTGTTTGAAGTATGGAAGGACTAGGCACAATCTACGTATTTAACCAATGTCGGCAACTTCTTAACCTGCTTCTCGGAAATCCGAACCCGATCTTGAGTGATCACCAATATTCCCACTTGCAACAATACCCAGGCTTGGATTACATTCAGATTGGAATGCAGGCCAATGGGGTCACCGGGGCAGGATTTCCAAAAGCGTTACTTTGGGCAATTTTCCCCGGATCGGAGTAATGTCCAAAATTCACGACAATCAAATACAAAAATCATTCGATATATACTATAGTTAAGTAATGTATATGTGCTTCCATGGATACCTAGGTAGCTCCTAGGTTCGCGAACATGCGTACTCCGTATAGATCGTGACAAAGGTTTGTGTTAATAAGACCCTTGGGAGCTCCACTCTCCGACGTCGGCCATATTATTTTTTTGGTGCGCCAAGACATAGGAGTCATATCATCACGACCATTGAATTCTGAGATTCTAGGACATCTGCAAAATGGCTTCCGTGATTAAGATCCCCTGCTCATCCGCCAACATTGGCCCGGGCTTCGATGTGATCGGCCTGGCACTATCTCTCCACCTGGAGATCCACGTCAGCATCGAGAACAAGCCCTCATCCCAACTCCCCTTCAACTGCGCCATCACCTATGAGGATCAAAGCAAAAGTGTCGAGAAGATCAGTCTCGACCCAGAAGTCAACCTGATCACCCGCGTGGCCCTTTATCTGCTCAGATGCCACAACCAGCGCGCATTCCCCGTCGAGACCAAGGTGCACATTATCAACCCGATCCCATTAGGGCGGGGTCTTGGCTCTTCGGGTACCGCTGTCGTTGCAGGTGTGATGCTTGGTAACGAGGTTGGCAAGTTAGGCTTGAGCAAGGAGCGTCTGCTTGATTACTGCTTGATGATTGGTACGTTGCACGCGGTCGTAAAATGTGTCTGTGCCTTAACTAACGATACCACAGAGCGCCACCCTGATAATGTGGCTGCCTCACTTTTCGGTGGCTTTGTTGGCACCTACTTGAATGAGCTCAAGCCAGAAGACATGGCTCGCAAGGAAATCCCGCTTAGCGAGGTTTTGCCTGCCCCCGCCGGTGGTGTTGACACCGGTATCAGACCCCCCGAGCCTCCCATGGCCATTGGCCATTACCGGAAGTTCAACTGGGCTCCCGAAATCAAGGCAATTGCCATTATCCCTGATTTCGTGGTCCCCACTGCCAATGCCCGCAACGTTCTGCCCGAGTCCTACTCAAGGGCGGATGTGGTACGTTCCCCAACGGCAGAAAGTAATGCAAATGGAAATCTAATTTTATCCAGGTCTTCAACCTCCAGCGCGCGGCTCTTCTCCCCGCAGCTCTGGGCAGCTCCCCTCCAGATCCTGACATGATCTTCCTTGCCATGCAGGACAAGGTGCACCAGCCGTACCGCAAGACCTTGATCCCTGGCTTGACAGAGATTCTCCAATTCATGACCCCTGCCACGCAACCCGGTCTTCTTGGAATTTGCCTTTCCGGCGCTGGACCCACTATCTTGGCTCTGGCGACGGAGCGCTTTGATGAGATTGCTGACCGCATCATCGCTCAGTTCGCTTCAAACAACATTACCTGCCAATGGAAACTGCTGGAACCCGCCCACGATGGCGCCACGGTGACTTATAACTAAGGTTTGAACACATGTCGTCATGAAATGGCCGAGTTGGGGTTCGGGCATCACAAGCGCGGTAGAGCATTGACCTCGAGCGAGTCAGCCGGGTCCACGGGTAACTTCCAAGGTTACTCCTTGCGTCGTGCATAGAAACATGCTTTGGATTTGACATCTTCACTTGTGTTGGTGCAGGTCTACTTCCAAGTTGCCCAGATGTCCACTCCATTCAGATGGCTCATGACATAAATGATAGAGAATGAGATCATGAACAACGTTATTCTGACTGTAGTAAATTCCACCTCCCTCCTCTTTACAATACCTAGGTATAATCCGTGGACACAAGCTGCCCTATCATTTAGACTGAAATTTCGTTTATCAGATAAAGATTGACCAGCATTAAGCTCCTACCACAATCCTTCTAAAATGACGGCTAACCTTGGAAAGAAAGAAGCTCAAGAGCACGAGAGTGAATGGCCCAAGAACAATGGATGGCGAGGCGACTCGGGAGTGGACCAGGTTGGCCTGCCAATGTACTTGCCCAGGTGATCCAGGTAGGCATGCAATACATGGGTAACATTGGAAGGAGGGTCGATTATCAAACTTATATTATGAGCACTTGAAGGGAGTATATATCCACCCGTGGACCTCGGTTGGTGTACCACATTAGCCCACCTGCCTAGGTGGGCACCCAACTCTAATTAGTATAATTTCTATCATTCACACCATATTATCAAGAAATAACTATCCCACAGTTTCCGTTCGATACTTGCGCGGCCCCTTCACTCGAGAAAGAGATAGTACCGTAGGTAGAAGATGAGCACTGGGTGGTGGTTACAACATAGCAGAAGCCCGGGTAAAAGTAGGACATGGCACATGTAGCACTCTCCTGACAGCTTACACAGCAGTCATATGCGGAAGCAGAGTTACCAACTTTGAACAGCTGACCTGGAACGTGTGAAAACATCAAGCTGTAGATGTATTTGCCCTGAAGGCTGCCAAAGTCCGCAGACAGAGGGGAACCGGCAATGTTGTTGGAGGCGCAAGCATCATAAAATACAGCAGTAGCCATGGCACCGATGGCAGTACTGGTGCTTGTTACGGTGCTGGTACTAGGGGAAAGGCTCAATGTCTCAGTGATGGTTGAGGCTGTGCTGTAACTCAGAGTGGTAGAGACATCTGAGGGAAGAACAACCGAGCTGCTAGTCACAGTATTTGTCACAGTGACTGTTGTAGTGGGAGTAGCAGCAGTATCAGTCACCGGGAACCCAGTGACTGTAGAGGCAGTGGTCGTCTTGATGACATTCTTCTCGTGGCACACCACCTCTTGGGGGAATTGGTAGTCATCAACCCAGGGAGCACACTCCTCTTCCTCCTCCAGCAGAGAGCGCTTGATAAGTGTAGCAGAGGGAGGAAGAGTGTCTGCAATTGGTGTGAAGCCAGCAGAGGCGGGAATAGTAGAGGTGCTGGTAAAGGTGGTGGACACAACAGCAGAGACAGTTGTGATCACAGGCAAGGGTTGCAGGGTCAAAGTACTGGTGTGGTACTCGGTGGAAGTGGTTGAGAATGTTTCAGTGACAGTGGAAGCAGTCGATATCACTGTAAGGGTCTCATAGTCTGTCACCATCGATGTAGACTCCGCAGGAGTGACGGTGACGGTGTCCAGGGTGGTTGTGAAGACCACAACTGGATGACGGTCATGGATAGTGTGAGTGCGAGTGATGGTAGGTACTGACTTCACCGAGCTGGTTCCAAGTCGTGTCTCACAGCTTGCAGTCATGACATGGGCTTGACTGCTAGCTGGCATAGAGCTGAGGGCAGGTATGCTGGCTGATGCATGGCCTAGCAGGATACCAGCCAAGAGGGCAAAACGAGAAATTGGCACATTCATTGTATGAATTTGAGTAGATTCAAGCCTGAATTGATGACGGACAGAACATACTAAATAGTTCTCTTATTGTGATGTGGAAATTGTCGGCCGGCTATTTTCACCGCGATCTATCTCAAGAGGCGAATTCAAGACAAAGCCACGATGCGGAGACCCAGGAGGCGTTAATGGCGTCGATAGTCTATTTGAAATTCAGGAACAGATCCAGGAACCAGTGCCCAATGCTCCACCTCAGCTTATCTTCGGCGTTTTTGTCTGTCGGGGTCGCCGTCTCACAACAACCAGGAAACCCTAAGCGAAAATGAAGTATATACAAGACAACATCTCACCTCTCTAGTGATCGAAAACTATTCCTTTTACTATCGTTGTTTTTGATTTCCCTTTATCAGTCATTCTTTCCTGATATTGGGCTGCCATTCCTTTATTTTTGACCATAGTCAATCGTTCAATCCTTTCGATTACTATCACGATGGGCCACTTTCTGATTCAAGGATGGTTACTTGCTGCAGTCTATGTGCAATTAAGTCTTGCAACAAGTGTTCCAGCCCCCGTTGGGTCATCCTCTGACTTAACTCTGGCTCCCACGTCTACTCCTGTGGCAGGACATCATCATCACCACCACCATTGGACTTACTCCTCGCGGCCTTTGCCTAGCCGCGGGCCATGCCGCGCCCGATCTTCATCGGCTATCCCATCCTCTTCTGCATCCCCCTCTTCCAGGATAGTTGCTTCGTCGTCCGTCATCGTGGTGTCTTCATCTAGTGCAGTTGTGTCATCATCGCCTACTGCCGCGCCTCATTCGAGGCCGATCCACAGTGTATCACCGCTGCCACAAGGTAGTACTCGCAGGCCTTTGGCTCGACCCAGCTCGAGCATTATCCCTTCTGGTGCTGCCTCTACTCCCGTCTTGAGCACTTCTGTTCCTCTTTCTGTACCAAGCTCTGTTCCTCATGTGTCTTCTCAGCCAAGTGCTTCTTCTCCTCAAGGGACCGCAACTGGATCGCAAGGTAGCACCTCTGCTTCTATCTTCAATTCGTCAGCATCTGTTTCTACACCCAGCTCTATCGACGGTACTTCTTCCACCTCAAGTGATCCTCTCACCCCGGGAGCTACCACCACTGAGGCTGGTTCAAACGTGTCCCAGAGCAGCTCTACTGCAGGTGATGCCGCTGCCTTGACCAGTACTCCCTCCGGAACTGCTCAGTCAACTGTTCTTCCTGGATCTCCCACACTAGAATTGACCACTTCTACTGTGCTTTCCACTCGCACTGCCACCATCACTGCCTGCCCTACCACAGTTCCTAACTGTCCCGCAACAGCCAAGACAACATTCGTGACTACAGAAACAATTGTAGTGTCTACCACAATTTGCCCTGTCACCGCCACACAGAAGAGCATTCCTGCATCCGTGACTACTACCGGAGCCAGCGACGATGGCAATGAAGACCACGGCTCAGATTTGACCACCTCCACAGTCTTCAGCACTCGCACTGCCACCATCACTGCATGCCCGTCTTCGGTGACAAACTGTCCCCTGCGCTCAAAGACTACCTACTTGACCACTGAGACCCTGGTTGTTTCCACAACTATCTGCCCTGTCTCCGAGGCTACCGCTACGGGTGCGGCCGCAGCAGCCAAGCAGACCGCTACTATGAATGTATCTGGCAATGGTGTCGCTTCAGAGCTTACTACCTCTACCGTCTATGCTACACACACAGCTACAGTCCTTGCTTGCCCCGAATCTGTGACTGACTGTCCTCTGCGGTCAAAGACTTTGTCGGCGACTACCCAGACAGTGGCTGTCGCGACTACCGTATTCCCGGTTCCTGTTGTGCCTACTACTGTTTCCAGTGGCTCCGGAACTGGCTCAGAATCCGGCTCGCAGTCTGTCCATGAGCTGGATATGAACGCGAATGGGGGTTCAAACACTAGCTCAGGAGCCGAGGCAATTCACACCACCACAATTGCTGTTGAATCGTGCTCCGAGGACAACATCTGTACTGGATATATCAACACTGTCCTGATAACACAGACTAGCACTGTGCTTTCCACTGCGGCACCATCCCCATTCAAACCCCACTGGACTACCAGTGTTACATCTGACCGCAGTACCACTATTACAGCTGATGTTTCAAGCAGCCAGCCCAGCGGAATGATCACCGCTACCACATCTGCCACCACTGGCGCTGTTAGTCCAGTATACACTGGAGCTGCATCCGCTGGTATTCAGAGCTCTTCCATGATGCTACTGGGTACTTTTATGGGGCTTCTTGGAGCAGCACTCGTTTAGGTGCTTTGTTTGTCATGTTGCTAGTATAATGTAGAGCTCATACTGTCCTTAATGTATAATATACACAGAATCCAGAGCTAATATTGCAACCGAATCGAAAATTTTGTACCAATCGAAATTTAACAACTCGGAAGCTGCCTCTCACCAATACCCTAAAGCTGACCTTAGGTGCAGCAACTGATTCTATGAAAGAATGACGAAAATGACAATGAAGCTCTCAGGAAGAAAGCCCCGAGTATTGATGGTAACCCAGACAGACAAGCAACGTACGTGGGATTATCTCCCCATATTGAGCACTCTAGAAGCGATTGGCATCTAGGTGCCAGTGAACATATAGATGTCGCCTATGCCATAGGCCCATAGTCACCGTGCGAGTCGGTAAGGTTCAAGGTTTTGGTGCTCCTCTATGTGGTATAAGCGACGAATCATCTATGTATGAGTCCTGATCATGGAGTTTTCAATCTGATATTATCACGTACACAAAGTCCTCAGTAGTTGTAGCTCAGACGCTGGTGAAGCCGGTGATGTGTGGAGAAGGCGGTGATGGCAGAATGACAGGACACCATTGCGATAAGATCAAGGGAGCCAACACTGAACTTGATCTTGACCACAACATTATGGATGAAATACTTGCTCCTATTCGGGATGCCTTTGAAGGCCAAATTGTACGCCTTTCGTCCTCTCCGTTTCCAGCCTCTGTCAACCGGGCATGCTAACCCGACTACTAGGACTTCCACGGCCAGCGCCTCGCAGAGCTCCTCTCTACGGTCTTACTGATTATCTCCGGGGTATGTAGCCAAGAATAAGCCTTTGGCAGAGTTGAGGCTAACGAAAACTCCCTAGGCCGTCAGCTTTATCATCGGATACACCTACAAAGACATCTACCTCACACTATGGTCCGGATTGGCGGGCACACTGTTCACAGCTTTCGTGGTCGTTCCTCCGTGGCCAGTATACAACCGCAATCCAGAGAAGTGGCTAGGATCAAAAGCAAATCCTGGGATAACCGTGGACGGAGTGAAAGTGCAATAGGCTAGGGGTGAAAGCAATGGACCAACCTACGAACTTGAGCCGGACTGAATAAATTGGAATCAATACGCTACCAGTGCCTGCGCCTTGAAAAGCCTATCGTAAAATGGGGGAAAATTCGTAGCCATTGCGTCTGTGGTATGGGCCAGATATCGTGACTTGCATCGTGTGTAAAAGAAAATCATTCCGGTGTCCACCTTTACCGGCCGTACTTCTGGAACTCCCAGTCTCGGTTATCCAATGGACAGACCTGTCGGGTCTTCAGCCACCTCGATATACAGTGGAAGTGGAAGGCGTGCTGAAGCGGTATTAGCAAAGCGTGGGTGACGGAGAGTCGAAGGGTTGTAGGATTCTCACATTGCAGATACCCCATGCAACGGTACACTCTTCGGTTGTGGACGAGCCCTGGTTTGCCTGGCATTCAATGCCTGAGGGTTGGTCAGTGTGAGGTTGCTGTAAGAGAGGTCTCTCGGGGATGACAGCCTCGGGGCGAATGCACGTACAAAGGTCCATGATGTGGTTTCGGCAAATGGCACAGTTATCGACAACAATGTCCCAGGCCCAAAGGGCAACGGCGTTCCACTAGGCTTTGTCAATACAAAGATATTCCAGCTGTGTCTCGGTGGTTGAGTACCTTCTTGACTTCAAACTTCTTCTTGTCGCCAGTGTCCTTGGACACAGCTTTGCCCTTAGAGGAGCTGGCGGCTTCTTTCATCTCCACGTCCGCCATGTTGTGCTAGTCAAAGACCGAGGTTGGTGAGGGTTTGGATTGCTTGGCGGGTGGAAGGCACTCTCGTAGCTGGGGTGGGGTGTTATCGAAACTGTGACTGACGTAAGTGAGGCTCCGTGGGTTTGGGGCAATGCGGTGCGATGGGTGATGCAGTGTCTTCTGGGCCAGGAGCTCAACATACCTAGAAAACACAAGGTACTCAGAATTCTCAGTTGATCTGTTTGAACCTGTTTGCTATATGTGCAAGGCTGGAGTGGCGTGCAGTCCTTAGTCATCTTTATCTGGAGATCCCCTCCCGTCTGCAGTCAATCACCTTTCCCTTCAACAACCATGATTAACTATTTCCTTCTCCGTCCCCCCTCTTTAGAGATGATTTCAAATGCTTCTTGATCTTTGTTTCACTCCGCTAATCTTAGACACGACGTTTCAGCGAGGCGTCTTATCTTCTTTTTCTTCTGCTTGAGAAACTCAATCTTGCGACTTGACTTCTTACACGTCACTTTCTCTGCTCTGCTTCTCCGGCGTTGCCATATTTTAATATTGTCGACACCTGCTGAGCAGTGATCTGACTCCTTCTACCAGTGGTCTTTGAATCATCTCTTACATCTCTGCCGTTTACTGCTTCGTCATAGCGTTGCTTTCTCAGCTCTTCTACACAACCGGCTGCCTATTTTTCAAGCCACCCAGTCGACATGTCGACCCAAGCTTCTCACCCCCCAACTCCGAAGGGTTCGCGCAACACTCGCAGGCCCCAGAAGAAGAACATGACCCCCCAAGCTCAGAAACCGGGACTCTCCACACCTCCGTCATCTCCGCCCGGCAACATCTCAGTCGGAACCCAGAACGACCCGTCCAATAACTTCAACTCTACCAAGAAGAAGAACGCTCCGCGGTCTACGAAGAAGCCTCGAGATTCCAACTCTCCTGCCACTCACAACGGTTACTACAATGGATATCAACACAATGGGTACGCTAATGGGCACCGAAGCACACCTAATCATACCGGTGTGACCTCCCCCCAACTAAAGGAAAGTGCCGCCTATGCAGGGCCAACCTTCCATGCGTCTCCTGCACCCTCTTCTCTCCCGATGCCCAAGTTCCTCCCCAAAGCCGCTCCAGATGCAGATCTCGTTCCACCTCTCGAGACCGATAGCGACAGCGCGGATCTTTCCCCCGAACCGGAGACGACTCCTTCCAAACACCGCAGCCGTCACCCACCCGCGAACCCGGAGCCGAAGTCTACTCCGCTCGATTTCATGTTCCAAGCTGCGAAGCAGGCCCAAGAAAACAAGGCCACCAGCAGCCCTGATGTGAGTCGCCCTCTTCGATCGCCTCAGACCGAGCCCACCGCCCGGTACCATCAGAATGGCATGTTCGCTTCCAACGCGGGTAATGAATTCGCGCGCCACTCCCCCATCGGACCCTCGTTTGCTCCGTCCTACCAGGAGCGCATGGCGGCACTGCGCCCTACCAGCATGTCTCAATCGCCTGAAGTCAGTGATGCTGAGCGCAAGGCGAAAAATGAACAGCTGAAGGACCTTCTGCTCAATCCGCGCCCCCAGAAGCCACCCTCTCAGGCTCCCTTTTCTCCAGTTTATGGGAACGCAGATGTCCGCCAGTCTCCAAGCTTTGACCGTGCATCTCCCAACTTCGACTACCGTCAGCCTGGAGCTTATGAAACCCGATCTGGTAACTTCGACACACGTCCATCAAATGTTCATCCATACGCGACCCCCAGTCGAGCGGCGTCTGGTCCTCCACTGGCGCATGGGAATCCTTTCGGCAACCCACCCCCACAGTCAAACCCTTATCTTCGGAACCCGTATCCGAGCCACAACTCGCCGCTGCGTGGGGTTGTCCCCGCGCCTCAATATCAAAGTCATGGAGCTGTCTCGAACGGGAACTCCCCTGGCCCGTATCCCAACCAGTACAGACAAAGTCCAAATCCCCCGGCGCCATGGCAGGTCTATGGGTCTGCTCAGCCGGTGCATTCAGCACCTGCTTTCCAAATGCCAACGCATTCGTCCTCGCCTTTGCCAGCCCAGGCCATGGATACCCAGCAGATTGAGAACGACATTCGGCGCGTCTTGAAGCTTGATGCTTCCTCGACCGTCGCCTAGTGCCTAACGGTTAGGCAAACTGGCACTCTGTGCTCTTTGGTTTCCTTTCTATCGCTCGCTCTTTCTCCCCTTCTTTCTTTGATATGCTTTTTTTGTATCTTTCCCCTGCAAACTGTCATTTTTCTTACCTCTTGTTCCATGACTTTCTCGCGACTTTTCCTTCCTTCTTCCTATCTTATTCATTTGCATTGGTATGGGCATCCTTGACTGGTCCAAGGTCCCTCTGGTTTTTAGTTCATGCAGGTGCTTGGTGTTTCTTCCCGTGGGTCTCTCGCGGTAATGCTTACCATGATGATGATACACGGCACTGGCTGCTACATTGACGAGGCGGTGATTTTGATCTAATTCTCCATCTTTCGGCGTTTTCCAGTGTGTTGCACCTGGTTGGACAGTCCAGCCGAGGATGGCTACGATATGCATACATTGAGGACTATGCATTCGCTTTCCTTTATCTCATTTCACCCTCCCTTTGTTGTTTTCCTTTCCTGGTCGAGCGGCCCCCTGTTTCTCGGGTTTCTGCGTTCATGGGTTTTTCATCCGGCTTCCTGTCATTCGTTTAGCAAATTACAAGTCGGGTTTTCCCATGCTGTTGATATTACTCACGTTGGTGCTCGAACAGTCATCACTACAGTAGCTGTATGAATCTGCAATTAGATGAGATGTGAGTCCATTCCAAGTTCGAAATTCTAAGGGTTGTACAGTACTAACAGTAGTATTCGTAAATGTACCCATGTTCCATCCATGGATGTACAGGACATATGTTCCTCGTACGGAATACTCTTTTACACATTACTACTAGTAGATTGTGCCAAATGCCAAGCCCGACGGCGAATGACACTAACCAGTGGCAGAGTCCACTCTCGATGGCCGATCCCAATCACCAGGGTCTTGACCTCTGAGTTTAAAGAGTTTTATAAGAAAAGCCGTTCTGTCCCACGTTCTATTTTTGGCCCACCTTTTCTCCTGATGCTTGGGCCCGAGGATACTAGTATGTACTACGGAGGGCGCACTACAGGATTGCCATTACCCCTGCTAATTAACGGAACGCCTCCATATCCACTCTCTAATTTGGTGTCGTTTTACTGATTCTACCTCGGTATTAGTCTCATGGATAGGATGGCAAATAAGGGGGAAGCTCCCACCTATGATAAGAGACTATGGAGCACCCAGGTACGAGTCCCTGTACTTCGTATACGTTCGGCACTTGAACTCCATCTGGTCGATCTGTCTCGGGCTTGATGAAGCTTAAATATAACATGACAAGTTCCATTGAACCTGTAATAATCCCCGGAGTCTGAAGTGCTCCGTAATCAGAAGCTCATGGCGGTCGAATGCAGTACATCGACATCATAGGGATCTGCATACTTCAGGCGCTGAATGCGGCCAGGGGGTACGAAATAGAAAGAACATAACACAATCATAACAGAGTCATAACACACGCGAGATTTTGCATTCAGCAGAAGGTGTTTAATTTAAGAAGAGAAAGAGAGTCCGGGATATCTCCACCGTCTCCTTACCTAATTTTGAATTCTGGAACGCCCCTGCCCTTTTCTCTCTGATAGTCCATGGTTGGTTTTTCTCCTTGCAACCAACACCATGGCGAACATGTTGGTCTCTCCTATCCCTGATGCCTCTGGATATGCCACTGACTGATTCAGGTTTACTTCAACATGGCGCTCCTTTTGGCACACCATGACCTCCAATGACCGGCATGCCTCCCATGATTCTCCCTATCGGACAGGGCAACATGTTCCGCTCAACCAAAGTCGCCACGAACCCCTCACATCCATCGCTACCAGCGCAATCGAATCCCGCCCTGATCTCTCCAACCCCTACGATGATGAGCCAACAAAAGGTTCCGCCAATGCACAGGCCACCGAATGGACTGGCTCCCCGGACGAGGGCTCCCCATCCCGCCCCTACTCGCCGGGGATGAGGTCGGTCGCCTCCCAGAAGCGGAGGTCCAACGACCAGGGAGAGGGCGCCCCAGAGATCCAAATGCAAAGTTTCCATGACGGAGCACCCCCACCGCCACCGGTCGCCCACTCCTGGAGGAAAATCGAGCGGTGGTTAGAACATAATTACGAGGAACTCCTGGACCAGCTGGGTGAGGGATGTACCCAAAACGATATTAATGAGTTGGAGCACGAGCTGGATTGCAGTCTTCCGCTGGAACTACGGGAGTCCCTGATGCATCACGACGGTCAGGAGCGTGGTGGCCTCCCCACCGGTGTCATTTTCAGTGCTATGCTTCTGGACTGCGAGGAGATTGTCCAAGAATGGCGCAACTGGAAGACCGTCAATGAAGAGTATTTCGGAAGCTCCAACTACATCCAACCCCCCGTGTCCAGCTCTGCCGCAAGTTCCTCCACCGCGCCCCCAGCCACCATGTGGCGCTCGGATCTGCTCGAGCGTCAGGACTCCCAACCGCCCGGCGCTGTCCAGAAAGCTTACGCGCACCCCGCGTGGATCCCCCTCGCCCGTGACTGGGGTGGCAACCACCTCGCGATCGATCTGGCACCCGGGCCCGCTGGAAAATGGGGCCAGGTCATTATCTTCGGCCGAGACTACGACTGCAAATACGTTGTATCGCGGTCCTGGGCCACTTTCCTCGCTACTTTCGCTGATGACCTCTGCAGCGGCAAGGTCATTGTCGACGAGGAGACGAACGAGCTGAAGCTGAAGGAATTCAAATCCCAGAATGTCGAACCCCCATACCTGGAAATCCTGCGCTGGAGAACGGATCAAAAGTTCGGTCGCCGCGCGCCTCGCCGGAAGGGCCCTGCCAATGGTCTCGGTGTGAACCCCTCCGGCAACAGATCTAGCAGCCGGGAATCGCCCTACGGCAGCCCTACACGAGCCGAGGAGCGCGGCCGCTCTCCGCACCGCTTCTCCAAGGGTGGGAATGCCCAGAGCCCCAAGACGCCATTTGGCGTGTCCAGTCCTCTCGCCCGCGTGACGGAAGAGACTACCAGTCCCATTGTCACGGCCGGTCCCGCGATCTCTGAAGACCCCAAAGAAAACGGAAAGGAGGCTCAGAATGAAGATCTAATGGAGGTGACCACGCCGCAGGTCTCCAACAAAGAGAATGAAGGGTTCTCCAAGAATGAAAAGAACGAGAAGGAGGACAAGGCAGAGAAGGAGAAGTCCGACGCGGACTCTGTGATGGATTCGGAGGTCCTCGGTGAAATGAAGAACGTGGCTATCTAGTCCATCGTTCTACGAAATGACCTCCGTGTATAGATTCCCTCACGGCATTTGTTGTAACTCTAGGTCTGCGCTCGTTCAGTGGTATTTTGTGTAATTCTATGATGACCGTGGTTTTTCCTTTTTTTTAAAAAAACTTATTTACATTGGTATTCTTTTAGAGACAGGCAAAGATCTCATCTGGCACAGCTTCATAAATACATTAATCCCAATCTCCATCGTCATCGTCACCTCGGTTTCTCACTCGAGGGTTCGCACTGCGAATCCCTCTCTTCTTGCCTCGGCCCATATCAGCCTCCTCATCACTCTCCTCTCTCAAATCATCATCATCGTCCCCACTTCCTAGCTTCACACTGGTCAAGATTCCCTTCACCATTAACCTTTTCTCAAGCACCCGGACATCAAACCCCTCCACCCCATCGAAACCTCTCGCCTCAAGCCCTTCGAATCCAACCACCCGATCAGCGCCAACACCATCCTTAAACCCAATCACGCACGGCAGGACCCGAATCCCCAGCTTCTCCGCAATGAACGGCGTATTGCGCACATCGACGCGCGCAAAAGAGACCTCGAAGTGAACGCTCGCTAGCTCGCCGAGCCGCGTGTCCATGACCGCGCACCGGGCGAAATCAGGGTGCGCAAAGTGTACGAGGCATTTGCTGGTGCGGGTTGTGAAGTCGAGAACGCCCTGGTCGTTGTTGAGGGTTGGGTAGATCTCGTTCGTTAAGATGCTGGCTTCTTTTTGGGAGTGGTTGTTCTTGGTGGAGGCGAGCTCTGCGTTTAATTGGTTTATCCGCGCGTCGCGGTAGATTGTGTCGGATTCGGCCTCGAGGGCTGCGAAGAGCTCGTCGTCTGAATCGGCCATTGTTGGGTGGTGGGAGGTTGGAGGGGTTGTGTGTGGTTAGGGGTGGTTGCTCCACTGGTTTGCGGATGGTTTGCACTCGGGTAGGAGTACGGAGTATTCGATAGTTAGCTATTTGGTGTTTTTTTTGGCTCAGAGTATCAATTGGACTTATTGGCAGGTTAATCGGGGATGCATGTACTAATAAGCAGCGGTGAACATCTGTCTTTACACTTGGGGAATATCCATGGATGGATACATAGACGCATACACATCTTTGTTTCAGTATATTGACCTTGAAACATTTCTCATTGCAGTTCAGCATTGTTTGCTTTATGACCGGTTGAAGCTCACCCAAGGGGTGGTCTTCGTTTACTACTGAACTTCATCGATGGCACGAGATGTTCGATACATTCATTGATATCCATGGATGTACAGTAGTGAATACGCTGTCGATAAGTGAACGCTTACACGTTACCTTTCCGTACAAATTCCCTTCAGAGCACAGTCACCAAAGTAGACGCAAAGGAGAGAACTAGACCCTCTCACAGCCCCTTACTCGACTATACTCCGTACTCCGGTGTTTCAGAAGAAAAAAAGAGTCGGCCTCACATCCATTGCTAATCTTAGCCTCCCAAAGCGGACTAGTGTGAATCCCCACCAATCACCGGTCTCCCCCTGATTAGGTAAATGCTTGCGGCGAAATCTGTTGTTCTCCCCTGTGGTTGTTTTCGAGACTGTCACCTTTCTACTCTCCACTCCCGACTCCTGATTTTCCCTGGGTTTCGATACTCTATCTGTGTTCAACATGGCCGAAGACAAGAAATCCGACTATGCCATTGAGATGGGCAGCATGGGCAAGGACTTGGGCAATAAAGAGTTCGAAGCCGCGCCGCCTCCAACTCCCTCTCCTCGCGCCAGTCCCAGCGCCATGTCGAACAACCCCGCCCTTCCCGTTCTGGCCTACTGCGGTTCCTCGATCATGATGACGGTCATGAACAAGTATGTTCTGTCCGGCCTAGACTTCAACTTGAACTTCCTCCTGCTTTGCGTCCAGGTATGTGGGATCCGTGTATGAGCATTGGAGGCCGATAGCTGATCCTTCCAGTCTTTGGTGTGCATTGCAGCAATCCAAACATGCAAGTCCATGGGACTCATCACATACCGTGATTTCAGCGCCGACGAGGCCAGAAAGTGTACGAATTTCATGGCGCCGAATCGGAAGACGTGGAAATTAACGAGGCTCTTTTCTTAGGGTTCCCCATTACGCTGCTCCTGATCGGCATGATCTACACTGGATCCAAGGCTCTTCAGTTCCTCTCCATCCCCGTCTACACGATCTTCAAGAACTTGACCATCATCCTGATTGCCTACGGAGAGGTCCTCTGGTTTGGTGGCTCTGTCACCAACCTGACCCTCTTCTCCTTCGGCCTGATGGTTTTCAGCTCTCTCATCGCCGCTTGGGCTGATATCAAGCACGCCGTTGAGAGCAGCGGTGACACCTCCAGCAAGGTCTCCACCCTGAACGCCGGCTACGTCTGGATGTTGATCAACTGCCTGTGCACCTCGTCTTACGTGCTGGGCATGCGCAAGCGCATCAAGTTGACCAACTTCAAGGATTTCGACAGTACGTGATTCTCCATTAGTCTCCAAACCCATGCTCACAGGTCTTTAGCCATGTTCTACAATAACCTCCTCTCTATCCCCGTCCTGATTGTCCTGACCCTCCTTGTCGAGGATTGGTCCTCTGCCAACCTTGCTCGTAACTTCCCCGAATCCAACCGCGACGGTATCTTCTTTGCCATGGTCCTGTCCGGTGCCTCCTCCGTCTTCATCTCCTACACCTCCGCCTGGTGTGTCCGCACCACCTCCTCCACCACCTACTCCATGGTTGGTGCCCTGAACAAGCTCCCTATTGCCATCTCCGGCCTCGTCTTCTTCGACGCCCCTGTCACTTTCCCCAGTGTCTCGGCCATTGCTGTTGGTTTCGTCAGCGGTATTGTCTACGCCGTTGCCAAGATCAAGCAGAACTCCAAGCCGAGAACCGGTGTTCTCCCCACCCCTGTCAGCGCCAGCAGCCAGAGCATGAGAGATTCGCTGCGCTCTTGATTCCCAATTCGCATTAAAAATCGCTTGCATGTGACATTATGATTCACGTTTCATTGCAGCCGACTGGTTTGGTCTGGGGTGTGCTGTTCTTTTCTTTTCCCCCTGTGCCTAGGATCTCCTCTGGGGCTTTCGCCTCTTGGCTGGTAGTATGATTTAGTAATTTTCCCTTTCCCCAGGTCATAGCATTTTTCAATGTATATAGCTATGCCCTTGCCAATAGAACGTCTCTCTAATATGAACGCTCAGAGTTTGCGTGTAGGAAGCAGCTCAACGAAGTTGATGTCAATTTCTGTTTTATTCCTCGTATTGTTTACCTTGATATACAAGACCAGAATAAGCAATTGATTCTACCTGGTCAGACTTCACATACAAGGCCATTGCGATAAAGAAATACCAGGACTAGGTATAAACATCCAACACTGGAAGTCCTGCAGTGTTGTAGTTCGGAACTTTGATTGGCCGAGCTAGACCCGCGGTTTTCACTTCATATATTCTCCAGAGCCCCGATCTCCAACTTCACATACGAAGACATGCCACGCAACACCAAGAGAATCAGAGAAGCGCCACGCTCTCGGGGCAAATCGTCCGGGCCTCCGCGCAAGGGTCCTGCTCCCAAACCCCAGGGTAGCAATGCCCAGAAGAAGGGCCCTGTACAAGCAAACCAGAGACCAATCGTTCCGTTCTTGAGGAAAGATCGAATTCTGCTAATTGGCGAAGGTAAGGAATTGCTCTAATCACTGCACTTCTGGCGTTATTGCGAGATCAAAGTTCATGCATCCAACTCAAAAAAATCTTGAATATCAAAAGCTAACCCGAACCCAAGGCGATTTCTCGTTCGCCCGCGCACTGGCAGCACAGTACAAATGCCCCAATATCTGCGCAACAAGCTACGATTCAAAAGAGACTCTTTTTAGCAAATACCCACAAGCCGAAGAAAATGTGGAAACCATCCTATCAAAGCCAGACCAAAGCGATAGTGACAGCGACGAAAAAGAAGTCAAGGACGACGAAAATGAGAAGGAACCTCAATCTAAAGTCCTCTACTCCGTCGACGCCCGCAAGCTAGGTTCCCAGACTGGCGGGGGCAAAGAACTGCTACGTGGATTTGCGCGCCGCGAGCGCAAACGTCCAGCCTGGTTCAATCCCGCTACGCCTGATCCGCCGTACCAGAGCGGGGGAGCATGGGATGTGATCTGCTTCAATTTCCCGCATGTTGGTGGCCTGTCGACGGATGTGAACCGACAGGTCCGAGCGAATCAGGAGTTGCTGGTTGCTTTCTTCAAGGCTGCTGTTCCTCTTGTTTCTAAGCCGCCTCCTTTGATGGAAGCGGATGAAGGGGAGTATGAGTATGAGGATGGAGAGGGGAGTGATGAGGAAGATGATGAGGAGTCAACTACGGGGAATGGGATTAGGACTGGTCATGGTCAGATTCTTGTTACATTGTTTGAAGGCGAGCCGTACACGCTTTGGAACATCAAGGACCTGGCTAGACATGCTGGACTGGTGGTTGTCACTAGTTTCAAGTTTCCGTGGAGCTCTTATGAGGGATACTCCCATGCGCGGACAGTGGGTCATATTGAAGGGAAGGATGGGGAGAGGGGTGGGTGGAAGGGGGAGGATCGGGAGGCGAGAATGTATGTATTTGAAGTGAAGCAGAAGGAGAAGAAGAAGGGGAAGAAGAGAACCAGGGATGATTCTAGTGATAGCGAGTAATGGTTTGGAATTGCAATTCTGGCTGGCATCGCGAAAACATGATATTTACATAATATAGACCTTCTTCATCTCGGATTCGTCAAAGATCTCGCCTGTTGTTGGATCTTTGACCTTGCCTGCTTCAATTGAACCGATCTTTGTGCTCATTTCGATCAAGCGTTGCTTTCCGTAGACTCGCCCGTTTGGAAGGACGATTGGGTCACTCTCCACGTAGCTCTTGGAGTGATGGGCATATGGCATTTTTCGGGCTAAATCGTTGAGTTCGGTGGAGCAGATGGGGCACACAGACACTGAGGTCGATTGCGCGGTGGAACTGGACGATGCATATGCAGAGTGGCACAACGGCGTCTTGAGGGCCGACAGTCCCGCAGAAAGCGCAATGTGTAGCAATGGCTGTGAAGGCAACGAAAGCAGCTCATGGTGAGTCCGTACAAAAAGATTCGACAGATAAGCCCAGCGATCCAACGAGAATAGGGTCTGGACTTTCATTAGTTTTCATCTCCAAGATGTCGGCAAAGGCCATGCCTACCTTATAAGGCTCTGCTCTCGTGTCTTGTGTGAACACAAGCAGTCCGGCTGCGCGCATAATCTCTGTGTTCTGGGATTGCTGATTCGATACCAGATACTTCTTAGCGTGGACTATGGCTTCAACCTTCTTGGACTTGTCCTGGGTCCGGACCATTTCGATGTATTGCTGCAGGCGCAGCTCGAATTCGAGATTGTGCTTGGTTTTGATTAGCATCGACTAACATAGCCTGGACCTCGCAAGTACACACCTGGGTCTTCTTCAATGCGGCCTTGTTCTCGCTGCACCACTGCAGGGCTTCTTTGGTTTCTCGCTTGTGCAAGCTCTGGACCACTCGTTGACACTGAGTGAACACACCAAGATCCACCAAATCCTCGATGCCTCTTTCCTTCGCAAGCTTTTGGGCACTGTCCGAGTAGCCTGAGCGTAGCATATGGTCCACCAGCAAGCGGTCTAACCGGACCCGCGACCATTGGTCATATTTGACGTCGGCCAGGTTCAGAATCCTATGCAGCGCTTCAAGGTGTTGGATACGTTTGCGGGTTTGGTTGTGGATCTTCTTCTCTTCCTCCTCGAATGCCTCCATCTTGCGCTTCAGGCCTTGCATTCTGGAAATCATGGCATCGAGAGAGGCGAGCGTCTGGTCGGGGGTTTGTGTGTTGGAAAGCGAGGCATTGGCGGTGTCCCTGAGCGTTGGAATGACATATTCTTTCTCGCGCTCTACAGCTCTTTGTACAGACTTAAAGTTTCGGCGGGCGAGCTCGTGGGGGAGTCGGAGAAGCGGTTGGTCCTATACGTGTGAGAACAATTCCGTCACATGCGGCCATGCGGGATGACATACTAAGATGATGTGGCTCTCTGGGTTGAGCTTGGTAGAAGTCAGCTCGGCCATCTTGTTGGATCTCTGGATTATTGCCAGGTCTAAGAGGAAATGAAAGGGTCTTTAAATACAGCAATTTCGCATTATTGGACAGCGGGGAATGCGGAGGCTAAAGTCACGAGAGAAGCTTGGGCCACACCTGCGGACCGTTTTTGGGTCGCAGTGCGTGGCAGTACAGTCCTTACATGGGCTGACAGGGCGTGGCGGTAGCAGTGACAGGGGGCTGCGGACGGGTTTCAGTCCGCAGGCTCCAGTCCGCAGTCCGAGGTGCTCCCTAGGTGCCCTAGGGCAATTCACTGGTTTACAGCATAGTACGTGTATAGTACGTTCTACTTCGACTTCTGATCTCTCCAGATGGTAAAGAATGAAATAGATTCACAAGTCTTCAATATGAAACTCTGGAACTGACTAACAAATTTCCCTTTTGACCCAGGACTCCGGAAATACAAGCAAAATATGGTACAGGAAAATGGTCTTCCTGGAGTGCGTTTAGTCGCTGTCATCGCTATCCTCCTGCTTGGACTTCCGACGCTCCTTCTTCTCCTTCTTCTCCTTCTTCTTCTTCTTGCGCTCGGCCTTCTCCTCAGCAGTCTCGCCGTCGTGCTTGCGCTTCTTGCTGTCGGTCTCCTCCTTCACGGGCTCCGGGGAAGACTCCTCCTTGGTCTCCTCGACCTTGGGGGCAGGGGTGGCAGCGGCGGCGGCCTCCTCGCTACCCAGAGGGGCGTTGAAGTCGGTGTACTCGGTCTTCCACTTGGCGGGGGTGTTCTCGTTGGCGCGGCCGTACTTGTCGAGAGTACCGGCAGACTTCATCTTCTTCTTCTCGAGAGCGGTGGGGCCAAGTCCCCAGCGGCGGGGGTAGAGGTCACGCTCCATGATGCAGCGCTTGACCTTGGCAACGACACCGTGGTCACAGGTGGTGAGTTCGACAGTGGACATCTGAGCGATACCAATGGCAATGGCCTCTCCCTTGGTGGTCATGAGAACGACCTCCTCGTGGCACTCAATGCCAGCCTCTGCAAGAAGTTTAGGTTAGCAAAGATACAGGGAACGGGCTCTAGGGACTTATCATACCGTAGCGGAGAAGACCGGGGATCATGAGCTTAGCACCGTAGCAGACAGCGTTGACAGCGCTGTCCTTGACGACAATACGCTTGTAGCCGGTGAGCAGGGTCTCCAGGGGGCTGATGACCTTGCGCAGGTAGCTCTCGTCACGGTTGTTGTCGTAGACCCACTGGGCGTCCATAACGTCGTGCAGAGTGACCATGTCCTTGGACTCGTCCATAGCACCGGATCGCACACGACGAAGTTCCTGCATGTGTGCGCCAACACCGAGCAACAATCCAAGGTGAACACAGAGAGTACGGATGTAGGTACCAGCCTCACAGCTGACCCAGAAGACACCGAGGTGGCGCTCATTGTCAAACTCGTAGTTCTTGCTCTCGTGGATGGTACGGATACGGAGTTGACGCTTGACGGCAGAGATCAAAGGAGGGCGCTGGAAGAGCGCACCGGTGAGGGTCTCCAGAGCGCGAACGAACTGGGCCTCGCCACCGGGAATCTTGTCGTGGAGGCGGATAACACAAACGTACTCCTTACCGGCGCCCTGCTGGGACTTAACCAGACGGGTGGCACGGTCAATGCAGACGATCAAACATCCGGTGACCTTGGGATCGAGGGTGCCACTGTGACCAGTCTTCTCAGATCTATAGACAGAGATATTAGTCGAATACTTCTCGAAAATTGGGATGAATTGGGGGTAAATTACCGGAGGATACGCTTCATCCAAGCCACGACTTCGTGACTGGAAGGGTTGGAGGGCTTGTCAAGGTTGATGACACCGGAGCTGATGTATGACTTGAGATCACGGCTCAAGGGAGAGGAGCCAGCAGGGATAGGAGTGAAGTGACCGGTACGGACGAGCACTATGGGAAATTGTCAATGTCGGCTAGTCAAGAATGGAGATTGGGGAGCATACGCTTCTCATAGTTCTTCAGCAGGAGCGGCCAATCCGCAGTGTTAACGGATGGAACGGACGCTTCAGGCTTGATGGCGTAATCCATCTCCGAGGTCTTGACGACTGCCATTTTGGTGGTTGACTGGTACAAGAATTGCGCGGTGAAGACCCCGAAGAAAAAGTCGATGGAAATTTTGCGAGTGCGGAAGCTCTAGCGCCTAATCGGGTTTAGCCCGTTTCGAGAAAAAGTTATGTAATCATGGCGCTGAGGTAATATTGTAGCCTGAGGCAGAGATACCATGGCCCCGAGATTGTTCTCTGCCCGGGTGACTTCCAAGATTCCCAGGTGAGGTCTACGGGTGTATGTCTCCTGTTGATCAATTTAGTATGCGATTTGACACCTCGTCTAAGGTTGCCTTGGCATTTGTATTGAAAGCAGGATTCGATGCTCGAAATATTATGAATCAATGAGTTTCTAAGACTAATACTTCCCAGGCCTTCACTTTGTGCCTTGAAGAAATCGAAAATTGGAGTCAGTTGGGAGCAGACGTGCAAACACGAATTCTGCTTAGCCGCCAAGTCTTCGACCAGCGCCTCTGCCCTTCCAAGAGTTGGAAGAAGCCCAACCCCAGGATGAACCAGATGTCGAGCCCGATGATGGACCCTCAGATGGCCTAGACCCCTGTGAAGCCCATCCATACGATCGGTTTCTGTCATCCTCGCGTTTGAAATACCTCTCCACGAAGGCAGGGACGGTGATGAAGTTTCTACCGCCGCCGTAGACGGGGTAGATGTGCGTGAGGAAGTTGTATAGATGAGCGGTCGGGATGCCCATGGCTTCGACCAAAGCGACTTCCCAACCGCGGACGACCATGGTGATCAGGAGCATTGCGTAAGGCAGGGCAACGACAGGAATGTCAACGAACATAAAATGAGTTCTTTGTCCACGGTTCAGTTGCGAGTAGCTGTAAATGAAGGCCATGATCATGGCTAGTCCCGTTAGTGGATTCAAGTTGAACGGGTGAGCTCCTTACGTTGGGTGAAGATGACCGCCCCAAAATACCAGCCTGCGGTGATCTTGGGAAAGTTAGCTTGATATGGACTACCGGGACAATAGTGGTGCTGGGCAGAAATGTAGAATCGATGTATTGGAATAGATGTATATAGAAATGTAGGGCACCCTCGATACCAACGGATATACAATCACGCCAGTGTTTCAAAGGAAATCCCACCGTTCCCACACCTGCGCAGCACCTAATTTTGCGAATGTGGTGGTGCCACGCGGATGCAGGGGTGTTCTCCCTCGCCGTCAGGAACCGCATTCAGCTAGATTTCGAAGCTGGGCGGGCAGTTATGGTGAGGGGATATGGCAACGCGATCAAAGAAAGGAATGCAGTCTCTACCACTTACCATCAGGTTGACAGCTACAAACAACAGATAGATGAAGAATTCGCCGGGAGCCATGCTGTTCTCCATGGCACTGCCGTATTTGTATACTGTCGCGACATTAGCGCGCGCGTCAACCCAGGCCGATGCGATGCATACTGAAGTAGACATCAAAGGCGAATTCCAGCTTTGGTCCAGTTAGTAAAAACGGCGTGAACAGTCGATAGATCTGCGGCGGCCAAGCAAAGATCAAGCTCGGAGCGAAGACGGCATAGCCCGCCGACAGTAATTTGCCATGCATTAAGGCAGACTGAACGAGCGTAAGGGCTGTCAGGGTCCTGGATGACACGTAAGTAAAAGCTCGAGATCTAGGGCATGATCATGCTTACCTGGAGACCGGGGGAGCTGCCCAAAAAATATCCATTTTGAATGAACGAATTTCGGTCAATTGATCACAGGGATCAAAACAGCTCAAGGGTAATTGGGAAGAGGAAAGAAGAGAAAGCGGAAGTGGAAGTGAAGAAAACGTGTGCGCTAGCTTCCGTGGAGTTTCTCCGAGGTCCGTGATTGCATCACTTTCCATCTGGTGCTCCGTACTTCGATGTCTATACTTCACACGTTCATTCCCAGAGTTCTGTATTTACTATACGTGTTTGTATTTGATTATGCATATATGTGCAGATGTATGCCTGTAGGCATATGGGTCCACGGGTATCTTACTACTTGGTTCGAACATTACCTCGAACAGCCAATCCTCCATTCGCATCTTCAATCCACACGTCCCAAGCTCCATTGCCATTCTTGGGCTTCCCGCAAACAATGAGCTCTTCCTCAACAAAAAGAGGCGCTATGTTTTTATACTCAATAGCGCTGATGTGCAGGTTCAACTGACCAAGCTGGTGTTGTACGACACTTAACAGAAGTGTCAGCGTCAATGGGCCATGCACCAAGAGATTCCGGTATCCCTCTTCGTTCTGGGTGTAGCCTTTGTCGAGGTGGATAGAATGCGCGTTGAAAGTCAGCGCCGAAAATCGGAACAGCAGCGATTTAGTTGGCATGATGGCATGGCGGAACGTCGCGTCGGAGGGTGCTGTATTCTGCTTTAGCTCGTTCTCTCCTAGAATGTAGGTGCACCTACGCTTGACAATCCTCCTGGGCTCCCCGAATCGAGCTTTATCAGCCTCAATTTGCGCGCTGGTTTTCAAGCGCATGAAGATAAGATCCCGGTTCTCTATGACCGCGGATTCCCCTGCATCGGCTTCATTTTCTGTCCAGATCCGATTCCATATCTGCTCCTCTGTTTCCTGTTCGGAAACTGTCCCAACGCGCCGCTCAATTGTGACTATCACTTTCTCGTCGCCCTCCCGGCCCTTGACCACCACATTGCGGATAGATTCCAGACACACTGCGCGACTCCCGTCCAAAGGGAGATTGGGAGTGGGGAACCTTAGATTTCCTCCTGCCCAAAGACGTCGGTTGAACGGTTCGCCGGGTGTATGTAGTGTATCTGTACAGTCTGGAAGCAGCTGCGACAGGGTCACCTGCGGAGGAAAGTAGATCAGGTGGTGGCCGGCCGGTAACGGAGCGGGGTTCTGGATCGAGGGTAGAGTCGCACTGACCGGCGAAGAGAGTGGCAGTAGGTCTCGGAGGGTCAAATTAAGGAGATGTGACGGTTGGGGGTGTAAATAGTCATGGGTCAACGGGAGGGTCCTGGTGGTCAACTCATGGTGCAAACGTTCGGAGAGGGAAGCGTAACCCCGCGACGCGCCCCGGAACGGAGTCCAGAATACACTGCAAGGTACCCGGCCTCTCGAGAGCAGACGTCCGGTCTTCATGTAGCAAGGTGTGGTGTCGAGCGACTTGTACGTTCGGCATTGAAGCTATATGCCGCGTTTGACCTGTTTGTCTGCCGCTCTTTACCCATCCCGGAATCGATGCAGCCCACACCGCTCGAATAGAGGGCTGAGGTGGACTCAAGAGCAGACTAGTTCACTAGCTGATATTGAGATCGATGGATTCCGATCTCATCTCCACTCCCACAAAAGCTTTTCCTCAATCATGGCTTTGAGAGTGGCTTTCCTAGGGCCGCTGGCGTCCTTCTCGCATCAGGTACATTGAACCCCGCGCCGAATGCAACATAATCTAACCCCTGACAGGCAGCCGCAGAGTCATTTGCCCGTCTTTCCGCCGATCTGCAACCAAAGAGCTCCTTTACCGATGCCTTTGCTGCGCTTCAGCAAAACGAGGTTGATTACGCCGTCATCCCGTGCGAGAACTCAACCAATGGCTCCGTTGTCCAGACTCTAGATCTACTCGCAGATCGAGACAACTCATATGCAGACGTCAAAGTCTGCGGCGAATACTATCTCACTGTACACCATTGTCTACTGGCGCGCAAAGGCTTATATCCCAGCTGGTCCGAATACGATGGCTCGATAACCAAACTGTACACGCACCCGCAAGCGTGGGGCCAATGTGAGACATTCCTTGGGAAATACTTTAAAGGCGTCGAGAGACAAGATGTCTCGTCCACTTCTAAAGGAGGCGAGATCATCTCCAAAGACACCAAAGAGCGTGGCGGTGCGATTGCCAGTCGCTTTGCGGCGGAGCACCACGGCACTGATGTGTTGGTCGAAAACATCGAGGACCGGGCAGATAACACAACACGGTTCTTGATCTTGAGGAACGTGCTCGCTGAGCGCACTGCTCAACTGGAGTTTGAGCAGCCAAACCCTCCCACGGAGGGTTGCGCACTCGAGACCACCCACAAGACCTTAATCTCTTTCTTGATCGACCATACTGCACCAGGTGCTTTGGCCAATACTCTTCTTATCTTCAAGAACCATGGCTTGAACTTGACAAGTATCAACACAAGACCGAGTCTGAAGAATCCTTGGCAATATATCTTTTTCGTTGAATGTGGGAGGACACCTTCAGAAGAGAACAAGGACGCAGTTTACAAGGCTATCAATGACCTGAAACAAGTGACCGAGTTATGTAGAGACCTGGGAACTTGGAAAGACCAGCTGAGTGCAAATGCTTAGGGTGCTTCCTACGTTGGTGCCTTAACTTGAACTCACGGAAAAATTGGAACCATATAACAAGGGTACTACAATATATCCTACAAGCATATCAAAATTTTGAAACATAGTTGCATGTGTGTATGTATCAGAGTCTTCCAGGGTTACACTCAAAAAGGGAAATTTAAACTTCTTCTATCTCAACCCTGTCGGGGGCTTTTCAAAACATAAGCAAATAACAAAGTAACTGACAATGCCATTGAGATATCATGACAAAGATCGGCTAAGCAATAATCCAACGCTGTTCGGCTTACATGTAAGCCGTGCAAGCAGTGGTGGGTATATTGCAGAGAACTGCGTTCAACCATTCAAATTGCAATTTAAATCTCATCATCATCTCAGACACCGAGGGGACCTCGGCGAGCATTTCATGGAGCTTGGATGACCCTGCATATACTTAGATTGGGCCACGGAAGAAAGATTGTGAGGATGCCTACCTCTGAGCAGCTTCACGGAGCTTGGACCAGGCCTGGTTTTGTTATCCTTCACGGATGCCTTGGTTCCATCACGGGAGCCGCCTTTGTTGTCCACGGGGCGAGCCGTCAAAAGACTCGACGCGGGAGCTTCTGGCCGTTCATCCTCGCTCTCTGCGAGGGGGCAATACCGTCAATCTGCGAGAGTTAGAACGAAACCATTAGATGTGATCGAAGGGGCGACATACCGTCGTAGAACTCATCGTCATCGCTGTAATCGGCAAGCTGTTCAAAGTTGACCTTGTATCGGAGAATGGCACCGATACCACCGAATCCCTTGACGAACTGGTTTCCTTCGCCGGATCGGTCAGACACGAATTCCAGGTTGGCACCGAAGTCCTTGTAGGCCTCGGCAAGCCACTCGAGGAAAGAGCCAGAATCGACAACTTCCATATCCAGTCCAGTCTCCTTGTCCTGGAAGAGCTCACGGTTGTTGGTCTCCTGGGCCTTGGTGGTGTGGGCGATAACCTCGGCACCAGCGGAGTTCTTCATCACCCAGCGGGTGATCTCCAGGTTCTCGTGCACAATCAGGATTTCAGCGGCACCAAGCTCCAGCGCCTTGAGGGTATCTTCGATACCGTAGCAGACCCTGCCGGTGTCTTGGCTGATCTCCTGGAAGTACTGGCCAATGAGCTTCTTCTCCTGAACGAACTTGACGTTGCTCAGTGTCTCGCCGGCCAACTCGATGGCCTGGTTGAAACCGTTCTCACCACCGTAGGAAACATCAACGACCTTGATGACCTTAGCTTGCAGACGACCGTCGAACAGGTCGGACTGGTTCAGGTCGTTCTTGAAATCGGCAGAACCAGCCAAGACGAGACCGGCGACGTTGACCTTGTCGTTGGTAATGTAGTTCTGAACAGCCAATTCGGCAATCTTACGCACGTAGTTGTGGCGCTTTTCCTCACGCAGACGCGAGAAACGCAGAGCGGATTGACCACCACGTCCCTGTGGATATTAATACATATTTCATGTGTGAGCAAGCAGGACAACTCACGTGCTTCTTGGGGAGATCAACGGAGAGACGCTGGATGATCTCACGAGTGTTACCACTGAGGGTACCGAACAGAGTACCGTTACCGTCCATGACGATGAAACCGAACTTCTGGTCAGCCTCGAGCAGTTCACTCAGTGCCTCGGTGTGGAACTTGTTGTCACAGAGGTACAGTGAGGTGTTGATAGGCTTGAAAGGCTCGAAATCGATGTTAATCTTGCGCTCCTTTCCTTCCGAGGTGATAATTTCACCACAGTACACGACCAGTCCATTGGGAGGGACCTTGTTGTAGAGCTTGAGACGCTGCTGCGTGGAGGTAATGGCCGACAGCACGGAGAGACGGTTCACACGCGACTTAATGTTGGAGGCGGTACCGTACTCTTCAGCTAGCATCTTTGCAGCTCTGCTGATCTGATCCTTGGGGGCTGCATTGACGAGTCAACGCTGGTAGAAGGTAACGGGGCAAAGGACGTACGAATAATGAGCGAGATCATGGAAGTTCCATTTCCACGGGCAGCTTCAAGACGCTTGATCAGCTTCTTGACCTTCCAGATCTCGATATTCTTCTCAGCTTCGTTCGGCGGAGGGGCGCTCATCTTGGGCGAAGCGACAGTAGGTCAGGGAAGAAGATTATCGGAAGCCCTGCGCCTGAAGACTTGGTCAGTGATGAGGCGAGATCGGGAGACCACGATTCTTGCCTGTTCTGAAAATTCGTTAGTCAAAATCAGAGTCAAAAAATGCAAAAATCGAGAAGCGAGTGAATTTTTCTTCCAAAACCCCTCACTCTCTGGGAGCAGAACACATACCTTGACGATATGACGTTCAGCAGTAAATTTCCTCGTGGGGTGGGAGGTACACAGTTTCTTCGAGGGGTCGGCTGGTGCTGACTCAGCAGGGCTACCCGTGACGTACCTGGTACTTGTTGGGTTGTGGCCTAATGCCGGGTGTTCAGGTACCGAGTACATGGTCTTCCTTCAGCATTCTGGAAAATCCATGGATGTGTTGTTCAACTGCACATGTACTGTATGTGTGCATGTAACAAAGCCACCGGGGCTCCTGGTAGCCACTTTGAAGGTCACCGGGATGGACTCTGGAACAGTGTGGATGGTGGAATGTACCAGTCTCCGCACCCTACCTGTACTATGCACAGGTAGAAGTTTCCACTGAGACGTCTGTACTACAATCTCTATTTGATCAACCAATCCCCTGCTATGCGTCTTGTAACGTATAAACGTCGACACATTCAAATTGACAGTCTTAGTCAGGAGGAATCTCCGCTTATCATTGGATCCGCACCCCACAGCGGAAACGCCTGACGCTAGACTCTTTTGAACATCGCGGACTCTCCATGGCTGTTTCTCTTATCTGAGGCTATCTCCATGTGATATCCATTTCTCTTTCCTATCTGTTCCCTGGTAAAACCTTGCATAACCCTCCTTCCCTGGTCTCCAGGTTGACTTGTGCTCTCAACTTGACCCTGTCAACATGCCTGAAGAAGAGCCGGCCTACGGTTCTCTGAACATCCCAGCAAGCTCGAGCAACCATGCCCGTCTAGATAGCAGCTTTGCGGAGTCGGAGATGGGGGGTCGACACAGGTCAGTGGCCTAACTGCATTGGACCAGACACCACTGACAGTACCAGGTCATCCTCGATCTCAAACCGATTTCGTCAAGCCGGAGGTCCAAACAGCTTGGATAACTTTGCCCGCTCCTGGCAGCGAGCTGCCGCCTTCCCGGAGGTTCTCCCACGGCGGTCATCATTTGTCTCCACCAACGAAGATGACGATATCGCCATAGCAACAGGTCAAGACCACAGCTCGCACTCCGCATCCTGGGGTCAATCCTGGGGTCGGAACTCAAATGCAGACCGGCCTCTTTTGCGGGACTCGGACTCGGAGCATGAAGAAGATGATCTACCCGAGCCCACGAAACGTGCACTACCTAGTACTGGCCTGCTTGGTACATCGTTTGATCGCAGTTTCGCGGCTTCGTATGGATCTATTTCCTCGCGAGTCAGTGACTCGACTAGGAGGCATGCCATCCAGTTCCACCGAGATCAACTTCCTCAGGCTCACGTTGAGGGGTCTGGGGACCCAGATCGGAGTCCGTTGTTGGTGAAGCATATCCAGCATGAGGATGGGACGCAGGAGGATATCATTGTGGGTCAATCTACAGTCCCACAGACGATCTTCAACTCGGTGAATGTGTTGATTGGGATTGGGTTGCTGAGTTTGCCCTTGGCGTTGAAGCACGCCGGCTGGGTCTTTGGCTTGTTCTTCCTTGTATTCTCGGCCGTATCGACCTCTTACACAGCTAAGATTTTGGCTAAATGTTTAGACGTGGACCGGAGTGTTGTCACTTATGCGGATTTGGCATACATTGCCTTCGGGCAACAGGCCCGTTTGATTATCAGCTTCCTGTTCTGTTTGGAGCTTCTGGGTGCTTGTGTGGCTCTAGTGGTGTTGTTTGCTGACAGTCTATATGCACTGGTGCCGGGTCTGACCATTTTGCAATGGAAGATCGTCTGTGGACTTGTGCTTCTTCCGCTCAACTTCTTGCCACTTCGGTTCCTGAGTATCACCAGTATTTTGGGCATCATATCTTGCACGTCAATCGTGATCCTCATTTGTATCGATGGTTTGATAAAGCCAAACGCGCCAGGTTCGCTACGCCAGCCGGCAAACACTTTCATGTTCCCCGAGAACTGGGCTACCTTCCCCTTGAGCTTTGGCCTCATTATGTGTAAGTTGACACTCCGGTCTCGAAAACTCCTCACAGAAACTGACTGTGTTTTCCAAAGCTCCCTGGGGTGGACACGGTGTTTTCCCAAATATCTACAGAGACATGAGGCACCCTCAGAAATACGGCAAGAGTCTCTGGGTGACCTATATATTTACTGTAAGAAACCCAAGGGGACCAAGAAGAAGCTCAATTCTGACGTGGTAGTTTACTCTGGACTGTTCAATGGCAATCATTGGTTGGCTGATGTTCGGTGATGTTGTCCGCGATGAAATCACCGCAAACATCCTCACAATCACCGACTACCCACAGTCTATATCCGTCGGGATCATAGTATTTATCGCAATAATTCCCCTCGCAAAAGTACCATTGAAGTGAGTACCCGCCCTGGCCCTCTTGATGCCGCTAACAAAGTCAGCGCTCGTCCTCTTGTCGCCACATTTGAGGTTCTTTGCGGACTTGGAGTGGTTCAGTTGCCAGCTGACCACGGCTCCGAGAAGATGCAGAAGATTGGCCGCGCGTTGGTGCGTGTCTTTGTCGTGGTTATGATTGTCATCTTGGCGGTCATCTTCCCATCTTTCGACCGCATCATGGCCTTCCTGGGATCTTTCTTGTGCTTCACGATCTGTATCATCTTCCCTCTTGCATTTTACCTCAAGATCTTTGGAAAGGAGATCAGCCGCACCGAGCGCATTCTGGATTGGGCTCTGCTCATTCTTTCCAGTATATTGGCAGCAGTGGGAACCGTCTGGGCCTTTTTGCCCCAGGAAATTCTCAACGCAAACTAGGTGTCATGCGGAGAACAGGGGATAACATAGGATTGTATAGACATGATCACTTTTTGTTGAGGATGACCGCAAAGTTGTTTCTCGTCTTGCCAGACCTCAGTTCTTCCTTCTTGAATGGCTTTGGCGCGTAGTCACCAGTATGCTCCCACAGGTGGAACACCAGTTTCGAGGTCCGTTTACTTTCAGTGAGACGGAAACCCAGACAGTTCATGATCTCCCCTAGCCTTTGTTCGTTGAGGTAACGTGAATTATCCACGCATGCAATTGGCAGCACTAAGAAAAGACGAGGCGCAAAATCAAAGGCGGATTTTGAAGTCAGGAATTGGACGCATCGCTTGAGCATTTCTCCTCGCCCCGTGGCATCGGGGACATAATTGAGCACCAATGACAAGCTGATCATGTTGAACTTCTCATCATCGGTAGAGGGCAAAGGCCGCTCCATGAAATCCTGTTTGAGAATCCCAGGCTCCTGCGAGTTGAGATCGATGCGCGTTACTTCCAAAGCAGCGTTCATGGAGCAAGCATTTTTCGTGCTCAAAGCTCCTACTTCAAGGACTCGGAGTTTCGGCATTTCCTTGTTGAATTGTTTCAACTCTGGCTTGATCCAATCGATGAGCACTTTGCTGGAGTCGCCGCCTCGGTCCATGGATTGGCCCAGCTTACTGGCGACTTGGTAGCTCTCCAGGCCACCATTGGCCTGTATTTGAGCTTCAATACTGCTCACTCGGGCTTGATCGCCGGCCTTGAGAGCTTGGGCCTTGGATTTGAGTAGTCTGTGATGAGAACGAATCAAAGTTCGCGTTGCTTTAGCTGAAAGAGCGGCATCTTTGGATTTGGCGATTGGAGGCCGGCCAGTGGACAACAACCCAGGCCTCTTGGCTCGTTTTTGGGGAGCCATGATATGTGGGATATGCGAAGGTCAGGGGGCCTTGACTTTGTTCAATGTGATCTCAAGTCTCGGTCTGAACATACAACAACAGTGGAAGAAAGGCGAAAATCAACGTCGTTGATCAAAAAGCAAACCTTGAAGATAGATAAATACGATGTAGATGCTGATTGGCTAGGAAAGTGACAATACCGTATCACGGGGGAATCGACATTTTGGAAACTTTCGCAACTTACTAAGCGGGAAGTCACCTGACCCACACAATTCTAGGGTTTTTGCTAAGCGAAAACCACTCCAAAGTTCGAGAGTTTGACACTGCGATACTCCATCATCGACAGCAACCGACGACAGCCATGGCCCCCTCCGACAACAAGACCGGTATGTGCAAATCACATTCAGCTCTTCCACTACGATTGCAACACCTATTGTGAATTTCTCGAGTGGTCGTGGAGGACGATATTCGCGGGATCGAAAATTTCGAGATTTGGAGATCATATCGCAAAAGAGTCGGAACACCACATGACACGCAAGAAGTGACCAGCGTCGCTATCGAACCTGTCTTCGGAGCTCAACTCTGTGTATCGATCATTCGAACCCGCAATATCACCTCCATCCCTCAGATTTCACAACGGCGCAATCTCGATTTTTCTTCCTTTCACAATCCAAGACCACGGGCTAATTCAATCAACAGGCAAGAACAAGGCCAACGCCGCCGCCAAGGCGGTCGCCAAGGGCGCTTCGGTACGTAACACAAGATGAAGCAGACCAGAATTTTTGTTTTCAAAAATTTTCGGAGCCTATCGCTAACGCGGTTGTGGCAACAGCTTCACAAGTCCCGCAAGGTCCGCACCTCCGCCACCTTCCACCGCCCCAAGACCCTCCAGCTGTCGCGGTCCCCCAAGTACCCCCGCGTCTCCGTTCCCCACGGTCCCGCTCTGGACTTCAACAAGGTCGTTCTGTACCCCCTGAACACCGAGTCCGCCATGAAGAAGATCGAGGAGAACAACACCCTCGTCTTCATTGTCAACGTCAAGTCCAACAAGCGCCAGATCAAGATGGCTCTTAAGAAGCTCTACGACGTTGACACTGTCAAGGTCAACACCCTGGTCCGGTATGTATTCTGTCTCCATTGTCACGAGATATCATTTACTAATAATTCTATAGCCCCGACGGTACCAAGAAGGCCTTCGCCCGTCTCACTCCTGATGTCGATGCTCTTGACATTGCCGCTACCAAGCTGGCTATTGTCTAAATGGGGAACTACTTTGGGTTTTGGCGAATTTGTTTATCACTACGGTGATGCTAAAATAACAGCCGGGCTGAATGATCAAAAATTTACTTGTGGATGTCACGCTTCATGAATATAGTGGACTTGTCAGTCCTGTAATGACTATGACTCGTCCTTGGTAGACTGTAGGGTACTGCGTAGTTTTTGACGTACTCGGGAATCGACATCTGGAGCCCTAGACAACAGTGGTTCTTCACCCAGGCCTCATGTCGACCTTAGCAGATCAGAGGCTTTGCTGGCAGTGTCGAACGCCCCCAAGCGCTCTGGAGAATGCAATATTGATTTACCTGGAAACAGCTTTATCTTGCAGCAGTGTACAATGGTTCATAAATTGACTCTAGTATACATGATTTTGTAAATCGTCCGAAACCGTAGGACATAACCCCCAACCAAATCTAACAACCCATGCGCGAATTATGATATGTGGCAATGGACGTCCGACAAACGGTCAAGAATCTAGTGGCGCATGTTGTCCAGCTTGGACAGAATGGCCAGGCTGGAGTCCATCCACCGCTCAACGCAGTTCTGCGCGCATACCTCCTCGGACTTATCGAGGGCGCCGGAGGAGATCTTGCTGGTGATGCACTTTTGCCAGCACACTTCGTTTAGGTGGTGGACGGCTAAATTGGAGTTAGCAAGTAGTCAAGGGATATGAAACCGGGATTGGAGGTCGAAGCTAGACACATAGTGACTATGCGGTCCGCGGCGGAAACTCACTCTGCTGGATGTTGCTCTTCTGGGCCTCATTGGTAAGGACCTGGTTGAGCTCCTTCTTGTCGGAGTCGGACAGCTTGGTGAGGTCGATGTTTTGTTCCATTGTGATGATTGTGATGGGTGATGATAACAGGGACACTGCTGAGGTGTACGGAGCAAGGTCAAAATCAAAAGGCGGTGGCAACTGGCACAAAAATGACGCGCAGTTTTGGTATCGATAGGCTTCCCTCTTTCTTCGCTCTACTTGACAGAATACCATTTCTCTCATACCATCACATCCTCGCTCCAATCATGCCTCCCATCCGATCCGCGCGCAATCGCAAGCCGCCCCCCGCTGGCTTTGACGATCTCGAAGATACCCTGCTCGAGTTCAGCAATAAAATGAAAGATGCCGAGAATGCCTCGCACGAAGGAAAGAAAAAATACGAAGTCCTCTGGCCTATATTCCAAATCAGTCATCAGCGTGCGTTCCCAGGGTCCTCATTCATCTGGCCGTGGTGTAAAGCTGACTCATTCCAGGTTCACGATACATTTACGACCTTTACTACGAAAAAGAAGCTATCTCGAAGCAGTTGTACGACTGGCTTCTGAAGAATGGCTATGCTGATGCCAATTTGATTGCGAAGTGGAAGAAGCAGGGCTACGAGAAGGCAAGTTTCTCCCATGTGGAGTGAAAAGAGACCAGAAGCTAACTTCTTCCAGCTTTGCTGTCTGCGCTGTGTTCAAACGAAAGAGACGAATTTCAACTCCACCTGTATCTGCCGCGTTCCCAAGGCGCAGCTCAAGGAGGATCAGACGATTCAGTGTGTCAGCTGCGGCTGCCGGGGATGTGGAAGTAGTGATTAAGGACTTGCAATATGACCCGGCTATTACGATGCGGGCACATCAGGCAAATTCAGGCATGGCGTTACGGTGCTTTCATATTCAATCAATCAGATACCCTACTTGAGAAGGCCATGACAGGTGGTGTAACCAAAGTATTCAAGTATTCAATTGCTAAACTACATTAATGCACCGCCAATGAGCCTGATTTCCCAATCCCAAATCCCAAATCATAAAACCATCGCTTGCATGTACACATCGTCATTAAGCTCGTAGGGCCATCCTGGGCTCAGAAATGTCAGAACCGGCTCCCAGTCCAAAAGAACTCCACACAAAACCGCCCAAATCGATTGAACTCCAAGAACGCAAGACGTGAAAGCAGAGTAATAGGGTAAGTGCGCATAAATCCATGGGTTGGGCCTCCCAGAGGACCCACCCGAAGCAAAATCATAACAAAATTCAAAACAGAGTTGTGCTGCTGCGTCCCATTTGAGGTCGCGGGTGAAGCGCTTTGGGCTTCAGCGAGTCATCTTTACTCGCACCTCCAATCTTTTGGAAACCCTGGAGGAGGTCAATGCCATCAACCTCATTCGAGCTGTCATTGCTTTCATCGAAGAGGTGGAAGGAGAAGAAATCCTCCTGGCTGGCATCGCCGAAACGGTTGGTGTCTGGAATCTTTGACGGTGACTCGGGGAACAATGACTTTGATCTAGACATTGGGGGCAATCCCAGTCGACTGTTGATGTTCACAGAGGTGATGTCTGAAAGCGCGGTGTTGCTACTTTCCGTGCGTGGGCGTTTCGCTGAACGCTTCTCCGGTGATCCGTAGGAAACATGCGATGATCCTGGATCGGCGAAGACATCGAAGGTGGTGTTGAAGTGATCATGGGGGGTATATGATTCATCTTGTAAGTTGAAGGCGGGGCTCCAGGGCAGAGCGTCCTCGGCTAGACCCAAATGCTTGATCGGTGAGTTGACCATTTGCTGAATCTTACGGCGGTGGTTGCGCAGATTCGTGTTAGGAGAGACCGATGGAGGAGGCTTCGCGGGCTTCTTGAACTTGATGATTGGCGTCAACGGCGGTGGCTGCATACTAATGTACTGGCTCCGGAAAGGAGACGATCCAACGGTGGGGTTTGGGTTCTTGCGCGCGGCAGGCTGGCCAGGACTGATGTCGTGTGATGAGCTCCGCATGCGCGCAATCTCTTCCTCTGCTCGGCCACGCTTGATGCGCGGTGGCTCAATATCAAGATCAGATGTTAGAATATGGCCCGCCTTATTAGGTCGTAAGGCAGATGATTCTAATGATGAGAAGTAACCGCTGTCGTTGAGCGTGATTGACTTGCGCTTTCGCGGTCGAGGCGCAGGCGTTGGTCCGTTCTGAGTTGGTGTTGGAGGGGTGCCCTGTCGAGCGAAGCGGGGAGGGGCAATTGGCGGGGATGATCGAATATTGGGAGGTGGCGAGGAGCGAGGCACTGCGCGTGCAGTAGGTACTGGCACCACCTCGTCGGCATCATCTTGGAGCGCGGGGTCCGAGGCAGGCAGAGTGGCATCGGAAGACATGTCGTTCGGCGGTGGCCTGCGTACGGCGGCGTGCTGAACATGGGGTCGGGGGGCAGGGGCAGGTGGTACCATCCAAGTGGCTGTGTTGGCGCTCTGTGATGAAGCCAGGTCTCTCTGTGGGGCAGCTGGCAGCGGGAGGCTCGACATGGTCGCGCGGCGCACTTGCTTATCCTTGAGGAACTGACCCTCCATACCGGGTTCAATGGCCCAGTAGTTGCCCTTGCCAGGGTCGTCCTTGGGGCGCTCCTGCTTGATGAATGCCTTGTTCAGACTGAGATTATGGCGAATACTATTCTGCCACCCAGCGTCGCTGTTCTTGTAGTAAGAGAAGGTGTCCGAGATCCACTTGTAGATTTGCGCCAGAGTCAATCGCCGATTGTTGGCGCGCAGAATCGACATGCCGATCAAGGTGGCATAGCTGTATGGGGGCTTGGAGCCGTCATCTTCCACCTGGGGCATCTCGTGCGGTTCCGGGAGATAGGCGGCCGGCGCGTCGTCGCGCCTTTGTTTCTTATGGGGGCGCTCTCTGAGGGGCGCCGCCTCCATGAGTGTGCGCTTCATCGGGAGTTTGGATTCATATGACGGCTCTGGGAAGTCGGCGAAGCTGTCATTGGATGGCTCTTCTGGGTAATTTTCTTTTTCGTTGACGCTGGGGAAGGTAGTGAAGAGGGCAGAGTGCGGCATGGGTTGAGAGTAGATGGGGAAGGGCGCTTTCTTGGCCGGAGAGTCGGTGGTGAACATGGGAGGAGCTGGGGCAGAGATGGGAACGAAACCGAGTTTTCCACCGGGATGTGAGCCCTTGTGCAGGCCTTTTGTCGGCGATGGCCTGTGCGGGCCGGGAGGGAAAGACAAGTTCTCAATGGGTTGAAGTGGTAGCGGTGAGGGTTGCAGACGGGGCTGCGATCTGATGATCTCCTGGGATGGGGCCAGCACTGAAGAAAAGTGTGCGCCCGTTGAACGCGTCGATCCCATAATCTGATCCAGGCGCAATGCTGAATCACCAAATTGACACACGCGTCAACGGAAGGCGCGACTGACAACAAGGCCTTCAGCCCAGGTTGACACGAGCCGTGTCTAGATGTGACGAGCCTGCAGAGAATTCACGATGGACCAATGGTAGATCAGAAGCAAAGACCAAGTCACTCAGGCCGTCATGCACCAGGTTGGGCCACAAGGCGCTAAGGCGTCACGGTTGAACGCGAATCAGGCTGCACAGATAGCGGATTGGCAAGATGTGGTGGATCAGCACCAATTTTGGACAGAAGTGACGATGATCGAGAGACGTTAAGTGGGAAGAGTTGGCGAACGATCAAGTGCAATAGAAGATTTTTGATCGCGGAATAGAGGAATAGAGGAGTTGAAGAGAGAAAGAGAATACAGAGTACAAAGACTGAAGATCCGGATCAGATGTAGATCCTCGGTTCCAAGGTTCTGAAGCACTTTCACAGGGTTGCGGCACGTAGGGCTTAGATGAAGGGAAGCTGTTGGAGCACTAAATGGTATTATATGAGAATCTAAAGTAGAGACTCTTTGCTGGGGGCAATGAAAAGGCGAAAGGCGGGGGGAGGAGAGGATGATTGTCTGATAGTACATCATGATACCCGTCAGGTATGGTCATCATCTTCACGCGTCACGCGTCGTAGTATGAGAACGTCATCCCAGCCAGCCGGTAATTTTAGTAAAATACGGTCACCCGAGATCATATCGGGGAGTGAAGGGGGTCTCCCTTGCTCATTTTTCTTAGTGTCGATCCGATCCACCGCGAAGTATGAGCTTCTTTTCTTTATTGCTTCTATTATTAACGGACTACTGCGATATTGAATATGATCTAGAAACCTAGCATGATCATCGTATGATCTTTGATGCAGGAAATCCTAGGAATAGCACGGAGTAGAAAGTCTTTCACAATATCCGGTGGCACAGATACTCCCACAGCCAACCATCTCGGTATGTCGATGTAACTCTGAAACGTCCCCCTTGAGTATGTGCTTCCTTCACTGGTCAATGCCTCCTCTCCGAAGACTAACGCATGTGCTGTGCAGCTCTGCAGCAACCTAATCCTTATTTGAAACGGTCCTCTGCCTCCCCTGCCCATTGATAATCTAGGGAGATCCCTAGTCTCCCACTGGACTACCCTTGCTTGTTCATCACATAGTGTAACAGATTTGATATTCAGAACCCAAACAGACGCTTCATGACATCTATACTAGAAAGGAGAAAACGCCAAGTTCCATGCATCACCGGAGAAAAAGAAAAAAAGAAAAAAGAAAAGAAAAAGACCTAAGGAAAAGGCCGAAGAGAATCCGAAACCATGCTGCAAGCCCCCTTTTCAAAGAGCTCCGACATAACTTTTTGTTCTATCACATAAAAAAACCCAAGGGATATCTTAAAACAACTACTCAAACGTGGGACCGTTAGTCCAAGAAGGTGAACATGCTGGTATGGATCATGTTCAGGGCCCGGTCGGCGTCGCGTTCTTCGATGACGCACGAAATATTGATCTCACTGGCTCCTGTGAGGGGCGAACCCAGCGTTAGTTCCAATCAAGGGAAGGGAGAAGGGGGAGGGGGAGGGGACCAATAATTCACTAACCTTGCGAGATCATCTCGATATTGACACTGTTCTCCCCAAGTGTAGTGAACATACGGCCGGCAACGCCGGTCATGTTCTTCATCTGTTTGCCGACCAAACTGAGGATGGCCATCTCAGGAATGATATCTACAGTTCCGTACCGCCCCAGGTCATTCAGGGCCCCTTTCAGATCGTCATCGATGACCTGGTACTCATCCCTTCCATTGCCGTTCAGGAGGGGCGCCTCGGAGTGAAGGGCCAAGGACACGTGGACCTCGCTGGTCGAGATCAGGTCAATTGACAGGCGCCACTTATCCAGGACAGAGAAAATCCCCGCAAAGAAACCGTGAGAGAGCGATCGCTTGTTGGAATGCACGTTGATCACCAGAATATTGTGTTTGATGGTGACTGCTGTCGGCCGCTTGGGGGTCTGCATCAGACTGGGACTCCGAGTGCGGAACAGACGGGGATCATGGCCCGGAGTGGTTCTCTCCAGTTCAGCCACAGAGTCTGGGAAGATAATGGTTCCCCGGTTCCTGGGGTTCATCACATTCTTGATACGAATGGGGATCTTGGCGCGAATGACTTGCTCCATGGTGAAGGGGTGGATGACTTCTGATCCATAGAAAGTCAATTCGGCGGCCTCGGCGGGGGTGATAGCGGCCAGAAGGCGAGCGGTGGGTACTTTGCGAGGGTCCGCAGTGAAGATACCATCAACTTCCTTCCATACCTGCAACTCCTTCGCATGCGTGCCAACGGCAACCAAGGCGGCGCAAAGATCGGTATATCCTCGGCCGATCTGGTCCAGCAGACCACCGGGGATGGTACCAAAGTATCCGGTCATGACAGGCACTCGGTGTCCGCAGGCCTCGACCTTCGCACCAAAGGCCGCTGCCAGGTTGTTATAGAAGTCTTGATCGAGCCCTTTGCTGCCAATAGGGAAATCGATGATCTCGGACAGATCCACGTATTGTGAATCCACCCCACGATCTTGCAGGAGAGCGGCCATGACTCGACAGCTGAGCTTCTCACCAGCACTCATCACCTTGTCCACACAGCGAGCGCTAATCTCGCCCAGGGTTTGGGCGGCCTCGAGTACCTTCAATACTCGCCCACACTCTTCAGTGATATCCGCGATCACTTGGTCTCTTAATTCGACCGACTTGACTTGGTCTTGAAGGACTTGGATATGCTCCAAGCGAACGGCCTCCACCAATGACTCATATTGGCGTGAATGGGAGTTTTCAGCGTCGCGCGCTGCTCGCAATAGCCTGTGAAAGAGAGACAATCATTAGTATCGGAGCGTCGAGGGGGTCTCCCACTATGTTGGAGGAGTGACTCACCGGTTCGTGGTGCCCTCGGCTTTAGTAGAACTGCTTCTTGCAGAGCAAACAACAGCGACTCTGCTCTCAGCCAAACTGGGTCTGTAAGGCCATTGTTAGCAAGCCAATTCTAAACAAGGTGAAAGCACGATGCGTCATACTGAATGACCTGCTCAATGATATTAAGAGCAAACTTGCCGACACTGGTGCCGCCAAATTTCTGTACAACCCAATTGCTGCGGGCCTCCGAGGCCACAGGCAGATCTGAATTAAGGAGTGTGGTGGCCATGATGCTCCCAGTATAATGCAGTCAGGAAGGAAGAGTCATCCAGCAATGGACTTGGAGGGGGAGACCGGCGAAAGCGGAGCCCTTGGGGCCACTTCCGGCCGCATAGTGTATATTTTTTTTTGTGGCCCACTTCCACCGCCTCCCGATTCGTCCAGGTACCACACGATATCGGCCCCAATCACGCCATTTGCTTACACAGTACAAACACGGCAAACACTGCAAACTCGAACTGTCCGATGGTTCAGAAGTATACGGACAATATCTGCATTTGCTTTCTCTCGGAGGCTTTTACGGAGACTTCCCTCCGAATCGGTCTACTCGTATCCCTTCCCATCGGCCTGTCAGTTTGCGACCGGTGCACGAATTACAAGTTTAAGATTAAATCCCACGTGCCCTCCGGGCCCCAAGGGTGCTTTGGGGTACATACATAGTGTAACGAATTCGCCTGGGCTTTGGCTTGGAATACGGGGAACCCCGGGAAATGACGTTTGTCAGTGATAAACAAAGGATTCCGTCAGCAGATATCAAACTGGAGATACGAAGTTGGTTACGCATACAATCGGATTAGACATGCTTGGGGAAGTACTCGAAAGCACGGTCTGGTCCTGTCATATACTACAGTAGGTATAGGAAACATGCTCAAAAATTGATATTGATTCTCTCGAGCTTTAAGAGACAATAATCCTTGATTGGTCTCATGCGTGATGAACGAAGTATCCGAGATATGGAATTGTGAGACGTTAAACCATCGGTGGATCCGGTAGCCTTCTCATTTAGGCATCAAATTAAGCATCTTCCAAACCCCACTGGCACTGACTCTCGGTCTGCCCAGGTGTGCTCTATGGCTTTTTTCATCACTTGCTGATCTCTTCGCATTGTGTTGGGCCTTGTGTGCCTGATTCTTTCGTTTCTCCCACGTCTGATCTTTTTCTGTCGTTTGCCAATCTCCCCGATCTTTTATCCCAGCCGGGGCCTGGTTATCATGGCTGACCTCAACATCACATGTCCCTTTTGCCCCTTTGCCGACTCTGACGCTGGGTTCGTATCTCAGCACATTGAGTTCTGCCATCCCGAAGGCGGGGACTCTTCCTTGCCAGAGCTGGAGACTGCTTATCAGACATTCCCAACTGACGAGACGGACAAATATGTCGACTGTCCACTTGGATGCGGTGAGCTAGTGACAGCCGCCGAATTGGAATTCCATCTCGATTTCCATGGTGACGAGGATGTGGCACAAGACGATGTCAGTGCAACCCCAGCACGCGCGCGCTCTCCTGCCTTTTCTGAGGGCGAATTTGACGATCTCGATATGCCGGATTCCCACAAAGGTGGTAAACGTGGGATGCACAGAGATGCTGCCCGCGCCAATACTGCCAAGCCAGCACGGCCGCAGAGTCCCCCGAGGACGACTAACGCTGAAGGTGTAAGACGGCTAGGTGTACGTATGTCCTCATTTACGTGTACGGGATCTCCTGTTGACAGTGGTATCCAGCGCTCTGAGCTGGGACCTCACGCCCACGAGAAAAAAATGCCATCCTGGCTCAAAAAGATGCTAGAGAAGGGCGGCAACATCTCGAAGCAAACTCAGATCACGTCTGATGGGAAGCTAGCGCGGAAAGAGGTCGTTGAGAATGAAACAGATCACTTAATTCCGGCACTGGCCCAACTCTGCGAGCAGGACAAGTCTGTCAAACGGGCTTTCCTGTGTAGCCCAAAGGTCCGCCATATTTGCAAGATGCGCCGGGAGGGAGGCTTCTGTGGATATCGCAATATACAGATGCTGGTTTCATGGCTGAAAAAGACCCACAGCTTTGGACACGAACACTTCCCGGATAAAGGGCCAACAATCCTCCAGCTACAGGATATGATTGAGTCGGCATGGGATATGGGATTCAATAGCTCCGGCAGAGCTGAGACAGGTGGCATAAAAGACACGCGCAAATTCATCGGAACGCCCGAGGTAGGTTTGTCTGTGGCGTAATTAGCATGGTTCGCTAATATCATCCAGGCGCAGGCCCTCTTCATGAGCCTAGGAATTCCGTGAGTCTTAAATTGAGCCTTTTGGCATACTTTGCTGACGTCTTCTCCAGGTGTAAAGGTGCAAGTCTCATGGAAAAGAATGATCGACGAGCGTGTGACGCCCTTTACATGCATATTGCGAACTATTTTCGATCGGCCTCGCCGGAAGATGAAACTAGGATTGTGCAGACCGACTTCCCGCCCATTTACTTCCAACACGATGGTATGACCCCGGCTTCTCATGATTCGGTTGATCCCCCTCGCTTACTTGGATATAGGCCACTCAATGACCATTGTCGGATTTGAAATCCGAGATAATGGCTCTGCTAATTTGCTAGTATTCGATCCCATGTACAAAACCTCTCCTGCAATGGAACGGCTTATAGGATCCTCCTCCAAGCCTTCTGATCCAACTCGTCTCCTAAAGGCATACCGCAGAGGGACCTCCTATCTGCAAAAGTACAAAGTCTTCGAACTTCTCGAGTGAGTCCAGCTTCCTCCCACACTTTCAATACTAACAAATGTAGACTATGCATCACTCCAAAGGCAGCCGTATGACATACCAATACACACATATATGTTAAAATACGAATGTATCAAAGTATCATGATGAACGGCAAACATGAGACCAAACTTGTCAAAAGTTTACAAAGGCAGTTTTATACATCCGAATGCGGTAATCTACCCCTCCGCGATAAGATAGGCGGGGCAAAAATTAGTCCGAAATTATTTCATCTGGGGGAATCTCCAAATCGCTTTGTACACCGTACAATTCCACAGCAATTCATCATGCGTACCTCTCCGAACGTTATCATCACCGGTACTCCCGGTGTGGGAAAGACTGTCCATTGCGAACAACTTGCTCAAGAAATCGGTCTGAAGCATCTATCCATCAACCAGGTCGCAAAAGATCGCGGTTGTTTTGACGAGTATGACGAGGAACTGAAGACCTGGGTTGTTGATGAAGATAAGGTATGTCAATCCTTCAACCTCAATCTCTGCAGCCGAGACATTCCCACAATCACAGAACCCCGCTAACTTGTGCCTAGCTTCTCGATGCCCTCGAAGATGAAATCCCCAACGGCGGCTACCTAATTGACTGGCACGCCTGCGATCTTTTCCCTAAATCCTGGATTGACCTTGTTGTTGTCCTCCGCTGTCCCACTACAGACGTTCTATACGATCGACTTTCCTCGCGGTATGGATACCAGATCTCTCCACGGTTTCAAGAAACTAATATCTATGTAGAGGCTACCACGAGAAGAAACTAGGAGAGAACGTCGATGCCGAGATCTTTGGCGTACTACTCGACGAGGCGCGGGAAGCCTTCGACGAAGAAATTGTGGTGGAATTGAACAGCGAGCAAGACTCGGATGTCGAGTCCAACTGCCAGCGGATCTCACAGTGGGTCGATTCGTGGAAAGAGCGTCAGGCTGAGAATGCGGATTGAGCTTTATTACTTTGTTCCTTCTTCTCTGGCGGCTTTATATACCCCTCTACTGGCCTTCCGCGAGCCACTGCTGCAACTTCACCAGCGCCTTGTACCGGTGCGAGATCTTGTTCTGCGCGCCTTTAGTATATGGCTTGTTTCGTACAAACGGGTTCTCTCTTACCTTGGCTTCTTTGTCCATCTCTGCATAGGTTTGCTTGCCATCATACTCGAAGATAGGGTCCCAGCCTGTGATGTTAGATCTAGATACCCTGTGCCGGGCTGGAGTGTCTAACTTACCGAAGTTGGTTGGGCCTCTAGGACGCACGATGCTTCCCTATATATCGGTTAGATTTGTATATACTGGAGATAATTGCAACTCGCCTCGGTCCTTCCTTGGAAGATGATGGGCTCCTCGCCGGGGCCTCGGCAGAAAGCGAACGTGCACACTGCTTCGGCGGTACGGTCTTCGAATCCGTCGAGCATCTTGTTCAACCCTTCGTGGCCGAGGGCTTCCATGAAGTATTTACTGAAACAGGTGGTTAGCACCGCGTAATTGAATATAAGATTCAGACTCACATGTATGGCCCAGGGAGGCCCTTGAGCGCCCGAAATTCAAGCGCGGTATCTTCAGTCAAGGCCGGACCATTGATCTGTCACTCATTAGGTCCAGTTCAGGCCGTTCGAATCAGCAAACCTACCGCCTCGGCGGCACGTTTGGCCTTCTCTTTAGCGATTTCTTCGATTGTTCCTTGAATTTCTGGGACCTCGACGGCCTGGCTGTCTACCTCGATGACATTGCCGAGAATAGCCCGCACCTCAAGGAGCTTATTCTTGTTTCCGGTGATGAAGTTGAGCTTTGTGAGTGCCATTTTGTGTGTACTGGTAGTGAAGTGTGTGAGAAGTTCGATTTTCCAAACTTGGAAATGCGGGACATCCACCCCACCGCCGACCCGCGCGTTCTATGTATATAGATCTGTGGTTCCTTGGTCAATTTACTTCCCAGTTGGGAGGGAAATAAAGAAAAGCAGCTGATTTTAGGTGAATTACTGCGCTATTTTTGTTGGCAAGGCAGAACTGAGCTCAAAACGAGTACTAGGTAGCACTGGGGAAGCCTGGGGCTTGAGTTGTCACTTGGAAGCGATATATATCGTCGTACTACCTACCTACCTAGTAGTTGGGCACCGGTTCTAACATACTACCTAGGTATTGTCCACGGATCATCCCAGACAGATTCTTCAACATTGGGACCTTGGAAAATTCTTGTTTTCAGCCTTGGAGTCACCTTCAACCCTGAAAGCTACTGGAATCATAAATTCATAGCAAAACCGCGTTCTGTTCAGGTCTATAAGCCCAAGACATATGCAACTGGAACAAATGAAAGTCATGCGCATCACTGTATCTCAAATGCCAAAGGCAGGTCGTAATCCGTAACAGGAAATCCCCCTCTAATATACATCACATCTATTCCTCGATCTCTCCATTGTCCAATTCGAGCTTCTCTTGCTGTGCCACCGCTTGCGCAGAAACAATTTCAGCCAGACGTTTCAATCGTGGTGTCTGAAGCCAGGATGGAGTATAAGTCTCCAGAGCTGTGATAACACGGGGCTCTGCGATCTCATATGGTCCGCTGTCTTCCATGTCCACCGGAGCCAGCAAGAGGACATCGCTCTTCTCTGTGACCCGAGAGGCGACGGCCTTCATGATCTCGCCGTTGATGGGTTGCTCGTAGTCTGCGACCAGGTACTGGTTCAGCAGCTTCTGGATCTGGTTGGGGGATAGCCTGGAAACAGTTAGTGTGATGCAAGATATTGATGTACGCGGGTTTTACTTACATCCAACAGATATCTTGGATAATCTCAATGTCATTCAAGGTTGCCTTCTTCAGCTGGAGAAGCTTGGTCGCTTGCTGTGAAAGAGATCAGTATATGTGGATGGAAATCATAGCCAGACAATGAGCTTACCATAAGATGCTCCAGCTTCAACGTGCCCTCCGGCATATCATGACTTTTGCACCACTCCTCAATACGGGTGATGTTGTAGTTGATCTGCAGACCACGCTTCCAGGAAAGGAAGTTACGGCGCATGAGGAGATCGTTGAAAGCAGTGACTCCGACCAGACGCAGAAGCTCCGTGATGGTCTGGTGAACAATTGCATGCTCAAGGTAGAAAGCCTTCATGGCCTTGTAGACACCATTCAGAAGACTGAGAAGGTTGTCCATGCTGTAAGCGGGGTTGTTGTTGGATGGTAGGAGTTTGCCGAGGAAACGATTTGTTTCGCTGGTGACGAAACCTGGGAGCGATTGAGATTCGATGATGGCTGGCACAATCATCTTGTAAAGCTTCTTCTTCAGCACCTTCATCCAGGTATGGTAGATGTTGAACTCCAAGCTCTCAAGGTCGTGCTTCACAATCTCCAACAGACGGTCATATTCGTAGTTTTCAGTCTTCTGTGCTTCGTACCAATCCTCGGCCAGGAAGACGAAGGAAAGCATCTCATGCACGTTGGACAACCAGAAAGCACCGGGGTTGATCGCATCATCCCCTTCATGCTGCATGACTTCTTGTTGGATGGATTGCATTACGTTGGCCAAGAAGCGCTCAGACTCCTTGACGAAGCCGTTGTTCCACATCTCTGATGTAACAAGGTTGATCAGGTATGCTGGGAACAAAACCTCCTTCTCTGTTGGTGGAGGGGTAGAGCTGGGCAGAGGAATCTTCAGGTTTCGGATAAGACCCATAGCGACCTCCTCATTCAAGTCCTCTTCCTCGGAGAGCAAGTTCTCGAGTTCAACCTCTACCGACTCAAGGCCAGGAGAGATTGCCGCGTTCTGACGAGCGGCCATGGAGGCAGGTGTGACCGCCATAGACACTGGGCGAGGGTTGAAAGCGCCGCTGAAGCGATCAGTCTCGATCTTCTCAGCGCCAGCGCTGCGTCTCTTTGGCTTAGGCTTCTTCGAAGAAACCAAGTTGATCAAGCCTGGCGCAGGTGCCTGGACAGCACCACCGTTTGGCAGGTCACCGTTGGCGCCGTTGACTGGCACAGATCTCTTGGCAACCTCCAACTGTTCCTCGAGCTCGGAAATTCGCTGCCTAAGACCAGTCTTGTCCTTCTCATGGTCAGCGTCCAGAAGTTTGAGGCGCTCCAACTCCTCGTTGGCAGCCTGCAGAGCGCCACGGGAGATCCTCTCTTCTTCCTGGAGGCGCTTTATGGTAGCTTGGGCCTCGGTATGGCTTTGTTGAAGTTTGGCCATCTCTTCCTCAATCACTTCCAATCGAGCCGCAGTGATACCAGCCTGGTTTGCCTCAGCCTGTAGTTCCTTAGTGCGGGCATCCAAAGCATTGTGTCGACTTCGCCAGGACTTCAACTGGGTATCGTAGTTATCCAGTTGCGAAACCAAAGTCTTGTTCTCCAGCTTGAGAGATTGCAGGTACTGAGTCAACTCAACGACCTTGTTCTCCAGCTTGTAAGAAATTTGCTTAAGATCGCGAGCATCCTCACGGAGTCTTTTGTAGGCGTTTCTTGCCTCCCTACCTCTCCACAGGTTTTGGATGGTGATAACCTTGCGGCGATACTGTCTCCAGGACCGTATTTGACGCCATGAGCGGAATGCACGCTGGATCACCTTCGCTGCGTTTCCGTTGATCGAGTCCATGATGTTGCGACGGCATAAGAAACCCTTCGCGATAGACTCGAACATGATGAAGTTCTTGCGGATTTGAGTGTAACGCTTCTTCTCCTTCTGACCACGCCAGACCCGCTGGATGGTAGTAGCAGCCTTAGCCCGACGGATCTCCTGGGCCTGCTGGCGGGCCAGGAAGCCTCGGATGAAGGCCTGTGTGGTGAGAATAGATTCGCGAGCATCGAGATAGCGGCGTCGGTAATACTTGGCACGCAAATTCTTTTGGATCATGATGGCGCACTCGTTCAATCTGGATGTTCGGAGATTCTCAAGGAAGGCCAGCATACCAGCCCTGAAGAAGATCTTTGTTAAACCGAGCTGGTACTTGTCCTGCTTTTCATCTCCCAGGGCTTTACGGAGAATTGCGTGGCACATTTGTCGAATCTCCGATGTCCACTGCGAGGAATGACACAGCATGTAGTAACGGAAAGCAAATTCCTCGTACGTCCACCGGGTTGGGTAACCAGCAGTACTGATGCGAACAGTCTCCAAGACACCACAAGCCCTCAGCTGACTGAGAACCATAGGCCCCTCGAACTTCCAGGCTTCCTTTGCCTCATTAGGTTTGATGCAACGAATGTAATGGACTTCTGTGTTGTTGATGGTGTTCATCAACTCAATCAGTGAGGACTTGAAGATGCCTCCCAGAGTGGGTTTGCGGTTCACTGCGACACCAATACGACGTCCAGGAGCCGCCGCCACGGGTTTGGATGACATGGAAGCAGAGTCCTTTTCCCGAACAGCAGCGGCAGTGTCAAGAATCTCCTTAATGAAGGGGTTGGAAGAGTTGCGCAACACTTCCAAGTGTTCGTCAGGTACAGTGTCACGGTTTTTCTCAATGAATCCATCAGACTCATAGGTGACATCAACGGCGTAGTGACAGACGGTGAACGCAGATTTCCCGAAGCGAGGCTTTTTGTAGAACTTCTGCTTATCGGCAGCAAAATGATGATGAAGCTTAGTGACGAACTGCTCATCAGAGCCCATGGGAAGTCTAGACTCTTCGTCCAGAAGAGCCAGGACACCGAGCTTCGACTCAATGAGATCAATGCAGGGCTGGTTATCCGAGAAATCAATGAAGGTCCAGTCAATCTCCTCCCGCACATATTCTTCCTGTTCAAGCTTGAACACATGCTGGTTGAATTCCTGCTGGAGCTTCTCGTTGGCATAGTTGATACAGAACTGCTCGAAGGAGTTCTTAGCGAAGTGCTCGAAGCCATAGATATCCAAAACACCAATGAAACACTTGAATTTCTCAAGAACCTCGTCTGTAGCCAAGCGACGATTAATCTTATCGACCAACCAATCAAACAGACTGGAGTAGATGAACTTGGAGACGGAGTCTCGTACGACCAAAGCTTGTTGTTGTGTAAGGTTGGAAGTAATCTTCTCGCCACGGGTGATCAATTGCTTTTTCACAATCCATTTGGCAAATTCAGTAGGATCGATTCCAAGCATCTCGCAAGCGCGGACCAGAGCTGGTTCGGTTGCCGAGACGGAGGATTCCGTGCGAGTAGCCGTGATCTTGACATTGCCCAAGTGCAGCAAGGCAGCCAAAACACGGAAAATGTCAGTTTGGTCTTCCTTGGGCACACCAATGACAGCCAGTGACTTTCTAGTTGCCTCGAATTCTTCCTTGTCATCAACGCCGTCAATCACAGGTGTGCCACCCTGGTTGAGATATTCGAAGTCTTCGATAGGCAAGAGGCCCAGCTCCTGTTTCTCAGCGTCCGTGGCACCAGCCACAAGCTGATAGAAGATGTGATAATTGCGTTCCTTCAAAGGCTGGAACACCAGTCTCGATCGCTCAAGAAGATATGTCCGAATCTTCGCACCAATGATGTTCGTCCGGTCGTCAAACATGATCTCAATGTATTTTCCGAACCGGGAAGAGTTGTCGTTACGTGTCGTTTTGGCGTTACCAAAAGCTTCCATGACCGGGTTGGTCGCTAGAATCGCCTCCTCGGTCTCACTGATCGCTTCTGCTCGGCTTGTGGTGTACTTTCCGGGCTGATCGGAAGATTCGCGAGTCGCAAAATAACGCATGATATACTTGGCGCTAACGGTCTTACCGGCACCGGATTCTCCAGAGACCACGATCGTTTGGTTCTTTCCGTCGCGGAGCATATCACTGTCCAAATATCGATTAGAAATGAACACTGGATAGAGAAAAGACGGCCATATTCTTACGCGAAAGCTTCTTCCGCAATGGCGAACAGGTGAGGGGCTTGTGAGGCACGGTGTTTCCCAGCATAGACCTGCACCATCTGCGGCACGTAGAGCGAGTCGACTCGAGCGAAAGGGTTGGTTGCGATCAGGACGATACCACTGTAGGTATATATCTCCTTTTGAGCATATCGAAGCTTGATAGCCTGGAGGACTTGAGGGCCGTCAGCGAAGGGAACAGTAGGCGGGAAAGCCAGGAGACTCACCGGCTGGCTCATTCAAATGCGACAGGTTTGTTAGGTCTTCACTTGCTTCAAGCATCGCCGGGTTCATAAGCGGTGGTAACTTGGGATTGTTGTCCACCTGCAGTTCGGACTGCGTGGTCTCAACGGTTTTTGTCTGCCCGATCAAACCAGCGTGAGCGATTCATCTCCCCCAGGCAATATACCGGACCCTGCGAAATGGGTTCATTGTCCAAGGCACCTACCTCGCCATTTTCCAGCTCAAACACTAATTGCACCTTCTCCCCATCCACCAGCTTCTCCTTCACCTCGGACGCCAGCCACCCTTCTGTCGGATCGGGCTGCCAGGCCCGTGTACCGACCTCATAGATGTGCGCCATGGGAGTTGTTCGTTAATCGTGTTGTATGCAAAGAAAGCAAAATAGCGAGCTAATGATTCGGGAAGGTCGAGAGAGTTGATTCGTGAGGTCCAAAGACAAGGGGGACTGTCAACCCCTCATCTCACAATACGAAAGGGAAAAAAAAAAGATAGATCGAGATAAGAAAGGATATGGAAAAAGAAAGAAGTCAACCCTTGACGACTAACAGCTCATTTAGCGAGAAAGCCCCTGAAGGAGCTTAGGACGGAATAATATGGGGGGCGCCACACCCCACAGCCTGTCACCGCCATCCTTGTTGGTCGCTGCATTGCAATGCAAGGCATTGCTTGTTGACTTTGAAATGGCCTTGAACTATTGTATTGGTAGATGTATCCAAGGTAAAATTCTATATGATTTGATGTGTATGAGGACCATTTGTGGAATCTACGGGGTACAAGTAGATGAGTCTATCTGATGCTCATAGGTGTTAAACCCAAAATAGTAACCGGCTCACCTTAACATTCTAGTTTGGATGTACATCGGTTCAGACATCCTCCAGCCCCCAGATTACATATATACAAAATCACCAAATTCTGATACTTCTACGGAGTACGAAGTACGTACTTTACCAATACCAGGCTGCACACCGATTATGTCATTGATTGAGTATTAGAAGGTAGGGATCACGCAGGGCAAAGGAAGACATAGCAAAATATCAGAGAGTACTAATAATCTCATGTGGTTTACCACCGGCAACTTTTTCATTTAGTTTTGCTTGCACTCGGCGGCCTCCTTCTTGGGCTTGGAGGTTCCATCCTAGGAAATCCGGTTAGCAGGGTGTGCGAGTTGCGAGGTCTGGGTCTGCCTTACCTCTTCATCTGAGTCCTCCTCGACATCACGGTCCGAGCCGTGGTCGTCCTCATCCTCGTCCTCGTCATCCTCATCCTCATCGTCCTCGTCCTCGAATTCGTCACCCTCCATGTCATCACCGAGCTCCTCGAACTGAAGAGCCTCACCGGTGAACCAGTCGATGGCACGGGGGATCAGCTTCTCCTTGATGTCTTCACCGAGCTGGTAGTCAAGCTCGAGGCGCTCCTCGATATCGCTAGCGACAGACTCGTCATCTTCGGTGGGGGGCTGTGGAGGGGAGAAGAAGTTGAAGAAGGATTCGGTGGGCACGCTGATCTTCACAACGCGGGTCTGCTTGGTGCCTAGGGGAAGGTGGTCAGTTCGACGATCACGGTTAGATGTCCACGTAAGCTTACTCTTGTTGCGCTGCTTCTTGCTCTCCAGACGAAGGGTCAGGTCCTTGTCTTCCTTCCAGTCGATCTCGGAGCCCTCGGCGTGATCGTAAATGAAATCACCGCCGTATCCATTCTCATCCTTGTAGAAGTATGACTTGGAGATGGTTTTGTTGGTGAAGAACTCGTTCTCAGAGAACTCGAAAATGAGACGGAATCCGGGGCGGTCAAGGTACTCCATGCGAATGTCGGTGAGGTGCTTCAGGGCGTCCTCATCACGCTCGGTAATCATCTCGGCAAGAGAGATCTGGTTCTTCATGGCGGAGAGCCAGAACTCGGGGATACCGGCCATGGGCTCAGCCTCAGTCTCACCGGCCTCCTTCTTGATCTCCTTAGTCTCCTCCTCTTCCTCATCCTCCTTTCCGGCCTCCACCTCGGCCTCGGTCGGCTCCACACCGCCGTTGATTATCGTGGAACGACGCTCATAGAGTGGGGTGAACTTGGCGAAGAACTTCTTCTCAAGTTCCAGAACTTCCTCCTGGAACTGAGCCTCGAGCTTGGCGTGCTCCTTTTGGACACCCTTCAGGCCAGCAACACGGCGGCGGACGGAAGGAGGGAGAGATTCGATGTAGCCGGAAGAGCGACCGACGAGTTGACCGAGCTTGCCTTGGATCATAGAGACCAGGGCAGGGTTGCGGGCGAAAAGAGAGGCAGCGGTGGCATTGTCAAGGGACTCTACCCGATTAGCCAAATTAGCATCGATCCTAAATTTTTTTTGAAAAAAAAGGGCGGATGTAAAAATCACTTACCCTCCTTGATGCTGGAGACACCAGGCTGTTGAGCGTGAGAGGAAATAGGAGCATTGTTGGCCGGTGTGTTTTGCGGGGTCCTGTTGCATGTTAGGAGATTTTTTTTTTTTTGCTTTTTGACAGGGGGAAAAATGGAGCGGGTGATCTTACGGTGCGACCGGGAAATCGGCCTTCTTGTTTCTGATGGGCTCAGACATGATGTGTGGGAGGGATAAGGATGGAGGATGGGGAGGAGAGAAGAATTTGATACTAAAGAGAGTCTGGAAGATGGTGGGATCCTTAGCGCCTGGTGGCCGAGGGGCTTGGCGGGACGCGGTTCTGGTTGAGAACGAATGCAAAGGCTGCAAATTCTCCCAACAATTACCCCCTCTTCCTTTCTACATCGGTTTCCGTTCTATCAAAATTGGGTTTGGATATGTACAATCGGTCTGATTTCTATTGTCTTTCCATGACCCTGTCCTCTACTCCGTACTATGCTTGGTGCCCTCCGTACTCCGTAGTGGCGGTAAACTCTAGCTTTTTTACCCCTCTCCCAGGTCACTTAGCTAACCCCTAACAGACGTGTCATACGGGGTTGAATGCTTCTCCGTACATATGAGGCACGCTCATGGTTTAGGGTACTTTGTTGTGCCCGTTGGCTTACATGGTTGGATTCCATACTGTGAAAAGGGGATTCCTCCAGAGGGGATGTATATATTTAGAAACATTACGCTTGCACGTCCTTTGCTTGTTTCCCAGCCATGGATGCAAATGACGTCTCAATGGATACTTGTTTGTGAACAGGGGCAGCAGGGAGAGGTAAGTTGTAGATCTCCCCGTAGCATCTCAGATCAAACCCCGTCGATAACCTAGTGGCCAATGAAAAGTCGGCTGATGAAGCCCAAATATGAGCTGCCAAGACATATTCCAGTCTTCCAGAAGCATTTTATGGGGCTTGAAGAAGACTGCTGACAGCAGATCTGAGCTTTCCTAAGGGAAGCAATGTGTTGACAGTCGCCTCAGCATGCTAAAGGATAAAGAGCTCTCTACATGAGGACTTTCGGCTTCGACTTTTGAGTCGGGACCCGGGGTTGCAGATATATTACATAATCACACAAGCTGTGCCGGTCACATGGTGATAGGTTAACTCCGCTGTGGGACACCCGATAAGCTCCCCAGATCACACCTGCACACCCTCGATTCGATTTGATCTCGCGGTCCGCGGCAGCTTGGTGTAATACAACCCTGGCAAGATCCCCTCCAACCAAGCTTTCTCAAGTTTGTGCTGGGCAATTGGCGAAGACAGAGAACCGCTCAAAATGGGAGGCCGTCCGCAGTCGCCCACGGGAACTGGTCCTGTGGACCTATCTATGCCTCGACTTGGGATGCGGCGTGATTCTATGCGAAGCAGGTAGCTTACCGGCCCCTCATGGTTGCTATGAATCAGAAGTCTCTAACTGATCTATAGCATGAGTGTTGTGTCCGATGTCGAGATGGCTCGAAACGAGGTATGCTCAATCCCTGTGCTCACCTCAGAGTCCTAAGCTGACCCATACCAGGTTTTCGATGGTCCAATATCGGAAAGCATCCCATCTAGTGTGGTCTCATTTGCCCACCGTCGCAGCAGAGCAGACTCTACTGTGAGCTTCACATATTTTCAGGATGGAGAAGATTTTGCCGAGTTGTCCAATGAAGATGCCGTGGATGACGAAAGCGAGATTGACGAGCAGTCTCTGCATGGGCTGGGAGATGTAGACATCGAGTCTAGCAGAGGGTCCTTTGTCTCCAAACGGATGTCTACATCTCGTGACTCGGTCGAACATCCTCTTCTTTCTCGCTACATGTCCGCTAGCTCGTATGGTCGGGATCGAAGGACTGGTAGTCGTCTGAACCAGAAAATTTACATTGCATCAGAGGATCTGACCGCTGTGTTTGCTGGCTTTTCTACCAGCACTGGCGGCATGGCCATTTACCTTGCTTTGTGTTTTCTCACCGGCGGACTCGGCTACCTACTTTTTCGATGGATGCCCCGATGGCGGGTCAAGCTTATCGGAAAAGCAACTCCTATAGGGAGGTGCCAGTGGGTTGCTATTGAGGTGAGATTCTGCCAGCATATCGCAATAGGTGCCCTCCTAACGTGTGATAGGACCAATGGAATCAATTCACAATCCACGACGTTGGCAGCCAGCCATATGGACGTCCGCTTTCGACAGTCTTTGCTGACTCTTTGCTTCACACGCTTGACGAAGATGGTGACCCAACCGTTGAATCTCTGCAGTTCATTGATTATAGGTATTTACGATTTTTCTACCACCCCATTGAGGACAAGTTCGCCTTGATTACTGGCTGGAAGGATCCTTCGTGGACCAATGCCAAGGTCATGCGCGGAGGGCTGGATGCCGACGAGCGAGACAGCAGAGAGCAGCTCTTTGAACGCAACGCCATTGAAATTCACCAGAAGACCGTTCCACAGCTGCTCGTTGATGAGGTGAGTCTTTCTCGTTTTTACCCCCATCACTGCTTCTGACACATACAGGCCTTCCACCCTTTCTACATATTCCAAATTGCAAGCTTGGTTCTATGGTCCATGGATGAATACTACTACTACGCTGTCTGTATCTTCCTTATCTCATTCTTCAGCATTGGAACAACTGTGCTTGAAACGAAATCGGTATGTATTTGCAACAATCCGGGTCAACATCATTGAACTTATTTCGTGACCTAGACGATGAGCCGCTTGAGAGAGATCTCCCTATTTGATTGTGATGTTCGTGTACTAAGAAACGGATTTTGTGAGTCACCTCTATACACCGATTTCTATCTCATATAAGAGACTGACTTGATTCCCAGGGAGGTCTGTTTCATCACAAGAGTTGGTACCCGGCGATGTATATGAATTCTCCGACCCATCGATTAACCAGGTTCCGTGCGATTGCATCCTACTATCGGGAGACTGCATTGTCAATGAAAGCATGTTGACAGGTTCGTGTCACCCTGATACCCTAAAAAGACCCCGGGGCCTTGACCAAAGCTGACTCAAACAGGCGAATCTGTTCCTGTTTCGAAGATACCTCTGACTGACGATGCTCTCGGATATCTTGACCTCAGCACTCCCTCTATCCATCCCAATGTTGCCAAACATTTCTTGTTCAGTGGCACAAAGGTCATTCGCGCCAGACGTCCCCAGAATTCCGACGACGACGAGGCTGTGGCATTGGCCGTTGTTGTGAGAACCGGCTTTTTGACCACCAAGGGTGCTCTAGTTCGTTCAATGCTTTTCCCGAAGCCATCTGGGTTCAAATTTTATCGAGATTCATTCCGTTACATCGCAGTGATGGGAATTGTCGCTCTTCTTGGATTCGTTGCCTCGTTCGTTAACTTTGTGCGGTTGGGTGTAAGTCAAACTCGGGGATCCACCCCCTACCCAGATAAAATCCATCAGTCCAGTTTGCTCACAGAACGAAACAGCTTGCCTGGCATTTGATTATTATACGGGCTCTCGACTTGATCACAATTGTTGTGCCACCAGCTCTTCCGGCTACACTCACCATCGGAACCAATTTTGCTCTCTCTCGACTTAAGAAGAAGAGCATATTCTGCATCAGTCCACAGAAGTTCGTCGTCAGGTTCCCAAAACCACTCATTCCGATGCTAATGAAATTAGAGTCAACGTGGGCGGCAAATTGGACATTGTGTGCTTTGACAAAACTGGAACTCTCACAGAAGATGGACTGGACGTGCTTGGAGCGCGCATAGTCACCAAGGGTAACTCGTTCTCAGAATTGCTCTCTGAGACATCTGAAGGGTTCCTTCTTCCGCCTAAAAATGCAAACTCCGCCTACGATATTGAAAAGCAAAAGAAGATTATTTACACCATGGCAACGTGCCACTCTCTTAGGGTGGTGGACGATGAGCTGCTGGGCGATCCACTCGATGTGAAGATGTTCCAATTCACCAACTGGTCATTTGACGAGGGCGGGAACCATGTTCCTGACCAGACGAGCCCCAAATATGATACGATTGCACCATCGGTTGCAAAGCCCCCTGCTAGTGGCCAAGAAGATGTCAATGTAAGTATTCTCACCACAAGGCAAAAGCTCGCACATTTTAACATTCACAGAATCCTTTGGAACTTGGAGTTCTGCGAAGCTTCGAGTTTGTTTCCCAGCTTCGTCGTGCTAGTGTTGTCGTCAGGCAGTTCGGCGACAATGGAGCAAGCTTCTTCGTGAAGGGTGCCCCAGAAAGTATCAGGGACATCTGTACCCCTGAATCCCGTAAGTACTGCCGCCAGTCATAAAAATTCACCGCTAATCATTACCTTCCACCGGGGCAGTTCCATCGGACTATGAAGATCTTTTGAGCTACTACACCCACAAAGGGTATCGAGTAATTGCCTGCGCGACCAAGTACGAACGGAAGTTGAGCTGGACAAAAGTCCAGAAGATGAGTCGAGAAGACGCTGAATCAAACCTGGAGTTCCTGGGCTTTATTATTTTCGAGAACAAATTGAAGCCGAGTACCGCCGGTGTGATTTCCGAGCTGAACGAGGCAGGCATTCGCAATGTGATGTGCACTGGCGATAACATCTTGACTGCGATCAGTGTTGCACGCGAGTGCAACATGCTCGGCCGTAACGAGATGTGTTTTGTTCCCCATTTCGTCGAGGGTTCGTTTCCCACGTATAGGGCATTGCTCATCGCTAACATTTGACAGCACCCGGCCTTTCGTCTAAGATATCTCTTATATGGGAGTGTGTGGACAACCCTGACCTCCGATTGGATCCGAGAACACTTTTGGTGAGTCAACCGCCCCAGATATGTCTAACATGGGGACTAATGTGACGATAGCCGATTCACACGGCAGAGACCGACCTTTCTGTGCCAGGAAGTACTCTGGTTGAGCGCGAATACTCTGTCGCTGTGACGGGCGATGCTTTCAGGTGGTTGATCGACTACGGCAATGAAGATGTTCTAAACAAGGTATGTGGTTTTCACAACTAGATAACCGGGATTTGTGTATACTGACCGTGGTTCAGGTACTTGTATTCGGAAAAGTGTTTGCGAGAATGTCACCGGATGAAAAGCATGAGCTGGTTGAGAAACTTCAGTCTATTGATTACTGCTGTGGATTCTGCGGCGATGGCGCCAACGACTGTGGTGCATTGAAGGCAGCAGATGTTGGTATTTCGTTGTCGGATGCTGAAGCATCTGTTGCTGCACCCTTTACAAGTCGTGTCTTTGAGATTTCTTGTGTTCCAACCTTGATCAAGTAAGTGATCAAACTAACCCGCGGGTTCGCCTTTTCTAACGACAATCGCAGAGAGGGCCGAGCTGCTTTGGTGACAAGCTTTTCCTGTTTCAAGTTTATGAGTCTGTACTCCGCTATCCAATTCTCAACCGTCAGCTTCTTGTACACTTCGGGCTCTAACCTTGGTGACTTCCAAGTAAGTATCATCCACTACTAACTCTACATTGGTAGCTAACAGCGTCTAGTTCCTTTTCATCGACCTTGCACTTATCATGCCAATTGCAATCTTCAGTGGGTGATACATCTCAGTGTTTCAAGTCCTTGTGCTAACTAAACCACAGTGGGTTGGGCTGATCCCGCTCCTAAGCTTTCTCGGAAACGTCCCACTGCCGACCTTGTCTCGCGCAAGGTCTTGACCCCCCTGCTTGGACATATCTCTATAGTTGTCCTCGCTCAGCTAGCAGTTTTCGAAACCGTTCAGATGCAGCCATGGTTGGTAACCCACAGTCTCCATAGGGAAAAAAAAACATTCTAACAACGAAATAGGTTCTTGCCGCCGCAACTGGATCTCGAAAAGAGCAACATTTTCAATTCAGAGAATACTGCGCTTTTCTTGTTCTCTTGTTTCCAGTACATCCTGACTAGCGTCATCCTCAGCGCTGGTCCACCGTTCCGAAAGGCCATGATCCATAATGGTATGTATCCTTCCACCCAAGACTTGGCTGGCCATAAGCTTACTGGGAATCCTTCGATAGTGCCATATCTATGTACGATTATTATAGACGTTATTATCGCAGCTTATATGCTGTTCAGGCCCTCAGGATGGGTATCCGAAGTCATGCAACTGACTTTCATGTCTGATGCGTTCAGAAGCTGGCTTATTGCACTGGCATTCGGTGTTTTCCTTTTCGCCTGGATTGCCGAGAAGAATATCTTCCCGCGCGTGGCGCAAATGATTGGACTTGCTCGTGCTCGCCTACAGCCGGGCTACCGCAAGAAGCGCCGCATGTACAAGGTCTTGCTGGAGGAGATGCGCATGTGATGTACTCGATAGAGCGCACTTGTTCTACATTTTGTACTTGTACTTGTACTTGTTTTCGTGTGCATTTTAGATCCGGTGCACCCCTGGTGAACGGGTTCGACAAGCACCAAACGTCTGAGATTCTGGGAAATGTGTATGTGGTGGGCTTTGTATGTACTTGTATTAGACCTGCATAAAGCTACAGTTACCCTTGTGTATAAGTTCTGTTTTCCACAGTAGAATTTGGCCGTGAATCAGACCAAAAATTGATCCAATTATGTTCGAGAATCGAGTAAGGGTATGCAATTCGACTTGTAAATGGGTCTATCGTGAACCTGCATACTGGGGCGCTTTTGACCCTCGGACACAAAATCCGCTTCTTTGCATCTCTCTCATGCCTGAGTGCCTTCCCAGAAATGACACATTCACCGCTGTCCCAGCAACGCGAGGAAAAAGGAAATTGACGATTGTATCCCGTTCAGTGGTCCCAAGGGTGCTTCCAGCCGAGCAGGACCGCACCATCCTTCTTGGCCCGGTACATGAGCTAAATAATAGATGGATCAGCACAATTCCGAAACAAAAACATTAAGGCACTTACGAAGAACCACATGCTAGCGCCCAGTGCAGTCGCAGTGAAGCGGTAGAGCGGTCGGACCGGGTGGATGTGGATAGGGTGGGAGGTTTTGCCCGCCATTGCTAGAGTAATTGATTAGCAGACTGACGGGACAAACAGCACGAAGCAAGAGCGGTAAACACACTGTGTGTTGGAATTGGTTGAGGGTGCTTCAAGGAAGAAGACGGGGAGGGTTCTGCGACGACGGAGACGGGGTCGCACGTGACTCGGTGACGGAAGGGAAATCGATGACTTCCATTTACCTTCACTTTACCTATTGTTTCCCTTGATTGGGCTGGTTCCTATTCAGGTTTCTGTTGTCTGGATTACCTTGGAAATATAGGGCTCACCATTGAAAAATGCGACACGAGCCTTTAACCGGACTCAATCATCTCTCTCTTTGAAATGGACTTGGTTCCAACAACGCCGCTACACCTGAAATTGTTTAATACCATTATCAACCTTATTTGACAGCACTTGATACCCGGCGCAATTTTCTGACCTCCTTTCTGCGACACTGGGCGGCATACGAATCCCCAAAAAAAGCATTCGTACACTGACCTTGAACCAACGGGGTTCTGCACTTCTTCGGACGGCTTTACGAGCTCTGCGCGTGGGGTGACGTGACGCAATCTTGAAACGACAAGACTCGAATCCTCTTCCCCGTACTTATCCGATCCATGGCCTCTTTCACAACCGGCGGAGCCACCATGGCTGTTTCTCTGGAGAGGCGCGACGATGGCCAGCCACGGTTTCCGGGTTGCTCAAATATCACTGAATATACGTTCGTTGGAAAGCTCGGAGAAGGCACCTTCGGGTAAGCGGACCTGCAGTACCTGCGACAGCAATGTATTGACCGGTTGGCAGTGAGGTCTACAAGGCAAAATCCAAGAAGGACTCCTCCGTTGTGGCGCTGAAGAAAATTCTTATGCACCATGAGAAGGAAGGCGTGAGTCCAATCATCATGCGTTTCAATCATCTTTCACTGACTTCTCGTGTTTAGTTTCCAATTACCGCCATCCGGGAGATCAAGCTCATGAAGGCGCTCTCACATCAAAACATATTACAGCTCAGAGAGATGGCCATTGAGCGAGTCAAAGGTATTTCTCATAAATCAATTTCATCTTCAGACGAATACTGATGCCCAAAAGGCGACGGATTCAAAAAGCCGAGCATGTACATGGTCTTCCCATATATGGAGCATGACCTGGCAGGACTACTGGAAAATCCCTCGGTCCATTTCAGTGAACCACAAATAAAATGCTACTTGATGCAGCTCCTTGCGGGACTCAAGTACTTGCATGGAGTACGAATACCTCAACACACCTTTTTCCCGGCAATATCTAACATATCTATAGCAACGCATCCTGCATCGTGATATGAAAGGTAACGGTCTCATTATTACTCTTCCAAGATATGAACTAATATGCTTTATAGCTGCAAACTTGTTGATCAGCAACGGCGGAATTCTTCAAATCGCTGATTTCGGCCTTGCCCGGCCCTATGATGATGCACCTCCACTCCCAGGGAAGGGCGGGGGAGAATCCAAGAGAGAGTATACTGCGCTTGTTGTCACAAGATGGTACCGCCCCCCTGAGCTGCTGCTGCAACTGCGAAAGTACACTACAGCTATTGATCTGTGGGGAGTTGGGTGAGTTCATTTCTCGTACATGATCGCAAACAAAGCCAGCCGGAGCCCCTTTCTAACGATTCCCAGCTGTGTCTTTGGTGAAATGTTCAAGGGAAAGCCAATTCTCGCAGGAAACAGTGATTTGAATCAAGCGCAATTAATCTTCAATCTCGTGGGCACTCCCACCGAGGAGAACATGCCGGGATGGAGTCAGCTACCCGGATGTGAGGGAGTGAAGAACTTCGGATACAAGCGCGGCAACCTTTCCGGATTTTTCCAAGAGTACGTTTTCCCCAATAGCATGGTTCTCTCATAGTTCGTTGAGTGGATGCTAACTTACGCAGGTTGAGTCCAACCGCTGTATCACTACTCGGTGAGCTTCTCCGTCTTGATTGGAGGAAGCGTATCAATGCAATGGATGCCCTCAAGCACCCCTACTTCACTACACCACCACTACCCGCCAAACCCGGGGACATTCCACAGTTCTCGGATTCCCACGAACTCGACCGCAAGAAGTTCCGCAGCCAGCGACCGCCTGTGCCGCCTGTTCCCCCCGGCGTCCCCGATGCCCCACCCAATGGCGCCTGGCCAACCTCCGGCTCTCGGGGACCAGATTCACGTCATGGACGTGTCCCCGGGCCTGGCCGCGGAGGTAGACCACCTCCACCAGGAAACCATGCCAACCCCCAACGCCGTGCCCCATTCCCGCCCTCAAGAGATACAGGTCTTCCCCCACGCCCCCCTGTGTCCTCCAACCAGCCGTGGGATGGGCCTCAATCCAACCGACCTGATGGAAGAGACGATCGAAGAGGACAATTCCCTCAAAGCCGCCCAGGAGGAAATAGGCCGACTAACAATCTGGACTCATACGTCCCCAATTACAACGACCGCAATGATCGCCCAAGAGACTCTGGAGAGCATGGGCCCTCAAACCCCGACTGGCGTGGTACGGCGGGCCGTCGTGACTACAGACGTGACCCACCAAGACGAAGAAGTCGGAGCCCTAGCTTCAGAGATGGGAGTCGAGGCTGAAGCCTAGCCATATTGAAACGTAGCTTCCATTCCAGTTAACTAAATACCTACTGTGGAGAAATCCATGTGAACAAAAAAATAATAAAATTCACATCATGGCTTTACTTTTATCTAGCAAATGGCGCATTATTCACAAAATGTACACTCAACGGCTCATCGCGACTTGATCCGAGTGCACGACATGATCTCCGGGGCCTCGTTGAGAATACCCCGTCTTTTGAGAGGCCCTGTCGGGATGGGCCTATATATTTTAAGTTGATTAAAGCCAACCCTGGAACTGGCTTGTTCGGATGCCCGCTTAGTACAGAATGCGGGTCATGATACGAGCTGGAGACGGTGTTAGTTCTTGGTTCAACAGTAGATGGCAAAGAGCATCTTACAGGGAAGACTCTCGAGTCGGGTGTAAAGGTCTCTGATGGTAGCAGTGTCGACATTGCTGATATCGGCCATCAGATAGGCAACCTTAATGGCGTTAGTAGAGAAATCCTATACCAGGTGAATTGAACCAACTTACATCGCCTCTGCTATCAGTCATCTGCTTGTCAACGTTGTGGTCTCCAATAATCTCGTTGACTATTAGAAGGTTAGCTGCGAGCTCTCTCATCAAGTATACGTGGTGACTGACCCTTGCGCAACACTCCGGGAATGTTCTTGTGAATGTAGATGACACGGGCGTGGTTGGGCTCGTCCATAGTCAATGAACGGAGGACAACCTCGGGCATGTTAACAGCACCCTGGGTGGAACCCTCGTTGGCATAGCGGACCAGAGCCTGGGCAACCTCAACACCAATAGCCTTCTGGGCCTCCTCGGTACTTCCACCGATGTGAGGGGTCAAGATCAGGTTCTTGAGGGACCGCAGGTCAGCTCCCCAGCTGTTGAGCGAGCTGTCGAAGTAGTCACCGTTTCCGGCAGGCTCGTTGGGGTACACATCGAGAGCGGCACCGGCGACCTTGCCACTGCGCATGGCGTCAATCAGGGCGGGAATGTCGACCACGGTTCCACGGCTAGCGTTGATCAGGTAGCTTCCCTTCTTCATCTGCTCGAACTGCTTGGGACCGATCATGCCCTTAGTCTCGGCGATCTCGGGCACGTGGCAGGTGACAAAGTCAGCCTGGGCCAACAGCTGCTCCAGGGATTCGACCTGGCGAGCAGTTCCCAGGGACATGATGTTGAGGACGTCGAAGTAGATCACCGACATGCCCATTGCCTCAGCCAACACTGACAACTGGGCACCGATGTGGCCATAGCCAATGATACCTAGTCACAGTTAGCGACGAGGCACACAAAGAAAAAAAGCATAACTCGTTCACATACCCAGAGTCTTTCCACGGATTTCCCAGCATCCGTTGCTGACCTTGTTCCAGGTACCATTGTGCATCTCGTTGGAGCGGTCACCCAATTGGCGGGCAAGAACCACCATTTCACCGATAACCAGCTCGGCGACACTGCGGGAGTTGCTGAAGGGGGAGTTGAAGACGGCAATACCCTGGTCGGCGGCATATTGGAGGTCGACTTGGTTGGTACCGATGCAGAAGCAACCGATAACGATGAGGTTCTTGGCCTCCTTCAAGACGCGAGCGGTAAGCTTGGTCTTTGAGCGAATACCGATGACGTGCACGTCACTGTCACTCGGTTAGTGATAAATTGGTGCCATTGCACAGACACCCGGGTACCCACCGAATCTTCTCAATGAGCTGGTCCTCTGGGAGAGAGGACTTGAGGAATTCAACCTGGTAGCCCTGCTGAGAGAGAATCTCACGACCGGTCTGGTTGACGTTCTCGAGCAGAAGGACCTTGATGTCCTCTGTGGCGAATGGCTTCAGGTGCTTCGCGTTGACCACTGGGACAGTGCGGTTGAGAGCAGATCCATGGCTGGATGGGGAGTGGAAGGAGGCGGAGGGTGAGGTAGCGAGGGCGGACAGGTCGTCCTGACGGGGGCGAATATCTCTTGCGGTAGACATGGTGGATGATTGTGGGAGAAGGTGGAATTCCAAGAGACCAAGAGTCTAAGATATGATGTGAATCACCGTATGACTCTTAATTGGACTTAAGTAAGCCCCTCCGGAATCGGCATTCATCGTTTCGGCTTCTGCTTTCGGGCTTCCGGGGTTTCTTCCCATGTGTCTGATATTGTATGTAGTGTCAAATTATTCCATCGATTTACCTACATATGTCTGTTTATACTTCAATTGACTTAACTACTCCTGCAGTGCGCCGTTGACATTGCAACATGGAGGGGCAACATTCGCGGGGCACAACTTTTTTTTTTCTTTTTTTTCGTATTTTCCTTTTTTTTCCTCGAAAATCACCCAAAGAGCCAATCAAATGCCGATCTCCCAGATTAGATATGAGCTTATCTGTTTTAGGCAATATCAACTTCAATTGCGTGCTTTCCCGGGGTACTTCGCTCCTATACTTCTATACTTCTATACAGTAATCTTATTATTCTTCCTATGCACCTCAAGTGCTATGCTTCTTCCCTCATGCCTGGAATTTGCAGTCCCCTCCATGAACCATGGGAATGCGGTATTGAAATTGCATATTTAGACGCTAATCTAGACCTTAAGGTTCTCCATCTTCTGGGTGGGAGCCTCGGTGCCCTTGGACTTCTTGGCCTTGTTAGAAGTAGTCTCCTTGGGGAGCTCCTTGGTGTAAGGGAGGAATTCAGGCTGTCCGGGAATATACTTGCGCAGGACCTCGGGGACTTCGATACCCTGTATCACAATTAGTAAATCATCGTGGAGCAAGAGCTTCAAGTACTGACATCTTCTCTCTGGTAGTTCTCGAGCACACAGCAGAGGGTACGTTCGGTGGCACAAAGAGTGGCGTTAAGGGCGTGAACGTAGGTCTTCTTCAGATCGGTGGCCTTCTTGACACCGTATCGGATCTCCAGAGCGCGGGACTGGTAATCAGTGCAGTTGGAGCAAGAGACAAGCTCCTTGTACTCCTTCTGGAAGGGGAACCAAGCCTCCAGATCGTACTTCTTGGCAGCCGCGTTGTTCAGGGCACCTGAAACAATGGCGACAATCTGGTAGGGAAGGCCAAGGGACTTGTAGAATTCCTCGGAGGTGTTCATCATATCCTCGAATGCCTGCCACGAGTCTTCGGGCTTGGTGAGAACAAATTGTTCAATCTGGAGGAAATCAGCAGATGGTCCGCATCAAGTCATTTTGGCTCAAACCTTTTCGAATTGGTGGACACGGAAGATACCCCAAGCATCCTTGCCGTGGGAACCGGCTTCCTTGCGGTAACATGTGCTGTATCCGGCATACCTAGAATCAGTCAGCAAAACTGTTTTGACTTTTGAGAGGGACGGAAGGAGAGGTATTACTTGATGGGAAGTTCCTTGTCCTGGAGCCACTCGCTGTCGTGCAGGGCGGACAAGGGCTGTTCAGAGGTAGCGATGAGGTACTTGTCAGTGGCCTTGTCTTCGCTCTCGGTCACCTTGTAGAGCTCCTCGTCGAATTGCTCCAGCTGGGCAGTCTTAGCCATGAGATCCCGGAGCATGAACTGAGGGGGCTGGTTGGGAGTGTAGCCCTTGTTGAACAGGAACTCCAGACCGTAGTTAATCAGGGCGAGGTTCAAGAAGAGACCGTAGCCAGTCAGGCAGTAACCACGGTGGCCGACGATCTTGACACCGCGCTCAGGGTCGTAACCATCGAGACGGGTCAACACCTCGTGGTGGGAGAGGCAACCGGGGCGGTCCATCTGGGCGTTCTCGGGAGCCCATGTCTTGATGAGCTGGTTGTCTGCCTAAACATGTATGAGCAATCCGACCAAAGACTGCGCGCAACGATACATACCTCGTCGTTGCTCACGGGCACGGATTCGTGGACGTAGTTTCCAATGGTGCGGATCTTACGATCGCGCTGCACTTCCTTCGCGACGGCGGCGTCCTCGAGTTCCTTCTTTTGCTTCTCCAATTCTGCCTTCTTTTGGAGAAGTTCGGTGGCGTCCTCCTTGTTCTATTGATCGTCGGGTAAGTACCCCTCCACATCTGATGGCCGCTGTCAAACCCACCTTCTTCTTCATTCCAATCTCCTTTTGGACCGCGTTGATCGTGGAACCGAACTGAGTAACATCATAACGGGCTATATCGGTCAGCATGAGCCGTGTCGATCCTCCAATTGCAGAAAGCGATGCATACCACGGCGGGCTTCTTCGTAGAGCGCAATCACCTCATCAACAGACTCCTCGGGAGCAAAGCGCTTCTGCTGGCTCTCCTTAATCTTCTTAATATCACCACCGCGCTCGGTGACAAAATCGAATAGGTCCAACATCGTGAGTGTGTTAGTCGCAAATGGCAAAGTGACTCAAAAAGTGTGGAGGGGTAAAGACGAGGAAAATCCGAGTGCGTATCTCCACGCACCGGTTATCTAATCGACGCTCCAAATTTCCTGCCCAGGTGCTCAGGCAGCCCTTCCTGAGGTCCCAAAGCGCTACTATATCTCTAACAGGCTATTCCAACTCGCCTCGTTTGAGACATCTAATGGGTCTCCGATACGAGTATTGAAGAAAAGGATAAAATAATTCATTAGTGCTCTATGCATGGTATCCATGTTCCTGAAATCGACCCTAAAACCCATTATTCATGCAGTAAACAGCCCTTGGGAATCCACCAACTGTTAAGACACCTGACCAAGGGTATGACAGCAACCTTGGAATCAAACTATCAGATCGGTGTCAATTCCCTATCGAGATCGGTATTAGCGAGACATCACGATAGAACAAGGCCATATAGTAGAAACCGATACAGTCTGTGGAGTAGTGAAGAGTGAAACGCCCAGAGAACCCAAAAAATGTATCAGGATAGTTCCGAGCAAGTTCCAAATTGGAGGGAGAGTTTGGAATCCCCGAGTGTGCACTTACATCCTTGGCAAAAAAAAGAAAGAAAGAAAGAAAGAAAGGCGCATACTCAAATCGATCTCAAAATCACATCAACGAGCACTTGTTGTTGCCAGTGGGCTGTGAGGGATTCTGAGACTTCTCAACTTCACCGATCATGAGATCAAAAGCCTTTGCGACATTGAAATCAAGGAAAGCACTTGCTTCAGTGAATGCACAGTTAACCTCCTCTGCTAATTGTCGTCCTTCATCAAGAGATACTTGGCGGTGATCTGGCTTGAGGTCACTCTTGTTTCCTACTACAACGAGAGGTACATCATCCGCTCCCTAGATGACAGCCAATTAGCCCTGTAGAGAGATATACTCAAAGATAGACATGACTTACAAGGTGGTTGAGGATCTTGTCCCGGATCGTCCGCACCATCTCAAATGACTGACGCGATGTCACGGAATAGACGATGATGTAACCGTGAATTCCAATGAAGTGCTTGGAGTTCAAGATGCTATATTCGTCCTGCCGGAGTTCAGTTCAGCTGTTTGGTGAAATAGGCTGTGAAATCGCTGATCCCTTACCTGTCCTGCAGTGTCCACGATCTCAGTTGCGTAGTCCTGTCCATTGTGTTTGATAATCCGGCTGAAGGTATTCTCGATAGTAGGGTAATAGCTCTCGACGAAGTGGTGTTCGACAAAACGAACGGTGAGGGATGATTTGCCTAGTACACGAGTATCAGATCCTGCTTCAACGGCTCAAAGGGCGAAAGGAAGTTTCCCTACCCACGGAGCGACTGCCAACAATGGCGATCTTTCTTTGCTTAGGTGCGGCAGGCATCTTGCTGATGTAGTGTGCTGGGCCTCAGAGGTACTGGCTGGAATTAGTGGTCGATGGAGACGGTATCTTCAGATACTGCAAGTCTTCTTGTGGTAACTCTGAGTTAGTTCAGTTTCTCAGACAATGGCAACTGCTAAAGTGAGGACGTTGGGGGGTGGCAAATCCCCCTCGAAGCATGCGGAGCTTCATCTCCCCGTGCCCTGCAAACAATGCAAACGGCTGTTTCCATCCTGAAGGTTGCAATACGGGTAAAAGGCATACAATTGGAGGATCCTTTCTCTTTTAGATTGCGTGTGGAATTTATTCTTAAAAGACAATTTATAATCTTTTCTTTTGTGAATCGTGTGGTGAATATGAGAGCTCATGATATGGGGACATTTGAATCTTTCGTGTACCACTCCTTGGCATTCAGGTCAAACACATGCAAATCAGATAGATGGCCGAGACACCATAGCATGATTCAAGAGGGGTATCAAAAATTGTCGAAAAGATTCTCAGCAGACCAATCCCTTAAATTTTGTACGAGAAGACTGTCAATGGGCCAAGTTGATTGTACATCGAGAAGATGAGCAGGCGAGGGCCTCCATCAAGACTCTGCAAGTCGCATCTGGGTGATGAGCTCTTGTAACCTAGCCATGAAACCACTAACTGGTTGCCCCTGGGTGGGCAGTGGAGGGACTTCCTGCTCAATCTTTCGGTGGTACTGCAAGAACTCCTCAACGGTTGAAATCACCGTTGTTAACCCATTGGGAGCCAGTGATTTCTTGATCCTCGATCGGGCTTCATTGTCCAGGGAGAGTGTTAGTAGTAGGACAGCTAAATAACCCACGGCAACATTGTGATATACCTCCACAACGGAGTGGGCCTATTGAGATGAAGTTAGCTCAATGTGTCGACAGAAAGATGGCTAAGCTTACCGTGGAGATAGAGTCAACAAACGTTGTGAACAAGTGTGTGAGTTGATCGAGCAAAGGCCGGATGGTGCCTGTGGAGTGGAGGATGGCCGACCTTGATATTTCGCTCTTTTCGGTTAAATTGATTAAAGCACCAAGTGCTAAAATCACACTGTCCAGGGTGTTGTTTTCATGGCCGAGCATATCCTCCGTCAGATCACCAAAGTTTGTAGTGACCATATGGACTAGGCCTCCGACTATCTCTTGTTTTGCAAACTCATCACATATTGCTGGGTTGCTGTTCGTAACATTCAGTATCACCCGGATAAATAGAGGCTGTATTTGTTGGCTGGTAGCGTCCAGATGGTCACTCTTCAAATAGAAGAGATCATGGAGCGTTGAAAGAGGTTCCATGGCAGCGCAATAGTCATGATTGGCAGACTCAGACGAGGCAGTAAATGCCTCCAGGATCGAAAATACCATACACAGCATTTGAGAGCTTTCGGCGGGAATTTCCTTTTGTGAGACGCACTTTTGACTCTCGGAAACAAGCACTTGCATCAGAATGTCGAAAAGAGAACTTGAGACCCCACCGGGGCTCTCGTTTTTGGTTCGCAATGTGGATAGAGTTGTTCTCAAGCAATACAATGCCAGAGTGCAAGGTGATAATTTAACCGCCGAATGGGCTGGAAAAAGTATATCAGAAATCCGCGGCACGCTTTTCTGTAGTGTAGTTTGTAAATGGCGGACAAGCCCGTGGGCCTTGCTTTTTGCAACCTCTGTCATAGCATCTCGAGTCATTAACAACATGGGTGATAGTTCCAGAAGCTTCGGCCATGCACTTTTTGCAAGGACAAAAGACATGTGTCCATCAGACGACGTCAGTGCGTACGCGCAAAGCGCCAAAGCCGCAGGAAGCATTTCAAGATCCATGGAGAGGCAATCGACTAGTCTTTTGTCGAAATTACATTCCACAAATCGGCGTCTCAGTCCGTTATCCAACAGCTTCCCACACAACTGAAGCAATGCGTTACAACGACCCGACGTTGAGTTTTGCGTGTCCTCGATGTCTTCGAAAATAGACTCAACAGCGCCGCGATAACGGGCATTTCCGCCAGCTTGTCGAAGCTCATGGATGCTCCGCACCGATCCATCATCATTCATATCTTCATTCTCCACAATCAATTGGGCACTGGAGGTAGTCTCTTTGGCCAACTGACGTTGAACAGACCGAGAACGATGGGTTTGACCCGGCAGGTCCGATGCCGTAAGATCCTCTTCAAGGAGCATGTCATCAAGGAAGGAGCGTTGACGGGCGTAAGTGACACCAGAACTCCGGAGATGAGATGGCCCCGCGGTGGGAGAAGCCTGGACATGGGATTCGAGATGGCCCTCTTCCACAGGCAGATTTGGCGAAACTGGGCTGCGTGGAGTTGAGACTGGCAGCGATTGACTCGCAACTGGGCTTTTTGGAGCTTCGAGGGTCGGCTTAATGGACCCCAATGAGTCAATTAGCCTCTTGCGGCCCGGTGTAATGTTCTCTGCAGCCACATCACGTTGCTGGGTTCTCGGTGAGTCTTGTGGCTTAGCATCAGAGGGTTCTTCGGGTGTCTCTTGAGCTGAGACCACTTGCGCCTGCTCGAGCACAGGTTTCTCCGTCTTGCTTCGTCCAAGCCTACCAGCTCTAGAAAGTGACGGTCCTCCGATGATTGACTGTCGCTTGTTATCGCGTGTAGTATCTGATGGGGCTTCGCAGATAGGCGCAAGTTGCTCCGATTTCGGTGGCGCGACAGCACCCTTGTCATTCACCCTGCGCGACTTCGAGTTAGGTGTCTGCGTAGATTTCGCGACTCGTTTGGTTGCGGGATTTTGCATGTTAGCATCACTATTCTGGCGCCTCCGCTTTCGCCTGATTGTCGGCTGCTCGTCGCCCGATGATGGAAGATCATACACATTGGACTCTGTGGATTGCGATTGCGCAAGAACGGGTGATGAGGTCGCGCGGGAAGATCCGGAGGGCTCGTCATCATTCTGATTGCTCTGTGATATGGTGTTCGACGATCGCGATCGACGTGATTGGATTGGCACAGACGTCGGTTTTGAGGCAATCTTGGTTGGGGGTGGGTTGGTCGTCGCGTTGGTGCGCGAACGAGCTTGGCCTTTGACAGTGCCATAGGTCGCCGGCCGGCGATTCCGGATACGCGAATTATCCATTTCCAATTCAAGAGGCAGAAGCGTATGCGTCGGTGGAATCGATTAAGTAGGCAAATGTGAAGGAGTACGAGGAGACATTTCGTGAGATTGGGTTAATAAGGGAGTGCGCAAGAGCTAGTGGCATGCGGGTCCATATCTTGCAACAATGAAGCTTGGTCTCAGATCAAAGAGAGAGCTGCCGGGTCTTAGAGGAAAGCCCTGAGGAGAGAACAAGTGAACGTGCCCAGATGCCAGAAGGGACCGGATGCAGATAAGCAAGCGGGTGACATGGGGCAGAAACCCACTGCGGTATAGCTTCTGAGATAGAAGAATTCGATAAGAGAAAACCCGACATGCTTCCCCGCTCTTGGCCTCCAGTCCTGCATCGTCTTGTGCTCTCGATATTTTGATTCTGTCGAGTTCACAGATCACATTGCTCATCTTTCTTCGCATCCTCTTTAGGGAACTGCTCTCGCTGCTCTATACTCTTTGAACCCACTGATCATGGCCAGCAAACCAGAGTCTGCGCCTTCACCCGCGCAAGGTGTTGGTCCCTTGTACCGCCCTGATGGCGAGAAGCCAACTGCGACTGTCTCAAAGGAGGTCTCGTTTGACAATGTCCATGTGCTGCCTCAAACACCCCAGCTGATTGCTCTGTTGACGTGAGACCTCCATCTCTGCATCTGTACCTGGAACCACATCGAACTCATGTACTTTATACGAACAGGATGATCAGAGACAAGCGAACAAGTCGCGCCGACTTCATTTTCTATTCGAACCGCATCATCCGCTTGCTGGTTGAGGAGGGTCTTAACCATCTTCCAGTCGTTGAGCAATCAGTCACCACCCCCGTTGGAACAGCCTACTTGGGAGTCAAGTTCGAAGGAAAGATTTGCGGTGTGTCGATTATGCGAGCTGGAGAGGCTATGGAACAAGGGCTGCGGGACTGCTGCAGATCAGTTCGCATTGGAAAGATTCTCATCCAGCGCGATGAGGAGACATGCATGCCCAAGTTGTTCTACGACAAGCTACCTACTGATATTGCTGACAGATGGGTCCTTCTCTTGGATCCCATGTTTGCAACCGGTGAGTCGATTTTTCTCCTAAATCTTTGTCCACCGCGCTGACCTTGTACAGGTGGCTCTGCAACTCTCGCTGTAGAGGTGCTGAAGGAAAGAGGAGTTCCTGAGCACCGCATCCTTTTCCTTAACCTTATTGCCAGTCCATCTGGTGTTGCTGAATTTGCAGAAAGGTTCCCCAAGCTCCGAGTCGTGACCTCGTTCATCGACCAAGGGCTGGATGAGAAGAAGTAAGAACATCGACGTTGCGTATGTGAGTGTGATGCTGATTGAATGATAGGTATATTGTTCCCGGGCTCGGTGATTTTGGTGATCGATACTACACCATGTAGGAGTGCACTTCTTCCTCATTCCCGTGCTTTAGGCCTTGGGGTCCAGATAGACCCAAGAAATCCTAATTCGCCTGCCAGTGTTCACACTGTGCGCAACAACCTTTTCAATCATGCCAACTGGTATCATCTACCTAGGTATAAGAACATACACCAATGTATGGAGAGGAAAAGAAACCAAATCGAAATAAAAAGCGTACATACAGTACAAATCCATAATTGGTGATATCACATCCTATGCGCCATTCGCCATCATCGCATGATTAATAGTCGTCATCGGCGTACGTATCGCCATGTCCACTCTCTTCCGGTATGCTATCATGCTTGCTAGCGCCTCGGGGTAGGCTCGTGCTTGGCGCATCGTACTGATCTGCGGTGTCCTTCGCAACTGCATCGCAAGCATCTACCCAGTCCGAATACACATCAACGGGAGCGGAGAGATCTTGATGATGAAGGTCAGTCATGGCTCAGTACACCAGCAGGAGCTTTGACTTACAGTTGATGCCGGTCTGGAACTTTTGGCCACAAACTTTACACGACAGATCCCCCAAGCCCAATTTCTTATCCAGCTTGACGATTACCGAGTTCTCATGGTTGCAGAACAGGCATGAGAAAGTAGTAGCAAGGGGCTCCCTCTGTGTACCGTAATTAGCGCCGGTCGCAACATTGAACGGCTGCTATTGATTTACCTTCTTCGGCCCTTGAGGCTTTGAGCTGGATTTGCGCTTGCCCTGTTGAGGTTAGCTAAGATCGATGGTTAAGGCACTGGGGGAATGATGTATCCCATACCATAGTTGAGACACCTGCGACTCGATAAAAGAAACGAAACGGCAGTAAGATGGGACAAGGTGTTGAAGCTTGGTGCGGAGAGCGAGGCCCGCGCCAAGACCAGCCGCCCGAACGGGGGCACGGAAGAATGAAGCTCCCTATTCCGCGAATGTCATCATCTCCTCTTGGGATTTCGATCCTGGTGGATCTTTTGGGATAGACTAGCGCAACAGTATACTGACAAACACCAAACTAGAGGTACTAGGTATTTGCATTGTGACGTCGGGATGTGGATTGTGTTCTACGAAAATCTTTGCATGTCTTCATCATAATCCCTCCTAGGCTCAGAAATCAACCAAAAGTATGGAAGACTAGCATACAATTCCCTACCACGCTGTAATCCCAAAGGACTTGGCCGACTTCAATGCACGTTGAAAATCAGCATATTAGCGCCAATAGCGTAAAACGATTGGCACGATCTCCACTGAAATTGCTGACATAACAGTCGGATATTGTTGGGTCACATGATAGAATGACATAATCATAGGGCCTGCGACTCGCTTAGCCGAATTTTCTGTGGGTTTTCAACCCTCCCAGTCGAGCGTCGAAACCCTCTGAGCGCGCGGTGCGATACCTTTGTCTGTCTTCCAACTACACACAGATCACGACTCGCAATCATGGCTGTTGGAAAGTAAGCCTTCTACCCTTCCTTCTATTGCGTTCAACGCCTCGAATATTCGCGCATCTCCATCCCATCGAACGCACGACTAATTCTCATCGCGCAGGAACAAGCGTCTCTCCAAGGGTAAGAAGGGTATCAAGAAGCGTACCGTCGACCCCTTCACCCGCAAGGACGAGTACTCTATCAAGGTATGTGGTGCACTCTGCTCCCACAATCGAACGCCGTACTAATAATTTCCAGGCTCCCTCCACCTTCCAGACCCGCGAGTATGCACACCCCGAATTGAACCAGGAGAGAATTTTCGGCTTTGGATTTGAGTAACTAACACACCCCTCCAGTGTCGGCAAGACCCTTGTCAACCGCACCAGCGGTCTGAAGAACGCCAACGACTCCCTCAAGGGCCGTGTCGTCGAGGTTTCCCTCGCCGACCTCCAGAACGATGAGGACCACGCCTTCCGCAAGGTCAAGCTCCGCGTCGACGAGATCCAGGGCAAGAACTGTCTGACCAACTTCCACGGTCTTGACTTCACCACCGACAAGCTCCGTTCCCTTGTCCGCAAGTGGCAGTCCCTGATCGAGGCCAACGTTACCGTGAAGACCACCGACGACTACCTCCTCCGTCTCTTCGCCATTGCCTTCACCAAGCGTCGCCCCAACCAGATCAAGAAGACCACCTACGCCCGCTCGTCTCAGATCCGCGCCATCCGCAAGAAGATGACCGAGATCATCCAGCGCGAGGCCGCCAGCTGCACCCTCTCCCAGCTCACCCACAAGCTGATCCCCGAGGTTATCGGCCGTGAGATCGAGAAGTCCACCCAGGGCATCTACCCTCTCCAGAACGTTCGTCTCTCCCATCCGCTCAATTCGACACAGGTTGCTAACATGGTACTTTCTTTAGGTCCACATCCGCAAGGTCAAGCTCCTCAAGTCCCCCAAGTTCGACCTTGGTGCTCTCCTTGCTCTCCACGGAGAGTCTTCCACTGACGACAAGGGTCAGAAGGTTGAGCGGGAGTTCAAGGACCAGGTCCTCGAGAGTGTTTAAACGTTATGTCAATTGAAGTCATGTCACGTATTGGTCAGCTTGGACACACCCTTGTCTTCTGGTCATAGGAAAAGAAAAAAGTTCAATAACGTGCAGATATGTTCCAAAGACTCAGCTGCGCGTTGCCAGTCTTGACATGATACCAAAATCCAAGGGTAGTAGTTTTTATGTTCAATCCTTTGGTGTCGGTCGTATCAGTAGTAGCATGTATCTGTACGGAGTAAAATCTTCCGACTGGACTGCTCATTGACAGTAACTCAATGTATGCCAGCTTGAGATCGGGACCACTTCATCGTCTGTTAGGGAGTAGTACATGATTTATATGCATGAAGATCTATTTCATATCTATTTCGTCTGGTCACCAGTTCCCCAGGGGGCTTTCGATTTCAATCCGCCTCATTTAGCCTACATAAATATGATCCACCTTTCAAGGCTACAAGTCATTGGCCACCTGGAAACTCCAGCCTGGGGATCTAGTATCCGCCGCCCTCTACGGAGTACAGGCCAATCGTTCAGGAACTACCATATAGTACGATATACTCGGTACTCCGAATCGTGCTTCGCGCCCATGGGAAGGTCGCAGATATAACCTTTGGGCCATGCAGACAATCCAGTATCAAAGACGCATGTCACATACATGGTTCATTCGGTGGCTTTCAGCGTCGTTGAGGACCTAGGTCCCGGCGCACAACTATCGTAAACCAAAGGTTTCCAAGTTGGAATACACGTGATGTCCGAGGGTGACCCCTCTAGCCCTCCAGCCTGGAGCCCTGGCCCCCGGGGCCTGAGCAGACGCAAGTCACCTGACGCCCACTGAACACGGCAAGCGGGTAGTCGGGTACGCGGAAAGAAAGTGGCAACTCGATATCCAATCACATGTGTCGGCATTCGCCTTATCCCCCTCAAATCTCTGTTGAATCCTCTCGCAACTTTTAGATTCTGCATCCACCATGTCGTTCTCAAACCTGGTCTCCGACATTGCCTTTCGCGATGCCCGCGCCGACGATGGCAGCTCGCAAATCTCTCACGCCCGATCACACACTGCTCGCTCGTACGCAAGTACCACGGCCACCAGTGTCAGCATCTCTGGTGAAGTTTCCAGCCAGCTACACTCCGGATACAGTCATCCTCTGAGCAGAGCATGGCAGGCTGAGAGGCAATTGACCAAGGTTCGTTCGAGTCCACCGTATGAGCAATTGAATGCTAACACCGCCAGGACATGCTTATCTATCCCTTGTTCATCACCGACAACCCCGACGAGGAAACGCCTATCCCCTCCTTGCCTAATCAGTCCCGCCGTGGAATCAACCGATTGATTCCTTTCCTGGCCCCACTCGTCCGCAAGGGTTTGCGCTCGGTCATGTTGTTCGGTGTCCCACTGCACCCCTCTGCTAAAGATGCCTTGGGGACTGCCGCCGATGACCCAGATGGTCCCGTGATCCAAGCTATCCGCCTCCTCCGCTCTCGCTTCCCTCAACTTTACATTACCACCGATGTGTGTCTCTGCGAGTACACTTCCCACGGCCACTGTGGAATTCTCCGTGAAGATGGAACCCTCGATAATGCGCAATCCGTTGATCGGATTTCCGATGTTGCTATTGCTTACGCCGCCGCAGGAGCCCACTGCGTGGCTCCTTCAGATATGAACGATGGACGTATCCGCGCCATTAAGCTGAAGTTGATTGAAGCCGGTCTGGCCCACCGCGTGCTCTTGATGTCTTATAGTGCCAAATTTAGTGGCTGTTTATATGGTCCATTCCGGGATGCGGCTGGTTCCTGTCCCTCATTCGGTGATCGCCGGTGTTATCAACTCCCTCCCGGCGGCCGTGGTCTCGCCCGCCGTGCCATCCAAAGAGACATGGCTGAGGGCGCTGATATCATCATGGTCAAGCCTGCAAGCAGCTACCTCGATATTATCCGAGATGCTAAGGACTTGGCGCCAGATCTCCCGGTCGCGGCGTACCAGGTCAGTGGTGAATTTGCAATGATCCATGCTGCTGCCAAGGCAGGTGTCTTTAACATCAAGGATATGGCTTTCGAAAGCACCGAAGGTATCTTAAGAGCCGGTGCTGGTATTGTGATCAGCTACTTCGTTCCAGAGTTCCTCGACTGGCTTTGAGCGCCATCTGTTTTGCCATTTATTCTCCACTCTCCACTCTAAAAGTGTGATTTTCGGACCAGCATATGATGCATCTATACATTTGATTTGATGCATGATCTAAAACTGTATAGATCCCCTTTATGTGACATGATGTTTTCGGTTTTTTTTATATATTTTCATTTCCTTGATTCCTCATACTGCGTGCACTGTTCGGATTACCCATGAGCACAATGTTAATTACAGCAAATTTTCTACTCCGTACACAAATTTCATTATGCAATGAAAATTTGATCTGAAATGCGTATCAATATTTTATCGAAGATGCACAAGCATTATATGTATAGACAACAATATGACACCTGGTTCGCCGGGTAAACAGCCGCTAATAACGTTCAAAGATGATCGAAGTCGTTCGTCAATAGTGGATATCAATAAAAAGGCAAACAAAAACACAGCAGACCGGAAAGCACTGTCATTCCCTTTCATTTCAACCGAGGCATGGGCAGGAAAGACAAACCAGCACACTTCATTACACAATCGTACACGTCGCTTCATTCACATAAAAGTAGGTTTCGATCCTTGAAACCCATATGCTGCAATGTCTTGTTTGACAATTTCTCCCGGGCCTATATATACACCCCGGTGCAGACGGACACCTGGGTATATAACGCAACCCGCACCTACATAGCAATCTTCTTCAATCGTGACTTGACGGCCTTGGTACCGACTCTGCGACCCCTTGCGCTCCTGCATGTTAGGATTCGCAGTGGCGCTTAGGACTTTGACATTGGGACCAATCCACGTGTGGGCGCCGACGCGGATAACGCAATCGTCCACGAACAAGCAATTCTCCGAGATCATCACATCTTCTCCCAGGTGAATGTTGTATCCGTAATGGCACATGAATGGCGCTTCAACGATCACACCCTGGCCGATTGAACCGATAGAGCGAGTTGCGCCAATGACTGGGGAGTTGGAGACGGAGCTCGCTGGTGGCACGATGATCTCTTTTAGGAGTCGAGTTTGTTCTTTTGAGCTCACACCGGCGAGCGGGTTGCTGGCATTATTGAACCTCCACAGCGCGCCTCGGCAACGATCCCGATCTTCGACAAGATGGACGTCGAATGGGCGGTAGAGGTCGCCTTTCAGCATCTTCTCCTTCTCAGTCTCCTCGCTTGGAATGGATCGACCAGACATGTGGTGCTCCATGTTCAATGCCATTCGGGCCTGGATCTGTGGACTGTGGGTGTCCACAGCCGCGGGAGGTAATGTTCGTTGCTCGACGCCGCCCTGGAATAGGGGCATCGGGGTCTTGGGATGAGATGCATGACTGAGATCACGGATTGATGAGATGGTCGGGTAGTCAGGTTTGGATCGGCTATCTTGGGAGAGTTCATGGATGGAGGGGACCTCGCGATAAGTGACTTTCGAAACCGGTTCGACGTAAGGCGGGTGGCCAGCGCTTGCGGATGGCCACTGTTGTTTTGACCATCCGGGAGTGGATGTCGTGGTCGTGGGACTGGTGCTGTACGGTTGGACAGGACGTTCGGTGTCCTCAACTCCCATGGGCCTTATTTTAACGGGATCCACATGCTCTGGCATATTGGGCTGTCGGTCCTGGTGACGAGGTGCTTCTTGCATGTACGGGCTGTTGATATCCGAGTAACCCTCTTTAGATTGCAGAGGAACCGGTGCCTTCGCGCTTGTTGGCTTCTGCCAAGTGCTTCGCGATGAATAGCCTTCGCACAGAAAGCCGCCTCGGAGACAGTTGTTGCCTACAACTCATGATCAATGTGGGCTCTTTGATTTGAGGAAAAAGAAATGATTTTTAAAGATTTGATGAGGAAGCTAGATCCATCAGGTATGGACTTACATTGTGGATGTTGCTCGTCACACTTCTTCTTTCTGCGACGGCAGGTCATACAACCTGTTTTTGTTCGATTACTAAAGACTCGCTTCCTCTTTGGTGCGACCTGTAGTGGCCCATAGGGAGAAGAACCCTGCTGATACCCCGGGGTTGAGCGATTAGCGCCCCGTTCTTGGCCTGCTTCACGTTGTAAAGCATCTGCCAGGTGGGCATCTGAGGGATCCATTTGCTGGGCTCTCTGGGCTTGCGTGATCAACTGGGAATCATGTTCCGACCACGGACTGTTAGCAGACGTCTGGCCCACCTCATTACCGTCGGACCGGTGGGATGGCGTCGCAGAGTGGTTTCCACGGTCCATGTCTGCCACAGACCCTGCCGTACTGCCATTTTGGTTGGAATGATGAATGTCAGCATGACGGTTCACCGGGCTGGCGTTCATGGCATCAGGGTTAGAGGAATCATGCTCCCGCGACTCAGACCTCTTTCTCTTATTCTTGTGGGAATTAGGAGATAACGATCTGGGGGACCCTCGCCCTTGATCCTGATCATTGGCGAAGTTTCCCCGCGGTTCATACCGCGAGTTGGCGTCTAAGCTAGACCTGTCTGGTAGTCCACGCTCAGCAGGGTGAGTGGAACCATTCCCAGGAACTGGGTCTCGGCCATTGACTGCCGTGAAGCGGTTTGGGCTGTGTTCGGTCACATTCTCAGGTCCCGATTCGTGACCGTTCATAATGGGCGCAGCAAGAGCAGTCATAGTGCGATATAGAGAGAAAGAGCGAAAGAGCCAATACAACGAGAGCCGTTGTCGAATATAAAACGGGAATGAGCTCTGGTAACACCTGGTAACCGGGACACTATGCGCGAGTATAGTGTGTATTGCTCATGAGAGAAATTCCGGTGCCCTTGGAGGTTGAGTATATTCATGCGCTAAATTCCCTTGAAACGCAGGAAGGTCGCGGTCACAGTCGCCGGCAAGATGAAACGTTTCACGGCCAGAACGATCAGAGAGGTCCCCCCTCAGATGCTTCTGCGGCAAACTCACCCGCGGTGGGGCGGTGGAAGATCTGGAGGCGGGAGATTGGCACAAATAGTATACAGAAATGGCCCTTTTAGGCGAAATCAGAATGGTGCAGAGCTCGGAGATCAGCTCTCGCCACAGCAAGGGGACTGAATATAGAGGGAAATCAAAATCAATAAAAAAAAATAGGGGGACAGAAGGGAATGAAATATTGGGCGGGGGGAGGGGGCGGCAAAGTGGAAGAGGGGGGAAGGAAACACTAATAAGAAAAGGAAAAAAAAAAGAGAAAAGAGAGAGACGAGCTAGGGCCCTCTTACATCTATAGCAAAGTACAGAAAACAAAAGGGAAAGGGGAAGTTGGCGATCGGCAATGACGGCGTCACACGCAGCACCAATCGGAAAGGGATCAACCGCTTCCTAGTGAAAGCGCGGGTCTGAGACACCTGTGTCTATTCGCTCGCTTTTCGTTTTTTTTTTTCTTTTGCGCGCGCGTTCCGGCTCCGTCCCGCGCTGACAAATTTGGGCCCGACATTCGCCATTGGCGCCCGTGTGTCCGCGCATGTGGGCGGTTATGCGCTTAATGGGATTGGGTCTTTTTGGGAGGGTGTTGGGAGGGGATTTCCCCCTCGGGATACCTCATGTTCCCTATTTTATTTTCTTGTTGATAGGCTGGTTTCGAGTCTCTTGCGGTCCCTCTTCCTTTGGGACTTGGGAAATTGAGACTCGGGAGTTATTTGATGACTGCATCGTGCCGCCGCGCTAGGACCGGAAGACCGAAGTCAGGTCGGCTGGGCACGGATGCCTATGGCTTGCGCTGTTACGCACCTTAGGCGACCTGGGTGTTTTTGCTTTGTTCCCTTCCTGGCGTGCGATTGGATCCTCCGAGGGAATTCCCATTACCTTATCACATTATTCTGTATCACTTTCATTGGAGATTATTTGGAATCTGGATCCTGGTAAAATGCTATACGCGAGTGTGCTATCGCCCTGTTTCCACACTCTCATAAACGCTGCGCAACTAGCGTATTAGACCAATGAGATCATTTCTGGATATGTCATATTAGATGCCCTAGATGTTTGCATCTTCCGTACGAGGGGATCCTCATCCTAATCCGCGAAGGGCTTCGATCGAGCCACGGGGTAAAGCGCACATATGCAGTTCAACTCCCTGGTTGTATGTTGTCCGCATACAAACAACCTTGGGAAGGCGGGCGGGAAGCTCGGCTGACTAAGGGAACCAACTTGGAAGGTCAAACATCAACGCGCCTCTCACCGCCAGAGTCTGAGATAGCTTCTTTTTTTACCCCCAATTTCCTGTCTTGTTGACTGCCTGAGTATTCTGGTACGCCGATATTGGTTCTCTCACCCAATCACTTCTCTTCCCCCTGAGGCCGTGCTGACCCAACCCCTCCAGAGGATCTCTCTACCCCACCGATCCTATTACTTCCTATTCCACCCCTCCAATACTGCCCTGCAGCCGCCTTGGCCCCCTCATACCTTGTCCAGGCGGTTTCTCATTAACCTCCCTTTTGGACTCTCGTGTCACCGCTCCTATTCCGAGATCTGAGGCGACGCCGCCCGTCCGCGCCGGGATGTCGATTTCAGTACAAGAGCTGGACAACACCGTCCGGGCTTTGTTTGAAGGCAAAGGAGAGATTGTAGGTCAAGTCTCTGTGTGCCCGGGCAGCGATCATAAGATTATTGTGGTTGCTCGAACTCCTATCTGACTGGAACGCTGACACTGGAACGCATCTAGCAAAACCAAGCCCAACAGACTTTGACGGAGGTAAGCGCGCATTCCGATCAGATTTCGATATGATCACCGATCTAACTGGCTCTTTTTGCTATTTAGTTCAAGCAGAATCCAGATGCCTGGGTCACTGTGGGAAACATCCTCCAAGAGGCCTCATATCTCCAAACCAAATGTGTGTCCCAACACCTCTGACCTACCAGTCAACTCCCGACATTCAGCCGCTAACTCGCTCTAGACATTGCCCTTCAGGTCCTCGACAATGTGATCATGACCCGGTGGAAGGTTCTACCACGAGAGCAATGCCAGGGTAAGAAGAACAGTCCACATTTCCCGTCTGCCCACGCTCACATTGCCCGGTCCAGGTATTCGAAACTTCATCGTGAGGTTTATCCTTGAAAACTCCGAATCCGAGGAAAAGATCCAATCCGAGCGTCCTCTTTTGAATAAGCTTAATCTGGTGCTTGTCTCCATTCTGAAGCAAGAATGGCCTCACAACTGGCCCACCTTCATTAACGAGATCATTTCCTCTTGCCACGCCAGCCTTTCGATCTGCGAGAACAACATGAACATCCTCCGTCTGTTGTCTGAGGAAGTCTTTGACTTCTCACAAGACCAGATGACCTCCGCCAAGGCACGAAACCTGAAGACGACCATGACTTCCGAATTCGCGTCGATCTTCCAGCTCTGTTCAGAGGTTTTGAACACTGCAAACCAGCCCAGTCTCGTGAAGGCTACCCTCGAGACACTGCTGCGATTTTTGAACTGGATCCCCTTGGGTTACATCTTCGAAACCCCCATCATCAACACTCTCCTTACCCGATTCCTCGGCGAGCCCGAGTTCCGCAACGTGACCCTGAAGTGTCTGACCGAGATTGGCGGTTTGCAGATCGGCACTCCCTACAACTATGACGAAAGGCTGGTGCACATGTTCACGGAAACACTTACTGCCGTGTCCAATGTCATTCCTTTGTCTCTGGATCTGAAACAGACGTACGCCATGAGCAACGGTAGAGATCAAGAGTTCCTATCAAATTTGGCGTTGTTCCTTTCGAGCTTCTTCGGTGCTCATCTGGATGTAAGTTCTCACCACCCCGCTTTACTTGCCTTCTTTGCGTCTGTGCGTACTAACGGGTCCTTTCCCTTTTAGCTTATTGAGAAGTTGCCAAACCAAGACTATCTTACCCACTCACATTTCTACATGATCCGGATCAGTCAGATTGACGATCGGGAAGTCTTCAAGATTTGTTTGGATTACTGGACCAAATTGGTGCAGGAACTCTACGAAGAGATGCAGCAGCTCCCTATCACTGACATCAACCCGCTGGTATCCATGAACGTCAGTGGTTTGGCCAATGGCGGTGCCCCCAATCCTAGCACACTGGCTGGTTACCCTCTACGCAAACACAAGTACGAGACTGTGCTCACAAACCTCCGCACTGTAATGATTGAAAAGATGGTCCGCCCAGAGGAGGTTCTCGTTGTGGAAAACGACGAGGGCGAAATTGTCCGTGAATTCGTCAAGGAAAGTGATACCATCCAGCTTTACAAGACGATTCGCGAGTGTCTTGTCTACCTTACCCATTTGGATGTCGTTGATACCGAGACCATCATGATCGACAAATTGGCTAAGCAAGTCGATAATACTGAATGGTCGTGGGTGAACTGCAACACGCTTTGCTGGGCAATCGGCTCGATCTCCGGCGCCATGAACGAGGAGACCGAGAAACGCTTCTTGGTTACTGTCATCAAGGATCTGCTTGGACTCACAGAGCAGAAGCGTGGCAAGGACAACAAGGCTGTGGTTGCGAGTAACATTATGTACATTGTGGGACAATACCCCCGATTCTTGAAGGCTCACTGGAAGTTCCTGAAGACTGTTGTCAACAAACTTTTCGAATTCATGCACGAAACACACGAGGGTGTTCAGGATATGGCTTGTGATACTTTTATCAAGATCGCCAACAAGTGCAGACGACACTTTGTCGCTCTTCAGCCGGGAGAGAATGAGCCGTTCATTGAAGAAATTGTTCGGAACATGAGAAAGATCACTCAGGACCTTTCTCCCCAGCAAATCCACACTTTCTACGAGGCGTGTGGCTATATGATCTCTGCTCAAGGTCAAAAAACTCTCCAAGATCGCTTGACCGAAAACCTGATGGCACTTCCCAACTCTGCCTGGGACTCTATCATTGCCCAAGCTAACCAGAACCCGGCTATTCTTCAGGATGGTGACACCATCAAGATCGTTGGAAACATTATGAAGACCAACGTTGCTGCTTGTTCCTCAATCGGCACCTATTTCTCTTCCCAGATCGGTCGTATTTATCATGACATGTTGAACATGTACCGCGCTGCCAGTGAGCTCATCAACAGCGCCGTTGCCAATGATGGTAATTATTCCTCTTCATATGATTTTGAACCATTACTAACACATGCTAGGAGCTATTGCACCAAAGACACCCAAGGTTCGGGGACTTCGGACTATCAAGAAAGAAATCTTGAAGCTCATCGACACCTATGTGGACAAGTCGGATGACCTTGAGATGATCAATGCCAACATGGTCCCCCCTCTTATGGAGGCTGTTCTGATTGATTATGCCCGAAACGTCCCCGATGCACGAGAGGCTGAGGTCTTGAATGCCATGACTACGATCATTCATAAGCTTCACGTATGTTTTCCTATCCCCTAGGTCTCATTCAAAGAAGGCCTTGTCCGGACTAGAGCCCCTATTTTGAACCTTGCTAATGCATAGAACAGAACTTGATGGAGGACAAGATCCCCGCTATCATGGATAGCGTTTTCAACTGCACCCTTGAGATGATCAACAAGGACTTCCACGAATACCCCGAGCATCGTGTCGAATTCTTCAAATTGCTGCAGGCAGTTAACTTGTACTGCTTCCAAGCCCTTCTGAAGCTAGATGGCGCTCAGTTCAAGTTTGTCATTGACTCATGCATGTGGGCTTCGAAGCACGACAACCGTGAAGTTGAGAACACGGGTCTCACGATGTGCTTGGAGTTGATGAACAACATGGCTGAGACGGACCCGCAGACCTCGAGCATCTTCTTCCGTCAATTCTTCATTTCAATTCTTCAGGATGTCTTCTTTGTATTGACGGACAGCGACCACAAGGCTGGTAAGTGGATCTTTTTTTTTTTTTTTTCTTTTCATTTTGCCTGTACTCACGCTAACGATGGTTTCTAGGTTTCAAATCCCAGGCCATGCTTCTGTCACGCATGTTCTACTTTATTGAGTCCGGCAAGATTCAAGAGCCCATCTATACTGCCGACCAAGCCCCTATGGGAACTTCAAACAAAGAATTCTTGCAAGAATACATTGCTAATCTGCTGAAGAATGCTTTCAGCAACCTGCAAGAGTAAGCTAAATTCCATTCTCTTCCGGTCGCATTTATGCTAATTTATGTGCACAGAGCGCAAATCAAGCAGTTTGTCCTCGGGCTATTTGCTTACACTGATGACCTCAACAAGTTCAAGACTCACCTTCGTGACTTCTTGATCTCCCTGAAGGAGTTCTCTGATGATAACGCAGAGCTCTATGCTGAGGAGAGGGAACAAGCTGTTCGCGATGCTCAAACCGCCGAGCGAGATCGCGCGATGAAGGTCGGAGGCTTGTTGAAGCCCTCGGAGATGGACCAGGAGGATGAGCTATGACTGGATCAAGAACTTCGTACAGAGTTTGCAGCTCCTACGGCTTCTGGGAATGAGTCGGAAAGAATGACCCTGAACGATGATGGCCTTGACGGCTGGGGTCTCTATGAGCTCTAGACCGGAGGTTACAACCCGGGGTTTATTTGCAGTGTGTGATTTCGAGCTTTTTCTTATCTACTTTTATTCTCTTCCTCGTCTTGGACATGGATAAAACAGCTCTCTGGATGAGCAGGTTCCTGGGTGTTGATATATGAGGGCGTATGGAACATATCTAGGTAGTTTCATCCTGTCCCAAGGCGCTGTTTGATAGCTTTTAACGTCAAATGAAAAACGAAAAACTATTACCAGTTCCAAACTCTTATTTTCAAGAGATCTCTCAGATTTTCCAGGACTGCAATTGAAACTATCAAGTACTTCGTCCATTTAGGCATTTAGGGTAGTCCCGAGGCCCCGAGGCCCTGGAGGATCTGATCCGATTTAAAGGCGGTGAGCCCCTTATCAGTTGCATCATTAGAAAAAGTTCCGCCTCTCCACCCCCATAACACACATACTCAAGATGTCCCGCACACGTCAACCGCAAACCCCCCAAACAACCACCGAATCGCAGGAGGAAACAGTTCCTATTTCGACAACATTACGATTACGAGCCGAAGAAGCACCTGAGGCAACCTCCTCATCTCGGCGCATAAGATGGAGCGAAGACGTAGTCGATAATGAAGGCATGGGCAAGAAAAGCTCTAAAGGTTCGATACTTTACCTACCTACCAAAGATCACAATCTAACATCTCCAGTATGCTGCATCTACCACAAAGCCCGACCAGTGGGAGAAAGTAGCTCAGAGGATTCCTCTAGCTCGTCAGATAGTGACAGCGACAGCGACAGCGAAGACGACCGTCGCACGGCCAGGATGAAATCTCGTCGTACAAGTCCCCACGATCACGACCACGAACATGACCACGATAAAGATTGCTCAAATGATCACGACCATCCTAAGCCCAAGAAGGCGAAGAGGAAACCGAGTCCGAATGCATATGAGAAAATGCCTAAGCCTTCGAAAAACCATGATCCTAGAAGAGGATTCTGATTCGCCTTCCTTGCTCCTGAGCTGGCTCTGAGATCCCGGGCCTGTTTGGGTACGAATAGATGGACTGGTTGTCGTGGCCATGTTGAATGGCAAATTGGGTCCTTGCGGGGTCAATGGAGAGGAGATGATAGGCACATGCAAAGTAAAGCACCTTGTCTGGGACGTGCATATTCAATTACAATGGCATGATGAGAGGGACCTTTGCCCAGTGGAAAAGGTGGGGATCTCCTTTTTGGGCTCGTTGCATCGCCGCTTGGGAGTCAATTCATGAAGAATATATCTGTAGATTGAATTGGCTTAGACCTTTCAATGCAACCTTGGAACGATGCTTGCACAAGGGGCGATCTCGCGCAAGTGAATATACTAGGTATGTAACTTTTCGACTCTCGTGGGGCTGTGATAGGGAAGGTAGGGCCCAGTACTAGTAGACACTACGTAGACAGTGAACTCGAACAAAATGAAAGAAAATGGTATTGTGAACCGCAGTGAGGGGGTATCTGAAACATAACTGCAGCCTGGTCTATAATGCTTGTACATATGGAAATCCTGATTTTGTATTACACCATCATGCTTTTTCTCCTTGCTGCAACACGGCCGCGTCTGGCATCGATCATTGGCGCGAACAAATCCTCGTCCTCGGGGGAGTCGACCGGAGATTGTGGTTCATCCTCATCCACATCATACTGTGCCATGTTTGCAGTGCTTTTGGGGTTGGACGAATGACGTCGAGGCTGTCGCCTCGCATTGAGTGTTTCGCTGGACACTTGAGCGGAGACATCTGCAAGGCTGTTCTCGATTTCTTTCTTGATATCTGTAGTCGTGATGCCATCGGTGTCCTCCTTTGGTGCGGATGACACCTTGCGCTTCCGACGAGACACCGTTGCCAATAGTTCTTGTTGGGGAGCGTCCGTGGTAGCAATTGGGTTTTGATCCGCGAAGGTGTGATCAGCTGGAAGACTGCCGGATTGCACGTCGCCTGCACCATCCAGGCTGTCCCGACCAGACTGGAAGCTGGAAGATCTTCTCGAGCCAAATGCAACTGCATCAGCCATTTCTTTCGTGGGACGACGCATCTTATCACGCAAATTGGGCTCGGCATAACTGACGACGGCACCGCGGCGTCGAGAGGGTCGACTTCCGGATTCTTCCTCTGCTTTCAATGCATTGGGGTGTGGTGATAATGCAGGAACACTCTGTACTGGTTCCTCTGGTTGGGAGGGGCGGCTGGTGCGCTTTTCTTTTTGTGAAGGGGCAAGTTTTGTTGTGCGCGGCTTTTGGCTCACAGTCTTGCCGCCGAGCTTCTCAATAGACATGTTCTTCTGGGGAGAAATTGTGTTTTCGTCGCCTTTGGTGTGTTTTTGAACGAGCTTGGGATCCTGGTGGGAAGACATGCGGGCTTTTTTGGGAGAGCCTAAGTTGGAATTTGCGCTCTCTGTTGCGGTTGTCAGCTCAAACTCAACTGAATAGAAACATAAACGTTTGTAAGCTTATAGTGATACATACTCGGTTCAAGTACCTTGCGCTTGGCTAGGATAGGGGTCTTGGATCCTCTTGTCACTTCGACATTTTTGATAGGTGACGGATCCTTTCGCGTAACCTCAAAGAAGTTGGTTTGCTTTTTGGGGCTATGACTAGGTCGGCTGAATTGGAATTCGTCCTCGTCCTCTTCGACATCGGGGGCGAATTGGTCCTCATCCTCTGGTATGAACTTGCGCTTGGTCGAGGCCGGGGGCGCGATGTTGGCTGTGGCAATAGGTGGGCTTGGCTGTGGTTCGGTCGGGGCAGGACCAATTTCCGGCGCGAGAACCGAAGTAGACCTCTTTTTCTTTTTGCGGGTTTCGAGTGTTGGAGGTAAAATAGCCTCATGTTCTGGTTCTTCGATGGCGCTCTCGAGGGGGGCTCTGTATGTTACTTCTGGCGGGGAAGGGCTGGAGTGTTCAATGTCGGCCTCTACTGGCTCTGGGGTGAAACTGAATTGAGGTGGAGATTCCAAAATACTTTGATCGTCACGCAGGAGACTATCAAGTTCTTGGGCTCTGAGAAGGAGGTTAGTCACAGACAACGAGCACAACACGCGATAAAACATACTCCAAAGTTCGTCGCGGGTAATATTTGTCCTCGACGATGGCGGGGAGTCTGCCATCATCGGGTCCAAACAAGTCGTCAGTTCTGGGTCGCGACTCTGGTGCCTGCTTTGGTCGTTGAGGCTGTTCGTCGCAAAGTTTGCCCACACGGCGGGGCAATGATCCCAGATCAGTCGCCAGGCTGCTCAACTCGGCCAGCTTGGCATCCAACTTGGACTTGATGTCGTAGATCCCGCTGTGTAGCATCTTGCCTGCCTCCAGCCTTTCAGTCTCCTGGGTGAGGTTGATAACCTGTTTCCGAAGCGAGACATTCTCTGAAAGCAGATGTGATACTTCGGACTCCAGGCTGCGGATACGCAGAGACTGCATGGAGTTTACTCGTGCGATCTCTCGATTTTGTCGCACAAATCGACGCTTCACTGTAAGCGAATCGTAATGGTCAGCCATATAACTCGAGTTTGGCATGCTGCAGCAACTCACAAGCGTCAATAGACTCGGCAGGGGCCGCATAGTCGTTCAACCGAGCCATGGTGGTGCGACCACGGCCTGAAAATTCAAAAACAATAAGGGATCTTATAAGAAGGTTAATCAATGCTCAAGGTACGCACCATGTACCTGTTGGCAAGGTGGAGTGAAACGGTCGGGATACAAAGAGAGCAGAACGTAAACAGTCCACCCTTGTTGATTTTTGTCCGTTTTTGGACTAGCGTGCTATTTGATGAGTCATCACTTAAACGGAAGGCACCTGGGCACCCTACGTATGGCGGGGAACGCGTCTTCCCCCGTGGCCATCACTGTCGCTAACAATCTCCCAATGGCATACTCATCACGACCGACATCAATGCTTCCAGGCGCCCCTGGTGGGTCGTCTATGCGTCAACCTAGTTCGCAGTCGCAGCAATCTTCGGCGCTGTCGGCCCGCATTGCAGCCAAAAAGGCCGAGCTGGAGAATTTACGCCAGCTGCGCGATTTGAGTGGGACTCTAGCAATCCAAATGCAAGCTCTGGAAAGCAAGGTCTCCACGTTGAAAGACGGCACTGAAGGTTGCCCTTCCCATCCCTTGTTTTGGGGAATCGTCACTAACTCACTATGCTGCTAGCTGTGGCATACGTGCTATCGAATTGGGATAATGTTCTACGAGCCATCACACTCGCTTCCCGTAAGCCACATCGAAACTTTATCGCGGACTAGTATTGACGGATTGTTCCATAGAAAAAGCCAGCGGGCTCCACGAACCGACCGAGGCGGAGAGCAAAGGAGCGGATACAAAAGAGCGCTTGCCGGCGACGCTGGTTCGCATTCCAGCTGAGCCACGTGAGAAAACGGGCGAATGATCTCCGCTGTCTCACTGCCGGTTTCTCGGCTGAACACCCTCTTAGAAGAACGCCTCCATTGTGGCTGGGGATAGTTCACCCCATATGCCGGCTCGGTAATTCCCTCAGTGGAGACCTGGGCTTTTGCCTATCTCGAAATACTCACGGTTGAACGCGGCGACAGATATTTTGGTCGTGATTGCCATGAGCGCCCTGAATGGTTCCTCCTACACCCCAAACCAGATTCCGACACCCCCCAGTGGATAATAGATCCGGCAGTCGGCAGACCCAATTAGGACCACGAGTCCCTTCATGTGTGCAAATCATGCGAATCTTCGCGTGACGCCATGAAAATTGAGCGGTGCTAAAGTTTCGCATATGCAATAAAGTTGGGTTATCTCGAAATGGGCGACAAATCAGCAGAGACATGGTCTAATCTTCCCCCCCCTCAAAATAGCTGCAACGGCAATCATAGGCACAGGCAATCTGATGAGGAGCTGACGTGATTGGGTCTCTCATGGGACTTCTATCCAGGTGCATTCGGAAATATGTACAGCGTCAGGGAAGTGAGAGGACTAAGACCTAAGCAGACGTACTAGAATACATTGGGACTAAGATTCAGGGCCGAAAAAGGTTTCAGCTCATCATGAGACTAATGACCGAAGGTTATGAGCGACGATAGTTACCAGTTCGAGGTTCCTGCATGGGGGCACTTGGCACATTTAGGGGGGCAAAAGACGAAACTCCAGTACGAGGTGGGTACATGAGCTCGGGCCCTAGGGTACTCCGATGCTACCCACGGGTCCCCATGGTGTACCTTGGTGGAGCAAGTACCTGGGTACCTGGGTGAGGTATCCATGCGGTACCTCATTATTTTCAATAAGCGCCCGAACCACCCCAATATTCCCTCTAGTATGATTTGGCCGAGGAGTCATACGTGGATCCAGTTCGATTTGCATTATCAGTAAATGAATTAACGAAAATGGGCTAATGTGCAGTCTGAGCTCAACGTGCGCGATTATTTCCCCGCAGCCGTACCTACATGTTTTAGTTCCTTTTTTTGGGTTCGGCTTTCTTAAACATTCCTTATATATCTCCATTCCAGTCTGGGATGGCATGATCGCTCTGTGACACTTATAAAGTGGAGTATGAGGTGATCTGCTAGACTTTAATACTCCTGTCTCCCTCTTCTATCTTCAATTCTTCCTTCAATCTTCAATCTTCCCACCTACCACGCCTGTTATACCTATTGATACACATATTCGTGGACACTATACACACTACAACCTATCTATACATACACACACACACACACACACACACACACACCATGTCCACTGAATGGTCATTGGATTTCTGTTTGGTCTGTGACCGACAGACATTGGGCGCGCCCTATTGCTCGCAAACATGCCGCCTCGCAGAGTTGGATGTCGAAAACTCCTCACGAAGATCAAGTGAGGCCTCAACACATTGGTCCGAAACCGCCCAAGCACAAACCCTCTCCGCCTCCTCCTCGCAAACCTCTCTCACCTCCCTCAAAAGCAACGAATCCCATGTCACCGACCGCCTTCAAGATGAATTGCGTGATTATGCAAGTTGTTTCGATCAAGTCCGCGACCTCAAACGTCGCATGACGACCACATAATGCTCGAGTCTCCCACTCGATCCGACACTCGACATGACTCAAATGCATGCAGCCCTGCTGTCTCCTGAACGTTAATTTGCATCGGAAAGGCGTCAACGATGAAAAAAAGATACACTGTTTTACTTCATTTTATTACCTGGATCAATCCCCCGCTCTGTCTTCTCAATACCCACTTGTCATATATATCATCAGAGTCAGGTTGTCATGATCTCGTTGGCACAACTCTTGGAGTTTTTGGTTTCTTTTCTTTTCTCTACTTTTAATGACCAGATTGACCATAATGAAAAAATTGGATTATTGGAGTCTCATTAACAGGCCAAATTCTCTGCATTGTAGACCTGGTGAGCCTAAATTCGATCCAGGTATGTGTCAAGCAATGTGCTCAGGTGGGGACCTCGAGGAATGCGTCGGCTAATGGAATGTATACAATGCAGCACGCGGCATAGAACCGGACAGATGTGGAAAGAAGTGAGAGCTGCACGCCGTATGGAAACACCTGGGCAATCGCTGCAGCTCCACGTCAAGGCTACCCCCGATCTGGCAACCTGCAGACACTAGTGGATGATTTCCCGCCCAACTCTAAAAGTTCAAAAGGTCACACCATTCACGCAAGAGCCTTGGACAGTGCTTTCTCGTTCTTCGGTACGAATCGGACCTTGTATCGCTCAGGAATGGCCACCAAACTGCTCGGATCCGAGTTACCCCGGACCGGATGACAATCGGTTTTGTCATAGGGTTCGAGGCGGAAGCTGTTGAGGGTCCGCATGAAAACGAGATAGAGCTCACGGTTGGCTAGCAGGGATCCAGCACACATACGGTACCCCATGCCGTAGGTAAAGAGTGGCGCGTCCGGCTGCTCGAGCCAGCGTTCCGGGCGGAACTCATCCGGGTCAGTCCACACGTCGGGATCTAGTGTATGAAGGTCAGCTCACGCATTCTCTTGGTCTTGTTGAATTTCATGTTGGGGGGTTGACTTACCCATGTTGCATGCCCACGCATTCAGGAAGAACACCGTGCCCTTGGGGATCACAATGCCGTTGTATGTGATATCCTTGATGGAGGTGCGAGGGAGTGCCAATCGCAGCACGGTAAAGAACCTGGTATCACAGTCAACTGATATTCATCCGATGTCGATATCTCATAGGGCCATACCGAAGACATTCCCGGACAAGTGCAGCGATATACGCACACCTCTGATCATCATCCACTGAACACATGGGATCATCCTGGCCATACATGTCTTGAATAGCCTTTGCTGCCCGATCCTGAATATCAGGACGCTGGGCCAACAGCCCAAGACTCCACGCAACCAAAGTCGTGACCGTATCCAAGCCACCGGAAAGCATGGTCAAACTAATAGAGGTTAACTCCTCGTTATTCAACTTGGCCTCCTTGTCCAAAATAACATTGGCCTGGATACAAGGCTTGTGGGTCCCTTTCGCCATACGCTCGTCCAAATCCCGGTTCAGCGCCCCAAGGTACCGATCACGACGGATGCGCATCTCAGCGGCCTTTTTCGAGTTCGAATTGAATGGGTTCAACCGCAGCAAGGGGATATAATCCTGCAGATTGCCGGTCGTGCTTCGGAACCGACTGATCTCCTCTTCGACGTGTGTTATCTCATCAAACAGGTCCTCTTCCTGGGACGCCACCCGCACACCCCAGTTCAGCGTCAATGCCAAACTCAGACTCAGTCGCTGGATCATCGGCATAGGATCCACGGGTGTCTTTCCACGGTTTCCATATCGGTGCAGCTCCTCGACAAATGCTTTGGACTCCACGTCCAAGTGCGATACATATGTGTCCACCGAGGGACGATTCAGCGCCGACGCTGCGCCCTTCCTGCGCCTTTTCAAGGAGTCACTGTAGGGAGAGGTTCCGATCGTCGTACCGGCGGTGTTGGAAACAATCTATACATATCAGTTTAGGTACTCCAAGCGTATGTTCTTAGTTCGAACCTTGTGGAAAGTATAAAACTCAGGTCTTGAGCTGAGCGCTTGGGCATTCTGCCCGAATAACACCTTGGCGGATGCGGCAGAGTTCACAACGACCACAGGTACATTACCCAGTTGGATCTGATAGACTGCTCCATGTGTCTTGGACCATAGACGATACTGCTCTGCGGCATTGGTACGAATATGCCACAAGTTACCGATTAATGGCCAACCCGCCGGGCCTTTCATGCCCTTGACACGGGCAGAAGAACGCACAAATTCATTAAGAATGACGTAGAGAATAGGCACGAGGATCGCCGCAGCGGCAAGGGAATGGTAAGGGTACTCCGTGGCACTCCTTTGTAGGCTGGATAGCACAGCGGCGATGGCCATGATGAGATTCCAAGGTTTGACGATGTTGGAAATGGATTCTCCGAGCCTACATGTTTGCTATAAGTATAGGTAGTATACAGGTCGAATGGAATCTTTCCGTACATATGATCCCGCAGTGCAACCTTGAAAGAAGCGGTCGATTTGTCTCTACCCCACAGATTTACCCCAGTCTTCAGTGATTTGCTCGCAGCCGAGGCTTTCCGCACCCGGAATTCTTCCGCCCAGACTGCCAATGGGGGCTTGGGTACTGCGTATTACTCGATTGGTCTTGGAGGCCCGGGCTTGGGTTTGATGTGCAGGTAAAGATGGGCTGTTCGTTGCTCATTGGTGCGCGGACCGGGAGTCAGAGCTCAACCTGCCCAGGTGGGAGCTATATAAATCTCCGCTCATGCCCACTCCATACATACTGTAGGTACCAAGTACCTGGCCCGGGGCCTGGAGGGTCATCCACACTGCGCAGGTATCATGTCTCGAATCAATTTCATTTCTTTACCACAAAACATGAACGGAGTATGCTGGGCCTACCGAGGTACGGAGCCGTACAGCGCACATCCTTCCCCGCAATAAATCCTGGGCTTGACACCTGGGCATTGCATAGGGCTTACCCCGTACGGAGTACACCTGGGCGGGTGTAGCCCTGGAGTACAGAGTACCTAGGTAAATCCATCCACCATTCGCAACAATTTCCGGAGTGAACAGAGTCCTCCGACCGGAGACGCTTCTGCATGTCAGTATGTACAAAACCGATCTGATAATTTCTTTTTGTGGCTAGTTTTCAAATAGTCGCGATAGTGATTGATAGTCCCAAAAGGGCACATGTGCAGAGAGGCACAGGGGCTAATGAAGATCATAATCCACTCACGCAAGGATTCTCATTTTCATGGAAAACCCAAATCTTTCTAGAAGATCAGACCGAACCTGGTTTTGTATTCCAGAATAGCATCACCGTCATGAGCCGGTCTCGGGGCAAACAGGTTGATTTCCATAACTTGGCAGGGCTATGAATCACATTCCAAACCGGTATCCTCTGGTGGGTCAGCACAATTCGCAGTGGATCAGATCCAAACAAGGTGTGTTCATAAAACGGGGCCCCTGGGCCGGCTGGGGCACGATAGCCCCCTCTGACTGGTCCGTATTTGTAGAGCTTTCAGTCAGGTGGCCGCGAAGACTTTGATCGGGGTCCAGACCATTGAGGAAGCTATCGTCTGTTTCATTTGTTTTGTTGAGAAACCGAAGGGATGTATCGGCTTCCCGAGGAATTGACAGATGCGACTCGTCAATGGAGACCGAAGAAAGGAGGAAAGGGAAAAAAAGACTGGAATTCCAGGGAAATCTCTTCGCGTCATGTGTCGGGGCAGAAACCCGATCAAAGCCTCCACTTTTACAGTGCCAATTGGTGGGAGAAATGGCGATGGAAGACAGTGCCATCCCCACCAACTTGCTCCAATGGTGAGCTCTATGGCGCCCATGACGCAGAGCTTTGCTTGTACTCGTGACACCCCTGGGTCGTTGGTGGAAGGTGTAGCGACCAGGTATCTGATACCCTTGGCTCCGCAAATCTTGCCCTTCGTAGCCCTGGAGTTGATACCAGGTTTATCTATCCTTTTTTTATTATTATCTCTCCCTTTCCTCTTCACTCTCTCTTCACTCTCTCCTCTCTTCTCACTCCACTTCTCCCCCTGCTGTCTTTATAGAGACACCTTGAGGATTTGTACATCTGTTCATAAAAACATTCATAATGGCCGCTCGACACTCACGCAAGCTCCTCAGACCTCTCCTATACACATCCGCGGCCGCCGCGGCTGGAGCTGGTGTTCTGTACATTTCTTACCGCCCACGAAACATTCCCGGTCTGGAGGCCCCAGCGGTGCCACCACCTGGATACCGCGAAGGAAAGCTGGTGCCTCCCAGCTTCCCCCTAATTAAGTCCCGTCTGGAGCAGATCCAGGATCTGAAGCGCAGTAACGAGGAGGAAGAATATGATCTTCTGGTCATCGGTGGCGGAGCCACCGGGTCCGGAATTGCGCTAGATGCCGCCACCCGTGGCCTCAAGGTCGCTGTGGTCGAGAGAGATGATTTCAGTGCCGGTACCAGTAGTAAGAGTACCAAGCTGGTGCACGGAGGTGTCCGTTATCTCGAAAAGGCTGTTTGGGAGCTTGATTACAACCAGTCAGTATCTCCAACCGGGGTTTTGCGTCCCGGCTCCACTTCCTCCGACGCAACTTTGGGCTGACAGTCGCATCGCAGATATGCGCTCGTGAAGGAGGCTCTCCGAGAGCGCAAATACTTCCTTAACACAGCGCCCCATCTATCTCAATGGCTACCAATTATGGTGCCCGTTCAGAAGTGGTGGCAGGCACCCTACTTCTGGGCTGGTACCAAGGCTTATGATTTCTTGGCCGGTTCCGAGGGTATTGAAACCTCGTACTTCTTGACCAAGAGTAAGGCTATCGATGCATTCCCTATGCTGAAGCGCGATAACATTATCGGTGCCATGGTCTATTACGGTGAGTCCTTGATCGCAAGCTTGACGTGCTGTTCTGGAGCTAATTTGGAGTTCAGATGGTGCCCACAATGACTCCCGCATGAACGTTTCCCTCGCGATGACAGCTGCCCTCTACGGAACCACCGTCGTGAACCACCTCGAGGTGACCGGACTGGACAAGGACGCCAATGGCAAGCTGTGTGGTGCGCGCGCCAAGGATGTGGTCACCGAACTGAACGGTGGCAAGGCCGAGGAGTTCAAGATCCGCGCCAAGGGTATCATCAATGCTACCGGTCCCTTCTCGGACGCCATTCGCAAGATGGACGAGCCCGATGTCAAGGAGATCGTTGCCCCCAGTGCCGGTGTCCACGTCATTCTGCCCGGCTACTTCAGCCCCTCCAACATGGGTCTGATCGATCCCTCGACTTCCGATGGACGTGTGATTTTCTTCCTGCCCTGGCAGGGTAACACCATCGCTGGTACCACCGACCAGCCCTGTGAGATTGAGGCCCAGCCCCAGCCCACCGAGAAGGATATCAACTGGATTCTGTCCGAGATCCGTGGCTACGTTGCCCCCGATATCACCATCGAGCGCAGCGATGTGCTGGCTGCCTGGTCCGGTATCCGTCCTTTGGTCCGTGACCCCAAGGCTAAGAACTCCGAGTCCCTGGTCCGCAACCACTTGGTCACTGTCTCCCCGGCCGGTCTCTTGACCTGCGCCGGTGGAAAGTGGACCACCTACCGCCAGATGGCCGAGGAGGCTGTCGATGAGGCCATCGATGTCTTCAAGCTCAAGCCCCGCCAGATGGACTCCCTCCCCGATATCTCTGGTGTCGGTGGCAGCGGCCTGGTCGCTGACGGCGCCACTCTCGACGGTACCTGCCAGACCCACCAGGTTCGCCTGATCGGTGCCCACGGTTTCTCCAAGACCCTCTTCATCAACCTCATCCAGCACTTCGGTCTCGAGACCGATGTCGCCAAGCACCTGACTGAGTCCTACGGTGACCGCTCATGGCAGGTCGCTGCCCTCTCCTCCCCCACTGCCGAACGTTTCCCCGTCCGTGGCTGCCGTCTTTCCGCCATGTACCCCTTCATTGACGGTGAGGTTCGCTACGCCGTCCGCCACGAGTACGCTCAGACCGCTGTTGACGTGATCGCTCGTCGCACTCGTCTGGCCTTCCTGAACGCCGAGGCCGCTCTTGAGGCCCTCCCCCGCGTCATTGACTTGATGGGTGAGGAACTGCAATGGAACATTGCCCGCAAGGATGTCGAGTGGAAGGACTCTCTGTCCTACCTCAAGTCCATGGGTCTCTCTGACAGCTTCATGGGTCTCTCCCGCCAGGACGTCCAGACTGGTCGCGTCCGACAGGTTGATGACAAGGAGCGCGCCACATTCTCTCGCAATGGTAAGCTCTTCAAAACTGAATACATGTTGTCCAATGCTAACGAAAAACTATAGAACCCCCTGCGGACATGATTGAGAGCGACGTCCGGGCTGTCTCTGACGCTGCCGTGGCTGCCGCCGCCAAATAAATGGTAATAATAGATTGATTGTACAAATAGAAGCGTTCCTTACTTTTCCTTTCTACAGTTTCGTCCGATTAGCATGTTGAACGTCCCAAAATATGATCATTTTGAATCAATCCGACTTCACTGGAAGCGTCCTATCGGGCGCACTTATACTCATACGGGTCAACGAGGAATTTAGCTCAGACGTGCGCTCGAGTTGTTGTCGGTGTCCTTGTAGTAGTGCTCGGGTGCTGTACTAGTACTTCGACGGTATACGCAGGGCAGAATTTTGATGTTGATATTTTGATTTCCAGGTCTCCCTCGTGGCTGCCCCAAATGTGATTTTCAACGCGGTTTGAACTTCTCTTTTGTAACGAACTTGATGGATCCCAATCATCCTGGTATGAGCACTTCTATATCCATGGACAAAATTGAAATGGTCAAAGACGATGGTCCGAAGGATGGGGATCCCTTTGGGGACGAGACCCAAACAGGCGTGAAGTACAAGACTATGACATGGTGGTGAGTTCCGTTTCCTCAAACTCAGAACAGACAGCTCACATCAATAGGCAAACCGGCATGAGTAATTAAATGCTTTCCAGATCCGCTGCTCGCAAGCTAACCCATTCAGTCATGATTGCGGAGACCATCTCGCTCGGAATCCTTGCGCTTCCAAAATCCCTCGCGATACTAGGGCTGATTCCGTATGACACCTTCCTGCTGGTAATGGGGAAAGCTAATATGGAGACAGTGGAGTCATTGCCATCGTCGTTATCGGAATCATCTCAACATACACCGGCTACACTATCGGACAATTCAAATGCCGACACGTGCAAGTCCACAGCATGGCCGATGCTGGTGATATTCTGATGGGAAGATTTGGACGGGCAACACTGGATGCCGCGCAGATAGTGTTCTTCATGCTGGTCATGGGCAGTCACATCCTGACATTCTCTATCATGATGAATGTCCTGACCGAACATTCTTCCTGTACCATCCTCTTCTCAGTCCTAGGTCTGCTCGCATCACTGGTACTGACTCTCCCCCGACGACTAGAACGGCTCTCCCACGTCTCCTCCGTTGGGTTTGTCAGTATTACTGGAGCAGTAATAACTGGCATGATTGGCATCGCCCTTGCGAACGAGAAACCCTCCGATGTTCCGGTCTTTTCACCAGGTGCAGAAATACACCATGTGTGTCTCGCTATTGCGAACATTGTCTTTGCGTATGCGGGTCATGTGGCATTCTTCACCCTCTTCTCTGAGTTGAAGGAGCTGGAGGACTTCCCCAAAGCACTTGCACTTCTGCAGATAAGTGAGATGGTCTTGTACATTGTTGCGGCGATTGTGATTTATGCGTATGTTGGGCCAAGCGTGAACTCGCCTGCTCTCAACTCTGCGGGGCCGTTGTTCCGGAAGGTGTCTTATGCCATCGCTTTGCCCACGGTACGTACAAGTCTAAATGGATGTCTTTTGATATAGGGCTGACTGTCTTGACAGATTGTGATCGGGGGCGTGGTAAACGCCCATGTCGCGGTCAAATTCATATATGTCCGGATATTCCGAGGGACCAACTCTATACATAGCGGCTCGTTTACCGCGCGAGCGGTCTGGGCCATTATATGTGTAGTCCTCTGGGTCTTGTCGTGGGTAATCGCTGAGGGCATACCGGTCTTCAACGATGTTCTAGGGCTCGCGGTGAGTACTGCAAGGTCAGCTTCAAATGGCAGCAATTGACCTTTAACCAGAGCTCGTTATTCGCCAGTTGGTTTTCGTTCGGTCTCCCAGGCCTGTTCTGGCTATACCTCAATCGGACTTGCTGGTTCTTGACCCGGCGACAGCAGATTCTATTTTGCGTCAACATTCTTTTAGTGTTTGTTGGATTCCTCATTGTAAGTCGTGCAGCCCAGGTGGCAAGATCAAGCTAAACTGTGCCACTAGTGCATTGTCGGGTTGTATTCGTCTATTCGGTCCATCTTCCACAACCTTCGTGATGGCGTTGGAGGAGGTAGTTTCTCGTGTGCAGACAATTCTCTTTATTGAGGTATCCAAGTGGCGAGGTACTCGGGAAAACTTCTGATTCGAGGGGAAACTTACACCACCTAGCATTAGTGTGGATTGGTAGAGTTTATTGTTCTCGGAAATATATGAATAAAGTGCAAAATCTGGCTACACAGATTTCACCGGTGCGCAAGTGATTTCCTTTCGGAGCGAGTAGTGGATCTGCGCACAGATAGTCTTGATCACAAGGGATCCTTGTGTAAACCTTGGGAAGATATGGGCAGATGTGACACTGAAAAGAGTTAGGATCAGGTACAACAAAAGTACCACACAATAGATTGATTAATATAAGTGGTCACGCATAGTCAATCACCGACGGGGCTACCTACCTAGGTACTTAGGCTAACCTTGGAAGGACGCTAACGGCCCTAATGAATGACTCGCAGCCGATTCACCCGGAGAATTGCTCACATAACCAAAAACTTACTTTTATTATGGTTACTGTTATAGGCTGGGGGGGTGATTTATCCACAGTATACAGAGTACCTAATACGGATATCAATATCCATGGATGTTTATATATATTCCCATATACACCCAACTTGGACATGGGGCAAGCGACCTATTGATGAAATACAATGATCAGTCGAGGCATTATATTCTATATTATATACATTAGCTCGAACAAAATGTGTCCCCCCCCCCCCTCCTCTCCCCTCTTATGCATCATAGCCCAACGCATGTACTGTGTCCCAATCCAACAGGGATCAACTTGTACATCCTGTAGAACCAAGGGGGTAACGTGACCAAGAGACCGCTCTTTCGATTTGTTCGCCTCTGAGAATCACGACCCTATCAAGAAACCCTCTTTTTCAGGGGGTATTTGGGTTTGGGAAAGTCGGTACCGGGCTCGAGGAGTACCTCAAATCCCGCCACTGGAGCCAGTCCAGCCATGGAAAGAAGAAAAAAGAATTTTTAGGTATTCGTAAAAATGCAAGCGCAAACTAGTTGGCGACGTCACAATTGCTGGTTTGTTGATAATTGTCCCAGAAACGAGCCACAGCCCGCTGGGCGACGGGGGAACCGCGGTAGCGCGTTGTGAGGAAGTAGTTAAAGAGGGCGAACTCGTCCGGGCTGAGGACGTAGGTATCGGGCTGGGATTGAATGCGATTCCAGAGTTCGGTGATGGTACTTTCTAGCACGGCGGCGGTGGAGGCATCCAAGGGGCCATCTTCACACTCTCGGGCCCGCTCGAGAGCCTGTCGGATATCCGGCCAGCATTTTGATAGAGGCGGGTTTGGCATGATGAACTGTGGAGGGTTGGAAGTCTGGTGAGAACGCGCGCGGCGCTCGAGAGCGATTGCAGGGCCAAATAGAGGGAGAGGGAAGGAAATGTAGCCACGGAGAGAATGCGATCACTTTTTAAATTAAATTGGGAGTGGAGACCAGGCGAGGGGAGATGGAATAGGGAAGAGGGGGAAGAATCGGGCCAGTGGTTCCGAAAATCTATGTTTATAAGTGTGACATCCGAACGAAAATGGGTAGAAAAGAACAGTTCCAGCTGTGGGACGTTCAAGCCGGACTTCCCCCGGGAGCGGAGATTGCGGTATGGAGAGATGAACCTGCAAGGCCGTCCAAACATAAATATCATAAGAGTGGGGTGGTTTGTGCTGTATAAGCGGGCTCGCCCGGGAATGGCGTAACGGTTTTCATGGTTGTCACGGCATTTTCCAGGCTAGGATCGAGGGACACGGACCCAGATGCAGCAGTGACTCGTTGACGAGCTATAGAGCTCAAGGTTTAGACAGGGTCGCTTAAAGCCGATAGGACCAATTGGCGGGCCTTAGATGGGTCCAGCAATGGTCCGGTGCGTCAGTTGAGTGGAACTGTGGTGGAACTTGAGGCTCGACTGGTAACTTGTGCCGAATTCAAAAAAAAGAATAAAAAAAAAGATTGAGAAAAAAAAAATATAAACCCTGCGTTAGCGGTCTCTGCTGGGTTGGGTCGCGCTTTTTCCCTATTGGCGAGCCTGTTTCGGCCGGGGATCCTCCTCTCTGAGAATGGCGATGCTTCGTGCCGATGTACATCCTGTCTCCGAGACACTTTCCGGCCCTTCCACGGTTGCTGAACACAAGCGGTTGTTCGCCCGAAATGAACATGCAGTGTTCATCACGATGATCGAAATTTGGAAAATTCTGCATAGGTTTCAGGTTTCATATCAAGACAAAGAGAGGACACGTAATGATGTATCTTCAGATCAGCCGAGGGCCAACTTGGCCGTGTGAAGAAGAGAATCAAGTGAAGAGAATCAGAGGCCAAAAGGAGATGTGAAGTGGCCCGCAACTCTAATTGAGGTTCCATAGTTTCAACCTTTTAGGGCACTAGTACACCATATTGTACATTTATTGCCGAAACCTGAAACACCAAAAATCAAGTCTAAGTTTCGTGATATCGTAAACGGGCTCTTAACTTTGGAAGGATTGGAGTCCACTAGTGTTTCAGGTATCTCGGTCTCTCGGAACCTAGATGAAGTCTTTATTTGGTCCTGAAGTCAGAATAGCCTTCGGATCATGATACCGTTAAGGACAGAACTTTCCATCAACCAGCCAAGTGGCCGAGCAGTAACTCAGCCATCTCATCTTCCTTGGTCTAGTGGTGATGATTTCCGCTTGTCATTAACACCGATAAGCGCGGGAGACCGGGGTTCGATTCCCCGAGGGAGAGATTTCTTTTTTGTTCATTTTTTGTCCGTGATATCTTATCAAATTTCTAGTATGTTTTTGTCGCTGTCCATCCTTGCGAGCTCACGTTGGGATCCTCGACATCCCAAAATATCAAACTCTCTCGATTGAGGGCTGCACATTGTCCCGGCCAGTTGACGGCAACGGCCCCGGTGCCCCAGGCTGCCCCGGTGGTCCATCAAGCCCGGGCCCCGAACTATATGATGACTCAGCCGATAAAGAAATTCCAAGGTTCCCCCTCAACACGAAACCCCACGAAGGCCGTTCCAAATCACCTCAAGACGGTTCACAATGGTCTACTACTTCACATCGAACGTTGTATCGCCCTCTGCCTTCATTTATGTCGGCAAAGACAAGTTTGAGAGTACGCCAATCGATCACCACCGCTGTCAAACCGACGATTCTAACCAGACTAGATGAGGATCTCATCCAGTTCGGACTAGAGAATGATGTTTGGTATGCTACTTCCGATGTATCTGTCAGAGAGGCGACTAACCTTCTTGCGCAACAGGGTTTGTCATCCCTCCGACTTTCGACGCCAATTGCCCTAATAGTCTGTACTCCCACAGTTCCATGTCGACAATCTGTCAAGTGCACACGTCTATGTACGCCTCCGTGAGGGTGAAACGTGGGACAATATCGCCCAGCCTCTGCTTGAGGACTGTGCCCAATTGACAAAAGCCAACTCCATTGAAGGTCAGACTCCGTCCCAATGCGCCGGTACCAGCGACTGACCTCTGGGCAGGCAACAAGAAAGACAATATCACTATTATTTACACACCGTGGTCAAATCTTAAGAAAGATGGGTCGATGGCTGCCGGCCAAGTCACATTCCACAACCACAAGTTGGTCCGCAAGGTCTACGTCAAGCAGCGCGAGAACCCCATTGTCAACCGGCTTAACAAGACCCGAGTTGAGAAATTCCCCGATCTTCGTGCGGAGAAGGAGGAAGATTCCCGGAGGAAGGCGCGCGGGGACCGCAAGGCTCGAGATGAGCAGCGCGCGAAGGACAAGAAGCAGCAGCAAGAATGGGAGCAGCTGAAGTGGCAAAAAGACCATGCCTATGATGACATGTTCACCGATGAGAATCTGGAGGCCAGCAATAACCAAGACCGCGATGAGGATTTCTTGGATGACTTCATGTGACGGGACCCGTCGATGGACTTGAACTTTCTGTGTGACCTGCAGCGAAGTAAAACAAAATATACCCTTTACCGATTGCATGCAAGCAATTGAATGTTAGCCTAAATACTTTTTTTCATCAATTCTCTCTTGACTGGAAACAAAACAGAAATGAGGGGGACTCCGGGGCTATGGTGAAATGTCCAGGCTCTGTAAGCCCTAGACCCCTTGAGAGCGCACGTTTTAGCATGGATAACCTCCCAATGAGATATGTACGACCCGAGGGGGAAATGTTTCTCCAAACAATACATGTAGATATCTATATTCGGTTCTGAAAAGTGTATGAACATGGGGATCGATAAGGAGATTAATCATCGCATACCCGGGAAGGGCGCTAGCCGTGTTGACAGCTTACCCTGGAACCTTAGGAAACCAACTTCTTCCCCCATTCCAGGTTCACTTCAATATCATACAGCATGACCGAGGACAACCCACCGGCTGTTGCTCCAAGTAAGACGATATCGCCTTCGTGAATTGAACACCGCTAATCACCCCCCAGGCGCAAAGTCCAAGAAGAGCAAAAAGAAAGCCGCGGCTGCCAAAGCCCAGGCCGACGCTGTGGCCGCTGAGCCCGACACATCAATCGACCAGAATAATGTATGCGAGATCTGCGATCTACCCTAGATGTGATTGCTTTTGCTAAGACCCCCCCGCCAGCATGAACCCCATGATGCCAATCAGGACCCCACCGAAGAGCCCGAATCAAACGGCGCCGAGCCCGAAACAATAGATCTCCCCGACCGGTCAGTCAATCACCAGCAAACTGGTACCGCTGGCAATGCTTCCGCCAGCGCCGATGTCCAACCCGACCCCGCCTCCGATCACACTGAGCCAAAGGACCGATTCGATGCTCTCGTTCGCGATCGCGACTCCTTACGCGCGGAAGTGGCCGACATGCGAAAATCATTGGAGGAGATTCAATCCAAGCACGCCGCAGACATTGAGCCCTTGCAAAAACGGTTGGATGATGCGGAGGATAAGAAGGAGCAGGCAGAAGCGCAGTACCAGACGCTACTGGAGCGAGTGAACACGATCAAGTCGCAACTCGGGGAGCGGCTCAGAGAAGATGCCGTGCGTTTATGCCAAATCGCTTTCTCAATACAAGAACTAATCTTGCTCTCTAGGAGGAACTGGCCCTTGCACGATCGCAAATCGAAGAACTTGAGGACGAAAACAATACCCTCAAGGAGGAATTGGATTCTAAATCTAATCAGATGCTTGAGCTCTCGGGTGATTCAGCAGAGAAGGAAAAAGAGCTCGCAATCCTCCGGGACCGGACAAGTTTATCTCAGCAGAACTGGCTGAAGGAGAAAGAAGAGATGCTGGGACAAGAGTCGTATCTTCAGGCAGAATTCGAGCAAGCAAAAGAGGCAATGCACAACTGGGAGGTTCTTGCTATGGAGGAGAGATCTATCCGAGAAAATCTGAACGAGAAGGTTGGAGATTTGGAGGAGCAGCTCAGCAGCCTCAAAGAGGCCTATGAGCGAGCAACCGATGACCGTGACACTCAGCAGTCAACTGTTGATGGTCTCCAGCGAGCTTTGCAAGAGATCCAGGCCGCAAGAAAGCAAGAATTGCGAGAGCTTGTGGAGAGCTCTGATTCCCAACTCGAGGAGCTTCGGCGCTCTCTACGTGAAGCCCAAAAGCAAGCCTCGGATGCAGACAAGGGTCTTCAAGCTGCACAAGAAGAGATTGAACGAGTTCGACCTTTCGAGAAGGAAGTCAAAGAGAAGAATCTTCTAATCGGCAAGCTGCGCCATGAGGCGGTCACATTAAATGATCACTTGACAAAGGCCCTTCGATTCCTCAAAAAAGGGAAACCTGAAGATAACGTCGACAGGTAAGTCTCACCGAAGGAGGATTTAGGGGTAAGAAATACTAACTCTTTACAGACACATCGTCACTAATCATTTCTTGCACTTCCTCGGCCTAGACCGATCCGATCCTAAGAAGTTCCAGATTTTGCAACTGATTGCAGCGCTCCTAGGCTGGAATGATGGTGAGGTTTTACCCCGGGTCAAAGCTTGAACTACATCTAACGCAGAGCCAGAACAACGTGAACAGGCAGGGCTTGCCCGTCCAGGGACGTCAAGCATGCCGGGAAAACTACGAGTCCCCGGAACTCCCCTGCGAACGCCGAGCACACCAAATCTTGCGACAGAGTTTATGGACAACGGCGCCTCTAGCAAAGAGACCTTGGCTGAACTCTGGTCTAATTTCCTGGAACAAGAAGCAGAAGCTGGGAGTATGAATCCCTCAAGGCGTGGAAGCCATCAGGGGCCTCTTAAGCCATAGAGACCTGATATGTATAAATCACGGGATTATAGAATTGAATATGATTACTTTATACTCTCCTCCTTCCAAGGTTCGTTGTGATGGTTGACTTGAGGTTTGGACGTTTCAATACTTCGATGCTTGTTCCAGACCGCCTTGATATGCCTGTTTTTTGAATGCGGTGTAGTCGCACCGCATCCAGATCGTGAGACTGATTGACTTCTTCTCTTATGTATCAGTCACCTTTTCGTGCTTTTTCTGCGTCTTTCAAACCGTTCAATTACAGACGCTTCTCATCTACAATGTCTGCCGGTAAGTAATTCCAGGAAAAATTCCTTAAATTCCCATCCCACATCACGGCCAATCCCCGCAATCTGAAGAACATTTACTAAATTGAGAATTCAATAGTCTCCCAGTTCAGGCCCGTGGTCGTCAGTGGCCCCAGTGGTACTGGAAAGTCTACCCTCCTGGGCCGTCTGTTCAAGGAATTCCCCGATAAGTTCGGCTTCTCCATCTCTCGTGAGCAAAATATACACATCGGGAAAAGAGCACACACTTACGAAACCAGACACAACCCGCCAACCGCGCGCTGGTGAGCAGGACGGTCGTGAATACTACTTTACCACCAAGGAGTCTTTCCTCGACCTTGTTGCCGCCAACGGTTTCATCGAGCATGCTGAATTTGGCGGAAACCACTACGGAACTTCCGTGCAAGCCGTCAAGAACATTGCGGAGAAGGAGCGCATCTGTATCCTAGATATCGAAATGGAGGGTGTCAAGCAAGTCAAGAAGACTGACCTGAATGCGCGCTTCTTGTTCCTTTCTCCACCTTCGTTGGAGGAGTTGGAGAAGCGTCTTCGTGGCCGAGGCACCGAGACCGAGGACTCGCTGGCCAAGCGATTGGCGCAGGCAAAGAATGAATTGGAGTTTGCCAAGCTGCCTGACTCCCACGAGAAAATTGTTGTCAACGATGATGTTGAGAAGGCGTACACCGAGCTGAGGGATTGGATTGTTGATGGTGGTCGTTTTGGCGCATAGTGCTGAGATGTGGGTGATATCGAGCTCGACTGCTCTCAAATATTCACAATCTCGGTTGCATGACAATAAGCATTGTTTGATAGCGATATAGAGTGCCGAGATATATGGAACTCGGAAAATACCAAGAGGAGCTGTGCCCACCGCGGTACACAAAGCAACTAAATGTATAGCCATGATACCATTTCAAAAGTAACAGCATATTGTGTCATTGGTGTTTGATCTACGTAGTAGAACAAGTTGCTAAATAGTCATCGAAAAAAAGTTGCCCCGCAAAACCCAGACGCCAGGTGCCATGCAGCATATGTATCCACAGCTCGTTCTAGAAATACACTCACCAGGCCAGATATGAGGAGTTGGAAGTCACTCAACTCAGGCCTGGACCCTCATCACGACAATACACTCATGCGGTGTCCAGGGTTCTCCAAGATTCCTTAATATCTGTTGAACATCTGAATTAGCCATCCGGAACCAAATCCCACCTCAAGAAGCTCCAAATCTTACCCTTGACGCAGTGCGGGCACAGCAAGTGAGCGCGCTTGAGTTGACCGCAGCCCGGGCACTTGTTGAGGTTCTTCACGTCCTTCAAAGCCTTGCCGGCCATGAACCTGTGGCGCTTCTTCATGTGTGAGGTCTTCTTCTTGGGAACGGCGCGCAGAACGGACTCCCAGATATCGGAGAGCAGACCGGGGATATTGAGAGAGATTGAGACGGGTTGTAGGAATGCGGTCGCGACGGGTGGCATGAACCGAATGGGCCGGAATTGGAGGGCCTCGGAGAAGAGGGTGCGCGACATGCTTGCCGGGGCAAAGGGGAGTAGACGCAATGCCATTATGGGAATCGTTAGAGCGGAAAAGAAAAGGGGGATGAACGGTGTGGTCGATGGGAGCTATCACAAGAACGAAGAAGCAAAAGCGATCAGTTTTCTCGCGGAGAGGCGCTAGTCCTAATTGGGAATAGCCCACCCCTGAGTAGGAACGCAGATAATAAGGGGTGGCTCTTGCCTCTCCTCTCTGCTGGTCAACTTTTGGGTGTGCGGGCATTTTGTATTCTCTCGTTCAATTCTTTCTTCTGTTAGCTATCGACAATGGCCACCGCTACCTCTCCAGCTTCGGCTCAGCCCACTGTTTTCCCTCACAGCCATGTCGGTTTCGACAGCATCACCTCTCAGATTGAGCGGAAGCTGCTGAAGCGTGGCTTCCAGTTCAATGTCATGTGTGTTGGTATGGAGTTGTCCGAAACACCCGGTTTCGAGGCGTTCTCAGCTAACAAATCGCGCCTTAGGTCAAACTGGTCTGGGAAAATCCACTCTTGTCAACACTATCTTCGCATCCCACCTGATCGATTCCAAGGGTCGTTTGACCCCCTCTGAGCCCGTTCGCTCCACCACCGAGATCCAGACCGTGTCGCACAGTACGTGATTCTGACCACCGACCGAAGTCTAGAACCGGGATAGCTGACAGGAACTAGTCATTGAGGAGAACGGTGTTCGTCTCCGCTTGAACATTGTTGACACACCTGGCTACGGCGACCAAGTCAACAACGACAGATGGTAAATCGATACTTTCCCCTCCGGCGGCACGGAGAATGGCCATGTTCATTTTTGGCTAATTTTGTATCAGCTGGGACCCCATTGTCAAGTACATCAAGGATCAGCACTCCGCATACCTCCGCAAGGAACTCACTGCTCAGCGTGAGCGCTACATCCAAGATACCCGCATTCACTGCTGCTTGTTCTTTATCCAGCCCTCTGGCCATGCGTTAGTTTTACCCCGCTTATACCCCAGGTTTTCCACGCCCCGGGAGTCATCGAGCTAACTCTCACCTTAGCCTCAAGCCCATTGACATTGTTGTCCTTAAGAAGCTCTCCGATGTTGTCAACGTTGTTCCCGTCATTGCCAAGTCCGACTCCCTCACCCTCGAAGAGCGCTTGGCGTTCAAGGAGCGCATCAAGGAGGAGTTCGCTTTCCACAACCTGAAGATGTACCCTTACGATAACGACGAGCTTGATGACGAAGAGCGTGCCATCAATGCCCAGATCAAGGTAGGTTTAAATCGCTGAGATGATTGGATGCAGTATTGACCTGTGGCAGGACATCATTCCTTTCTCCGTTGTCGGTAGTGAGAAGACCATCGTTGTCAACGGCAAGCAGGTTCGCGGTCGCCAGAACCGCTGGGGTGTTATCAACGTTGAGGACGAGAACCACTGTGAATTTGTCTACCTCCGCAACTTCCTGACCCGCACCCACCTCCAGGACCTGGTTGAGACCACCAGCCAGATCCACTACGAAACCTTCCGCGCCAAGCAGCTGTTGGCTCTCAAGGAGAGCAGCGCTGGTGGCGGTCACACTGGTGGTAGCCGCCCTATCAGCCCCTCAGCGGATCGTGAGCTGAGCCGCAACTCTCAGCGCGCGGGCATGAACGGATACTAGGTTCCGTCGATTGTGTGACGCGAGCGCTGTGACCAGGCGCGCAGTCACCCCCCGCGCCGAAAACTTGTCCCCTTTGACGCCAGCAGGCACTTGCAGATATCCCTCTTATTTTCCGTTTCCGTTTTGCGCTTCGTCTTTTTCGGCTATTTGTATCCTAAACCCCATCTTGTCTCTTCTCAAGGATTTGTATTGCCGGGAAAAAAGAGAATTGGCACTTCAGCGCTTGTCAACTCTGGTTCCATGTACTTAACTTTCTTAATTCACTGACGAGAGAAACTTCTATTCTAAGATTTCAACGTCTTCGCCCCTTGGCCTAAGCTAATACGTGGAAAAGTCCTGCAAGGACCTAGAAGGATCTTTGAGGGCAAGCCGGGGACCTAGGGAGTATGCGTTCCTGGGTTCATGGCTAATGTGACAGTCTCTCAAGATGAGAAAAGATATCTGAGTCTGTCTACAGGAATTGTCATTATTTCAAAACCAACTGGCTAGGTGTCTGTCCACGGGTGTAAGACCGGAATTTGATATCCATGGGCACGGGGTACTCCGTTGTGGGCCTGTATGAGGCTCAACCTTGGAAGATACCCACTTGAACGAGGATTACTACTACCTAGGTAGTAGACAAAGAGCAATCTCGGAGCATATCTCGTGAAACCCAACCAACTGCCAAGTTGACGATATAACTTCCAAGGTTACGTGAAACAAACATAGTTCTAAATCGGGCAGCCAGTGTGCCACGTGATCCGGGACATTAGATCTCCCGCGTTCCCGACCTCCACCGAACTCGATAGCGATAACGATATGGTAACCTTGGAAGGCGGTCAAGATTATTTGTATAGCCCACCCGTAAAACGTCATTGCATCTCCCAAAACCAGAGGTTGCGACACTTTCAAAATGGCATGCGATACCTCCTCGAAGATTTTAAATTGGGAGCTAACTGACTCGTGCAGTCGAAGCAATACCTCAACTGGGGGTCCGCAGACAATGGTATGATAGCTCGCCGCGCATTGCTGATCTGGCTAACGTTGAATTGCAGCCCACCCAATGGACATTTTCTCGTTGGCCGTAACCGAGAAACAAGTTCTTACTGCAGGAGGTTCTTCAGATATTAAGGTTCACTCCACCGCCGACGCCGACTTTCCGCTAGTCCAATCCATTGACAACGCGCACAACGTTGGCTGTCACCACATCGTGACTGATGGGAGGGGTTCTCGAGCCATCACCTCAGGTTTTGATGGAAAGATCAAGGTCTGGGTCTGTCAGGATGGGTATTGGGCTGCAGAGCAGAAACTGACTGGTAGGTTGCGCCTCTCTATACTTCACATCATGCTAAGGCGTACATAGCCGACCTGGAGGCTGCAAAGGCCTGGGCTATTGCTCTATCCGAGGACGGCCAATATCTCGCCGGTGTTAACCAAGAAGGTCGAATTAAGGTTTGGGACCTTGCTGCCGATGCTACTCAGATCCGGGATCACGAGACAAAGGGAAGCTACGGCACCTGCATTGACTTGGTAAGTGGTTATCTGACTAGCCTTGCTATCAATCTTGGCTGACTGCTAGATTAGTCTGCTGATGGTCGCTTCATTGCCACTGGTCACGCCGACGGCTCTGTGTATATTTTCACCACCGAGACCGGCCGCATGCCCTTCTCTCTCGCAGGTAAGCGATATGCCCTTGTCTTTGTTATGCCAGATAATCTCAACTGCTCCAGGGTTGGTCAAGAATGTTCGCACTGTTGCTTTCTCGCCTGCGGGAAAGATCCTCGCAGCTGCTGGCGACACTCGAGTGATTGTGCTGTACGACACTGCCTCCGGTGAGCAAATTGCAAGTTTTACCGGGCATACCGCCTGGATCATGTCTCTTTCATGGAGCAGTACCGGGGAATATCTTCTAAGCAGGTAAGTGATATCTTTCTGATAACACAGCGGCAAGCTAACAAGACCAAGCGGTTTTGATGGCAAGATCAAGGTTTGGTCTATGCAAACCAAGACTTGTGTAGCTACTCTCTCTGAGACTGACAAGGCTGTTTGGAGTGCCAAGTGGCTTCCCAAAATTGGGAAGACTGAAGCGTTTGCGACTGCGGGTGAGAACTGCAGCATTGCATTCTACCGTGAGGCCACTGGGTAAAACCTAGACGGGAGGCTACCGATCGCACGACCATGACGACGTCAACGGATCAACAGACATGATAGTTGAAAAATGCATAAACATCATAAAATTCGTAACATCCCTTCTCCACCAGTGTAATTCTAGTTCATTGTATCAACAAACAACTTGCGCATGCGCTTCAAGAACGCTCCAAAGTCCCGATCGTCGTTGACGAGATCGACAACATGCTCCAGTGCGTCTCGATCTAGCTTAGGGCGCGAATGGAATACCTCGTAGTCGCGACTGGCAGTTCCAAGTTCAAACCAAGCCTCAGCCTCCCAGTCTTTCTCGAGGAGGTGGCTATAAACAAACTTGAGTCGGTCCTCGCGCCCCGCGCCCTCGATGCGAATACAAAGGTAATCCTGCCAAAATTCCAACTCCGGGAAATTGAGACGCGATTGTGCATCCAAACTTTGAGCATGCGCCTTCTGTGCTTCCAATTTCTGAGCAATCGCCTTCTGGGTCTCGGCGATCTGCTGCTTCAGCCGATCACGTTTGGTCAGGCGAGTGTCCCGCTCCAGAGTGATTTGTGAAATCGCCGCATGCATTTCGGCCGCCTCGGCCGCCTCTTTCTGGAGTGTCTGTTCATGGGTTTGGGATTTCAGGTTGAGGATTTCGATATCGCGCTGGCGCATGCGCTCGTCCTCTGATGCGTGTATGAGCCGACTGGCCTGGGGAGGGGCGATCAGGGGGCATACCTTCATACTCAGCCAAGTTAATGTGAAACTGGTTGCGCTCTTCCAAAACTCGCTTCCGCCCACGTTCAATGAATGCATCGAATTTGACTGTGAATTGAGCCATGCTGTTGCGGAGGTCCTCGAACCCAAAGTTGATGCTGGGCAGCGAGTCTGCCATCGATGGCGCATCCGCTGAAGCAAGCGGTGGGCGCATGCCACTGGTGGAGAGTGAAGGTTCGAAAGCCATGGCTATATGGTGTGCCTGTGACGGTGAGAGTGGTGGTGTAGAGTGCAGTGTCGACGCGCGGGATTGTGTTGTTGCGGCGCAACACTCCTTATCGATAAGAGACCCAAAAATTTCTCGATGGCCTCGAATGCCACTTTTGCGCTCCAGACACCTCACAAATTATATGATTCGCCTTATACTCGTCTCGACTTTATCGATATGGGTTGCTCTGATCCTGAGCTGATCGTAAGGAGCAAAGAAAAATCCCATGGATGAACATCATGACAGTGCTCTACACTATGGGCACGTAGGACGAGCTGTCTATCTCCCCGAGGAGCAGGCATGGACATTCACTCGCTCCTTCTCTCAGGGTATGTCTTCTGCATCTTATTGTTGGTGTAAAATTCTGACAATTTGAAAGTCCCGTCTATCCAGTATACTGGGGTGACCAACACAAGCGTACTATCACCTTTCCCCCCAGCCAAGCCCAGACCAAGCCAGAGAGTTCCCGAAAGGAACCTTAGGCACTTGATAGGGAATGCGTACCCTGAACTAGCAGCGACATGGTCGTCCGTCCGCCAGGAGCCTCTATCCAGAGCCATCACGACCACCATCGAACGATTTGACCCAGAAAGCTCTTCTCTTTTCGATATCGGATATGCGACAGACAAACGACGCTATGACAAGAAATTGCCACCAATACCCATTGCAGCAGCTGTGTCAGGCGAATGCCGCAATGTAATATCGCTCCGAACTCTGGAGGATGCAGACCTGGAGCTGCATTCGCCGTCGCATACAGCAATGCGGGCTCCATCAATTGGTAACACGGAGACCTCGGAATGGTCCAAGTGTGGCGCGCCAATTCGTCAAGTCCACTTTGCACGACTTCTCGATGAGGACCCTATCTTCATGGCTGCTCGTCTTCTCAGAAGTACCACGATTTTCCGGCCGCTCTACCACTTTGATCCTGTGCCTATGCACTTCCCGGATGAGACCCATTTGAGACCATCGAACGGCCAAAGGAATTCTCGACTCGATGCGAACCCAATCTTGGAAATCTCAGTGGCGCAAACAGGTGGATACTCGCATGCTGATGTGACATTCAACCCTTGGTATCAGCAGCAATTTGGCATAGTCGACACAAGGGGCCACTGGAGTGTGTGGGAGATTGACCAGGCAAAGAATAGCAGGCAAGGGTATCCGACCGCTGGACTTGTCAAAACCGGGATTCTGCCTCCTCCTTTGAAGCGTAGTCGTCCGCCCCTGGATGGCTGGGCGTCAATCGAGTGGATCCACGAGGTCGGTTTAATCATCGTCGCTAATCGTCGCGACATCATGATATATGCATTCATGGATGCTCAAACTGCACCTCGGACAGTGGTTCTCAACATGCAGAAGCAATCCGAGTGGGTGTTGGAGGTGAAAAGAAATCCGCGGAATTTGTCACAGTTCTTTGTCTTAACCACGAACCGGATATTATGGTTTGACATGGGAAACTTCGGAGAAAGTGATTCCAATTCATACCTACACCCTCGGGTCTCCTGGAGACATTTTCGGGATCCTAATGACACTACACTACGACTCAGTGAGTTGGTAGTGTACAAGGGTAAGCATGTGCCAGCACGATCGATCCCCTACATGGGCTAACTTTTCTGTAGATCTATACCTCGTTCTTTTCTCTCGACTCACTGAGCTTGTGCAGGCATTTCCATGCCCTTTTACAAGTGACGAAGAGACCAATTCCATATCTGTCGCCGATCCTTTTGTTCTCGACGCACCCTCGACAATGAATGTGCCTTCAGATGGACCAGAGCCTGTGAGATTCTCGACGTTTGTTTTTCGAGAAGTTGGCTACTCCCCTTCGCACCTCAAAAACCTCTACGACCCAGATCTGACAGTTATAAAACTTTTCTGGATGGATTCCAACCTTGCAATTCATGAGTCCGTGTTCCGCGGTCCACAAGGGGACCCGGAAGATCCAGATTTGTTTTGTGAAAACCACGTCGTTCGAGTGCGCAAGCGTTATGCTCCAACGAAACGGGTTCCAAGAGCGGACGACTTCATCGTCGATGACTGGGACGAATCAGCGATGCAACAAGCGACCATCCCCCGTTGCAAAAACAAAATTGGTTGTAGACCTACAGGTTCGGACTTACAATGGTCTCTGGATTTCTCACACATTTACCGTGTAACCGTCGGACAGGCGGAGATGCCACAAAAGAGGTCGAAGACAAAGCAAAGCGCCGCGCAAGAGCCAAAATCATTCGATGATATGCTCGATGACCTGCAACGCACCAAACCACGGAAGAAGGCTTCCAGTAAAACGATATTTGAACTGAGTGACAAAAGTATTTCGACAGAGCAACTTGATCAAAGCGCGCGCAACATGAAACGAATGTTCTCGACCATAATGCCCGAAGACCGCAACGCGGATGCTGCATACCGATACATCCTTCTGCCACTCCAGTCCCAGAACACAGGGTATGGTATGCCAACGCAGTTGTCAGGAGAGGCAGACAAACATATGCTCGAAATCTACGATCAAATGGTCGGTGACTGGGTGTCTACACTGCGACCCCAAATCCCCGTCCAAATGCGACTCACCAAAGAAAAGCTCATCCGCAAGGTCGCAGCCGATCTCCTTCTATCGCGAGTCGTTCAAACTAAACCAGTGGAATCTATCGAAGATCCAATCACGACACCAAATGAGCAAGCCGCGTCACATCACCAAACTCTACCCTCGAGCTTCGCTCCGTCCCCGATCCCTGCAAGCCAATCACAGATGACCAATCGCACGGGGTCTGGAAGGGTCAAACCACCATCCAAGTACTCTGCAGTCCCAGTATTGAGTGGCCTCTCGGCATTCACGACGTTCAAGAAGCAACGTGCGATGCCCGGGAATGTGTCTGATCTTCTGTCCCACTGGTCTGTCGGGGATGATCCTTCCTCTTACGCCTGGGAGAAAATTGAAGACCAGGAGACGCGCGTTAGCCAAACGCCGCGAACGCCCAAACGCAAGAAGCGCATGAAGCCCGAACAACCCCTGCCTGCTACCCCGTTGGTTCCTATGGTCCGCACATGGGGTAGCCAGCCTGTGCCGCAAATCACCGTGAACAGTAGCCAACCTGTCCCGATGACACAGGGCGAGCGAGGGGCCTTTGGGGCCAAGAAAAAGAAAAAGAAGCGAGCGGCGGGTTTTTAAGCCGTATATAATTAGAGCATGATACCCTTGATTTTCTTATATAAATTGCCCAGGGCTGGTGTACGTATAAAAGACCAAATATTACACGATCCACTCACCAATCGCGAATATCGCTCACGCGAATATCGCTCAAAGAAGATTACAAATGCTGCCATAGTCCACAGGGGGGCATTCAAGGGGTGGTAATAAAGTGCCTTGTCTCCCCTAATTCTGTTTCACTTAGAAAAAAAATCACTGAAAAGCAGAGTCCACCGTGTCCCTACCCCGCCAAGCACCTTCACTCTGCACCTCCCCGCTCCGCACCATGTCAGACCACCAGTACAAGTTCAATGTGACCATGACCTGCGGCGGCTGCTCCGGCGCCGTCGAGCGAGTCCTGAAGAAGCTCGAGGGTATGAAGTTCGCCTCAATACTGCTGTGAATCGACTAACAAGACCCAGGTGTCAAGTCTTTTGACGTGAACCTTGAAGCCCAGACCGCAAACATCACCGCCGACCCCGCGCTCTCCTACGATACCGTGCTGGCAACGATCAAGAAGACCGGCAAAACCGTGAACAGCGGAGAGGCCGATGGGGAGAGCAAGGCAGTTTAAAGCATTATGCGCACTACAAATAACAAAGAGCGCCAACCTTAGAGATAAAGAGATCCATTTCTGATTCAAATATTGAAACCCGAGTAGAGAGAGTTCTAAGAATATGCAGGGTATCATAGAAAAAACAGCGCAATGAATGCGAATTACAACAAAGGCTCCCATATAATCATGGAAGCGGACAATTAATCAACGACGACAAAATGCCTTCCGTCGGGAATGGGATAGAGAGGTTGACGCTCTGCTCGAGGCTCAACTGCTTGGACGTAGACCGGGCGATTCTGCTCCTGGGGAGGGTTGTAGAGTGGACTGAGGACTGTTAGCCGGGGACATTGCATGGTCTGAGATTCCAGATCCAAGGGCTTACCGCGAGATGAACCCGCCGCTAACTGGCCTTTCGCGAGGAACTTGGGGAGGGGACGCATGGGGTTGACTCTTCGGCATGGTGTCTGAGAAGGTACGGTGATGCTCAGGACGAGCGACGCGGCCCATGGGCCGGCTGAGCGGTTCGTCCTGGAGCTGAGACATGTTCTTGGTGGCAAGGTAGTTCAGCTCCCTTTCCCTGTTCCTGGAATGTAAGGCATCTCCAACGGGAATGGGCTGAAGCTTGGGTTCGGGAACGAGGCGCCGGGAGGCGTATTCAAACGAAGGGGGCTCACGGTGATCAACCGGTCGGATGAATCCATCGGCGTACAGGTTTCTGTCTTGGGGGTTCTCTGCCACAATGCGACTGTCCATACGGGCTCGTCGCATGCCCCGCTGCTCTTTAGGGCGGTCCAAACGGAGATTACGATCATGGTAAGGGTGCCAATGGCCAGAGATGGGATGTCCAGAAATGGGAAGAGCCGGGGCTGCTCTGAAGGTACGGTCCTCTGGGATAATCATACTAGGACCCGAGACCCCGTTCAGAGGACGAGGCTCCCGCGGCCAGCCCACATGCTGGCGATCCATGATAAACCTTGCATCGAGGCCACTGGCATAAGAAGCTGGACGTGGATGTCCTACGGAAAGGGGTGGTTCCACTGGCACAATGTCCCGGTGTGAATGGAGCTGATCCTGAGGGCGATATTCTAGAGCAACATCGGCGCGACGGTAAGTTTCTCTAGGGCCGAATCCTTCGGAGACAGGGAAGCCCATGGGTCTGGCGGTTCGTGGGTCCGGACGAGGATCAATCCGAGAACCTTCACGACCCTTTCGTCTTCTTTTGCCGGGCTGGTCACCACTCCCGTCCAGTTCAATAATTTCGGGGTGAGGCTTCAACTCCCCCCGAGGTTGACCCGGCGTGACTGATCGAAGCGACATCTTGTTGGCCATGTGTACCAAAGGATGAGCGGTATCAGTCCGTCGGGTCTCCTGGGGCCAAGTATTCTCGATTGATGGCATGACTGACTCCTGTAGGTTTGAGCTTTGTCCAACTAAAGGAGCATTGACGATTCCAGGACGGCGTCCCAGCGAGGCCACACCATTTTGAGGCTTCTCCTTGGGTCCGCTGACGAACACCGGGGCATTTGACCTGTTCTCCGACTGAAGGGGCAGTCTTTCTGTTCGAGTGTCCATTCTCAACGGAGGAAGAGTTGGATGGGTCGCACTCATATTCCGGGACCCGGGAAGCTCTTCCAATATATGCAACTCCGGTGATTTCTGGCTAGTTAGTCCGGACTTCCTGGAGTTGAATTTATGCGAGGAGGTTTGCTGAGCGTCCGAGTGAGTATCCTGGACACCTACATGTCTCTGAGCTACGTATCGATCCATTGTGGCAGGGATGTGCTGTGTGTGATTATCCATGCCGGCAGGCATGGCTCGCCGATAGTTCTCGCCAAGCCCGCGATCTGATGTTTTGGCGCTCGCTTCCGGAGCAAGGCGCTTCTCGGCGTATCGTGGGCTTTGCTTTTCGGCCAAGGAGCCGGCGAACCGCGGTTGTTCGGTGCTCTGGATGCCCTCTCTATACTCTTTGATGGCACGGTTCCAGGCTTGGTACCTGCTAAACCCGCGCCGGTCGGTAGAGTTATTTGCCGGGATCCTTGTGACGAACCGGAATCCTGGTGGTGCCTCCTCGGATATGTCTCGGGGATAACCCTGCTCAGGTCTCGTATTAATGGGCTGGGTGCGAATCTCATGGGTTCGTGCATCGCTGGGAAGTATTTCCACGCTGGTATGCCGATGAGCGGCCGTAGAGGCCACTTCTTCCTCGGACTCACTGTCCTCGTCATCAGAAATCACAATGACCTCGCGGAAGACATCCTCCAGGACGGTCTGGCCGTTCTCATCATCTCCTCGCCACTCAATGACTTTGGCTAGAGTTGGGTGCTCAACGGTTGTTCTTGCTTCGTGGAATGAGGTCGTTTTTAGGAGGCGATCGTAGTTAGTGTAGACATGCCGAATATGAGCAACCACCGCGAGTTGCGCCCTCCGAGCCAAAGGCAATTCAGTGGCTGTCCCAACTTTCTTCTGGCCCTGACTTGGGTATCAGGTTTTCCACGTCCTCAGTTTCGAATTCTCAAGGGTATGCATACCTTTTGAAAGGCGGTCTTGATAATTTGGTTCAGATCTTGATCGGGGATGTTGGGAAACAAATCCCTCATGGCATTTCGCGCATCTGTGTTGATCGTCACTTGAGAGACCTCTGACGCAGCTCGCGAACGATTTTCCGTCCTTCCCATGGCATAAATAGGCAGTGTTTTACCAGTGCTCGTGAGGTAGAGGCCAAGCTCCGAACAGACAGCTGCCACCACAGTGCTAGGGAAGTGATACCCTATCCGATGAACATGCTGAGATAAGTTGTGGGTCTGGTGGTGTGGTGTGGTCTATAAAATATGAGCACTGCGGAGGGGAGTGGCCAGCCAAAGATTCTCACCGATACTGCATGGATCTGGAGGCCCTCGTTGCGACATCTCTCTTTACAGGCCGTCGTGAGTTGCGGGTTTCCCGCAGGAATAAATGTGTAGCCACTGGGTGCCTGTGCTTCGAAGCAGATCTGGTTTGTCAGTCTCGAGTCGGCGAGTTTGAGTCAGGGGGTACACACGACGCTTCTTAATTTCTTCTTCTCTTGGGTCACGGATTCCATGATGACCTTGTGTCTCCGAGCTCTCCTCTGGACAGCCCGGCTAGGAGTCCGCCTAGCTGTGGCTGAGGCGGCCCTCCCCATGACACGGGCCATTCTGGTTCACTGATAAAGGTCTCAAAACATTCCGTTGAGTGAAGCGCAAGCTGTACACTACAGCAGAAGTCCAAAGCGAGACCTTGACGTGGATCCAGAGTGGCTTGTGCCGAGTCCAGGTCTGGAATGGGCAGAGCAGCCAAAGATGCGCAAACAAAGCAGTGAAGTAGCAAAGTAGGAAAGCGCGCGGGGAGAGGGAGGTCAGAGAAACTGCATCGCGGGATTGATAAGATTGCGGCCCAAAGTTCGACCTCTCCCGATCGGGCTAGTCCTGCCTAAGGCGTCTCCTCACCCCGACGTTTGGGTTTTTGACCGTCCTTTGTTTTTTTTGTGTCTCCCTTTTTTCCACCCATTTATTGGACCTGAGTGGAATCCACGTCATTGGTGATCGAAGATGAGCGCTTCCCAGGCGGATCGCGCTGTGGTCCACGCATACCGTCACCTCTACCGACAGGGGTTGAAAGCCATCCACTACTCGACCCCGGCTCGATATTTGCTCCTACAGACTTTACGGAAAGCGTACCGCTCCTCCCCGGCCGAAGAATTCAATGCAACCAAAATCAACAACACTCTCCGTTTTCTTGAACAGGCTACCGAGGTCGCGGGCATGGAGCACAGGATCTTGAAGAACCTCCTGATGGCCAGGTATTGGGAGCAAGACCACCTTGCGCGAGAGGTGCGCGTGTATGTATCCCTTTTCGGTAATGTGTTTTCGTTACTGACAAGATTCTAGCCCACGGAGCTTAGGACTCGGTCAAAGCGAAAACCAATTGCGAACCGCCGCTTTCAACCACTATAATTTAACGCTTGACCGTTTGAATGAGAGTCTCGGGACATGTCTCAAATGATTGGAGTCTCCATAAGTTCTCAACTTTTATCTCGGTGCCGATCCGACCCGCTGCCCTATGCGCCCATCAGGCCTCAGTGCTTCGCTTGGGCATGAACCCATGACGTGAGGCAGCTAGAAACGGGGCTGCAGATGCACAGCGACCAGAACGCTATCACGCATAACCACATCAGGATTGGAGCCATGATGACCTACCCTGTTTGGGTCATTGTCCGTTGCACGTTGCCCTAGGCATACAACACATGAGCTCCACAGCCATACACTTGTCTCAGTATCCAGCATCTTCTTCGGCCAACCCAAGTCTCGACTCTACTGACTCAGGTCGAGTCTAGAGACTCGAGAGCAGTGACGTGCCACTTGGCCGTTCCTAAATTGGACCCTTTCTGGCCTTCTCAAGGGCATATTTCGGTATGGCTGAGCCTGGAATCCTTGGCTGTCAGCTCTTTTAATCCACAACATGGGACCGGCTCAACGAGAGGATGTCTTTGGCCAGAAATTGCACCTAGGATGGCGCTACAACAACTGGCTGCAGCTTTAGAAATATACTACCTAGAGCTCCACAGGGCTTGATTGATGAATTGACTATACCTTACATTGTAATCAACGCAGTTCCTGGCCTAGATATCTGGAACTCCTACCTTGATCACGCAAAAAGTGCAAAATGGATAGTCAAAAATCAGCCTGGGGGCTTCAAGGCATCAATGGATGCCCATGTGACGATGATTCAGCAACCCAGCGCGGAGGCCGTGCCCGAAGACGTCACATGCCATGTCTCGTTTCACGTTCTTCGACGCAATTTCGAGCCTTGACTTGATCAAGCATCCTGAACTGAGAGGCTGTCTTACCCTCCATGAGTGGCTTCATTTCCTCGTTGTTGATCCAAGTCGGAATACAAGCTCCCGAACTGCCACCCCCACCAACCGTCCGCACTGAACACTCGACCGAACCAACCCAAAACGATCACCAATTCTCATCTCAATCGGACCAGAATTGCAGACCGAATACAAGTGGATATGCGGGTGCGGGATCCCTGCATAGTCCTCCCTTCTTCACAGTTTTGCCCAAAGAGATGGATACACACAGCCCGCCAAGCGCCCAATCAGTGACCAACAGCACGCCTGGGTCTGTTCGAAATATGGCGACGGAGGGGCCCTCGGCGCTTGAAGGAAGCTTGCCTGTCGAATCTACGGATCTATATTCACCTTCAAACGAGGCCGTGACGCAGAATGCGCCACACGATACTCCTTCGGCAATGGCAATTGAGGACGCCCACATATCTGCAAATGATACGTTTGACCCGGATGGACCTGCGCAGTCGTCGCTCCCCGCGGATGATGGAATGGGGGTACTTCGAAGCAAGATAATTGCTATCAGAGACTTGCAGCTTGCCAATGCGGAAAAAGCACGCATGGTGCATGACCTAATGATCGAAGGCTATAACACTTCGCGAGACCATGCACACACAGGAGCCACACCTATCTCAAGCCCAGTGTTACTCCCCGCGAGTCTGGCTGGAGGTTCTGATGCCACCGGGCCTAAAAATCCCAGCATACCCTACGAGAATGTATCACATCTCACGTCTGAGGATGTGCAACCTACATATGTTCCAAAGGTTGAACCAGAGATAGACGACCCCACGGCGATCGAAACAATTGACGGTGATATGGACACGGAAGAGCTAGCAGATGCCACGCTGGGTTGTGTGCACTACCATCGCAATGTGAAGCTCGAGTGTCATACCTGCAAGAAATGGTATACCTGCCGGTTCTGTCATGACGAGGTTGAAGATCATGCTCTCATTCGCCGAGACACGGAAAACATGCTATGTATGCTATGTGGACATGCCCAGCCGGCGGGGCAGTTTTGCAGACAGTGCGACGAGCAAACAGCACAGTATTATTGTGACATATGCAAACTCTGGGACAATGACAGCAAAAAAAGCATATATCATTGTGATGATTGCGGCATCTGTCGAATTGGCCAAGGCCTTGGGAAGGACTTCTTCCATTGCCAGGTAAGCATCATGATTAAAATGATTTTTTTCCGGGCCACACTGACTGGTTAAGACATGCTCTGTTTGTCTCCCGATGTCTATTGAGAACACCCATCGTTGCATTGAGCGCTCCACTCAGTGTGATTGCCCCATATGTGGCGATTACATGTTCACCTCCCCCGAGACTGTGGTTGTCATGCGATGCGGTCACAGCATTCACTCTAAATGCTTGACAGAGTATTCCCGGAACTCTTTTCGCTGTCCTATCTGCAGCAAGACGATCACAAATATGGAATCCACATTCCGAAACTTGGATCGGACGATTGAGAGCCAACCGATGCCTGAAGAGTTCAAGGATACAAAAGGCCTTGTATACTGTAATGACTGTGGTGTGAAATCAGTCGTCAAGTATCATTGGCTGGGTTTGAAGTGTGACCTGTAAGTTTTCATTACACTGGGCAGGGAAAATGGGTGATCATTTACTGATATTTCCAGATGTGAATCATATAACACGGCCCAACTTCGAATCTTACATGGCGACATGTCAGCACAGTCTGAAGTTGGTCCAGACACACATTCCCGGGCTCGTTCATCGTCCCTTATTGAAAACGACGAGTCAATTTCGTCTTCATTTGCAGAACTGGGCGTAAACAGCACTTCCATCCCCCCTTCACGACTCAGTATTCCCAATGCCGCAGAGCGTCGGCCATCCACGTCTTACAACATCACACGAGGTCGCGCCATATCACCGGTCGTCAGCAACTACTTTGGGCTACCCACTGAGCGTGAATCCGAAAAACCTTCCTCGGTGCCGTTCTTCGGGAGTCCATCTCGCGGGGTAACCGAGTCCGATTTTGGCGCATTCAACTTCTTGAGCAAAAAGCTTACATATCCTTACGGACTATTTGGTGGCGAGACTAAATCGGCGGATCCCATCCCCGAGGCTGGAAATGATGATGATGATGATGACGACGACGACGATGATGACGAAGAAGAATATTCAGACTCAGTGGAATCTTTCGACTCGGTTGGTTCTCATGGCAATGAAGACGACGGAGAGGATGATGACCACCTCGACATATTTGGTCACCGATGAGTCAAGGTTCAGGCTTCACGAGATCGTGGCGGACATACTGGTCAGTACAAAGTACCTGATCACGAGTTTTGGTGACGTGCATGCTGACATAGGTAGGCATTAGTCTGCACACTCAGCATCTTTGACAATAACAGGGTCAACCATCAAGTTCGAATCCTCAGACAACGATGAATCTTGTCGAGGTCAATCACACAGCACACGAGAGGAACATCGGCCAGTGGTCACCAGATACAGTCTACTCGACACATCTGAGTGTGTCAATTTCAGTTTCTTGATTTTACCTACATCGAGCAGCCGGATCTGCTGCAGCATAGCGTTGAATATTTCTGACATCATGACGCAACGATCGCATCTTCTTTTTCTTCTTCATTTTTGGGAAACCAAACGCCCTTGACTTCTGATGTCTGTATTCACTTGTACGTACCTCACTTGTGACAGGCTAAATCGATGTCTGAGAGCACTTGATGACTTCCAAGGTTGACCTCAAACAAAAAGTCAAAAGGCATACCTACGCAAACCTCGTAGGCTCTGAGCATTCAGACACGTACTGAGTACCACTTCCAAGATTTTTGTCGAGAAGGTGCGTCTCATTTCCTTCTAGGAATCAATCGTTTCACCAGCATCATCCAGCGTTTTCAAAATCTAGAGGTACTTAAGCACAGCAGGATTCAAAATGTTTATGATTTCCCGGTACCAGCTTACCTAGTAGATGTAAGTACTCATTGTATTCTAGAGTTACTATCTGGAGCACCGAAGCTTAGAATACCAATGATTTTCATGTAAATTGAAACTGAGCTATGGATGTATGGCTAGATTTGTACGAAGTATCCATGAATCATGGATATACTACGTGATTAGCGACCTTGTCTCCCCAAGGCTCAATATCTCATTGATAGATACCCGACCTGGCGCATGATATCTGCGTACACTGCTCACCAGTAAGGATACGAAGTCTCCCAGGTGCATATACATATCTGATTTTCGAGAAAATTGCCGAGGCATATGCAAGGGGTCGGGTTGGTCAGCTGGTCATCGTCTCTGATGCGAAATCTGATTGAGAGAAACAGTCAGCACATGTTTTCCACAGTCCATGAAGCAATGCTTTGCGATTGGTAGGCCATGCTGAATGAACATGCAATGGCTAGCTTCCGTTCAGTATCCACATAGTTTCAACAGTCCCAAGTAAATTATGGGTTGTCAGGTAATAGGAAACGCTTAAAAAAGACGTGCATCATATGGAAGTTGTATGCGACAAGTCGCAATGCAGTGTCGAAAGACTCCGGACAAGGGTTGCTCGGGGGTGGTTCAACACTCACAGGTTTAGTACTCTATCGTGGTCAGTTGGCTGGTGAGTCACCGATCATACCACCGACCAGCCCCCCTGAGACCAGCAGTGAGTGCCAAGCTTGGGCGAGGTTAAAGAGCGGGAATCGTTAGTTTTGTGAAGGCCCAAAAGTCGAGCAAGGAGGATCGACGCCCACGACGCCTCCTTATCTAGCTTGGCAATCCAGAGGGCTTGGCAGTGAATCCAATCCCGCGGAAAAGTATTCACAATGGGAAGGCTGGCATGCAGTGGAATCCTCCTACTGTACCACCTGAGCCGCAGGCGAAGGCAAGGGTCAGGTCATCGGTAGACGCTACCCCGAATCGGTGACTCGTCGTACACCCTTGGCATCACATCAAGCCTTGGAATCCCGACCCAGTCACATTATCATCGCAATCTTCCCGTGAGGCATCTGCCGACCCTGTGTAAAGTCACACCGATACGAAATCAAGGAGAAGCTGATGTGGATCTGACGGTTGTTTCCAGGAATGCAGGCTTAGGTTGAGGGAGTGCCGAGGGTGGTACCGAGTGCTGCTATTGCCTTGTGAGATATGTAGGAGGAAAGAGGACAGGTTTCCCAGGAGCTGGGGGCGAGGAAAGTGCGGTGGAACTCGCTAACCGATCTTGGCTTGGACGATCTGTAGTGTTGTCGTGGATCTCCGGTCTTGGCTGAACAGTTGGAGACTGCAATAAAGTCGGTGTGAGATCGGGGTACGGCCGAGAGAGTCCCCACCAATACCGAGGGAGGAGGAAGGAGACGTCGATAAGGACGAGAGTGCGACGCAGCCTGTACTGTACTGTAGGAAAGTAATATTGAATTGACTTCGTACAAGAGATCTTTGGCACGGACCGGGGGCGTCAGGTGACTGTAGTTTGAGTTTCCCTTAGGTAATGGCGCATGCATCCCCGCATGATCACCTCTAAGAGACGAATAAGAGACGAAGGGCAGACGAATAGGAGACTCCGAGAACTGGACTCATTTGCGAGTTGCATGGATTGGGCTGCCGTTAGGTAACGAGAACCGCATCTGGGGTATGCGGATACTTCGGAATCTCTTGACCTGTCAATTCAGTGGAATCAGTAACAAGCAATGGGTAAAATTGGAGAATGGGACCTTATGTCATAGTACTTTTCACCATACATTCCTGTACGGACTACTTACTAGTTAACCAGTTAGTTACCTTGTACTAGTACTCTGTGGGCAGTCGTATACTAGTAGTAGTAGGCACTGGTCCAGTCGTTACCCGGATGCGGACGGTGACGTCCATATGCAGCACAAAGCACCGGGGTCTGCAGGGGTAGCTCGCGAACTTAATCAGGTCGATTTATAGAGAAGATAAGAGGAAATCGGGCTAGAAGAGATCGAAAAGAGAGGATTAAATAGCCCTAGAGGGAATGTCTGGTCATATTCGAGGAATACTTAAAATACCATAGTTGAGCAACTAAGTCGAATCGCGTCAAAATAAAGAAGATTTGCCCCCATGTGGCCATGACCCATGCAGTTTGCCTCTTTGACTCAACTTCGCTCTTCAACTTCCTAAACTCCCTGGCTCTTTGATTCCGATTCCGAAGCCTTCACTCTCGGACAGTTTCAGAGGTGGTGCAACAACCCCGTTTCCGTGACTAACAGCTTTGTCCGTTTTTTTTTTTTCCCCCGCCGCCCCTCTGGGAGAGAGCCCTAAACTTCCTTCAACTCGGTCGAACAACTCCTTTCTCTTGACCGAAGCCCTCTCGGTCGATTTTTTCCTTTTTTTTATTGTGGAATCCGGGGAATCTTTATTAAAATTCGATAGTTTCTTTTTTTTTTTTCCCTTTCTCGTGTGTGGCCTGCTCCAAGGTACTTGCCGACTAGTCGTACGCCTCGGGCCCTTTATAGAGGGCCGCTCCTCTTTCAACATGGCCTCCGTCACTGCCCAGAAGCCGGCTTTCCCGCGACTCTCTTCAATCCCCTGTGGTGATCACTTTCACTCACGCGACTCCTCCCCATCGCCCTGCAGCACCCCGGACGGGTCCAGATCGAGTAGCCAGCGTCGCCCATCCTTCGGCTCGATCAAAGAAGACACGGAAGACGGTGCGTACCGGCCATGGGGGAGAATTTCAAATAGGGCTGACATGACTGGTCTCAGGAATTGCGCAATCCTTCGTTGACACGCACGAGGTCCCCTCTCCACCGCCCCAGGAAAACCAAGAGCCGCAAAGCCGCAAACTCGAGCGGCCTGGAATGCAGGCCCCGGACTTTTGCTGTCCGTGTGGGGGGTTCCTGGGCTGGAAGCAGATTCGGTTGGGCGGGAAGAGTTTGAGCCGCAGCTACAGTGATCTCCGAGGGCTTGGGGCCGCACAGGCAAAGGGTTGGGCATGGGAGTCTCACGATGAGACTCCCCAAACCCTCCCCGTCCCGGAGCCCCCAGTGGAGGTGATGCAGACCCCTCCCGGCAGCTCTCCCTTGGAGAAGCTGCCCCCTGAGGTTCTGGGTAAGAGTGCCACCCTCGACACATCGCGGTATACACTAACAATTGGACAGACCAAGTCATCTCTAACCTTGCACTGGATCTTCCACCGAACGGCTACACTCCTCGAAATGTGGATCTGGTTTCGTGTCTGCTCACGTCGCACACTCTGCACGCTGCGACATTGGGCGTCTTGTACAGAAACATGACTTTCCCGCATTCCATCATCTTCTCCAAGGCACTCAATCATATGTCCCAGTATCCCGCGCTCGGCACACTGGTTCGCCGCTTGGACTTCTCCCACTTTACCTCCGTCGGCCTGGGCCGTACCAAGCAGATGAATTCTGAAATTCAGAATCTGACTTCCCGCACCCTCTTGCAGTGCCTGGACCTTCTTCCTAACTTGAAGGAATGCCTACTCCAGGAACACTTGGAAGGCGACATTAGCGCGGAAGTGATCAGGAAGTTGTTCATGGGATTGCCGAACCTGCGCGCAGTGGACTTCTGCGGCTGCTCGACCCAAGCCTTTTCCGCGGTCTTCCAGGAAGCCTTGGTCGGTGGCCCGGTGTTGCCCATGACCTTGCCCAACTTGAAACGGGTCTCGCTTCATGAGTGTAGCACCATCCCTGCCCCTATGTTCGACTATCTTCTCTCGCGACTGGTCAACCTGACCCACCTCGATCTCACCCACACCCAAGTCAACGACTCCGCCCTCGCCGCTATTCCCGAAACTGCCCGCATCTCTCATCTCAGCTTGTCCCGATGCACTCGTCTTCGCCCATGCGCCCTGGTAGAGTTCCTGACCACCCACCCCTCTGTCAACGAATCCCTCGTCTATCTGAACCTGATGACCGACCCTACTCGATTCCGACTGCTAGAGGAGACTGATGTGTCCGCCCTGCTCCCTAAACTACCCAACACCCTGCGCTCGCTAAACCTCGGTGGAGCCAAGGTCACCTCCGACCATGTCCCATTCCTGGTTCCTCTGACCAAGCACCTGGAAGAACTCGGCCTCAGCTCCGCAGACCTCTCCGTGACGGATGTCAACTCATTCTTCGCCAGCTACCGCAACCCTGCTACAGGAGAAGAGATCAACGCCCCCAGTACACTCTGCTACCTCGATCTCGCCAAGGTTCCGCAGATGACCATTGGGGCGATCTTCAACACGAGCACCTGTCTTCTGCTCGCGAACCAGAGCTACCCGCTCCAGGTTGTCGAGTTCAGCGACAAGATCATCACCCCTCTGCGTGAGCGAGCGAAGACCCAGCGCGTCTCGGTCGGTTGGACTGTGCGTGACCTCGGCCGCCGCGGCTGGTACGTCCGTGACCCCGCTTCTATGCCCGACGAGCCACTCGACGACGGCGCCCGCTACTGGAAAATGGGCGCCCGCTGGTGGGGATCCCGTAAGATCCCCATGGTTGTTGGCGACGTTGGTGGTCTTTACGGCCATTACATGTTCAAAAAATGATCTGCCTAAGCGTTTCTATCTTGAATAGCGTGCCCGTCAGATCTTTTCGTCTTTGCCGATACCCTTGATTTCTGTACAACTTGCTTTTATGGGGGGTATTCTCTTTCACATATTTCACCGTTTCTTTCATCTTGACTTCATCTTTTACCCTTTTTTTTGCATTTCACTTTTCCTTTGGTTTACGAATGATGATATCCGGTCTATGCATGGCGGCGCGCAACATGGTTTACGAATACGGCATTCTGGCTCTTGGCTTCGGGTTCGTGCTCTCGGTCGCGTTTTGTCTTTTGAATTTGCATAGCATCTGGCATCCTTCAGCGTTGCGTTTCTGATTTTTAATCTTGATACTTGTTTTATCGTCCTTGGTTAGTTTCATCATTTCCTGGCGTTGCTGTATCTTATCTGCTCGATATCACTCTACTCTCAAATATCTTTCAACGTTAAAAGACCTGCTGCTTTCCAAGGTTCGAAGATGTAGATTACGAGGACAAAGCAATGTAAACATGTATGCCGTTGCAGACGGGAGCCCCGTGATTTAAGTCATTGAACTATGGACACCTCTGTGCCCAGGTGCATCAAAATGCCAGGCTAGCTCAAATTCCTTTCACGACAGACTCTGTAGCAATGGGCAGCTTCCTTTCAACTTAGGGCTTGGCTCCCAGGTGACGCTTGGCATTCGTCATGTGACAGCTTGCAGATGAGCCGCATCTTCTCATTAGACTCTCTCTGCATTCTACTTGACACGAAGATCTTGATCTTCGCCAGACCTCGCATTTGGGGATATCTTTCTCCTGATGGGTGGTTTCATCGTCGCCTCTCAGGACAGTGGAAGCTGCCAACACACGCGACCATGCCACCTCCGAGCGGTGCGGCCTCCTACAAAAAGAAGGATGGCACCCTAGCTATATCTGCAGATGAGCGGTCGGTCTCATGGAGTCCGACCGTCGCAGATGCAGCGAAACCAGTTACAATCACTGTCGCCAATATAACTAGTATGCAGTCCGTCCCGTTCAACACTCGTGCAGTTCCTTGCTAACCTGGCGCCAGACCTGCAACAGACCCCCGCCAGCAATCCCAAAGTCATGCTCAAGATATTTGCCCAGGCCTCAGATGCGGCCCCCGGTAGTGCTCCCGAGTCATACACTTTCCAGTTCACAGCCGGTGCAAATGCCCGAGCCCAGGCCGACACAATCAAAGATACGCTCAGTGCACGAGTCAACACGGCCAAGTCAGCCACGCCCTCCCAGACGCCGGCGCCTAGTGGGGCACCCGAAGGTCTATCGGCGGCAATGGCGATCGCGAATGCCGTCACGTCTGCCGGAACATCTACAAATCCTCTAGATGAAGAGAAGAAGCTGCGCGGGGACGTAGAACTGCAGCAGTCGCTGCTGCGGTCAGACTCAAATCTACAAAAGATGTTTTTCGAGGGTCTGCACACCAAACCGGAGGCTTTGACGTCTGGAGCATTCGTGTCCCAGTTCTGGTCAACCCGACTCCACCTCCTGCGTGCCCATGCCATTGAGCAGGGTCAGATCCGTGGCTCATACAATGTTCTGTCATCACTGAAGCCTCGCGTGGAAGACAACGTGACACGGTTGAACATCAGTAAAGAGCAGATCCAACTCATTTTCATGCAGCATCCTCTGGTGAAGCGCGTGTATGACGAGAACGTGCCGAAACTGAGCGAGCAGCAATTCTGGTCCCGGTTCTTCCAGAGCAGGCTTTTTAAGAAACTGCGCGGAGAGCGTATATCCGAGGCCGATGCGACTGATGCCGTGTTGGACAAATACCTCCGGAATGACGAGGGCACTCGACCGGGCAGGGACTCGAATGTTCACAGCTTTTTGGATTTAGCCGGAAACGAAGGGAATCATAGTCAGCGTCGTGGAAACAGACCAGATCTAGACATGAGACCCTCTGGCGTGGACAAGGTGCCCATCATTCGAACGTTGAACAGTCTCAGTGAGAAGATTATGGCGAATGTTGCACCGTCCGACGGCGATCTGAGTGCCCCGATAGGCCTCAATGAGGAGGACTGGAAAAAGCTCCAGTTGCAGGATCTTCGCGGGGACGAGGAGCAAAATCGCATCACTCTGAACATTCGTGACCAAAGTCGATTCTTCACCCACGGCCAAGAGAGTGATCAGGCCAAGCAAATCGCGCAGAAAGACCCGGATCAGCTTTTACAAACACTTCGTGCCGAGATCTCCGAAAGCCTACCGTCGCATGGCAACACACAGCTGGGCAAGCTGGTCGACCCTGGAGACGACGAAGACGAAGAGATGGAGGATGCACCTGCCAGCCGTCGGCCCGTCGGATCATCCGTTGCCCTGCACGATGCATTCAACCAAATCCTTACGGCCGTGCGCGACCGCCGTGCTCAAATCAACGAGAAAACGATATCAGAGACACATGGCCTTTCAACGGCGCTCTTCGACCGATTGACTTTGACGCATGCCACTACCACTGAATTCCTGCACCAGTTCTGGCAGGCATTCCTTTCCGGGGATCCGGATCGTGCTGGCGAGGTCGCATCTCTCGCCGAGTCTCTCCAGCGAGCAACCGAGCGGATTAAGGCCGTTGCAAATGACGCCGAGGCAGATCGCAAGCTCGAGGTTGACCGACTCAAGAAACATGCTCGTGAAGTGTATGAGAGCACTGGGCGAAAGCTGCGAGTCAACCTGGAGGGTGTGGAAGGTGGAGAGAAGGTTGTGAATCAACTTTTAGGACCAACGCTTCATGCTTTGGAAGTCGCATCAAGTCGATACCACACAGAGCTGAGTAAACAGAACCAGGAAGCTGCTGCGCTGGCTGCTTAAGGGGAAGAACAAGACATTAAACAAAAAGACTACATAATTGACACTGAAATATACATAAACTTCTCTCGAGAACCTGAAGATCGCCAATTGATAGAAATCGAGATTACGTAGCCCATAAAAACAAACCGTCGGCATGCCGAACTTCCCCGGACTTCGAAATCCACTTGCCAACTGGCCCCTCAACTTAGACACCACCACCACCTGGGCCGCCACCATGCTCACCTCCGGCCTCACCAATACACCTCTCACCAAAACACTCCTGATCTACACGATTGCCTCAGCCATCGCCCTCTCCATCTTCGACATCAAATACCTCGTCGTGATCCATGTCTCCCCTCACTTCTGGCCCTATGGTCAATTCTGGCGCGCCCTAGCATGGCAAGTCGGCTTCGCAAACTCCACCGAAGCCCTCTTCGCAGCAATGCTAGTCTACCACCTCCGTGTAGTCGAGCGCGCATGGGGGAAGCGCAAGATGGCGGTTCGTGGATCTATCCTCAAAGCAACGGACATCACTAACACCTGCTAGACTTTCCTCCTCACAACACTACCCTACACGACTCTTCTTCCGCCGCTAATTCTCGCCCTTGTTCTTCGTCCTCTATCCTTTAACACGCTGAACTATCTTCCCTCCGGTCCGACAGCTAGCATCTTCGCCCTGCTGGCGCAGTATCACGCCACAATCCCTTATACGTTCAGGTATCGCGTCGGAACCACTTCTAGAAGCGCGGATGGGGAAGCAGAAGGGTCTGGCTCTGATCAACCAGGATCTAAGCCCCTCACGCCAAGTCTGAGTCTTCTTCTCTCGGACAAATCGACTACCTATATTGTCGCTTCTCAATTGGCGCTCTCTCAGTTTCCGGCTATGCTGCTCCCGTCTGCGGTGGGCTGGATCGTTGGTGTCGCTTGGCGTGCGGAGTTACTGCCTGGTCTGTCGAGCGTGAGCTCTGGGTTCCGGGTTCCGGCGTGGGTCGTTGGTGAGCAGGAGCGTCGGTCTGGACCGACGGGGTCGGGGGCTGAGAGGGAGAGATACGAGGATTTGAGGCGCAGGATGGAGGGTGAGGTTGCTACGGCGTCTGGGTTGGAAGGGTCTGGACAGGCACAGAGACGGGGTACAGGGGAGGACAGTGGGCTTGTGGATAGATTGAGGGGTGCTTGGTAGTTTTGACGAGCTAGTATGTATATTTTATATGAGATAGCTATTGCGACTGAGGTGGAACCTTTGGTCATGTCAGGCATTGAAGCATGATTGGTAGTAACGTGAAACATTAGGTGCGCTATACATGAAAGCCATGTCAATATCGAGATTGGATCACCGTCCATTGCGGCTCCTGCGCATATTCTCCTTGCACTCGTTGCAATACCATTTGACTGGAAGATGTTAGTGACCGTTCGACTTGACCAAGATGGACACATACCGTTCTTGCCCGGTGGCTTTGTCAAGCCAACGCACGACAGATGGAACCATTCGCGCGGACAGGCATCATTATCGCAAGCAACCATCTCACCGAAGCTGATCTCGTTACAGTAACAATACCGCGGCTCGCCCTCCTCGTCTTCGTCGTCGCCTTCGTGAAGTGACTCATCGTCGGAGGGTATCGTAGGCTGGGGAATTGGTTTCTTCTGGGTGCGCTTGGTAGCCGGATCTTGGCTGCGCGTGGGTCGCGCGCGTGGGACAGTTTCTGCAAAGGCCGAGAGCACCGGTGTCGATGTCTTGGAGTTGCGGCCCTTGCTGTTCTCGGCCTCGGCTGAACTAGCTTTCCGGTCCAAGTCCTCACGTCTAGAGCCTGCGGGCACAGAGGTTCTAGAATGGAAGTCCTCGTATTCGCGATGTGCGTCCTGGTTTCCAATCTCACTTTTAACGGGTCCATCCCGTGGTGCAGATCTGGGGTCGTGGAGTTTGTCTGTGCGGGGTATATAGTTAATGAAAAGGTCCGGAGAAGATGTGTGAGATTGCATACTGCTGTTAGGACGATTCGAGGCCGATGAGGATGGCCGCGCGCGTGCGTTGCTTGCTGCCACGGAGTTTTGATGGGCCCGGGAAGATTGTGGCCTTGAGTTGTTGGGTCCTGGACTGGCGGCGCCACGGGGGGCATTGAATGTACCGACAAGCGGAGATGGAGCCAGAACAGGAGATCCGGCGTTGGAGGCATTGGCTCTGGGGTGGGGTAAAGTTAGTTGAAATCGATGTTGAGAGGCAGAAAGTGAATCATACTTCTTGCGCGCAGCGGCAGTCGGGTTCGGAGCGCGAGTGCGCTTCTTCTCCGCGGTGTCTTTGTTCGCGGCCCGTTGGCTAGTAGCGCCGCTGGCAGATCGTTCCATTGGAACACTGGCATCTCCTGGCAGTGTCGGTCGCTCCACCTTGCGACGCTTGGGTGCAGCGTTCGGATCTGCATGATCACCGCCGCGCGATTTACCACTGTTGGCTTTCCGTGCACCTGCGCCCCGGGTCTCCTCGTAGTCCGCATCGACATGCGCGCGTCGTTGCTTTCGTGCCATGACAGCATCGCGCCTGGCCTCACTGCGGCTAGCAGCTTCAGCTTCCTGAAGCACATGCGACAGATCCTGTCTGTGCGACACTACCTCCCGGCGTGGGCGCTCATTCGTCGCCGCCTTCGCAGCGCTCTTATTGGAGTACGCCCAGTGTGTCAGACTGCCCAGACGAGCTTCCTCACTTATTTCGCCCGCAATGTATGGGAACACCGTATCGAGACGAATGACTTGACGGTCCAATTCCTCATTTGCGTTGGAGATAACGTGGTTCTTCTCGTCGGCAGTCATCATCAAGTCTGAGAGACTCTGTCGTACGCGATCAAAAAGGAGCCGGCGACTTTTGCTATCGGCAGTTTCCGGGGACTGCGAAAGCTCCTTTTAAGACGTTAGGGGCGCATCATTCATAGGGACCATGGAAAATCTTACCTTGGGCAGAACATCCTCACGAACCACACCAGCGGCGATAGGGGCAGGGTGGGGAGGGTGAGGAACAGGCTGAGACTCGGAGGAGAGCTGGAGTAATTGGAGTAAATTTTCCTCGAGGGCCCATGCTTTCGCATCAACCTCCTTGAGCAGTGAGTTGTGGCGACGGAACTCGCGAGGAAGGGCGGTGATAGCGTCGGTGAAATGCGTCAGAGCAGGGTAGAAGCCGTGGGGGACAGGGGATGATTCAGGAATCTCAGTTGTTGAGCCTCGGCCGAACGCGAAAGACGACCGCCCGATGGTTTTGGAAGTCCGAGAAGGATTGGTTCGCGTTTGACGAGCTGGCTGGCGGCTCCCCTGTCCCTGGGAATTCATGGCTGACGTGGAAACGGCGGACATTGTGAAGGGTAGAGTCGGGATTGGGAGTCTGCGCCGTTGGAGGATTGGAGGGAGCCGAGCGCAGGTTGGAAACGGTCCAATGGAACCAGAAAAGACAGTGGATATCAGAGCTATTCTGAAGCCCTGCACAAGAGTCAATACCTCGCCTGGCAATAGAGAATGTCAAAGTGGTGACAGCTACTGGAGAGCAAGTTTGAGTGCGGAGAAAGTGATCTGGATCAGGTGAGATTGCCGCCTGGAATGCCAGGCACGCATGCGCTGGATCGCTGAATAATATGGTCTCTAAATATGACGTCAACTGATCACTACTATACGGAGTATTCTAGGAACAAGGCACGGCTTTATATTGCACAAATCAACGAGTTCTTTGTATTTTACATATGGAATAGACCATGGATATCATCATCCAAGGCTTCATCTTGAACCCAGAACACGTTGATAACACAAAAGTCAATGAATACAAAAAAAAAGGGTGGTACAACAGGGATTAGACGCTAGCTTCTAATAAAGCCGATGAATATAAGAACCCCACTTAATGCAAGTGTCCGGGTGAGATGGCAGAGACGTCAACAAGAGTCGAAACAGTGCGCTGGATGGACATTTACTCGCCCTTGAGGCGCTCCTGGTGAATGGAGAAGGCATCTTCCAGGAACTCTTGCTCCTCCTTAAGGTGAACGGCCTTGAGACCGGTAGCAACGGAGGCGCTACCAGCACGACCAGCGTAGAGGACGTGGCGGCGGTTGTGGTGCTCAGTGGCATTCAGCAAGCTCTCAATGCGGGGCTGAGCGTACGACCAGGCACCGGCGTTGAGGGGCTCCTCCTGACACCAGACGATGTTCTTGGCGTTGGGGTAGCTGTCAAGGTTCTCCTTGAGCTGAGCCCATGGGAAGGGGTGCAGCTGCTCAACACGAGTGATGGCAGTGTTGCGGATACCGTTGGCCTCACGGTGCTTCATCAGGGCGGCGTAGACCTGGCCTGAGCAAAGGACGACACGCTCGATCTTCTCGGGGGCATCGATGGTGGTACCGTGACCCTCATCGGGGATGATCCACTGGAAGTGAGAGTCACCGGTCAAAGCCTCGATATCAGAGCGGGCAAGAGGGTGACGCAGCAGCGACTTGGAGAAGAAGATCACCAAAGGCTTGCGGAATTGACGGTGGATCTGGCGACGAAGCATGTGGAAGAGGTTGGCAGGGGTGGTCATGCAGGCGATCTGCATGTTGCAGTCCTGGTGCTGGCGGTCGAGCTTGTCAGCGGAGGGGTAGACACGGGGCTCCTCGTTGCAAAGCTGAAGCCAGCGCTCCATGCGTCCAGAGGAGTGCTCGGGACCCTGGCCGTCGTAACCGTGGGGCAGGGAGACAACCAGGCCGGAACGCTGGAGCCACTTGGATTCACCGGAAGCGATGAACTGATCAATGATACATTGAGCGTTGTTGGCGAAGTCACCGAATTGAGCCTCCCACATGACCAGGGCGTTGGGGGAGGTCAAGGAGTAACCGTACTCGAAGCCGAGACTAATGACATTGTTAGTGCTGGTTTCAAGGAAGAAATGGAGGGCGTTCGCAAAACTTACCAACCGAACTCACTCAGGGAGGAGTTGGAGATGACGAAGCTACCCTGCTTGTCACTGATGTGCTTCAGGGGAGTGTAGGTGCGCTCGGTCTGCTGGTCGTGCAGGACGGCGTGACGCTGAGAGAAGGTACCACGCTCGACATCCTGTCCGGAGATACGGACGTGGTAACCCTCATCGACAAGGGAACCGAAAGCAAGAGCCTCCGCGGTGGCCCAGTCAATGTTCTTGCCCTCGCCGACAGCCTTCTTGCGACCACTCAAGATACGCTTGAGGTTGCGGTGGAGCTCGAAGCCATCAGGGGCACCAGTACCGCTGACCTTGTCAGCAATGTGCTGGAGGGACTTCTCGCCGACAGCGGTGGGCAGGTGAGGCAGAACCTCGGTGGCAAGCTCCTTGGGAGACTTGAAGTTGTTCCAGGCAGAGGTGAGCCACTCCTTACCGGTGGGCTGGTAGTCCTTGCTGCGGTCGAAGCTGTCGCCGAGCATTCCCCAGACCCACTTCTTGTGCTCATCGATGTCGTCCTTGGTGAAGGTACCCTCGGCAATCAGCTTCTCGACGTACTTGTCGAGCTGAGCCTTCTGCTCGGCGATGCGCTTGTACATAAGAGGCTGAGTGAAGGAGGGCTGGTCAGTCTCGTTGTGACCCTGCTTACGGTAGCAAACCATGTCGATGACAACGTCACGCTTGAACTCAGCACGCCAGTCAGCAGCGACCTGGCAAACGTAGTTGACAGCCTCAACATCATCGGCGTTCACGTGGAAGACGGGGGCGTCGATGGACTTGGCGATGTCGGAACAGTAGGGGGTGGACCGAGAGTAACGGGGATCAGTGGTGAAACCGATCTGGTTGTTCACGACAAGGTGGATGGTACCACCAGTGGAGTAGGCGGGAAGTGAGTGGAATCCCATGGTCTCGTAGACGACACCCTGGGCAGCGAAGGCGGCGTCACCGTGCAGCAGGACACCCATGGCGGAGTCGTAGTGGGTCTCATCGTTGTTGTAGTGCTGGATGGCACGGGTCTTTCCGAGAACAACGGGGTCCTCGGCCTCGAGGTGGGAGGGGTTGGCGACCAGAGACAGCTGCACACGCTTACCGGAGGGGGTGGGACGCTCGAAGTTCATACCCAAGTGGTACTTGACATCACCGGAACCCTCATCAGAAGGCTCGGTGGATCCAGCGAACTCGCTGAAGATGGACTCATTGGGCTTGCGGACGACGTTGGACAGAACGTTGAGACGACCACGGTGAGGCATACCGATGACGATGTCCTTGATGCCATAGTCGACACTGCGGTCAATGAGGGCCTTCATACCGGGGACCAGAGTTTCACAACCCTCAAGACCGAAACGCTTGTCGTTGGGGAACTTGGTGGCGAGGAAGGACTCGAAGCTGGAAGACCAGATCAAACGATCGAGGATGCGGCGCTTGTCATCGACCGAGTAGTTGTAGGGCTGGGGGATCTCGAAGCGGTCACGGATCCACTCGCAAGGCTTACGGTCAGGAATGTGAATGTACTCAACACCGTAGGAGCCACAGTAGATCTTTTCGCAGGCCTCGATGATCTCGCGCAGGGTCATCTTCTTGCGAGTCTCGGTGATGAAACGGGGCAAGATACCGGGTCCAAGAGCGAACTCTTGGTCCAGGTCACGCTCAGTGAAGCCGTAGTGGTCGAGCTCAAGCTCCTTGGGCTTGTCATATCCGAAGGCCTCGGCTTCTCCGCGGATGCCAAGGGGATCGATCTTAGCCTTGTGGTGACCACGGGCCTGGTAGGCGCGGCAGAGCAGCTGGACCTTCAAGTGGTTGGTCACATCCGCACCGCTGTCGAGACCGGCACCGGGCATGTCCTGGGGGACACCACCGGTAGGGGTAGGAACGAGAGTGGGAGGAGGAGTGAAGGCCTGGGAGATGGGCATGTTACCCTCTTCCATGTTCTTGAAGTAGGTTTGCCACGAGATGTGAACACTCGAGGGGTCCTTCTTCCACGCGACATACATCTCATCGATGTAGTTGGCAGTGCTTCCAGTAAGGAAAGAGTCGTTAGGGTCCTATTCCAAATAAGAGCAAAAATGCGCCGTCGCGTTAGTCGAATGTCCGTTTACTCTCATATCGGGAACCCGGATCGGAACGCGACTGATATTAGGTTGCTAATGCTTACCACTCCCTGGGATGCCGCGTAGGATCGGACACCGGAAGCCCGGTCGACGACAGCAAGAGGACGGCGAGCGGTCATGCTGAAGCCGGAGCGTTTTGAGGCGCTGCGGGCACTTGTAGCGAGGTGAATAGAGCGCCGACATGTTGAGGAGGTCACACCGCGCAGCATACCGCTGTGGGTGGCCTTTGAGGCAGTGTTTCTAAACATTGCGGGATTTTTCGTAGATCGAAGTCCAACGAAGTTCGAATTGATTATGAGGGGAGAGAGGGAGATAGGATAGGATGGTAGTTCGCAGATCTGTAGACCAAATCGGACGTCAAGGGTCGATTTGCTGTGTTCAATAGTGTCAGCCTGATATTGCCAGGTTGCTATATCTCTGCCGAGGAAACCGGATACGGAGGAAAGGATCGGTAAGGTAAGTAGACGTACAAATTTAACGACAAGACAGGTGTCGACTAGTTTTGCCGTAGCACCTGTATAGAATCGGAACTCATCAGAGAGCTAAAACTCTCTAGATGGAAAAAGAAATTGTGGGGAGAGGAGAAAGAGAAGAGCGCGAAGAAAGCTGCCGAGAATGACGGCTCTCGCGGCAGGAGCAGGGAATTGAGGCTGGTGCGCTGAGTCAGCCCGAACTCACAGCCGGTCGCCTTGGAAGCGCCCGAACGAGCCACACCAGCCGCAGCCCGGCTAAGTCATTTCGGGTTTTGTGCGGGAGTTTTCGGCCCAATTGTACTAAAGAGGATTCCCATTATTCATAGATGTCTGAGGTTTGTCTCAAGGCGGGTGTGGAACTGGGATTTCGCTATATATCAGGGGGTTCGATTAGTATTAACATCTATACTCCGTAAAGGCCACTGAATAATGCAAATATGTGATAGATAGAAATAGAAATGACAGTTGGGTATTCATAGCATCGTGAAAAATGCAAGATCGCCGCCGGGGGAAAGAATTTCAAAAAATTGACAAGACACATGACATATGTGGCATCATATAGCCTGGCATGGGAAACCTGTAAATCAGGCTATAAAACATTCAGGCGGTCAGTTCCGGGGTTCGGGACTTGGTCACGATCTGTGAGAGCTACCGGCCCGGTAAGGATCTTGCTGGTCGGGAGATCGGCAGTTCCTTCATGCAACGGGGAAGCTGATGAGTGACCATCGTCAGGGAAATGTCCCGCACTCGTGGGTCCTTCGTCAGGAAGCAAGGGTCTTGCATCGGGTACAATGGGACTTGCTTCAGCACCAGTGAAACTGGTGCGGTGGGACGGCGAGAGCGTGCGAGGTGGGCTGCTTGCACTACTGCGCAGACTGCCATTGCTCCCGCCCCAAGCTCCCCGTCGTAATTTCATGAGTGCGCTCAGCGACATCTCATCATCCAGATTCCCGATATCAACCAGCTGGGCCAGACCCGGGCTCGCCAGGGCTGAGTTGGGGTGGGTAGCTCCGTGGGTAGCTCCGTGCGCCTTGAGTGAGATCATGGAGTTCCGCGTGCTCCACTCACTTTTCTCAGTGATTGGCGTGAGGCTTGGCTCTTGGAAGTTTGCCCGGCTGCTGTGGCTGCGCGTTATGCCCTCAACACGCCGAGAGCCAAAGTATCCCCCATTGGTGAGTTCCGAACTGCCACTGCCGTCTGCATGTGCGTAGAATCCAAACTCTTGACCGTAAAAGCCGTCGTCGTCGTTTTCCAAAGCCTCTGCATTGGCAGCGGCAACGATGGCGTCGTCGAAATACGCGTCGTCAAAATCATCGTACAGGCCATCATCAAAGACATCCTCAAGTCCACTAGGGTCTGCAGACTGGCTGACTCGACTTTCATCTGCAGTCAGGCCTGGCTGCAGGTCCAACGTGTGCGATTTCTGGTCCATGCTTTCTTGGCCCTGGGATCTGTCACTCGTGCTGAACGTGCGATCGAACCGTCCGCCATGACCAGATTCACTGGCCGCAAACGCTAAAGCGTTATGCAAAAGATCCAAATTCTGCTCTGTGAGCACACCACCATGAGCCCGAGACGGGCCCATGTTCGGTATTGACTCACCAAGGGGCCCACGTTTGACAGAACTAGCGGCCCGGTAGTCACTGGCCACACTTGACATGTGCTTCAAGCCATGGTCCTCATTTTCGGCTAAGAATGTATCTTTGTCCGGCGAGGTTTCATCGACGGGGTCGAGGTTGTTTGCAAGAGGCGCAGTAGGAGCACCAACCGGTTTCCGCTCGTATAAATGACTAGTCTCATCGTCAAATATGGACTCATCAAATCCTCCGTCTTGATTGTCGAGATCAAGATCTCCAAATTCGCCATCATCAAAGTAAAGATCGTCGTCATCAAGGGTTTGCGGGTTCGGGTTGGCTGTTGCATTTGCCTGGGGGGCTTGGACAGAGCTCGCGACAGTACCTTGTCCCAGCTCATCATTCAGCGGTGTGGTTTCACGATTGGGTGCAACGGGTGCAAAGTATGAGTTGTTGCTCTGATTTTGCGGTGCAGGGGTAATTGGACTCGCAACTACTGGTGACAATCCAGGTATAGCCCATGACTTTGCTCCGTTATTGGGATTGACAGACAGCGAGAAGTCATCATAGTCGTCATCATCTGCATCCACATTGACTCCCGGAATCTTCTCTTCCAGGCCATCCAGGTCGTCCAGGATATCATCGTCAAAGTCATCGTCAAAGTCATCGAAATACCCATCTTCCACTTTGCGATATGCTTCCTTGGCCTTGTGCTTCTCCTCTAGCATCTTTTCTTGGGTCGATGATTCTACCCCAGTCATGTCGAAGCTGAAGCGAGAAGCATTACTCTTGAGATGCCTGGGAAGGCCAGAGGAGGTGAAAGGAGCATGCGAAATGGTATCTTGATCCTGGGGTTCTGGATGCGAGTGAGAGACCGGTTCTGGGGCGCTCGGAGCCTCTTTCGTCTCAGGCTCGGGATCAGCCGGCTCCACAAGGTCTTTGCTTGTTTGTTCAGGTAAATGAGATGGGAGATTCCTGGCAAATACCGGTAATGATTGATCATACCCAGGTTGGGACTGGGTCGTCAATAGTGAGGACTGGAGGTAGCCCTTATTTTCAACCTGTAGAACGTTCTGGTCCTCGAAGTGTTCTTTGAAAACAGGCGAATGATCGCTGTGGGGCTTTGATTGATCGCTCCAGCGAGACCCATTAGGATGACTAGGTATCTGTGCCGGCGATGCGTATTGTGTAGTGGTGTCAAGTTGTGTAGCGGAAACATTTCGGCGAGGCCGCGGCGCTGAAAAGTCGTGCACAATCTTACCCCGAATTCTAGGATCGTAATCTTCCGGCATAGCTGGAACATTGCGATTGGGGATTTTGACGTTCTCTGCGCGAGTGTTCACGATCTGCGCGGACCGTCTGCGCGCGAGTAGAGACATTGGATTTAAGAGATGAAGCATCGCCTTTCCCGATTTGTGATGCGTTTGTTCACCGGTCATATCGCGCTCTGCGTTGCGCTTAGTTGTTGCAGCAGTGCTGTCAATTTTGAGATCTTTCGGCAAGCTCTGTTTGTCTGCTGGAGAGTCCTCCGGCGAGGTCTTGAAACGGAAATGTCCAGATCCTGCAGCCGCAGTGGGTGATCGTTTCTGTTTTCCAAATGAGCGCCGGAAAGTTGAGCTGGTTTTATTATTCGATGACTCCCCGTCCCCTTGATCAGAGCGTAGACCCGTGCTGGACGACTGTGGATCTTTCGATTGGGATGTGGGGTGCTCGCCTTCACAATCACCGGGGCTCGAGTGAGGACGGGGATCTTTCTCGTATGTCGGCGAAGGTACAGCAAGTGTGAGCGATGAGGAAAGCGGCGCTGCTGATGAGCTGATGTTCAACTTCGAGGCATCGATTTCCACCGGCGACTCGGTCGAGGAGGGTTCATCGTGAGAGGGGCGACCGCTGAAAGTGGTGGTCAATTTCGGGGTATCCAGAATCTCTGGTATTTGAGGAGGAGTGCTTATCGGCCCCCCGTTTGCCCCTTTCGAAGATGGTGAGGATGCGGCCAACGTAGCTGGCGAGGCAGACGAGCGCCGATGGTCGCGACGCCAATAAGAGAAGACTGTTGACGGTGCCATTTTCGGGCTCTGCTGTGTTCCTCAAAGCGCCAATATTTGCTGAGAAAATCAGGAGGGGGCGTGATGGTCCATTGCAGTTGTTGTCAACTGCTGAGGGGTGTCGACAAAGAGAGCCCGTTTCACATACCAGAAACAACGGGACCGTGGGGACTTCAAGAAGCCACCTGGAATTTCGGCTGTTTCACGTTTTTTCTTGATTTTTCACCAAGGCTTTGATCTTCAACGATTAGGTCGCAGCAGGGAATCTGGATCTTCAAAATGCAAAGCAAGTGGAGGTAACGGCTCAAACGGGTTACACTGCCTCTCCGCCTCGCGTGTGGTTCTGGGCCCATCTACAATATCGCGTCACATACTCCGTACTGGCCGGCTACGTACAGCCTTATACAGTTTACGGCAAAAGTCGTATGCAATCATTTCTATAAATTGTACAGGTGATCTACATGGATATCGCTCAGCTCAAAATAGCACGCTCAGAACGACCATATGCTATGCAAATTTTCAAAATAAAAACAGACGCGGAGAAACAACTTGATCGGTTCATCGGATGCTCTGCCTCCATCTGTCGATCACATCGGGCTCAAGCTGACTAGCCGTTGGTCTGGTCATGTTGGGAGACTGCCCCATTGTCATGCCCATCATCGCGGCATTATTGGGGAAGCCAGACGGGTACATCATCGAGTGTGCATGTTGGGGCCGCATTGGGTACCCGGCTGCCATCGGATAGCCCATATTCGAAGAGAAATTTGGCTGCATCGACATGCGCCTCCCGTATTGAGACATGGTAACAGGTCGTTGGGTCAAGTAATCATGCGAGGGCTGAGCGAGATGGGAGGGGCGGCCTTGCGTTAGCGCAGCCATACTCCTTCGTACTCGTGGCTTTGGGGGTTCGAGCGCAGTAGCAGCCTCTTTTTGAAGACGGCTACGACGCTGAGCGAGGGTTTCTTCCTCGTTGTTTTCTGGTGGTGTCTCGATGACTGTAGGCACAATGCCGGCTCGAGTGTCGATTTCGGCCATCAACTCACTGGCGAATCTACTTTCCGAGCGGTTGTGTCCTTTCAATCGTTGAAGGCGCTCAGCCAGAGTCTCAACCTCATCTCCACTCTCAGCAGCTGGTTCTGGGTGGGCCGTATCAACTATGGGAGGGCGTGGTTGCGGTAACGGCATGGGCTCACCACGCAACCGAGCCCGGCGTGAGCTTAAAGGCTCGTTTTCCTCCTGTTGTCGCTTCTCCATCAATCCCAATGGTCTATCATCAGGGTGGGCATTGCCTTGGTTCGGTAAGAGCATTGCCAAAGGCACATCTTCGTCTTCCTCTCTGTTTTCCCAGGCCAATGCGATGGGACGTTGTCGCCGTTTATCACTTTGCTGCTGGGCTCTCTCGTCAATCTGGAGCAGAGTGGTCTGCATACCCTGGTAAGGCATGGGAACTGCCGTGCGGCGTCTGTGCTTCAACTCGTGTTTCCTTAACTCGAGCTCGGCGAGCAATGTGTTCGGTGGGCTAACATAGTCTAGCTCCTCATCATCTTCGTCGTGAGTGTCTGATGATTGCTCGCCACTCTCTGAACCGGTACTTCCTGATTCGTGCCCATGATGATGTCCTGTCGGATTTTCTCGCTCGGTTTCTGATAGATGATGCACAGTGGCAGCGTCATCGTGTTCAACTGCGTCACTGGTGCTGTGAGAGTGGCCGACATTGGGCCGCAGATTCGAAGACGTCTTGCGTTTAGACTTCTGCGCCTGTGTTCCGAGATGTCCAGCATAAGGGTGGTCTGTGAAGGCGGAGACAGGTGCATTGGCAGATGCGTCTAGAATACTCTCCAACGTTGCAACCGCAGAGTCCTGCTTCATCTGAACTTGGAGGGAAGAGGTTGGCTGTTCAAAGAACACACTTGCGCGCAAATGCGGCGGCACAGTGGATTTCCTCTTCTCGTTCTGGCCGCTACTTGGGCTTTGTTGGTCGGCAGCAGCGGTAGGGTTTCTGTCCTCCGCAGCGATTGCGCCCAAGAGCTGCGTCCGGCGCTTTTCCCGATCAACATTCGTCTTGCGAGACAACTTTGGTGGAAGATTCAACATGCGGGGGACAGGAGCGGGATAGTACACCATGTTTTCTCCCATTCTCGGCTCTTTGTATGATTCTTGATTGCGAGCAAGCGGTGGGCGATCCAAAGGAACCTGTCGACCGGACGCGCCGCGGTCCAAGGGTGTGAAATGCACACCATCAAAATCAGTGAACAGCGTGCGCGCTTGCTGGAAGGTATCACCCGAGGCGACCGAGGCCCGTCGCTCTATCTCTGATTCCGCATGGGGCACTTGTTGATCAGGGTGATCGTAGTAGTAGTCGTTTTGGGGGTTGAAGGAGTGTTGCGCAACATGAAAGTCAGAGTTATGTAGAGACTCATCTGCTTCATGCTCATGGTGCGCAGGCTCTGAGACCCGTGCAAGTTGGGATCCCGATACGGAGCGCAGGCGCGCAGGCGAGACATTCGAGTGGGCAGATGAGATAGTCCTGGTCGGTGAAAATGTATCATTGCGGATAACAACCGAATTAGCGGCTGAGCTGCATGAACGCTGCTTTTGCTCCTGGTCCAACCGACGAATCTCACTCCCAATATCCGCGGAACAGGAGCTCAGTTGCTCGGCGCTCTGTTCCAATCTTTCCACATTCCCAATGTACGCGCCTTGTATTGATTGTAGATCTGGGATCGGGTGGCTCAGAGGCACGGAAACCTCGCTGCATGCGCTATGGAGGGGTGGTCCGGGAGATTGTTGTCGCGTGACAGCTGTGTTGAGGGGAGGGACTCGGCGAATGCTGTCGGATCGTCTGGGAGGGTCGGCGTCATAATCGTCGTCCTCCACCATGTCGTAGCTGGTGGAGGTCATGGAGCGGATCATCGACCCCAAGTCGAAGCCGTCGGCGGATCTTGCTGGTTCCAAGTGGCTTCCTCCCCCGATGTGATCAGTATCAAGCGGCAGCTGTTCAAATGCATGCCCGGCGGGCGAGGGGCTGCGTGATGCCGAAGCGGAGGAGTTCGAAGCCACCTCGTGGTCAATCTGAGCAACGGCGTTGTACGCCATTATATAGCTGGAGGCCGAGTCTCCATTCAGACCGGTTCGAATGAGTAAGGTTCAGGACGAAATGCCGACAGGGATCAGAGACAAAGAAAAGCAAATGAGGAATGCAGGGACGATACGGTTAGGACTTGGGATGGGAAACATGGAGAAAGGAACTGGATAGTTGTGCTACGTCCCTAAATTTGGAAGTTTGCCTGCCCCCAGGCGGAATGCCTAAAATAAACCCGATCAACCCCAAAATAATAGTCAATAATAAGAAATTAAATCAAGTAAAATGACGACGCCACAAAAGGGGCCTTTGCGTCTCTCAATGTCTCGGACCAGTTGGCGCCCTGCCAGGTTTCGTCTCTCCACTCCGTTCTAGAGGTCTTGGCATCATATCTATATAGTCGACCTTGTTCCCGTCAGACTGCATGGAGATAGGCATAAAGCCCAGTATGCAGAGATGCCCTCGAACCAATCACCTTACCAGTGTATATCAGGTTTTGTTCCTCTCCTCCTCGCCTTCCCACTTTGCCTTGCATACACACAACCAATGACACACCTGCGATTCGGGAGTTGGGACTCATGGTGGTCGCATGATCCGACCAAGAACGGGTGAACCGTGTTCAAACCAATCCAGAGAAGTGGAAGCAACTTGCGAACCTCGGAGACATCAGCTAGGAGCACCACTCTGCTGCAAATTCCTACGTGTCCCCGCGCAGCAGGGCCATTTAGCCGGGTTCGAGCGCAACAGTTCAGTCACAAGACTTATCTTGCAGTCTCTGAGTGTTAGTTCAAACTTTCCTGTAAACTTGGTATATACGAGTGGATACTCAATTACAAGAAGCTTGTGAATTTAAGGTGATGACAGTCGGCTTTAAATGGGGGAGGGCTACTCCGTACTTATGGAGCAAGAGTATGTCCTCTTAGCTTGACTGAACAATCACATCACCTGGGCAATGTTACCAAGGTAAGAAATCTTCTCATTTGTCTTCTTGATCGTGTCCTGGGGTTTGGAAAATTATCTAGGTATAAGTGTAGATTGCAACACTTGAGGCTAGATTTGTGCTCTATGAGGGGGATATATTCCTGAGGTTGCGAGATAGTCTGCTTCCAAGTTCCAAGTTGTTCATTGCTTCCATGTCTCCCTGGGAATGCCTTGTAACTGTACAATGAGCCTTGATTACCCAGGTAGGGTCATTCTACCGTGTTCTCGTATTATTAGACACCCGCCCCGGGCCTCATTTTGTCATTGCCCTGGCCCTCTCGTCTCGGGTTCCCAATTTCGCATCTTCCGCCCAGACATGTGAGCACACTCCGGGGCCACCAGGGCATTAAAACCCTTACGATGCCCGTCCGACATGGTATTCCGCATCTACCCTCGCGACCCCACAACTTCTGCATCTGCGCTCTGTACTCCATACATTCACAATGTCCGCCCGAGCGCCACTCCGAACATAGCTCGCACACCAGATAGTACTCGCAACTCGAGTATAACCATGTGGTATACAAGATAGACGATATACCGACGGAGCTATGATCCACAACAACCGAGCCACACTTCGATTCTAATCATTCAAACGGCTCATCTCTTCCCTTCCATGGCTCCCCCACTACAGATACAAATGGAGTTCGGGTAATCTGAGACAATGTTGAATTTTCCAAGGTTGGAAACAGAATCCCATACCTAGTAAGAGCATGGTCTTTCCCGCCTGACACGAACTAGTGATCCACGGGTGTTTTGCAGCCTTGGAAGTGGGGAACGATCCCTTGAGTGGACACCCGTGCCTACACTAAGGTAAGTGGCCAGAAAGATGACCAGGTAAATGGATGGATGATATTGGGGTAAACGCTGGACTCATGGGCGGTTAGAACAGATGAGCGACTGCTCATAATCCAAGAGCGGACCTCAACGACTCCGGCTGACGCATTAATTTGCTCAATTCCGACGCAAGGCTGCCGACTCATACTGGTACCCAACCTCAGAATCCCAGCACACTCCGTCACAGATCATTAACAAGAAGCCACTTTTACAAAATGTCAGGTACGTACGGCTACCCCACATGTCACAAGATCAAATCATTGATTGCCGCTCAGAGCCTCAAGCAATACCCTTTCGTATCGGGGTGGTTCTGTTTCCAGGCTTTCAGGCCCTTGATGCTTTTGGGCCAATGGACTGCCTGAATGTCCTCTCACGGAATCACGCCGTGACTCTGGCACTTCTCTCGTCGACCCTGGAGCCCGTGACAACGAAATCACCCGTGTCACCCCACGCTCTCGGCCAAGCCGTGGTACCAACACACACATTCGAAACGGCTCCATCTCTGGACCTGTTACTCGTCCCAGGGGGCCTCGGAAGTCGCGGCTCGAGCCCAGCTATTGAAGAGACCATTTCGTACATTCGAAATGTATATCCTACGCTGAAGTACCTGATCACAGTATGTACGGGGTCTGGTCTTGCCGCGCGGGCGGGCGTGCTAGATGGGAAACGGGCTACGACTAACAAAAGGGCCTGGGCTGAGATCACGGCATTGAGTGGGCTTGTTGAGTGGGTTCCTCACGCCAGATGGGTTGTTGATGGCAATATCTGGTCGTCTTCGGGAGTGAGTGCGGGTATCGATGTAACTCTTGCCTGGATTGAGGAGGTATACGGGTGCCAGGTGGCGGATACGATTGCAAATGGCATCGAATATACCCGTCACAGAGACTCGAGTCATGATCCTTTTGCTGAGTTGCATGGTCTTTGAGGCACCACACCGCTTGGTTTTGGTCTTTGGCAAAGTAAATGGTTAGAATCACAACTTTCCTCTTGATGGGTGAGACCAAATAAACACCGAGGTATCTTTCTCCAGGGCTGGTAAATTTCAAGGCTTGAAGTCATACATGTTCCAAGGTTGTGTCCTCATCCATGACGGACCTCGGAGCACCACAGGGATATGTCTCGGAAACTATTATTGTTGAAGACCATTCCGATGTTTATATTCAATTTGGCGTGTCCCACTAGCTGGTTCCATAGCTACCTAGGTATTATGCTGTAATGAATTACTCTTGCCTCAAGCTCAACCTTGAACCATTTACCTAGGTACAACCCTCGGGAAAGTTTGGCAACCCTCAAGGTTAGAGTGATACATGTTCAAACGCTGTCTGGGTGAATACGGGCGCGAGCACATGATGGGATATGAGCGCAAGAATGAGTGTTTTTTATCGTTACAAGACCTAGTGATATCCACGAATATGGTCTCTTGCATACCTAGGTACCTAATTGGACTGTAGGAAGACACTGATGGAACACAAAGTCCAGAAGAGTATGGAGTCCGGCAGATTGTGGAGATCGTTTGCGGTTAGTCCCGCTTACTGCCCAGGCGAGATCTTGTTACACGTGACCGCGCGCCGATATCGACGCGCCTCAATTCAAAGCCTGGCGATCAACGGACGCGAATGCTTTGACGTGTCATCATGTCTTATTATGATATCGACTCTATCCTGACAGACTCACAAGTTAGATGCGACATCAATATCCCTTAAGAAAGAGAGATGCTGACACATTGGATCTCAGAAACTGCCATGTACATTTGAGCTTGAAGTGCCTGGGTTGGGAATTTTGGAAGGCAACGCGGGTGAAGATGTTTGCTGATGCCACTTCCATTGCCTAGCTCTGGGAAAAGCTGACCTCCCCTAGATCAAAGCTGGGACTCGGATGGATCTCCCATTATGGCTGGGTGAAATGCTTTCAATCGGGTAAGGCCTCCACGAACTGGCCATTGGTGGTTTCCAATCTCCCATTGCCCTACTCACGCGGTGAATTTAGAGCAAGATTGGGAACGTCTCGTCTGGTCACGCTTGATATGCCTGATGCGCTTTCGGAGCGCGTTATGAATGCGCTGAAGGCTGATCCTCGAACGCTTGATCTTCGTGCCTTAGCGCCGCATTTCTACAATCTCAGCGAGCGGATTCTAGAACTTTTCGAAGAAGAAGAGATGGTTGATGTTCTAACTGATGTATGTGGTTGCCCATTCACGAGCCCAGAGACTGGGGCTGATCAGTATGCAGACATTTAAGAAACGAGCTGCCGAAATTGCCGACCACGCACACAACTCACGGGGTGCGGTTGGTGACGGTGTTGATTTCCTTCGGGGGTTGGACGAGACCGAGCGACAATGTGAGTTATTACCGTTCTCAGCTTGCAGAACATGACTAACGAGCTACACTAGTATTCCGGGCTGCTCATGACCGGGCCAAGGAAATGCGTATCTGGTCTGGCGAGGCGAGACGCAAATGATAGCGTTGGTGGCAAACCTTGGGCTCTGAGCTGCGCTCGCCCATTTCTATGAGTACCACTTGATGCAAGAATATGATCAATCCACTAGGGCACCCGTGACGTAGACAGTTTTGATCTCAGTACTGTGAAAACCATGTGAGAACGGAGTCGGCATGAGACACCCCGAGACCTCCGTACATCGTAGAGAAGGCAAATATACTCCGTGATTTCCATTGGAGAACCAGGTAAATCATGTCAGATGTAGCGGGAAAGGGGCCCGAGCATGCGACATGTACAATGTAAGAACGGAGATCTGACAGAGCCAAAAGTCACCGAAGTGGGTTGCATTGGTGTGGAGACAACCCATATGGAAGATCCATTGGAAGATCGGGAGATCCGTATGGAGTAGAGTGCATACTAGTACATCATGACTTCCAATGTTGAGATCAAAGACTATCGACAGAGATGATCATTAATTGACTTTGTGACGAGTATGGAGTGGTAGTTGAGTTTAAAACCAGGCTGGGGCGAATGGCCCTGACAGGTCTTGACGCACAGGGTTCAGAATATAGCACGAATTGACAGAGTCGACATCAATTTGATTGAAACCGAAATCATATACCCCTTAGGTACCTGGGCACCAACCCAAACATGGAGGCTGACTGTGTTACTCCTTAGTACCTCAGGTGAAACCGAGTAAGGGGATAGCCCCACGCGAATCTAGGAGAGGCTGGGAAATCCGCACTGGGACTTCACTCTCACTCTTCCATTCGGCTTTTCATTCTTCTATACATTCCTTTCGAGGGGGGTCTTCGGCAATTCAAAACAACAACATTGAGTGGGTCCTTGTCTCTTAAATTTTTTTTTAGAGACGCCATTTTCTCTAGCTCGACTCATCATAATCCGTTTGCGACATCCCCTCGCTTTAGGCGACTTCTTCCTGTCGCCCTTGGATCTTCCAGAACCGGAGTCTATCAGTGCCTTGGCCCAATTCTATTGCCTCTAAACCTTCCTTGACCCTCCCATCCCCCCACAGGCCCATCTATTTTGGCTTCTGATTGCTCCCCGCCTGCAACACATCTGCACCCCTCGCATCCGCACCGTCTGCTTCGCATCCACCCGGATCTGATCGTCCAATACATTGTCTAGCGCCTAACCAATTGGTGCCCCTCCGTTCAAATTCCTGGCTCCATCTGTTAAACCTCCGATGTGGCTGGTGGATTGCGCCGGAGATTGTTATCGCAGTGTCCACTGATTGACCAGGAGACAGTGGGCCGCGCCCGAACTGGCAATCGGGGGGGGGGGTGTATTCGGCACGTCAATTATGCGCGAGTGAAGATGATGCCTGCAGCCACGATGCATGAAAAAGTCCAAAGGAGTTCGGCTGCTGGTCAGCCTGCTCCCTCGCACTCTCACCCTCCTGTATATCATTCTCATCCTGCACCTAAACGCAGTCTCTCATCTAAACCTCACCCCGCCAGTAAGTTTGATCATTTCATATGCACAGAACTCGGAGTTCTTTAGCATGGACGATTGAGCTCACACCATCCCTCCCAGACTCTTCGGACCGCCCACAACACCAGTCGCTTTCCCGCGTCAAGGGCCGGCATACTATGTACACACCACCTGCAATGAGTACCGAGGGCTCGTGGCTGAGAGATCAGTCACCGGCTCACCCTGGGACCAAGACACCAACCCGCTCCCAAGGTATGTCACGAGGATATGTCGCGTCTGAATCGATTACTGATATCAGATGATACAGAGACACCAGAGCCAAGCACACCTACATTAGTCAATCCCTCCTCCGCCCTGCTGCAAGATCTCCTCAAGGAGCAGCGCGCACACCGGGGCTCGCGAGGCAACATCTCAGAAGATTTGGAAACTAGCGGTCCACGAACTCCCGAGACTGCTCGACTTTATGACGACACGGTTTCAGAAAAGGCACGTAAAGTCACCGATGCGCTCTCTGCTGGCCAGAGAAAACCCAAAGAAATGGGGATGCGCGAAATGGATAGTGTGAGTCTTCCAACCCTTGGAACGTGTGACAGCACTGATGCGGGCGCAGTACGTTTCGAAAATGAATAAGCTCAATTTCGATTTGAAGCTCGAAATTTTTCATCGCACGCAGCAGATGAGAATCCTCGAGCAGAAGATGGAACGGATGGCAGAGATGGAAGAACAGCTTGCTCATATGGACCAGCTGGAGGCAGAAGTGCGAGAGCTGCGGACCGTGGCAAACGAAAACCGAATGTTACGGGAAACAAATAAGAAGCTAAGCGAAGACTTCAAGAACCGTGATCAAGCGGTTGTCGAAGCTGTCGACCTTATCTGCCAGTTGGAAACGAAGATTGACTTGCTGGAAAATGGCGGGCAGACCTCGAAGATGTCCATGTCGCGTCCTATGACCGCAGATGGGTCGGATGTGTTGACGCCAAGAGCCCTCACAATGGTCGAAATCCCAGAGAGAACGTCGTCGAGACGTGGTTCGAGATCCTCTAGTGTCATGAACGTGGCCCGCCGCCAGACATCCTCTGAACTACGAAAACTCTCTAAAGCGCCATCCTTTTTGCGCGCGGACGACAAGAGTACTGCAACCTTGCGAGGACTTTATGAGCCCAGGAACAATGAGCAACCTGCCGAAACGACCGGACTTGCAAAGTCGGAAAGTTTTCATACTATGACCGAGACCATGGAACCAGAATCCCCCAGATTGAGCGTTTTGAGCGAATGCAGTGAGCTAAATACCTTCGACACGCCCACACGATGGGATGAGTTTGACAACTTTGATATTCCAGCCCTTAAGGCATCGTCAACCACAGGCAGCATGGATAGCTATGTTCGTCCCTCTGAGCGGGAGGAAAGCAAGGAAGACCGCATCGACCGCTGGATGCAGTCCAGACAGGATACGAACGAGACTATTATTACAAGGCGGAGAAATCGCGCATCATCCGATGCCTCCAAAGCCGGTATTCCAAGTCTTGTGGCTGATTTGTACTCCCAGAAGCCCCGTGGGCGTGGGCGCTTGGATGCATCGCTATTTGGAGGAATCGCTCTACCCCCCACACCGGACACAATGAGCACAGCATATGTCATTGGCACCAACCGCTCAAATGGTTCAAATGGTTCAAATGGAAGCATCACAGCCCGAAAGAGTTTCCGTAATGACCAAGACCCGTTCTTCCCTTCCAAGCCAATCAACCGCCCACAATCCGCCGAGGAGATGGCAAATCGTCGCAGCTTCAACAGTGAACTCACAGACAGCATGCAGACTAATTACAGTGACAGCACGCGCCCTGGAGGCGTGGTCGAGTCACACACCATATTACCCTCATATACCAATGTTTCATCCAAAGCCAGCGAGCTCCTCGGCCCTGGAAGCCCCAACAACCCTGCTATCGAAACCTTTGGAGATCTACACCATGTTACTTCCAATCAGGTGTCTACCCCGACTATCCATCGTGTCCGCAATGTACCCAAGGCCATGACCCCAGAACCGAAAAGCAACGAGCGTGACGTTTCACCGCCGCTCACACCCCAGGACTGGATTGCGGCCGCAAACCAAGGCCCTCGGTCTCGGAAAGAAAAGGCTCGTGCGACTAGCCCCGAGCTCCAGCGGACTGATATGTCCCCCCGAAAGGCTTTCCGTCCTGTCACTTTCGACGACGATGGGAGCATCGCCTCGGATCCAAGCGAGCCGGATTCTGCTCGCATCCCAACGCTTGACATGACCACACTCGACATTCTGGAACAACCTCTGGAAGTATCCCAAGCAAACCCTCAACCGGAAGCAGAGCCAGAACCTCGCCGGCGCCTCAGCTTCCGACCCCCCTTCTTCAGTCGCTCCACCAACCATCCCCGTCCTCTGCAGGCTTCCCCGATCCCTAATGATTTCGAAGATGATGAAGATGGAGCTCCATCTCCTGTGATTCCCAAAACCAGAACAATGGGAGGAAGTGGCCGCAGACCCGCCTCCCAACTGTACACCAACCCGAACGAGCTGTACTCCAGCCTCCAGATTTTCAGCGAACAGCCACCCACATCCCCAAGATGCCTCCCGCAGTCCTTCACCGAACCAAGAATGGCAGACCTTGACACCTCAGCCGCCGGCCGCCCTTCTACATCGCATGGAACCGAACACAAGCGTCGAAGCTCCCTCGGCATCATCGGCTGGATGAAGGGCAAGATATCTGACTCTGCTGACAAGCCTGAGCTCGCAAAAGAGTCTCGCACCCCCTCGCGGCTGCCATTCGAGAGCGCCAACGGGGTTGGAATACCCCATGCCGAGACATCAGAGTCGTTCGAAGCGCCTGCTGTGAGGCCTCGCTCAGAGGTGTTCACCCAGGATGATCTTGCTCGGCGACCTAGGTATATGGGTCGTCGTGCGCGTCGGGCTTGAGTTGTTGATGCTGACAGCTCATCATCCGCATCCATTGATGTTCTCTTTACGGGCGTCTTGTCCTTTTCTTTCCCATTTCCACCAGTTGTACTATACGATACCCACGTTCCTTTCCCATCAGAGATGCCCGAATGGCCTTATACCTAACTCTAGTCTCCTTTGTCATAATGGATGTACCCCGAATTGCGGTACTCCGTATTGCGGTTGATTTTGCTATCATGAGCTTTGCCACTTAGTTTGGTGTTTGCTCAGTGGCGCATCATAATTCGCCGGGATGATGCATGTCTGGACCGATTTTAATGCTTTTTCTCTCGCAGGAGGCCTGCTGGCAGGCTCCTAAACAATATCATCCTGTTTTCATCCATGGATGTACTCAGATTGGAGCTCGTTGATCATGGATTTTATGACATTTCAATCAGGATATGCCACCAAGAAACAATTCCTAAACTCCATTTAATTCCAGTATTATCGTATCTCATTCAATCCCCAGGCTTGTCGGCTTATTGCAAATTAGTCCCAACTCCACCCTTTTCTTTTGTCGTCTCCCAAAGAAATTATACTATCAACGCAACAGAAGCGCACCAACAGAAAGGACGACCTAATACCAATCATGGCCCTTCTCCCCCAATTTCTTGTTCTTCGGATTGAGTGAAATGACCCGCTGGCCAGGGAGAGTATCTGCCGTAAAAGCAGCCTCGAAGATACTCGCAATTCCCCGCTTCGCATAATGTTCATGCTGAAACGAGTTATAATCATCTCTCTTCCCATTAATAGCAGCCCACTGGATGCCATGCGGCGTTTTCCCATCTCCAAGGTCACTCCACCGCGTGACAGTAATAGCTTGCTTGAATCTTCCATCCGCGCGATCCTCACACAGCTTGACCTCAATCAAGTACTCAGTCGGACACTCAGGACACCTCCTCATCGGCCGACAAAAGCCACACAATGTCGTCAGCGCATTCGGATCGAATATATCACCCGCCCAGCGATCCTTGACACGATGTTCAAGACCCTGTAATCCACCCGTACTGCGTGGGCGCGGGATATGCTCCAACGCACACTTGCAAGCGGGCATGAGTTCGCCATCACGCCAGTGTGCGCATGCACTAAAGTACGGCCAGTAGTCTTCGCGCGAGAATAGGAGCATGCGCTGCGCCGAGGGTGTAAGTCCCGGTGCTGCGAATGTCTGCGATGTCACGCGCATCAGGAGCCGGCCTGAGTGGACGTGGAATCGGGAGGTGTGGGACCAGTCGTCGCGCTGCCAGCGGCGGCCTAGGGTGTCTGGGGTTAGGCCGTAGGAGGGGCCGAATCGGTGGGCGCGCATGGTAAGTTGAACGAAGGTGAAGGGGAGCATGCGGCCGTGGGTTATGCGGTGGCGGGGAGGAGGGTTGAGGGCATTGGTTGAGTTTGGACAGTTGAAGAGTGGGTTGAGGACGTGGGTTGGTCGTAGGCGTTCTGTGCCGCGCTGGGTGCGGACATGGTAGCGGGCACATGGTATGCAGAGAAGATGCGCAGGGAGAGATATGTCGAGGCCGGCTAGGAAGGTGATTTTGTATGGGAGGTTTTCGGGATATTCTAGGGCCATGAAGTATCTGGGGCCTAGACGTCGGTATAGGGTGATGCCCGCAATTGCTAGACTTGCTGCTTCGGCGGGATCCAGGAAGCTTGCTATCCGTGCCCATAGCTTGGGTGATAGACTCGCTATATCGCCCTCGCCTGGCGGGCGACGGTCGTTGTGTTCATATACCTCGCCGACGTCATCGTCGACTCCAACAGTGCCTAGTGAATGAATAATCTCCGTGTAGTCACGGCGTTCGCCGAGCTGGCTATCCACTTGCGCATGCAATTCCTTGTATTTGAGCCTATGGGCGTGCAAAGGGGCTAGCTCTGGCATCGGAGGAGCTGGCATAGGAGGAGGGGGCCCTTCGTCGACACTGGGACGTGCGGCCAGCCGCAAGTCTGTAGTCGATCTACTAGCCTTCCGGAGTGTTTGACGGGATTTTTTTGGTCGTAGTGCATTTGAAACGAAGGCCTTGAAGCCATGCTTCTGGCCTGGGCTTTCTGCAGACATGATGGTGATGTGCAGAGAAACTAAAAAAGTCCAGAACAAGCCAGGGTCCATTTTGTCTCGGAAGTCCGCGGTGAGCTTGTATTACGCGGTCCGCCCGGCCCGGTGGGTCCAGGCTGTATGCTCTATAAGTTACGTCGAGGCTAGCAATGTTGAACATATTGATTTCATGATGACAATATTGAAAGATCCATGCTACAATACAGGGGTAATTAAGCGCAATACATCATAGCAGCATTTACAAATGGACTGGAAGCATTCAAGAGAAGCGCTTCTCAACAGTCTTCCAGTTGATGACATCCCAGATGGCAGAGAAGTACTCGACCTTGCGGTTCTGGTATTGGAGGCTTCATTGAGGTCAGTAATGTCGCAGTCATAGTGGAGGGGAACTTCTTACTAGTAGGCGTGCTCCCAAGCGTCAATGCCGAGCAAAGGCTCGAACTGGCCGACAACGGGGTCCTGGTTCTGTAAAGGGTCAGCAATGCATGAATTTACAAGATAGAATGTTAGCTTACAGCATAAGTGCGGATGCCAATCTGGCCGGTGTGCTTGTCCTTCACGAGCCAAGCCCAGCCACTGCCCTGAATGCTAGCAAGGGCAGCGTTCATCTTGGACTGGAAGTCACCAAAGCTACCGTAGGTGGTGTCAATGGCCTTGGAAAGGGCACCAGAGGGCAGCTCACCACCACCGGCGCTCTTGGGAGCAAGGTTCTCCCAGAAGAGGGTGTGGTTAAGGTGACCACCGCCGTTGAAGTTGATGGCGGGCTTAAGGGCGATCTGGGCAGCAATGTTGCCCTGGTGCTGGGCTTCCTGGAGCTGCTCAATAGAGTTGTTGTAGTTGGTCACGTAGGTGTTGTGGTGGTTCTTGTGGTGGATCTCCATGATCTTGCCGGAGATGGCGGGCTCCAAAGCACCGTAGTCATCTTACAGCACTGTGTTAGTTCTTGTCTTCTTGGCGTAGGCCGACAAAAGTCGTTTCTGGGTGAGTTTTGTTCCCAGTTCTTAGAGCTTACAGGAAAGATCAGGAAGGGTGGCCTTGCCGCGGGCGAAGGTGAGACCGGCGGCGCCGGCCTTGGAGGTAGCCGAAACACCCGAGCGAAGGGCAACGCGGGCGGAGTTGTTAAGGAGAGCAGCCATTATGGGTGATGTCTTTGGACGCTAATGTAGAAGGTCAAGGACAAAATGGGGGGTCAATGGTATTGGATGAATGAGTCTAAGAGGGAAAAAAAGTGAGGGAGACGTGCAGCGGAGCTACCTATGAAGTAACCGAGTCAAATCAAACGTCATCCTGTTTGGGGAAAAAGGTTGATCCCACCGGTTCTCCACGTGATTTTTATCAGCTCCGAGCCCTGGAGGTCTCATCTCACAATCACTTCCACATTCGCATTTGACGTCCGACCTTCCTGTGCTTCTGCCGCAAATCTGGGGCACTGTCATATTGTCCAGAAGTGACAAATGACATCCTGAAAACATGGAGTCACCATCCTATGCTGGTCACAAGCGCAAAGCCGCCGACGTGAGCTCCGACGAGGAAGATACACGCCCGACCTCTGGATTTCGAGGCTTTGCCAGAGCGGCCTCTCGATCCGAGTCACCTCCAGCTAGAGGCGGCATTGGTGGCGGCGCCCGCAACAACAGAAACAACATGACCAACTCTCGCGGCGGTGCGCCATCGCGCGGCGGAGGTGCCATGGGTGGGGTAGGAGGAGCAAACAGCTTTGCTGCACGCATGATGGCAAAGATGGGATACAAGGAGGGACAAGGCCTGGGAACGAGCGGACAGGGTATCATGAACCCGATCGAGGTCCAGGCACGACCGCAAGGTGCAGGCTTAGGCGCTGTCAGCGAGAAGTCGAAAAAAACTCGCGAGGAAGAGCGAAGAATTGCGGCACAACATGGAAAGGTCTTGGAGGATGATAGCTCAGAAGAGGAGCGAAAACGGCGACGCAAGAAGAAGGAGGAGCGCAAATCACAGAGTCGGAGTGGGACAGGGACTCCAATGCAACGCGCTAAGCCTAAATTCCGCACAGCGCGTGAGATGGAGGATGATATGCAAGGCCTCGAAGTACCCAATGTGCTCAAGTCTCTTGTTGATGCCACCGGAAAGGAGCAACGCGTTTTGACTTCAACTGCTGGTTTGATGTCCACCAAACAATTTGTCACTCAAGAAGAAGGCGAAGCACACAAGATTGCCCAGCGAGCCCGGAACGACCTGGAGGCATTTGCAGACGAATGGAAGGGCCTTACAGAGAGAAAGAAGTTCATCGAGATCGAGGAAGCTCAGGTCGTGGACGACTTGGATTCATACCAAGCCCAGGTCAACCATCTCACGGGTCTAATTGCCGCGATAGAAGAGCTTGACATCTTTGAACATGACGACAGCATCCAATCAAAGTTCGACGAGATGACCAGCAAGCTCGAAGCCTTGGAAAAATATGGGGATGTTGATGAACACCGACTCCCAGAAACCGCCGTTGCGGCTATTCACCCGCTCTTCCGACAAGCCATGGAGGAGTGGGAGCCTCTCGAAAACCCTTCATTTCTTGTGTCAAACCTCACCCGCCTTCAATCACTTCTTGCTCGTAACAAGCTGAACGAGCCCCTCAAGCGGTCGTCCACCTCACATTACGAAACAATGATATACACCCTTTGGCTACCACGGGTGCGCCCGGCGCTCCTGAATGATTGGGATGTCTATGATTCTTCCAAAGCAACTGCGCTGGTCGTGGCTTGGAAACCAATTGTGCCCCCATTTGTTTTCGTGAACGTTCTTGATCAACTGGTCGTGCCCAAGCTGGCTACAGCCCTCAAAAACTGGAGGCCTCGCACTAGCCGGCGGCATGCTGGAGCCGGCTCTGAGCAGGATGGGAAGTTCCCCTGGTGGTTCTTCACCTGGCTTCAATACCTGGACGAGCGACACACTAACCCGAAACAACCCACTGGTCTCATGTCCGATGCAAAGAGAAAATTCCGTTCCGTTCTTGATACTTGGAGTCTACGCAAGGGGCTGGTAGATCGGATAGAAATCTGGCGCGATGCGCTAGGGTCTGAATTCGATGTCTGTCTGCGCAATCATCTCCTACCACGTCTTGCGCGTCATCTCCGAGAGAACTTCACGGTCAATCCGCAGGACCAAGATCTCACAGCTCTACTCGATGTCTTGTGCTGGAAAGATTTCTTCAAGCCCAACGTGATTGGACTGCTGCTTGTTTCCGATTTCTTCCCCAAATGGCACGAAATTCTGTACATCTGGCTCACCAACGATCCAAATTATGAGGAAGTCGGCGCTTGGTTCTCATGGTGGCGCACTCAAATCCCGACAGAAGTCAACGAGCTCACCATCGTTGACGAACAGTGGAATAAGGGCCTGGAGACGATGAACCTTGCTTCACAACTCGGTGAGCGTGCATCCACGGAGCTTCCGCGCCCTGTCACTACTCAGACCGCACTTCCGACCCGCGAAGAAAAGGTCGCCGCCGCCACAGCCGCTGCTGCTTCTACTGAAACCAAGAGCAGGCCACCTGTCGTGGAAGAAGTTGCTTTCAAGGACATTCTCGAAAGTTGGTGCATGGAACAAGGACTCATCATGCTCCCCCTACGCGAAGCTCATCCGCAAAACGGTCAACCACTATTCCGCATCACGGCCAGTGCTACTGGCAAAGGTGGTTGTATATCATTTGTCCAGGGAGACGTGGTTTGGGTACAAAACAAAAAGTCCAAAGAAATTTGGGAGCCAATGGGGCTGGAAGATCAGTTGGTGGACCGCGCAGAAGGTAAATAATAGGCTTGCCAAACTGCACGCAATATTGGCACTCTCAATTACCACTTGCATTACTTGCCTTGCAAATATTACGTACGATCATGGCCACCCACATTATTGATGTTTTGGATCATTCTGATCGCAGGTCATGTCATTTAGCCTGCAAGTCTATAGCCCTGTATATGGTAGACGATCAATCCTAAGGCTCCTTTCCTCCGCTCCCTGCTTTCGATGTCGCCTGGAACTTCCGACTCCCTCTTCGTGCCAAGGCTTTTTAGTGGATCGAGTAGGCTTTTATGTTGATTCCAATCCTGGAAGGTTGTTATGTTTAGCCGGGTGCTTATTGGATAGGCAAATCCATCAACACGACAGCCATATGGAGTCTGGACGGTGCAAATTTGTTGACTATGAGCGCCTCCTATATGCTTCTCCTCGACGACATTCTGAACTGGCACATTTTCCCCTCGCGTTTCTACTGCCGCACATGTCTCAATAACCTTGGAAGGCACAGGCTTAGCCGCCTGGGCCTGCTTCCGTGCAGACAGTATGAAGACATCAAATAAGTACAGTCGACAAGATCAATGCCCCTGACGAACTCATCTGTACGAAGCCACGCCATCCGCCCCACTACAGTCACCAGTTCACCAACCGTTGAAGTTGCCAAGGGGTCACTACTCTCGAAATCGCTGTCACAAACTCCAGTTCATGGCTGCTAGTGACTCCCCACTCCGGATGCAAAGGCGTTCCTGGCCTTTTTTCCCTTTTCTTCAACTTCATCAGTTGATATTTGCACCCTGTGGCCTTCTTCGCATTGATTGTCTGATTCGTACAACTTCTATCATGCGATCGCATACCAAGTTTAGTTTAGCAAGTCTCTCATGTAACAGCTGTGTCTCATTTGACAACATGAATGAGCCAAATCGGCCTCTCTCGGTTTATTTCCGACGGACGGCAGCCCAGGTGGATTTCAACACGACGAAGTCCACAGGTGCTCCTGTAAGACCGGTCAGATGGGTAAGGACATCTCATTGGCACACCCAAACTAGTAACAAGCCGCGATCAGCCCGAGCCCTAAGAGGCGTGGGGACAACCAATCAGAGACAAGCTATTACACCTTAATGGAACGGGAACCTTGGAATCCGTAGACTGGTCCGGAACCTAAGGTTGGAATCCCAAGGTGAGGGATGCTCTCACCAATCACACACGAGATGAAGGTCATCATTGCCAGGGCTGGCCAATCACATCCGCTGGATATGCATTCTGGCCCACGGCATTTGTCTCCTTTCTGCGCAACGATCTCACCGTGCAGCTGCAACGACTCCAACTGTCGTAGACGCTGACCATTCGGGCAGCTCTGATTGGCTCTGAGGAGCTTCTGGCCATCAACATTCCCGATTTTTCCTTGTTCAACCTGCACTAAGGGTGGACTGGCTCGTTTTTTTTCTTTGGCGTACGGACGTGCTGAGACAGGTGTAGTCCAATGTTCAGAGGCTTAAAGGGGAGAGGCGCTGCCGATCGTTGTTGATGGTTTTTTCTTCTTCTGTCCCATAGTTGCTATCTTCAGACTCAATTCCACGATACCCATCCTCCAATATAATTGCCAAACATCGCTCGTCACACGACCTCGCTTCAGTCGATACCTACCGTCGTGCGTAAAACGCATCTTTGAGTCTTTGACTACTGTCGGAACTTCCCTGTTCAGACCGAATATACACAATGGCATTGTTGTTCATCAAGCAAAAGCTGTTCCCCACGCGGCCAGCAGACAAGACCTCAGCCAGTAAGTAAGAAGTGAAGTGGAGCATGTCAATGCCATCTGCTAACGCATCATCCTGTCAGGCAAGCGGCTACTTCTTCGCAATGACGACGAGGACACCATTCGAGGCGACTCCGATCTCGAATCTCAACACGGTCGATCCTACGACACGTTCGGGCGATGCAGCAGCCCCGACGATTCAACCACAACGGTGGCAAGCAGCAGCAGCGCCCGCTGTCGAGTTGACCCTCGCACCGTTTCTGATGCTATCCTCGGCCTCTCGGACGGCCTGACAGTTCCATTTGCCCTGTCTGCGGGTCTCTCTGCCCTGGGAAACACCAAGGTCGTCGTGCTCGGTGGACTCGCCGAGCTTGCAGCCGGAGCCATCTCCATGGGACTAGGAGGATATGTCGGTGCCAAGAGTGAAGCGTAAGTGAAACTCGAACAAGTCGATCGAAGCAACTACTAATCCGGTCAATAGTGAATCATACCAGACTACGGTTCGGGAAACAAAGCAATTGATCAAGACGGATCCGCAAGAGACCCGCGCCCTCGTGCGCGAGACTTTCGTTCCGTTCGGACTTTCCGAGGCTGCGATTTCCGATATCAACCGAGACTTGCACCTCTCTGACGACCGCCTCCTTGAATTTCTCCTTGCGTTCCACCACCGTGAGACAGAGCCGGATTGCAACCGGGCCTGGATTTCAGCCGTCACGCTTGCGCTCGGTTACTTTGTCGGTGGTTTCATCCCGCTGATTCCATACTTCATTGTCGACCAAGTCATGGTTGCGCTATACTGGAGTATTGGCCTCATGGCTATTACTCTTCTCGTTTTCGGATACGTAAAGACCTGTGTTGTTCGCGGCTGGTCTGGCCGTGACAACGTTTGGGCTGGTGTCTGGGGTGGTATCCAAATGTGCTGTGTCGGAGGTGTGGCCGCTGGTGCCGCTATTGGGCTGGTCCAGTTGATCGATACTGGCAGCACATAATGCCAGATGACTGTCCTGTGATCACGATGACTGAGCGTTTATGCATTTCACCCTGGAGTTTATCTTTGCTCTTTACTCACATTTGTTCCATTTTCAGACTCGGATATCAAGTCCATGAGCGGGTGTTCAGGAGGATTCAAAATAATTTACGTTTTAACGAATACGATACATCAAAATTAATGATCAATTCTCCCCTCAGATGGTTCCCAAGGTCATTCCCTAGCCCAAGTCCCCCAAAGCCTTGGTACCCAGGTCAGGGTATCATTCTAGTAGCTTCATAGATCAGTTGAGTATAAAAACACTGCCCATATTCTACCCAGTTATAAACTATAGATAGCAATTTTGATGGTAGAATTCCAAGCTTGCCTTGGAGTGAAGCATGAAGTCCATATTTATCATAATGGTTTTCAAAAGGGCAGATCTTTGAAGCCCTGGAGCCCCGGAGGGCTCCTAGCTGAGTGGGAATAGAAATGAAGACATCTGTCTCCGAATAATGTTTGTTATTTTGAATCAAGAGTACCAGATCCGTAGCAACATGAACAATTATCTTATTGGATATAGACTGAGAAAACCTTGGAAGCTATGTGAAAATGCCTAGATAGACAGTATGGCATATTAGGTTTCATGGACCCCTTAGGAGTTCCCTGGCAGCTCAAAACGTGTTATTGGGTTGTGGGTCTGGCTGCAGAGCTCGTGAACCTGCAATTTCTTATTATCGTGAAGTTGGATATCTCGCTGGGGGTGGCCATAGCCATCGTAGTTGAGATGCGGATCGATATATTTTGGCCGCAACGAGTCGGCCTTTGATCTCCGACGGATACAGAACCAGATGAAGCCAACGATGCCTAGAACAGCCACAGAGACCCCAATTCCAATAGCAGCCTCTGTGCCGGAACTTAATTCAGTCGAGCTTTGAGACGACGCAGTTACTTCGTTCACTGGAGTAACGGCAGTAGACGCAGTCGATGTTGGTGTCCATGTGGGAATCGAGGTGGTCGGAACTCCGGTGCTTGCGGCAATGGAACCAGTCGTGATGGTTGCAACACTTATGGTGCTCGAGGATTCAGAGATGGAATCCTGGTCCTTGCTGGTGATATTGAAGTAATGGCTGTTTGCGATAGAAGAGATTTCGCCTTCCAAGAAGAGACAAAGATAGAACATATTCGAGAACGTAAGGTTTTTTGTCGTTTGTACCGCCCAGTCTAGAGATGTGACGCTGCCAGAGATGCCCTCTGGATGATAATTAGTATGAAAGCCCTATACCTTAGCAGATGTCTGGGAGTAACTAACGGGTCAGGTATTCAAACGGCTGAAGAAACTGGGTGCCGTTCAGTTGCCATAATGTCAAAGATGTGTTGTTTTGTGTTGTCTTGTCCCATTTGATCTTGAGAAGTGACCCTGCCTCATACACCGGATTTATTGAGAAATCCGTGCTTAAACTGAAGGCAGGTGGATTTGTGAACTCGACTGCTCTGGCAACATTGAGTAGTATAAGAACTGAGACGAATTGCCGCATATTGGACGCTGTTCAAGAAAAGAAACAAACAAGGACACAAGGGAAAACTGCCGGGAACTCGCAATCCAAAGAGCTGGGGGCCAAATTAACAGTCCCTAGATCCGAGCCTCAAACGTCCGCATCCTTATGCAGCGTGCTCAAGTACTTGAGATGAGGCGGGTATACAAGAGTCGCTATAGGTCCCGAGACGCGCTAGCGACGCCGCGATTGCACTTCCAGGCTAGAGGTATCCACCAAGCCAACAGAGAGAGAAACCCTTGGCGACTTCGCCCGTTGAACCCTGGTCTCAACCGGCGTTTAGGGCAATTGGCGATGCCCAGAAATGAGCTCAGCCCCTTATCTTGGCAATTGTGTTTGCCCCAAATTATTTGATCTCCAAATCTTTTGCGCTTCCATGTTTTGTCAGTCGCCATGGTCAAATCTCGCTCGCCATTGGCAAAATTAGCCATTGCTGCCATCACTGTGCTGTCGGGTCTCTTCTTTGTTCTTTACTTCCACCCCGCTAGATTGGCAACTCCAGGGCGCAGTATTGCAACCATCAAAACTTCTCAGCATGAATTAGAAGAGATCCCATCGAGAGTTTCAACAATACCAGAGAAATTATGGTACAAAGTTGGCCCAAAAGGCTTGAGCAACGAGTCAAGAGACTGGATGGATGATTGCTTGCACAAGAATCCCAAATATGTCTCGGAGATCATGACGGACGATTCGGGTGATCTTTATGTGAAAAATACTTTCGCCCATCGACAGGATATTGTCCAAACCTATCTTAACCTGACGGTACCAATCCTTAAGGCCGACCTCCTTCGATACCTGCTTCTCTTTGCAGAAGGCGGGATCTGGTACGACCTGGATGTCTCTTGTGGCGACGTTCCAATTCATGAATGGATTCCAGAAAAGTTTGCCTCCAATGCGAGCCTTGTTGTGGGCCTGGAGTTCGACGAAGGATGGGGCGAGGGTATTGTGCGCCAATTCGCAAGCTGGACGATCATGGCAGCTCCTCATTCACCGCACATGAGAGTTGTCATCGATGATATCTTGGAAGCAATCCACCAGAAAGCAGAGGAGCGAGCTATTGGGGTTCGTGATTTGACGCTTGACATGATAGGCGATGTGGTGGACTTCACCGGCCCTAGGCGTTTGACGCGTGGAGTCATGAAGAGCCTGGGCTCAGCGCTGAATAGGACAGTCGAGATGGACAGTATTTCTCATCTTTTGGAGCCCGTCATGATCGGCGACGTCCTGGTTTTGCCGGGATATTCGTTCGCTGCATCTGCCAACAAATATGTGAATGAAACGGGGCCTGCATTGGTGACTCACCATTACGCTGGGAGCTGGAAGAATCAGAAGGGAGGCGAGACAACTTGAAATGGGGTTGGCTTTTCAGGTTGAGGAGTGGACAGAGGATGTTCAAGAAAGGGCTTAATCTCTCCAACCATAAGAGATCCACATCCACGCCTGAATTGAGGTGATTTGTTCAACGCATTTCCTCATTGTAGTATACATATTTTAAAACTAGTCATTTCATCCACTCAAAGCAATGCCGACCAGCCTCTGCGCATTTTCCGACAAGTTAATCTTCAAAGCCTCCTCTCTCCCCCTTTCCGACATCTTCCCCCAGGTCTTCTGCAAAATGCCCACCATCTTCTCTTCATCATTCAAGTCCGTTTCAAATTTATCAAACTGATCATCCAAAAACACTAGACAAGCAACATCCTCAAGTGTTTGTGTATCGGGATCCCCTTGCTTCAAGTCCGCCTTCCGCACAAGCGCTCCAACCCTGGCGGCCTCCTCGACCGAATACCCGCTCTCCACACACATCTGCTCAACAAGCGCAGCCTGTCGCCTCTGAAGTCCTGCGCGCCACGAGTGATATCCGATCTTCGTTGCGGGGTAGCTATCGCGGGGAACCTCCCAGCGGCGGAGATGCTGGGCGCGAATCGCCAGGCGTAGAAGCTCAGACGCGTCGGGCTGTAGAGTTGAGAGGTAGCTCGTCATCTTTTGGGCGTAGTGAAGTTCATAGGGCATGGGTGTTGCGGTTTCGGTCTGGCGAGGGTCGTCCGCATGCGCTGCGTCGATGCGCGCAAGCGCGCTCTCGTATTTAGACATTGTTGAGACGAGTGGATTTGAGGTAATGTTAGGTATCTTCGGATGATCCGGGGGATTGAGTATTGGAGTAACAATTCTGGGGCAAAAGTGTCTTGGATAAAGAGTTGTCCCACCTGGATCCCAAGGCTTAGTGTGACTGGTAACGGGTGAAAGCTGATTGGCCGCGCACATCTATAGATCGCCCTCTATCTCCAAGGCCAACAGCTCTCTGAAATGTCAACTTCAAGCTCGTATTCTATTTTGATACATGACAAGTTCTATCTATTGATGGGCTCTGTTTCCATATATTTCGCCCAAAAGAAAAGCACCTAGATAACATCACTCGGGGACCAGCCGAATTGGTCGAGTTGAGAGCACTGTCGTAATTACAACAAGCAGCAACGAAAGCTTTGTCCTCACGAAGAAGTGCTGCTCTTCTTCGTGTATACAAGTAGCTCCTGCGAGATCTCTGAGGTGGGAGTATCCGCTTGGTAGGCCTTCTCCTTCTCGAAGATTCGCCCGACCTGTTCCAGAGATAGACCCTTGGTCTCGGGGAAGAGGAAGTAGATTGTCGCGAAGAAGATGACCAGGCAGGCCAGATAGACGACAAAGTATCTCCACTGGATTGCTGCAAACGCCACTGGGTTGACGTATTGGTTGAAGAAACACGCCATGGAGTCCGTAGTAAGTGTCACGGCGAGACCCTTCGCACGAAGTTGGAAGGGCAAGATTTCCGCCGGGTATGCAATGAACAACGGCATATATGCCATGTCAAAGGCGGCACAGAAGAGGAATAGCATTGGTACCACCGCGATGCCAGCCTCCAAAATCTTCAACTCCGTGAATAGGCCGGACATGGCTGTCGCAACGGCAAGATAGACAAACATCAAGGTGGTTGCGATCAGCCAAAGCCTTCGTCGTCCGAATCGATCTGCGGCCATTGCTCCGCAGACGGCGAACATCAGGTTCCACACCTGGAGGCTGATGTTGATAGCGCCTTGGTAGGCGGCACGATATATACCAACCGAGGTCAGAATGGGTGCAAGGTAATAGGAGACCACGCCTAGAATTAGGTTAGCAAGCTTGTCGTCGTAATTTTGGGAATCTGTCATACCATTTCCGGACCACTCTTGCATGAAACCGAGCATGACACAGATCGCCAGACGATGCAGGTTGCTGGAGCTTTCCCAGAATGTAGCCCAACCCTTTGACTTGGATCCTGATTCGGCATCAATGCTCTGACAGATGTGATAGAATTCATCTTGAACCAATTCGTCGTTTTCATCCCCATTCGAGTGGTATTTTGCGAGAATGGCCATTCCCTCCTCCTTTCTGCCTTGAGATACCAACCACCTGGGACTCTCGGGAACGAAGAACAAACCAACCAGCTGAAGGGCCGGATAAAACGCCTGTGTCAGACATGGAAGCTTCCAAGACCAAGTTCCTACTATCGAAAGTCCAGCGCAGCCGATACTGGCGGAAGTGATTGACCCAATGAACCATAGCGCGTTGTATAATCCCGTGAATGCTTGTCGCTGACGTGGGTGTGAAGATTCAGTGATGAGCAATGGCGCAGCGGTTTGAGAAACTCCGACTCCCATTCCAGCCAGGACGCGTGCGCTGAAGAAAACCCAATGGTTTGAAGTCGCGATCTGGACGATTGATGCAACGATCACTAGTGACGATCCGATGAGGACGCAGATCCTCCGCCCCAAATTGTCGGCAATGTATGATCCGGGTATAAATGCCAAGAAGGAACCAAGCGAGACGGCTGCGATGATGAGACCTTTGAGATTCGTGTCGAGATCAGATAGAAAACTGTTGACTAGATTCTGGAATTAGCTGCTTGCATGAGCGGCAACGAATGAAGGCTATTACATTCGGGCAGGACCAGAAGGCCATTGATCATGCTAGCACAATATCCGGCTGTAGCCGATGCGGAGAGCATAAAGCCGATCCCCAGATTGAGTCTTCGCAATCCTGGGTCCTTCAGCCAGTTGCTGTTGGTGTTGTTCTGTAAGACCTTGGAGGCCATGGTTGTCGACGTACTTCAAAACACGAGGTAAATCTCGTAAATTCTTATTCCAAAGCCTTATTCCGGAGCTATCAAGCTCTTTTATTTAACCATTAAAAATTAATCACTAGTACAAAATTCTCCGAACGGTAATCCGCCGTAGCATTCCTGACTTACATCCAAGATTCGAGCTCTCCGGCAAGGTTACAGCTACAGCTAAGGGCTGGAATGAAGGGATTCGCGTCAAATGATTAGATCACCGGCCAATTTTTCTCAGTTGGCTATACCCGTAGAGTTTCAATGTGACACGTTGGCCAACATGCCTGTTGCAGGATCGCGATTGGAAGCTTTGCTTCCAAAATCTTGACGGAGCTCGGATGTTTCAGGAATGTTCCTAGCTCCTAGCTCCCTCCCTCACCTATGGCCGCGGGGATCTTTTCCACTGTTGCCTGGGTGTAGCCTGAAGCTGTCGTGTATAGCTTCCGTCTGGATGCCCTTGATCATTCAGTTCGCGATAGATCGCCTCATCGATAGGGACCTTGTCTCTAGGGAAACGCTTAGGGGAAAACCCTTCCGGGACGTTCAGGAAAGCAGGTTTCTGCTCCGATTTTTGATTCGCAGCATGAGGCAAATCAGTTCAGAATAGTATCAGCCAAACGTCACCTGTTATTTCATGATATCCAAATTTGACAAGATCAGAGCTCGAAGTAATAGGGCAGTGGAATGATGATATCGAGCTTCAGTGGTTGCCACCAATCGGAAACTTCTTGCTATGCCCCCGTATCTTATAATATCGCCCCCTGGTTTCCTATGAGGGGAGATCATTGCAGATACGTGAAATTAGACTTTCTGGAGACGTAGAGATGACGCTGTAGGCAGGTTCGTTGGAGATTGGTGTGTGAGCATGTTGTATCCTCTCATTGGTGTTGACGTGAACTGTGACTCGTCTTGCCCCTGCCATGCATATGATGTGATGCATTTGCATAGCTGACATATGATATGCATAAGCACATCAGCCCTCCAGGGCCGAAGCATGCTGTGGCTGGCCTTGGATATCTTGGATGGGAATTAGGGCTATTTGCTTCAAATGACTGGGGCCGAGGTCCAAGGTTGAGATGATTAAGCTTATTCAAGCTTAAGGCCAAGGTTGAGGGCTCTAGGGCTGCAGGTGTTCCACTGGGCAATTTCAAAAGTTACAGGGTCAACTGATAAGTTCGATTAGACGAGCAAGGAGTGCATGCAAACAACTGGTTATATTCTCACAGTCCTGGGGGTTGTTAATTGTTTCACGCGGGGCCTCGTTAGGCCTGTGAGCCTTGGGGCCTGGGCGTCGGAGACGGAAACATCAATCCCGCGGGAGGCCACCGATGTCCCGGTGTGCATCAAGAGCCTAACTCCGTGTGCCCCTACACATTTTAGTGAGAACGATCCCACATATCTCCACCTGGCTAGGACAAATGGATTACAGAATCCGAAAACTTCATGTTGGGATGTGAACCAATATAAAACGTGCTCGAGTCTCGGAGAAACTCCGCAAACTACAGATGCTGCAGTCTGACTCGCCAAATTCACAAAGCCAAGACCAACTTCGCAGGCACTGCCACAATGCCAAGGCGCTGAAAGTGCTCCGGACGGGGACCTCGGGGGTCTTGGCGTGAGATTTCTTGGCTTTCTGTATGACCCCTAAACCTTAGATGGTGCCAGTTTTGGTGATTTATCTGATCTTCATCTGATAACCTTGTCCAGCCCGAACCCAACATGACTCCCCCGGAGGAAGATCCCCTCAACCTGAAGCAGTTCAAAACAACCATCGTCGAACAAAGAAAACAATGGATTCCATACTCCACCGGCGACGAAAAGCTCAGCGGCTTCTACAAACAGCAGAATGAGATGATCGAAGGGTTCCTCTCCAGCGGCGACGAGGAACGCCTCAAGGCCGAGGATGAAGCCCAAAATGGCGGCAAAGTCAAGCTAGCCGTTCGTGCCAGCTTCATGGTCAACTTCTGCCTCTTCATCATCCAACTGTACGCAGCCATTTCCACCGGCTCCTTGGCCCTCTTCGCCACAGCCGCAGATGCCTTCATGGACCTCGTCTCGTCAATCGTTATGCTCGTGACCTCGCGCATGTCCTCACGACCAAAGCCATACAAGTACCCCGTGGGACGCCGCCGTGTGGAAACAATGGGAGTCATCATGTTTTGCGCACTGATGACCATCGTAGCAGTGGAGTTGATCATCGAGTCAGCCAAGTCGCTTGCAGCCGGCGAGACCGAGTCCAAGCAGCTGGCCCTCGTGCCGTTGATCTGCGTGGGCGTTGCGATCTTCTCCAAATTCGTCATGTTCCTGTATTGCTTTGGACTGCGCCGGTATCCAGCTGCGCATGTCTTCTACATCGATCACCGCAATGACCTGGCTGTTAACGGATTCGGTTTGATCATGGCTATCATTGGTGATCGATTTGTCTGGTACCTTGACCCGATTGGAGCCTGCTGCATTGCGCTGCTCATTTTGTTCTCCTGGGCATCTACGGCATTCGAAAACATGTGGTTGATCGTGGGCAAGTGTGCGCCGCGTGAGTTTGTGAACAAGTGCATTTACGTGACCTTGACTCATGATCAGAGAATCCAAAAAGTGGATACGGTATGTTTTGGATGATTTTTCCAGCGTGTGCTTGTTTATCTGACTGATCTGATGCGTGTAGTGTCGTGCGTATCACTCCGGGCAACAGCTTTATGTCGAGGTTGACATCGTCATGGACCCTGAAACTAAGCTCCGCGAATCCCATGATGTGAGCCAAGCGCTACAGCGCAAGTTGGAGGGTCTTGCCGATGTAGAGCGAGCTTTCGTCCATGTCGACTATGACTATGAGCACGATGTAAATGAGGAACACCGACCGCTCTATGACATTGGGGGACCCGGTCATTCCATCCGAGCTTTGTTGAAACGCATTTTTGCCAAGAAGAAGCAGCAGCAGAGCGACGATGGTCCCATCGTTTAAGAGACATTTGCCCCGAAAGTTCAAGCTGGGCTTCGGACTTGGGGTGGTCACGAGGTGCAGTTCCAGTCATCAATTACAAAAAAAGGTGTTATATATCGGGTAGGGTTATGGAGCAAAGGCAAGCCAGCTTTCGAGTATCAGGACATAATACAATATTAGTTTGAGCTAGCAAAAGCAGTGTTTCCAAAGCAGCATTGATCATCATCAATTCACACAGGAGGACTCCTCCTCTTCGTGGCTGCAAACATGCCATAAGGCTTCACAGTGAAAGCCCCATTGAAGTTCTTCCCTTCCATGTCAAAAGTGTAGTCTTTATCCGCCAACTCGAAATCCACATCCTTGATGATTCGAACTAGGACATAAAGTGACCACTGCCATGCATAATGTTTCCCATAGCACTCGCGTCTGCCGTTTCCGAACCCTTTCTTCACACCGGCGGGTAGCTGCTCAAACTTCTCACCTAGCATGCGCTCCGGCTTGAAGGCATTAGGGTTTTCGAAGATCACTGGGTCTCGATTGACTGCCGAGAGAATCACAATCATGGTCTGGGTCTTGGGGATCTCGTATTCTCCTCCGCCGAGCAACACAGGCCCATCAGTAGGCAAGGGCTCAATGTTGAACCCTGGTGCCGTGGCACATAGACGGAACGATTCACGAAGAATGGCCTCGCAGTATGCTAGCTGCGAGAGATCAGATTGTTGAAGCTCACCCGAAGGGCTGATGGTAGAGTCAATCTCCTGTCGGGCCCGAATGATCTCACTCGGGTTCTTGGCTAGATAGTAGAGTGCAAATGTGACTAGATTTGGCGTCGTAGCACTTCCGATAAAGATATTGATGATCTCGTCAATTACCCGGCTATCAGGTAGTGATTCACTTGTCTCGGGGTCCTTTCCGTGAAGCATGGCATGGAGTAGATCGACTTTTCCAGTAGGGTTTGCGCGCCGGTCGGCAATGACCTGTGCACAATAGTCTCGAACGATTTTGATATCCTTTTCGAACTTGGACTGATATCGGAGCCAGGTAAGGAGCTTAGGTCGCGAAGGTCGACGAACGGCTTCAAAGGTTGTGTCTGACATGGCTTTTATCACAGGAGGCTCGTCACCCAAGACGCAGTCAGTATGCTGACCGAAGAAACACAACATGTTGGCGGCATGGTTGAGTCTGTCTAGGTCATTTGAGACATCCACACGCCTCCGGATATCGTCTGTTGGAGTCCACTTGTGAATCAAGTCGTCCGTTGTGGTCTCGATATCTTGATACATTGCCTTGACGGCCTCGGGCACAACGAAGGGAGCCATGAGGCGATGTGCGATCCCCCAGCTTGGCTCATGGTCGTAAGCAGTGAAGAGACTGTCGTTGGCCAAGCGACGAATCTCAACGATAGGGCCTGTGATACTTTTCCGGAAGCGCTTCTCGTCGCAGATCTCCTCTAGTAGAGCGGCGTTTGTGATGAAGACAAGCTGCTTACCCAGTACTGTGATTTTGAATATGCCAGCAGCCCCGTGCTCAGCCGCGAGTTTGTTCAAAGAAGCCCATGCATTACCCGGGATCATGTCGAATAGATTCCCCAGAATGGGGAGCCCCCGGGGCTGGGGTATTGGTGAAGGCATGAGTATGAAGAGGCGAGGTGCCAAGAGAGAGAAGAAGAGCGAAGATATTAAAAAGAAAGGGTTAGATATGGGAGTTCAAAAGCAATAAAAGCAACTGAGAAAGTCAGACTCACCAGACACGAGACAGGGGATGTCCACACGAACTATGCACCATGCACTACGAACCGCCGGGTACATCAAACCGTTCAGCTCAAATTCTCTGGCGTTTCTGCAACTAGCTCCTCCACTCAGAGGGTCAGGAATGGGGACAATCCAAATCAATCCGATTGGTACATCGTGATGCAGTGTCACCCCAATGATGGCCCAAGTCACGTTCACAAGCTCACGGGCAATACTGCAACATTCCAGCGCTGAGAAAGTAGGCTCGCTTGTGACTTGGATGCCACTTGACTCTTCCACGGACAAAGGTGAAAAACGGCCAGGTAATAACTACTGCCCAGGTGGTTTGAACGCCTCGGGTAAAATGACCACAACACCGTACTTTTGCCGAGCTGTTATGCAAGGCTGTTTTTCACTCAGCTCCACCGATCAAAGAGACTGCTCCGTGAACGAGACGGGGTTAGACTATATCTGCATAATCCAAAGGTCAGCTGTGTAACTAGATTCACTCAGCTGGCCAGGGTCGGTTGGGTCCTAGAACCTTCGAATTGTGTCAGAGACAAGAGACAAAAGGTCAACCGAGATATACCTGACTTTTGGTTAGACACAACTAACATACATGAGCCCAATGTATACCCATGAACGCAGTAAGAGCCACAACGTCGACCAAATCACAGCTCATGTGGACACTCTGAACGGGGATTAGGACATTTGGTTTTCAACAAAGACAGTTGATCATAATTGTTTCAAGCTTGAAGACAGGAATCGTATCAGATGTTTCGATCTCGTTCAAGCTTCGGCAATTCTATAATGTCTTTCGAAGCCGGGGCCCCGGTGGTGATTGATATCCCCATGCCGACAGCGTCAAGCACTTTTCATAAATAGCAGTCTCCGACGTTGTCATGTGTTCCACTTAAGAGTCAATAAGGATCCGAGATTGATGGACTTGGTATTCCCTTCAACGTCGTCTGCAAAAGCTCCGCGAAACGTCTGCCTAGGTATGCAGGTCAACTCCCAGGCCAAAAATCGGGGTAAAGCCTGAGATCTAAGTGGATCTGATAGATAAATACTGAGTCGCATAGAGAACCGTAGATCCCCGGCGTCGATATCTAGCTACAGAGATATCTAGGCCTGGAGAGACCGAGCCCAGGCCTCTACCTAGGTATATAGCGAATCATGAAGCGATCGGGCCAAAATGAACAACAAGTTCTCGTAGGAAAGCACAACTCAGATACTTCAATCTGGCTTTTTACTATGCTTCAACCAAGCTCAGTTTCAAGACGCCGAGGAATCGATATTCGGTATAGGTAGCGCGCATGATAGGATGGCTTGGTGTGCGACTATAGTAGCCGAAAGCCAACGGCCAATCGGACCTGACTGCACAGTACTGCCCAGGTGGGTTCCAAGATTGGAAATGTAACGGTCCGAAGAGCTTACAAGCCACAGCGTATGGTTGGCTGGCGGAGTTTCAAAGTGTTGGAAGAATGCACTGGCGGCGCCAAAGCAGCCACTATTGCTGCGGCTGGAGCGGTTGATAGGAACTTGGAGCGGAATCGGCGTCGCCGATGTCAGCCATGGGCTTTCCAACCCGAGGTGTTGGATCTTGACTTTCCTGCTTGATTCGGTTTCTGTGTGTTTGCGGGTTAGTATCTCAGAAAATTGAATCAGCGAGGCGAGCACCCGTAGACCGTGGACCCTGAAGCAGGGTGGCCCTTGAACTTAGCGCCCGAAAAGGGCAAAAACAGGCGATGTTTGTGTCTCTAGAGGTTCCGGCCAAGCCACACGAGCTCGCCCGCTGATGCCTTATTTTGAAGCTTTTATGTTCCAAGGTTGATACAGCTAAGCCGCGTTGCCCGCTGCACACCATGTATGCGACGGAAATAGCCATTGAAGGGTCGAAGCCCTGGAGTGTCCATACAATTACGTTGCAGATGTCTTGGAGAGTTCTAGTCATCTATTGGGTAAATTGACTAGGTAACTCTTGGGGTGCATTTGATCTGGCAATCAGGAGTTGTAGATTCATGATTGCCAAATTCAGATGTCCCACAGTATGGGCGGAGTGGAACATCAGGAAGTGCCATACACGCTCCCTGGAATCATTGACCATGAACACAGCGGGCTATCGAGGCCCGCAGAAAGGGAATAAAAACAGTCAGGAAGATCTGCAAAAGCGTTTGAAACCGTGTGCGAGGTAAACAGATGAGAAGCCATTACAGCACTGAAGATCTCTCGAAGTTGCGTGTGAGATTAAAAAAAAAAGGGAAAAAAAAGCACCAGAGGGGAAAACGAAGTACTCGCCAAGAAAAGCAAACAAGCCTGTCCGAATCGGATGACTTTGTTTTCCACCCTGCCATAACGCCGTCCGATTGATGAAGCCGGGTATATCCAGCACCGTGATGCAACATGTACTGAGAATCGAAAAAAGGAAAGATCAAGGGAGACACGCGTCAAGTCCCTATACCATGCCAAGCAGAACATGGCGTCTGGCATGAGCCGTCACCCCAAGTTAAGATGGGTAATATTTGGTTTTCATCAAAGAAAAAAAAAAAAAAAGAAAAAAAAAGGGTAGAAGCGGCTTTTGGTGATCGAGAATGATCGTAAAACGCATTTCATTATCTGGCACCGATGCCAAACATGCCGACCCCGTAGCTGCCACCTCTCTCGGACATGGGCGTTGACACTTTAGCGACGTGTTCCTGGGTTTCCGGTTAATTCGAAGTTCCGAGGCCGTCTGGGGTTCGAAATCGTACCTTCTTGCGTTTCTTTTTCCCGGATCCCTCGCCATTTGAGTAGAATCCGGGGTCTTCGTCATCGTCCACATATCCTTCGCCGTAACCGGCAAAGCTGTTGTCATCGTAATGTCTCTTGCGTCCTCTGCTGGCCCGGGGACGCTCTGCCTCCTGGGATTGCGGTGCGGCATATGATTGACCGGACGAACGACCGCCACTTGCAACTGGAGCAGCCTTCTTACCTGCCTCGCCTGGCGCTGGGTGTTTCGCAGGCTTCTCATGCCCCAGAACATCTTCCCAGAAGTCATTGTTACGAACAGGACCAGGTTCCATTTGCATGGCCTTTGCATGGAGATCCTGAAGCGCCGCGTCCATGTCCGAAACTTTGATTGGCTTGCCATGCACCTTCTGGTTCTGCCACTCTTCCTCGGGCCACATTGTCAAATGCCGCAAGCTCCCAGGTTGACCAATTTCCTGCTTGATCGATTTGTTGCGCCCGGCTAGTCCCAATCCCTTCAGTTTTCCCTCGTATGACTTCCTGAGCCGATTGATCTTTTCCCCCGTCACGGGATCAATGCGTGCTACCGAGTGCGCGACTGAACCTAGCCCATAGAGGGAGACGAGATCCACCGAAGGATCCGGACCAGTGACGATCGGAGCTGTCAATGAGTAAAAAGCAGTGTTAACAACTTCAGTTCCAGGGATATACAAAACCAGCGAATTCACGCAGCTGCCCAAGGCGGACAACGAAAATTCATTTGGGGAATCTTACAGCTCTTGCAAAGATGAAAAGCCGAGGTGAGCTCTTTCTGAAGAGACTCCAGGCAGAGATTGCCGGGGTCTATCCGACGGGAAGAGTCTGTATCCACGTCCATGGCATCGGGGTCTGCCGAGGTCTGACCCTTCTCGGTGACAGGGTAGTTGTTGCCGTTCAGTTGCGAGTTCTGTCGATTATGATTTGTGTGTGTGTGCTCTGATGATTGTTGATCGGGACCTGTTCCCGGGTTTTCAGCCGAACCGTGCATCCCCATATCCTCGGGTTTTCTGCCGTTTTCCGTATCCCCCGCCGAAGTCGCATTCATAGGTTGACCACTCACGCTGCTAGCAGGGGTGGGAAATGAAGTGGCGGTACTCATTGCTGGCTGCTGTGAGGCTTGGGTAGACATTGGCGCCGAGGACGGAGGTGAGGAGATATTCGGAGGTTGGGCCGTCGCCTGATTCGAAGATGTATGCGAGGATGTGAAGTCGGAGGCATGACTTTGATCGCTAACCGACATCAACGGAGGAGATGTCGGGGTTTGAGGGATGTGGTCTGAGAAGATGGGCAGCCGAAGATTCTCTTTCTGAGACTCGGCGGCTGTAGAGGGGGGCGAGGGAGGTCTTGCTTGGAAAGAGGTAGGGTGAGTGCGATCAGACATGAGAGCCCGTAGAGTTGTTCAGCATGTAGCGAGGTATGTGCCAGAGCGGCTCTGGGTCCAAATCGCAAACTTTGATATCAACGTCTGGAGAGGGGGTCCCGGTCGACGATCGACGGTCGCTCAAGCAGGCGAGCAGGTCGTTTAGTGGCCGACCTAGATCATCTGCATTCCAGGGTGCTAGTATTTGTGTCGAGTCCGGCGGGATAAGTGAGGTGGCTGATGGGTGGCTGTGGTGAGGGAAGGTGAGGATGGACGGCCCTGTGGTCAAAGACGAGTCGAGATGACGGCGAATTGAGAAGCGCACGTGACCGGGTCTTGGCGTTCATTCTGTACTTGACACCTGCATATACTAGTAGTTACATATCGATCTGATCTATTCACGGAGTTATTGAACCCTTTGTTTAGATATCTTCCTTTCATTGTCTCCATTGAAACAAGAGAGATGCAGATTGCAGTTCATTGACTACCTCTGTCAGCCAATGAGAAACCAACCTTGGAATGTTCCATCATTTCTCAGTTGTCTTGGGTCACCGAATACCTGATCGAAACAGCGCTGCTCCATGAATGAATGGACTGAAAAATCATATATTGTACAATCCATGGATGGATTGGATACGCAAGTCATACTCCATAGCAACGCTCGAAGGCTAGACGTGATCTGCAATCGGGCATTATTTCCCCAACGGCTTTGGGGATTGACGTTTGAAACATTTGAAGTTAGGTGGCTTTACTATCGGGGAATTCTTCACCGTGAGCCGTTATGTCATATGGTCTGAGTGGTCCACACGGGTCTTTCCTAGCACGGGCTATTTCCAGCCTAGTTGGTGACATGGCTATGATGAACCTTGAAACGACACGATCTGAGGTGTCAGAAGATGCGCCAGTCTATTTCAGAATAGAAGTGATATCTCAAATGTCAGAACAAGATTTCTCCGCCGGTCGCGAACGCTTTTCAAAAACGAATGATCTCGAACAAGCCAGGGCGAAAATTTAGGAACTTATGACTGATAGAACGCATTGTACTCGGTGATCAACTGGGCAGACACATCGGGTATGTTATGTTCCAAAGAAGCCAACAGCTCGATCTGCTCTTGTTGACTCAGCGTGCGCTCGCGCCATGAAGGCACTGGGAATGGCTCATTGAAGTACTGAGAATACTGGTCCCCGATCGAAGTAGTCCAGTTCATGGGGTCGACGGTAGCATCAATGTATGCCAGGTGTCCAGCAGTCGTCGAGGCAAGTGAAAAGTTAGGGTCCCAGCCTTGAAGACCAGGAACAACTGAGGGTATCGTGTTGTACGGGGTATTGGGATCGACCGAAACATCTGGATAAAGTGATGACGGGCCACAGTACGGCTCCGGCGCATACTGTGGTACCGAGCTTCGAGCAGTAGATGGAGGCTTCATATCATATGCAGGTGACACCGGTGGGATGCGGGGCTGTGGGAATGGGGCGGGGGTTGAGGCCGGGGGAGTTGGTTCTTGTGTGAATGAGGGATCAGCAGATTGGCCCCTTGAGTAGGTACCACTGGAGGCAGTGTCGCCGATTGATAGGTTTCCACCACGATGATTGTGGGAATAATATGAGGCAGTTGTGCTACTTGAAGGACTGGACATAGCCGGCGGTGTCAATCCTTGGGAGGAAGTTGGTGTCGGATGATTGGAGGGCGAGTGCACAACAAATGACTCTTCGGTGGTATAAGCCTTTAAGCACGCAGCAACAAGGCGCTTGTAAAGGAGCAGAGCGGACTGAACACCGGGCCATCGTTCAGCGGAGAACACGATGATTTCAAGAGCCATATCCAAATGGCCCTGGACTTCTTCAATTGTGTGTTCTTTTCGTATCTCTGGATACGAAAGGGTCCAGAGAACGGTGTTCAAAGCCATGAACAAGGCCTGTACGAATACCCAAGTTAGATCAACGGACCCGGTAACCATCTGCTCTTTGTGCATGGCAATATTGAAGATAGCCGCGTCGTAGCATATTTGCGCGGCTTGAACGGACGGTTCGGGAACCTGAGGCGACGGGCGGTACATGAGAATCACGATTGTATTCCGTCTTCCTGTAAACCTGCAGATGGCTGCATCAGCGATTGACCTCTTGCGACCCAGGGTTACCGACATACCATTTCACGTTGAGCCCACTTCCATCGTCGTTCTTAGGGCACGTTGACATCCAATGGTCAATTTTGGCCATCATCTGGGAAAACCATGGATCTTGGTCATCGAGTGGCGTTTCTCTTCGGTTCAGGTACAACGTTCGCCTAGCCTCCAATTGTAACAATCGCATCTTGAAGAAGTGGACTGCGATACATTTTGCCATGACAGGCTTGGCACCTGGGGTAACCCCCCCAGCGGTAATATATTGATCACCCACCAGCTCAAAGAACTTCACATTGAAGTGATCATGGCTAACTGAGTAGCTGTTGCATCGGCCAAGGCTGTGAGAAAGACCCAGCTCCATGGATATGACAATCCAAAACAACCTTCGACGCATATCAATTTCCAGCGGGTTCAACGGCTTCCCATGTGATGATGTGGTGACAGTGGCCTCCTCGGTCAATCCGAGATCCTGACACAATTTCGCGGCTGTTCCGACAACCCAGTATGCAGCGGTGCGAGTGGGCGTCAGCATTGAGTATGAGGCAATCAGTACAAGGCACTGCAGAGCTCGTATATCCATCCGTTTCAGCGTGGGTTCCAAGTAAGGCAAGGCAGCAAGGTAATAGCTATCAGCAAGCCCGGCATATTCGGTGCTCATTTTTTGCATGCTGATCGCAATGACCATGCGCAGTTGAAAGTTCTGGCAGGGGTCCGTTGAGCCATGGAATACTTCCTCTACCTCTTGCCGGAAGGTGGGCTCATGTAAAGTGGGAAGAAGTGCTTGTGCTATAATAACATCAGTCACGATTGTCCAAAGGTCTATGCAGAGAGCTCATGTACATTTGGCCACAAAAAGGTCGATCAATTTATAGGTCAGCGCCTGCGGGGGTAGGTCGGCCTGTGGGATTGAGCTTATCATGGGATAGATTTTGGACGTCGGTTTCGAATCTTCTTGTGCGAAGGCTTCTTTAATCTCTTGGGCGGTGAATTCTGGGACGACATCTTTGATGCTTTTAGAGTCGGTATTCTGCTTGGCCATTTCCATGACCAGGCGGGTCATGGCAATGCCACTGGAGGACCCGAGATACCGAGCCTCGTCATTTTCCTTGAAGCGGATGCGCCCAGCTCCCCGCACCATCAGCTCCGCATCGGCAGCATGTTGGATCTCTTTTTCGGCTTCGGCGAGTTCACGTTCCAGCGCGCGAGCTTTCTCCCGCAGCGATACGATGTAGGACCGGGGGATCGTAGAATCGCGCGTCGAGTCGTAATACACACACTTGGCATTGCTTCGTTCACAGGGGGCACACCGAGGGATCCCCGGGTCACATTTGGATTTTCGCTATACGGAAGGTGGGTCAGTCTGTGGCGGCGGGATGAGAGTACGGTCATGAACACCTTAGAGCAGAGGGGCGCTGGGGGAGGGGGAAAAGGCAGCTGAAATCGCGGGGATAATGGGAAGGGACCGAGGCCGCATCATACCTGTCTACACCTTGTGCACGCGGTTAATGTGTGAGCAATGCGACCGTTTGGAGGCTCCAGAATGTGTAATTCCGGCGACTTGAGCGCCGCGGAGGAATATTCCGGGCTCGCGGTCATAGCTGGGAGCCAATAAATCAGGGTATTAATCAAGGGAAGTGTCAAAAGTGGAAGAAAACGGCCGGATCACATGGGCCGTTATACGCGGGTTATCGTCGATCGCACGGGGAGGCTAATGGAGACAGTCGACATGGTCTTGAGGCTCTCGTACCTCCCAAGATTTGAAACGGGTACTCGTATGGGGCCACCGTCCAAGTCATGTACGAGAGGGGCAAACCTCGGTCCAGATCTGGATCGACGCGCCTCGTCGAGACTTTGCAAGCGACGGGTCTCCGCGTTGGAAAAGTGGATAAGGGCAGTGGGCAGTGGGCAGCTGAGTGGTCTTTTTTTCTGACTCTCGGGTAATGTCAGAGACCAGACGCAAATCCTCTTGGAAGCCCAAAAGGATTAGGACGTTGAGTTGCAAGTCATCCGTGCGGTCCGGAAGATCAGCCCAAAGGTCGGCAAATGGGACATTCTCCCTCCTACATATGTACTCAACGTCTTTTTATTTTTAATTTGATATCTTTTCCTTTGATAATTGCGCCCCCAAAAAAAGTGGGTAAGGGCTTATTCATTTATTATCCTGCAATGATAGTCGCTGAATCCCCCAGCTCATGCAGGTCGTTCTTTAGCCATCCCCCTTTCGATTCTAGTCATGTGAGTACCTTAGACTCGCATCGGACTTCCGCTGAACATTCCCAGTAGAATGAGTCATGTCCGTCACCGCCACCACCTTCTTGGATAATCCCTTACTCAAGGTGAGTCGTCCGGTGGCTGCGTGCTCGAGATGTCGGACCGCGAAGATCAAGTGTGATGGCAAGCTCCCCGCCTGTTCGGCCTGTGAACGGGTGGGCAAGGCTAGCACTTGCTCCGGGGCCAGCGATGAGTTCGCCAAGGGGAAGGAGAGAAGCTATGTCGCGTCACTCGAAGGATACTGCGAGAAACTGGAGAAAAAGATTAGCCAGATGCGTGCCCGCTCAACGTCCCTGTCCGCCGAGGGCAACGGGGTCGCTCGGGAGATGTCGATCACCTCCGTCGCATCCGAAGGTCAATTGGGCCCCGCGCACCATAGAGAGGTCTCCGATATCGACGACCTAGTGGGTGACTTTGGGTTTCTGTGAGTATTTTCGGGTACTGCTCGCTGGTAGATTCTCCCCGCTGACAATGCCCCAAGGTCGGTCAACGCAACTTCACGAGACTTCCACGGGATCACCTCGAATACCTCCTTTGCCAAACTCCTCCTATCAGTCGCTCTTGTCGACTCCGATCAGCCACCCTCGCATAATTCACTTCCTCCTCGGCATGAAGCGGCTCCCTTACTGCAGCATTATTTTGACAATATCTTCGTTCAACTGCCACTATTTGTGGAAACGAGTTTTTGGACCTCGGTAGACGCCGTCTATCAGTCAGGCGGCCGGTTTGCGAAGCCTTTCGATCACTGGATGCTGCGGATGGTCCTCGCCATCGCCTCGGCATCAATCTCGTATCAGAGCAATGATAAGAACCACCAAAGGGCACGTGCCCTTGTGGGGGAGGCATTGACATATGCCGAAGAGGTTCTTCGCCCGGGGTCAATCTCTGGGATCCAAGCCATCTTATTACTGGCTGAGTATTCTCTGATTGACCCAGCACGCTTTCGTAGTTGGTATTTGGTTGGAATGGCCGTGAAGGTTGCCGTCGACCTCGGACTCCATCAAGACCCTCCTACCGAGGTCCCAACCGATGTCGATCGACTCGATATTCGTCGGCGTGTATTCCATTGTCTATATTGCCTTGACAGGTCCGTTTGAAGATTCATGGCTTACAAGTGCCCTGCTGACTTTTTGATATAGGGGATTAAGCTCCACCATGCAGAGAACCTTCTCGTTCTCCGACGCATCTGTCAATGTTGCATTACCATCAACATCTGCATCCCCGGGGGCCTCTACAGAGCAGAGCCAAATCTTTTTACGCAGTCCAGTGCCTGCCTTACATATTGTCAAAATTAGACAGATATTGTCTGTGGGCTACCAGGAAATGCATTACAGTGGGCGCGAGCCATCTCCGCAACACCTGGCTCTAACATGGACCCTATGCTGGCGAGCCCGGGATTGGTACCACCAGCGCCCCAAGAATGCCCCCAACCATTTCTCTCTTCTATACAGACTCGAACTTCTTTACACCATCATCGTCCTTCTTTCTCCTTCGCATCGATACCCCACGCTCCATAACTACAACAAAGCCCTCCTCTTTGACCGATGTATGGACTACATCAGTCAGATTCACCAGGTCTTGGAGAACCCCAGCGCCTTGCCGTTCCTTACCTATCTCGACATCCAACGTGTTCATCAAGTAGGCCGATTATTCGTGGGCGTTCTTTCCGACAACTACGACCAACTCATCAGCGCAACTGTCCCTCCACCCCCTCATGTTCCGATGGGGACTCCAGAGCCGCCAGTTCTGGCTGCCGAGGATCTGTTCAACTGCCATCCACGTGCTCTCCGCTGTCTCTCTTACATCCGCGATCTTCTCAACTTCTGTGCTCGCAAATGGGATATGCATGGGTTGCTGGAACAATTTGAGGATGAGTCTGCCTCCCTCAGAAAGACCCTAGAGGACAGCTCCATGGGATACATGTCCGAACAGGGATTATATCCTCAAGACCCGTCATCGGGGATGCTGCTGGCCGGCGATTCATATTCGGGGTATCATTATGCTGTCTAAAAACTGAAGGAACGAGGCAATCGGAATATGGAGGAATGAGTTATGGATTTAGTGAAATACCCCTGCACACGCTGCACATGATTAATATATTGCAAGTCAATCGTCCAATTAGTATATCGAATACTAAATCGTCTCTTGGTCGGGATAGACGTTGTCGCCTTTCTATCTGAGCACACTGGTACCTACCTAGTAGGCAATCAAACTATACCTAGGTATCACTCAGGGTTGCTATAAACCCGTGGGGGTTTGACTGTAATCGTGGCTGTACCTAGGTAGGTATCTTACAAGAACCTTGGAGACTAAATAGAAGCCCCAAAAAGCTACGAATGAGTCTCGCTTTGGATGCCCAGGTGGGACTTGAGGACCACATAAGCGACAAAGCAAATACGGGGATTCAATCCTTGATGCCCAGGTGTCAAACAGCCTTCTACTACCTAGTAGGTATCTGATCGTGTTTTCTTTCAATTTTCCAAAAAGAACTTTGGGATACGCTACCTAGGTACCCTTGAAGTGCTCAAACCTTGGAATGAATAACTGTGTATGGGGTTGTTGGCATCCTCGGGCGATATATAACTATCAAGCTTAATCATGAGGTCCCGACCTGGCACTGGGCACTCAGCAAAAGGAAAGCCATTATTGAACTTGGAAGATATAACTTGGAATGCGCGATCCTATTCTGAAGTTTCTCGATAATTTTCAATGTCCTACGGAGTACGTAGGCAAGGCTGCATGTATGCCTAAGTATAGACCACCCACAACCGCGAAGTAGATACCCAAGTATTACCTAGGTATCAATCACTGGGAGCCTCCAGGGCTGCGCAGGTGTAGCCTTCCAAGGTTGTACCTAGGTAATGTGTGAATGATACCTCGGTACCTGCAAGTCGCACACCTACCTAGGTCGTGCTCTATAAAAGTGATTTTCTTCTCTTCTCTTCTCTTCGTTTGGCCTCTGTTGCAGCAGGAATCCTTTGCAAAATGCAGACAGAACCTTGGAACACTCCCTGACCAGGTGCTCAATAAATATCTATCCCGAGGCCATGAATAATCTCCGCGCATTCAGCCAAACTCTTATCCCCAAGGGTCTCTGGATCGATTTTTCAAATCCAGGAACTCGATCCACCACTATTTTCCAGATGCAACCTTGAAGCCTGGACGATAACTGATCCCACTGAATAACTATAGTGACCCGTTGGCAGATGATGGTACTGCTTTCTTGTCAGGCTTTCCCTGAGATTTCTGATATATTCCTAGGTAGGTTTGTTCCAAGCCTTCTCTCTTCACCTGTGGACTGGAGCTACTGCCCCCAAGGTCCCGAGGTCTTTGCAAAGTACAAACCTGGAAACCATGACTAGGCCCGCAGGCAATGATAAACTGGAATGTAAGATTCAGTCTTATGCCGAGATCATAGCCATGTCCCGTCACTCCCGAGGTCACCTGGGCATCAATGGATATTCTGGCAACTGGTGAATCACAACTAATCATATAGGCTAGTAGTGCGAAAGTGGAATATGAGACTTGATCTTTTACTACTGCGTGGTACTGTAGGACTCTACGTGTAGCGCAAGATCCTTCTAAGGCTCGATTTTCAAGTCAAGATCGTGTGACAAGGTCCTCAGGAAGAACCAAGAGAAGAGGCCGGTACTAAGGTGGTCTAGTTTGGGTATCCCGTACATAGTCGAATTACCAACACACACCAGTCCAAAATGGCGTGATAGAGCCCCTTTCTTCGGCATCTGGGTATCAGGTAGGAACCACCTGGGCAAAATGACTACGAAAATTGGAAGCACAGGGTACTCTGTACTCTGTGCGCGAATACACAATATGTTCCGTAGTGGCCAACAGTCAATAGACCAAGCAGGGAGTACCGTTGTACCGCTTTCTGTTGCATATGTATGTACATAATGCCACCCAGGTAATATCTATGGGGAGTTACTCAGGCACCCGTAAGGTTGTTATTCTTCCCCACTTGGTATGTATGAACTGATGGTGGAACCGCCATGTACACTGTAAGGAATACCTACAGTACGTCGTACGGAGTGCCCACACCCTACCTAACTCGCGATACTGTACATTGAACTTGTTTCGCCATATGTAATACAAGAACGTACATACAGAGTACATACATACGGAGTGCTCGTACATAAAATTTGCAGCAGACCTGGAGTGGATGCATACCGGCAGATCTTCCAAGTTGTACAACCGTACTTCCCGGGCTCGTACAGGCCGTGAGCTCGGGGTTGATATGTACAGTATATATCAGGCGGAGTGATGTCCGGCATGCATGCGTCCTGTACAGTTGGATTATTGCAGCGACTGTGGCAAGCCACCCTGCAGTCATAATGAGTTGTACATGTACGACTTCATGCATGCTCAGCCCTGGAGGTGCCCAGGTGGTGGATAGTCTCCCAGGGGCTGTTCGGAGTTCATGTTAGCCTTCCGAGTCTGGTCACCCGGGTCACCAAGTAAGCCGCTGTGACCCCCGAGACCAGTAACCTTGTAAATGCCCCAACTGTACTCCGTACTATGCAGTATGAGTGCGCTACGAAGTCCGGAGTTTAGCACGGTAGATCCTGGGACGAGTGTTCAATGGTTGAATTTGAGAATAGCCGCCTGGAAAATCAATCCCCTGGGCAATCGTGTTGTACTCATATGTTGATTCTACGACCGAGGTGAGAAGAGGCGAGAAATAACAAAAGCAACGTGGCACTCCGTAATATTAGTGCGCTCCAAGGTTCCTCCAAAGATGATTACTATAGCATTGCCCGTTAGGTGAACCCACTCTCGAACATCGTTATTTGGCACATTGTCCACAAACACGGAGTACCACGTTGTGGTTTCCAAGGGTTGGGTCAGCAACGCCTTTACGACGGATTACGGAGTATAAGATACGGATTACAGTGGGGAAAGACGGCGCTCTGAAGGGTTGGACTTGAAGTTTGAACGCAAAAGAGTGGGATTTTGAAGGTCTGGACCAAATAGGCCAGCGTGAGAAATCCATCACCTATGCATACCAGCGCAAACGAAATGCTATACAATCTCCAAACCTTCCAATATTCCAGACCGAGCCATGTATATTGGCAAGAATCCATGGATCTCATGGATATAGTTCCTACTAGTATCAGTAGGAATATCAATGATACTATATCCTCTCGGTATCATCCATGGGTGGTTCATGCACCATCGATGGATGAACCCAGGTAATTGGTTCTCATCGAAGACAACTCCGGAGTACTCCGTACTAGTCCTGGATCTCTCAGGGTTGAATCCACTCCAGCGATTCTAGCTGGGTCTCAAAGCACTCGTATTGCACCTGGTAAGGGCGAAATAAAATGTACAGTAGCCCTGCGACTCGGGACACTAGGCAACTACAGTAGGACTTCCACTCGTGTACTCCGCACCGTATAGAAATGAATGGCACCGAATAATGCTCTACTCGGACTTCTCCGTTCAATGGGACAGATGAGCGGTCAAACGAAGTTGCTCTGGTGATCAAACGCCGCCTCATCCGCAGGTACTAATTTGTGTTGTGCTACTATGTAATACTGTACGGAGTACGCTCGGTGCTCTGTACCCCTTACCGGAAGTACTCTTCCGACATACAGCACTGTACTCGTACAAAAAACCAGCTCAGTCTACGGAGTACAACTCAGTACTCTAATCGCGCACCCCAATTTCCCTGTCAGCTCTCTCTTCATGCCAAGGGTGGACGAGTATGGAGTAAGCTGCGACTCGTTCATTACCTAGGTACTCATACCAATATGTGGGCCTGGCAACTGGGGCGAACCCAGCCCGGTGGGCTCGGACTGCACAGCGGATGCAGGAACAGATCGGCACGGCCCAAAAGCTCTCTGAAGTGGCTCGAATTTCCACCCTGGAACCACGATCCGATGCTAGTAGGGGTAGTAGTATGTCATACACGCCAATGAGCAATTTTTTTCAACATCTACCATGGCTTCAAAGATGGGCAGAGCACTGTTAAATAACATCTCCACGGACTAGGACAATAATTGACAGTTGATGTGTCGATTACGTCCTCATACGGTTAGCAGGCATTGGCGTCTGCATTGGAAAGAATCTACTATTAGAACTCAGACGGCAATAGATCGATCCGAAAAGGTAACTACTGGAGGCTGATTCTAGCCAATCACAAGCCGAACAGAGATAGTGATAGTCGGCTCGGCAGAAGAGGATCCACGGGGGACGTCCGGAGTCCCGCCGATCGACAGAGCTGCCTGACCGCAACAAGAGTCAAAGGTGTACTCCGTACACATGTGTATAATGTGTCAATGAGATAGATCATCTGAGACATTACTGCGGCCTGCAGCAGGATCCACCGAATGGTTTTGTGCAGAAGCGATATACTACACGTACTCCATACTAGCATGGCAAAAAGAACCAGGAACCGGATGAACGGCGGAAAACAAAAACAAAAACAAAAGGCAAATGATGTAAGTGGCCCCTAAGCTTTTGGCAACACGATCTGGGCATCCAAGTCCCGACGGTGGCGGTCTTCGGGGATTGTAGCGGATCAATCCGACCAGGTTAGGTTTAACTTCATGTAAATCTGTATGTACAGATGCCCCTGGTTAAGGTGCCAATCGATTCCGATCGGCCAATGGGACCCATCTCCGCAGCCATTCAGCTGGACTAGATGAAAGGTGGAGCGGAGATGATGGGGAGGCGCTAAAGAGAGCCCCGGAGCGAGGGGGCCCTGAGAGGTCAATAGGTCACTTTGCCGCCCACATGGGGGCGCGTGCGGGGCCCGCTCGTTAATTGAGAGCGCTGATTCGTAGTATTCTTCCGCACTATTTGAATTAGATTCTCCTCCATGAACCCTTACGGCAACTTAATCGTCAATCGTCCCCTGAGTGTGTTGTGGTCGTGCAGATCATTTTCTGTTCCTCGCGGAGAGTGCCCACACCAATTTCCAACCTCAGCGGACAGGATTATCCAAATCCTAAATACTATGTAGTAATGACGCGGGATTGTCCTCGCATACA